ATCAGTTTTCTCCATGCCATGCAGAATTGTGCAATCTCTTATTTTGTCGCTTCTTACCCCCCTCTTTCTCTAAACTAAAAAGTCCCAAACGCTGCGACTCTTCCTCATAAGCAAGTCTCTATATCCCTTTGATCATTTTGCTTGCCCTTTTCTGAACTTTTTCCAACTCTAAAAGGTAAAGGTAAAGGGACCCCTGACCATTAGGTCCAGTCGTGACCGACTCTGGGGTTGCGCACTCATCTCGCTCTATAGGCCGAGGGAGCCGGCGTTTGTCCGCAGACAACTTCCGGGTCATGTGGCCAGCATGACTAAGCCGCTTCTGGCGAACCAGAGCAGTGCACGGAAATGCCGTTTACCTTCCCGCTGGAGCGGTACCTATTTATCTACTTGTACTTTGATGTGCTTTTGAACTGCTAGGTTGACAGGAGCTGGGACCGAGCATCAGGCGCTCACCCCGTCGCGGGGATTTGAACTGCTGACCTTCTGATCGGCAAGTCCTAGGCTCTGTGGTTTAACCCACAGAGCCACCTGTGTCCCTTTCCAACTCTACAATCTCCTTTTTGAGGGGAGACGACCAGAACTGCACACAGTATTCCGTATGCAGTCGCTTGTTAGAAAGACAGCAGGAAATGCAGAAAAAAACCAGTGCTGACTTGGGAACCAAGTCAAGAACTGTTAATCTGCTTGGAAGGAAACGTTTCACAGCAGTTGGTCATCGGACTCACTCTTCACCCCATTGTTTGGGCTCTTCCAAATAATGCCTTGGTTTGGTGGACGGCTATAAGTTTTTGCTGCACTTTTGCATTATTCTCCCTCCCCTGAAATAAATTTAAAGTCTAGAATAGTTTAGGTGTGATCCAGGCAGAAACTGTCTTGTAAATCCCATGCCATATACACTCACTAGTCCTTTGGACTTGATACAGTTCGAATGTTGTAATCAGATTCCATTTGCACGACCTTCTAGCATAGCTGCTATTATTATTTATACTGGTGTAACCTTTTGCATTTGACCCCACCCCTTTCAGGTATGCAGAGTCCCTGATTCACTTGTCCTTAATTTGCTTACTCATATATCCATCAAGGCCAGCTCTCTCTCACACATGCACTCACCTTGCTAGCCCGTGACGAAGAAACTGAAAACAGCAAAATAATAATAACAGATTAAAGCAAGCCAGCCCATTCTGTCCTCCCAGACTGATCAGTCTGTCAGTTAATGCAGTTTTGCCAAGGAAGAGCTTTGTTCGTGTCCTGAGATCTTCAGCTCAATCTTCCATCTCTCCAGACTTAGATCCATAGTTTTATGTGGGTGGCCCTCTTCAGATGGTCAGGAGTATTTTACCTGTATTTCAATGTTGGGGTATAAAGGTGTTTCCCCCTCCCATTTCCATGTAAGGTAAACCGCCCTGGGAATTTCTCTTGAGAGGTGGTTGCAGACAATTCTGTGATAACTAAATAGCAAGCCAGTAAGTTTACTCTCTTCCTCTGTTTGAAGACTAGTTCCTTAGCAACGAGCCACTTCCCGACTCTCCGTCATGGATGTGAAGTATGAGGAAAACCTCAGCAAATTGCTTCACAGCTGTCACAGAAACACCCAGCCAGGTTTAACTTGGGGATTAAGCAGTTTGAAGTAAGAGCATGTTCTTCAGAAAGTTGTCTGCTATGGGGGGGAAAAGTGCCCTTGCAGCTCCAAAGGGAGGCTTGCACTTCCTTGAATGGTGTGGGAGAGTGGCACATTTGCCAGGGCAAATTACACTATGGAAATCTCAATGGGCCCCATCCATGGGGCTTTATGTAGTTACTCTGACATCCTCTGCTCTATTAGTTGTGATTCCTGCAATGAAGGGGGTTGAACTTCATGACTCTCTGGGTCCCTTGCAGCTCTACAATTCTGCGATTCATTCGCTGATTTATTTAGACAATTTATATACAGTGGTACCTGTATGGAAGTGAGAGCTGGACCATAAAGAAGGCTGATCCCAGAAGAATGGATGCTTTTGAATTATGGTGCTGGAGGAGACTCTTGAGAGTCCCATGGACTGCAAGAAGATCAAACCGATCCATTCTGAAGGAAATCAGCCCTGAGTGCTCACTGGAAGGACAGATCCTGAAGCTGAGACTCCAATACTTTGGCCACCTCATGAGAAGAGAAGACTCCCTGGAAAAGACCCTGATGTTGGGAAAGATGGAGGCCACAAGGAGAAGGGGACGACAGAGGACGAGATGGTTGCATAGTGTTCTCGAAGCTACCAGCATGAGTTTGACCAAACTGTGGGAGGCAGTGGAAGACAGGAGTGCCTAGTGTGCTCTGGTCCATGGGGTCATGAAGAGTCGGACATGACTAAACGACTAAACAACAAGAACACCTGTCAGGAGTTCAGCCTACACTCAAGTATACACCTGACTGGCATGTTCTCTCCTTCCTGCTTGATCATTCGGGAGCTTCAAAAGCTTTCTTCAGCCCGAACATCACAGCGACCGATGCCAACCGACACCGGCACACTTAGGGGTCTGCAGAGTTTGCGTACCTTGCATGACAGACCTCAGCAACTCAGCATTTTGACTAATCTATTTTATTTACATATAAACACACACGGAGCACTGCAACAAGGCTCCCTCTCTCTCTAGCATCAGACAGCAAAGAGAAAAAGAACAAAGGACAATAGTCCCACTTCATGGAACACAGTAACACAAACATCCTGTTTCTGTCACTTCCCACTCTGTCAAAACATATACCGTCATGTGAAAGACAACAATCCTATGACTGCAATCATGGGGCAGGAATTCTAACAGTACCTTGGTTCTCAAACTTAATCCATTCCAGGAATCTATTTGACTCCCAAAACCATTCGAAAACCAAGGTGCGGCTTCCAATTGGCTGCAGGAGCTTCCTGCACTCAATCGGAAGCTGCGTTAGCCGCGTCAGACATTCGACTTCCAAAAAACACTTACTTCCGGGTTTGCAGCATTCAGGAGCCGATTTGTTCGACAACTAAGCCGTTTGGAAACCAAGCTACCACTGTACTGCTTAACCATTTGTTTGAGGGAAGGGCTCTAAGTGTCTCTCACAAGTAACATAAAAGATTACCAGTGAAAATCAGACAATAGAAAATACATTACATATTTTAAAGCCCATCTGTTAAAAATGACACAGTCTGCTACTGAATGGGACAGCGTCCTCCTGAGCATCAGAAAAGCCTGGCGCCATCAAGCAGGTACTTAAAGCATCCAACGGCTGGCACTTCTGGATGCACCCAATTCCTGGAATATTTTGGTTCCTTCAATCATTACCAACTGTTGGTCAAGGTGGAAAGCTGCCTGAACAGAATCGTTAACCATCCCAGGAGATCATTACATACAGTATCTGACACAACTAAAAAACAACCATCCCAAATACACACAGAGAGAGATAAAACATATGAATCTCCCATTCATTCGAATGGGGCTGGTAGTCCAGTGTGTGTCCCGTGTTAATTAGTAATAGTCACTACAATTATCTGCAAACTGCAAACTATTTTCCCGGAATCTGTTCCCAGTAAGCCACTCATCCTATTCCAGTCTTCCCCAATGGCCTGGGTATGCCTGGGTCTGAGGGGAGCCGGTCTGTGCACACACTACGCTAGGGTTCCCAAACTGTGGTCTCTCAACCTCATTCAGGTGTTCTGCAGTATGTCTGTAAAAATACAATTAAAAATCATAAATCTATCACAGTGCATTTTAACTGCAGCAACAGGCAGAAGGAAAAAACCACATTAAGTGGTCTGCCAAGACCCTCAAGTGATCCATGGGGGAAGAAGAACTTTGGGGGAATGTTGCATACCTTGAAAGCACATCCAGAACATGTTCTTTCCCTCAAAGAATTATGGGAACTGTAGTTTGTTAACCGTTGCTTGGAATGGTGACTCTGTGAGGGGTCAACTAGAGGGCCCACAATTCTTTGAGGGGCGAAATATGCTTTTAATGTGTTATAGTGTGTACACAGCCTTGTAGTCTGGAGGGTGATGAATTAGGAAAGGGTACATTTTGTCTCTCCCCCCCTCCCCCAATTTGGTGATACTTTATTTTAAAAAATCGTTAGGGTTAGCTGCTGGGACATTTTCTTAGGGATTGTCAGATAAAAGAAAGGACTTAACACAACACAGTTGAACTATGAACTTGCTCCCTTAGAAGTCAGCGGTGGCTACCAACTTAGATGGCTTTTTAAAAAGGATTGGACAAATTCACAGAGGTCAGGGATGATATTGATGGCTAGTTGCTACAATGACTATGCTCTGCCTCCATGGTCAGAGGCAGCAATGTTGCTGCTGCTGCTGCTGCTGCTGCTGCTGCTTCTACGATCACTTATAGCCGAGTAAGATTGTCTTCCATAAACGCGGTTTTAACAGTGAGTCCATAAGTGACTGTGGAGGCCAGTTCTGGATCCACACTTCCTTCCACAGTTGGGCCATAGGTTTCTGGGCGGGAGTTGATCACAGTGAGGGTTTGCCAAGCGTGCCTTCCTCTTAGCACATTTCTCCCTTTTGTCCTGAGTTCGAGTGTCTTAAAGCCCATGACACCTTTGATAAAGGCTGTTCTCCAATTGGAGCGCTCACAGGCAAGTGTTTCCCAGTTGTTGGTGTTTATACTACATTTTAAAAAATTTGCCTTGAGACAGTCTTTAAACCTCTTTTGTTGACCACCAGCATTACACTTTCCATTTTTAAATTTGGAATAAAGTAGTTGCTTTGGAAGACGATCATCAGGCATCCGCACAACATGACCAGCCCAACAAAGTTGATGTTGAAGAATCATTGCTTCAACACTGGTGATCTTTGCTTCTTCTAGTACACTGGTATTAGTTCGCCTGTCTTCCTTTTGACCATACCACCTCAGGTGACTCTGCTGGGAGTACGAGATTCCCGACAGCTTCGCTCACAAGGGTCATAGGAACGTGCAAGCCTACTATCCACGACAAGATGATGATCCAACGAGTGAGGTTTCTGAATAGCAGTTGCTGGTAACCGTAGGAAGCAGAGAGAGCTCTTGTGGTCAGGCTCCTGCTTGCAGGCTCCCTATTGGGATATCATACACACACACACACACACACACACACACACACACACATTTTATTGTTGTTGTTTTTAACATATCATTTCCAACAATCATTTAACATAACTTCTTATCTTATACAATATTTTAGACTTCTGTCAACAACTTCTGAAGATTTTCTGTTCTCTATTGCTTGTTCTGCATTTCTTAATTTCTCTATTAATTTTAACTGTCTTTAACTAATAATTATCATCGTAGTCTTTCTTGCAATGTTTCAAATAGTCCTTACAGAACTTCTTGCAATCCTACTAGCATAATCTGTTTATTACAGTTGCTTTTCAAATAGTTCAAATATTTACTCCAGTCTTCTAAGAATCTCTGATCCCGCAGGTTTCTAAACCTTCCTGTTAATTTATCTAATTCTGCATAGTCCATTAATTTCATTTGCCATTCTTCTTTCGTCGGTAATTCTTCTTGCTTCCATTTTTGTGCCAATAATAATCTTGCTGCCGCCATTGCATATAAAAACAATTTACAATCCTGTCTATCACTATCATCCCCTACACTGCCATGTAAAAATGCTTCTGGTTTTTTAATAAATGTATATTTCAACATCTTTTTCATCTCATTATATAGCATTTCCCAGAAGTTTTTCACTTTTTTACATTCCCACCACATATGATAAAAAGTTCCTTCCTTTTCTTTACATTTCCAACATTTATTACTTGTTTTATACATTTTAGCTAGTTTCACAGGGGTAATATACCACCTATACATCATTTTCATCACATTTTCATTCAAAGCATTGCATGCTGTAAATTTTAGTCCTTCTTTCCACAGTTTCCCCCAGCCTTTTAATTGTATGTTATAACCAAAATCTTTGGCCCAATGTATCATAACCGACTTTACCTCTTCGTCTTTAAAATGCCATTCAAGCAGCAATTTATACATTTTAGACAAAATTTTGTAATCATTATTCAATAATTCTATTTCAAATTTTGATTTATCATCAAATCCTTTTTCTTTCAAATCCTGTTTAAACATTTCATTGACTTGGCTATAGTGCAGCCAATCATTCACATATCCTTTAACCTCTTCATAAGGTTTCATTTTCCATTTACTTCCTTCCTTTTGTATTAATTTTTTATATGTAACCCAATTTTACTCATATTTATGTTTTTCACACTCATTGCTTCTAATGGAGACACCCACCACAGTGTTTATGTTCTAATAGGTTTTTAAACCTATCCCATATTTCAAATAGAGATCTTTGGAATATATGGTTACGAAATCCTTTATGGACTTTTATCTTGCTATACCATAAATATGCGTGCCAACAAAATCTATTATCATAACCCTCCAAATCCAATAAATCTGTATTTTCTAACAACATCCATTCCTTTAACCAACAGAGGCAAGACGCTTCATAGTACAATTTCAAGTCTGGCAGGGCGAAGCCCCCTCTTTCTTTAACATCTGTTAACAACTTATATTGAATTCTTAGTTTCTTCCCCTGCCAGATATATCTTGAAACCATCTTCTGCCATTCTTTAAAAATTGCTGCTGAAATGGAACACTCAGGATGAAACGGTAAAATCAGCTATGATTAAATGGGCACAAGACGTTGGACATAACATTATGTTCGCTGACTGGGAACAGTTATGGATCACAGGTATGAAATTTACGGCATGTAATGCCTTAAGAGAGAATATTATGAAAATGATATACAGGTGGTACATAACTCCAGTCAAGCTTGCAAAAATCTATCATTTGCCCGATAATAAATGTTGGAAATGTAAAGAAACTGAAGGTACATTTTTCACCTTTGGTGGATGTGCCCAAAGATTAAGGCTTTCTGGGAAATGATATATAATGAATTAAAAAAGGTATTCAAATATACCTTCCCCAAGAAACCAGAGGCCTTTCTCCTGGGCATAGTTGGCCAAATGGTGTTAAAAAAGGATAGAACTTTCTTTATGTACGCAACAACAGCAGCAAGAATACTTATTGCAAAGTATTGGAAGACACAAGAGCTTCCCACACTGGAGGAATGGCAGATGAAACTGATGGACTATATGGAACTAGCGGAAATGACTGGCAGAATCCGTGACCAGGGAGAAGAGTCGGTGGAGGAAGATTGGAAGAAATTCAAAGACTATCTGCAGAAACATTGCAAAATTAAAGAATGTTAGAGTGATGTTGGATTGAAAATAAGTGGCTTCCAGCTGTACAGGATTTAAAATTATATATAGATTAAGATTAAGGACTAGGACTAAAAAAGTTTAAGGAAATGGAAACTTGGTTTTTAAGAGGTAAAATTTTAATGCTATATTATATTAAGATTAAAGATTGGGATTGAAAAAGAGGGAAAGAAATTGCTGGACAAACAATTTGAACTGGAATACAAAAGAGGGAGGTATGAGGAGGTCCAGAAAATAAGTAAATTTAAAAATGGAGATGAAAAGGTGATATTGTTTTTAACTGGTTTTTTTTCTTTTTTTTCTTTTCTTTTTTGTTCTTTTTTTCTTTTTTGGATTATGTATTGTTAAAAATTGCTGCCCCCTTGATTATTGGAATTGATTGAAATAAAAATAACATCTTTGGTACCACATTCAAACAACAGCAATCCTTCCCCAAAATGATAATTTCATCCTTCCCCATACTTCCAGTTCTCTTTTAATTCCGTTCCACACTGGAGTATAATTATTCTGAAAAAGATCTGTATTCTTTGATGTTAACCATATTCCTAAATATTTAACTTTTTTGACCACTTCTATACCAATCTGTTGCTTGCAAGTCTTGTTTCATATTTCAAACTATCATTTTAGTTTTCTTTTTGTTCAATTTAAAACCTGCTACGGGTCCGAATTGTTCAATCTCTTCTAGTACTTCCTTGCACTGGTTAGTGGTTCTTCTATTGTTAATATCAAGTCATCTGCAAAGGCTTTATGTTCCTTCCGACCAATTGAAATTCCTTTTATTTTTTCATTTCTCCTTATTGTCAGTAGGAAGATTTCCAGTAACGATATGAATAGTAATGGTGATAATGGACACCCTTGTCTTGTACCTTTCGTGATTTCAATATTGTCTGTCATTATGTTATTTACTATCCATTTTGCTTTTTGATCAGAGCATATCACTTTTATTCCTTTTATAAATGATTGTCCGATATCCATTAGTTCCAAATTCTTCATCATAAATTCCCAAGATATATTATCCCCTATTGGGGTATCTGGTTGGCCCCTGTGAAAACAGGATCCTGAACTAGATGGGCCAATGTCGTGATCCATCAGGGCTCTTCTTATGACCCCCTTCCCCATTGTGATGGCCTGGGATTCGGACTCGGAGGCCGAACCTGAGGGATCCCAGCCTGCACAGGAGTCCCTGCCTCCAGAACCAGCTGAGCTGAGGCTGGGGCTTGAGCCTGAAGGATCCTCACCTGTGCTGGATCCTCAGGTGCAGGCACCAGCTGAGTCTGCTCTGGCTCCTGAGGTGATGGAGGACCCATTGCCTGCAGGTGCTCCACTCTCAGCCCTGTCAGGGGAAGGTGAGGTTGCCTCTGGGTCCGGTAACCCTCCAGCCTCTCCTGAGCTGCAGAGTCTCAGGGCAGAGAGGTGGAGGGAACTAAGCTCCCGCAGGAGGAGTGCTCGCCTCCAGGCCTAGCGAGGCGAGTCACCTGTGGACCGAGGCCGCCCTATGCCTCGGGGCAGATAAAAGCCAGCCAGCCCCAGTCCCAGGTTGCGGGAGCAACATTGTTGGTAGCCTGTTCCTGCCTGCACCCTGTCCTGCTCTTCTGCCAGAGTTCCTGACCTCACCTGACTCCCTGCCTTGGACCCAGCTTCAGCTTTGACGGACAGCCTTCATACCGCACCCTCGACCTCAGCCTGGACTCAGACCTCACTGCACGGTTAACCCTCGGGACCAGCACACCCATTCTCTCCTAGTCAACTCTCTGAATGGGTGGTGTGTGAACCTTGCAGTTATCACTGGCACCTGGCACCCCTCATGGCATGTACAGGGGACTTAAAGCACCCCACAATGCCCAGCTTGCCGCTTCTGACCCTGCAGCTATTGGCTGGGTGTATTTTGCATCTGTTGCTACTGGGATATCATTCGCCCACCCCCTTAAAAATGGAGTCAGTGGAAGAGTAGCAAGTGCAGACGGAATGAACTGAATAAGCATCCTTCTGCAGCTTGGCAGCCACCAGCAGTCTTTGGACTACAATTCCCAGCAGCCCCAGCAGCGTCGTGCCACTGTACTGGCTGGGGGCCAATGCGAATTGGTAGGTCCAAAGGAACTGGAGGCTGCCAGGGTTGGGGATGGCTGGCATACAGGAATATGGCAAGTGCAGGGGAGAAACCACCATTTTTTAAAAAAAATGGTGTTTAAACAAATACAGTGGTACCTCGGGTTACATACGCTTCAGGTTACATACACTTCAGGTTACAGACTCCGCCAACCCAGAAATATTACCTCGGGTTAAGAACTTTGCTTCAGGATGAGAACAGAAATCGTGCTCCGGCGGCGCAGCAGCAGCAGGAGGCCCCATTAGCTAAAGTGGTGCTTCAGGTTAAGAACAGTTTCAGGTTAAGAACGGACCTCCGGAATGAATTAAGTACTTAACCCGATGTACCACTGTACCAAAAAACCCCGGAACCATTAAACACTTATCCAGCAATACATCTGATGTTGTTTGTTCTGTCCATTGCCTTTAGATGGAATCTTTTTTTAAAAAGTATTTTTATTAGCAATTTCAATATAACAACTTATCAAAACATATCATATTCATTATTTTTCCCCTTCCCCCCCAAACCCTTCTTGCCCTCCCCCAGAGACTTCCCTCAGCTCCTCTCTCTGATTTCTCAACACATATTATTTTCTGCATACTGTAAAATTGTCTATATCCTTATATTCTCTTTCTACTATGTTAGTGTTATGGAAAAATCTAGATGTGAGGCTGCTCAGTTACCCAGCTTGTCGGGCAGAGCCCACGGGTCCCTGCAGAATAAATGAGTCCAGCCACCAACCAGAGCAAATTGCTGAAGATCCAAGTTTATCACGCAACAGGTTCAAAAGGAGATTGAACCCAGAGGATGGGGTGACAAGGACTTTTAAAACTTTCCCACCATATCCCAGAATACAGTTCGTACAGCATCACTGATACATCATTGCTACATCACTGACATGTCACAAAAGGGGAGGGTTACACATGATTAGCATAGACTGATGTGTCAGGGCAACACACAAGTATAAGATTAGCATAGACAAATATGTCTTAAGTACCCACCACCCAAAAGTACAATAGAACTTCTTTTGCATGTCTGGAGCCTAAGGCAAGTCAAGGGATGAGATTTGGCTTCCCTTGGCTAACAACGAGCCCAGCAATTGTCAACTCTGCGAACTTCCTGGAGTCTTTTTTCAAGGGGAAAATAGCTTTGGAATGGAGGAAACTGGCAAAGGAGTTGATTTTATATTATTTTTAAAGCTAGGTAACTTCCCTGAGCTGTCAAGTTGAAAGGGTACATTCAGGTACAATATTTGTAACATTTAACAACCTGTAACTTCCGTAACAGTTAGCAATCAATAAATTTGTGTATGTTTATTCAAAACCTGCCAAAGAGTCCAATTCATTTTCTTGTTTTTTTGTTTAAGCAATTTGTAAAAAGTTCCCATTCTTCTTTAAAGTCACAGTTGTCCTTATCTCGCAGATTGTATGTCAATTTGGCCAGTTCTGCATAGTTCATCAGTTTCTCTTGCCACTGTTCTTTTGTCGGGGTTTCCTCATTCTTCCATCCTTGTACAATCAAGACTCTTGTGACTTTAGGCATAATCTTACACATTCAGTGTTCAAACATATTACTTAACATAACCTCTCCACTGAGCGGTTGATATAACAAGGTCTTGATTTGGGTCATTAACACAGTTAAAGAAAGGGGTCCACGTTTCTTGGAAGGTCTCTCTTTTCATTATGCCTTTAATTGCCCTTCTGTTGTCTGCTGAGATGCTCAGACAGTGCTGTATCCCATATATTATTTCCCCATACTTTTAGGGGTATATTTCAGACTGGTTCTTCTGTGGTTGAGTTATCGCTAATTGTGCTGTGGTCAGTAAGAAGCCTACTAGTTCTCTGTGGTGCAAGGTGGAGCCCAAGTCTATGTCTAAAGATAGTAGGGCTGAGGGAGGATTTGGAGAAAGAAGCTGGCTTGTAATTGTGGATATCATGGAGATTATTTTCCACAGCCTTCCAGCATAAAGGGGAAAGGGAGGGATTAATCTTTGCCGGCTCAACTGGCATCCAGTGAAGAAGGCCTCCTGTAAGCAAGCAGAGATAGTTTAAAGGGGAGATGGTGACCCAGATACCCTCCTGTTATGTACTGAAGTTCTCACCCTGGGCCAGCAGGGGGATACTGTAGATAGTTTTCACTCAGGTCCACATATGCAAATAAGGGATTGAAAGTGACGTTCAGTGATTGGATAGTTACAGAAAGTGGTTACAGTTGCGTTGTAGTGGAGCTCTATATAAGCAGGCTGGCTGAACCCTTCAGTTCAGTTCTGTTCTGGCCTGTGAATAAACAAGAGCTGTTTGAAGAATCGCTGTGTCACCTGATATGTTCACCCACAACTTAACACCTCCCATTAGGGATCTTTGTTTTGGTGGCCTATTTCTGATTCCCATACAATTCGGGGGCCTCTAACAGCCCCGGCTTCCTGATCTAATAGATAGCTTTATATTAGGGAAGCAGCGCTCTTCAGGTCATAAGCTTGCCTGTTGCACAAGCATTCAAACAAGCTAAGTGTGTGTAGTAGGCTCTCTCTCCTGCATTCCAAATGAAGCACAAAATAATGAGTCTTTTAATTTACTTTGTATTTCCTCTTTGGAAATTGCTTTCCCTCTGGGAAGCAGGTCAAAAACAGTATAAATTCCCATGGCTTGTTAATACTTGTCTGTGTGTCTGAAAGCTGGGTGATTCAGGATAGGGACCAATGGCAAAGGGTTGAGGCCAGCGTTTCACTCCATGTTTTCCCCACCAACAGTACTGATTTTGTCAATGGATTGTCTATTTTCCTTACCTGCTTCGAGGATAAACGTTGGCCTCTCATTGAAGACATGTGGAAGGGACAATCTCAAGCTGGAGCCAATGGTCCTCTGTTCTTCCCCTGACCAACAGGATCAAAGATTTGATTTGGAAAGCAGCATAATATACTGTAACATTAAGTTAGGCATTCAGGCACACTTGTTACTGGTGCAGATCAAGATGTTTGTGAGGGACAGAGAGGGGAGTTTTATGTAGCTAATGGACTCCCATCCCCGCCAACATTTCTCTGATGAAAATAGGGACACCCCATTCCACAATGATAATTTTACTATTTATACCCAACACATCTTACTGGGTTGCTCCAGCCGCTCTGGGCAGCTTCCAACATATACAATATAAACATAATAAAACATTAAATGTTTAAAAAAACTTCCCTGTACAGGATTGCCTTCAGATGGCTCGGAGGTTGGATAACTCCATACCCTCCAACATTTCTCCTTTAAAAAAAACAACAGTTTTTTTATTAGTTTTTAACATACCATTTTCAACTAATTAAACATACTTTTACATCTTATTCAATTTTTTGGACTTCCATCAATCACGTCTGAAAATTTTCCAATCTATTCACTTAATATACATTTCTTACTTTCACTATTACCTTTCAATTTCATAACTAAAATCTCTCTTCTTTCGCTATTTTGCAATATTTCATATATTTCTCCTTACAAAACTTCTTGTAGTCCTACTAACGTAATTTGTTGATTACAGTTGCTCTTCAAATAGTTACCCTCCAACATTTCTCCAATGAAAATAGGGACATCCTACCATACCCTCCAAGATCTATCTAATGAAAATAGGGACATCCTAAGGAAAAGCGGGACGTTCCGGGATCAAATCAGAAACTGGGACGGCTTCTCTAAATCAGGGATGTCCCTGGAAAATAGAGACATTTGGGGGGTCTGGCCTCCTCTATCCAAGTTCCAAACCAGCTGCTGTCTGCATCCGTGGCAAAGAGGCACACACACCGGGAGGAGCCTTCACTTCCTGTTCTCTGACCAACTGCCTCTAACTGTCACCCCAAACACCCAGAGCTTCCAGCTGCTCCCTGATTGGCTGTCTATCTCTCTTGGAGGGCAGAATCACAGCATCCTGGAAACATTCTTCCTACTCTCAGGCCTTGGGGGTCCTCCAGTTGCTTCCTGTGAGGTGACAGCAGATCGGTGGCCAATTTAGCCAGCGAGACTCTGCAGGCTCCAAGTTTGTGAGCCTTAATCACGATTTTTAAAGGAAGTATCAACTTGAAAGATCAGCAGGTCAGTAAATCCTTCCACACCAAATGTTAGTTTTGTGGTAGGCGTGGTTTTATGGATTTGTCCAGCTTTGGTTTTATGGATTTGTCCAGAGAGGTAAAACAATCAATTTTAATCTCACCCTTCAAAGAGATAAAGGAATCTTAATGTCAGGAATGTGTTGGTACCTAGACCGAATTGTAATGCTATTTGTTGCCAAATGGCCAGGAAAACCCAGGCCAGACTGCACTTGTATCTTTAACAGCAGCTTCTCAAAAAACAAAACAAAGCAGAAAAAACATCCCAATGACTGCAACAATTTGCAGTTAAGGAGATGTGAAGATAAACATTCTCATCCAATAATGTTTGCATGTCCAGCTGAGGCTCCAATACTTTGGCCACCTCATGAGAAGAGAAGATTCCCTGAAAAAGACCCTGATGTTGGGAAAGGTTGAGGGCACAAGCAGAAGGAGACGACAGAGGACAAGATGGTTGGAGAGTGTTCTTGAAGCTACCAGCATGAGTTTGACTAAACTGCGGGATGCAGGGGAAGACAGGAGTGCCTGGCGTGCTCTGGTCCATGGGGTCACGAAGAGGTGGACACAACTAAATGACTAAACAACAATAGGGTTGCCAACTGTTTTCCTCTGACCATGCTCTTGTGCCTTTGGCAGCTGTACCATTAAGCCAGCAGGTGGGAGAAGCTTCACTGGCTTGATCTTTCCCTGCTCTGCAGCCGTTTAAAGGCACTGGAGCCCTGTCAAGAAAAAAAGTTGGCAACCCTTGTTCCAGTGGAAGACTATTGGATGTAAACAAAAAAACCAAACCCTCTGTCTTTTGGGTGGTGTGGATGAACAAAATGAACGGGGTTGGCATTTTGAAGCAAAGCATCAAACAGTGCCCCCCGCCCAGCCCAGCCCCAAATCAAGGTGCCACAGTACCCAGGGTCAGTCTAGTTATTTTACTATCTGAGAAAAATTATTCCACAAGGGCCCCTCCCACTCCCTGGCAGTAAAAATGCAATAATAAAAAATTCAGTTAATGCAATAATTATGCATTAAGTGACTGGTGATTTGCTACCTACCCCAAATCAGCTGTCTGAGGAGGCTTTCACAGCTCCCTAAGGGTAGGGCCGGGATGCGGGTGGCGCTGTGGGTTAAACCACAGAGCCTAGGACTTGCTGATCAGAAGGTTGGCAGTTTGAATCCCCGTGACGGGGTGAGCTCCCGTTGCTCAATCCCTGCTCCTGTCAAGTTAGCAGTTCAAAAGCACATCAAAGTGCAAGTAGATAAATAGGCACTGCTCTGGCGGGAAGGTAAACGGCATTTCCGTGCACTGCTCTGGTTCGCCAGAAGTGGCTTAGTCATGCTGGCCACATGACCCAGAAGCTGTACGCCGGCTCCCTCGGCCAATAAAGCGAGATGAGTGCCGCAACCCCAGAGTTGGTCGCGACTGGACCTAATGGTCAGGGGTCCCTTTACCCTTTACCTTTAAGGGTAGGGCCAACCCTGCCAACACACCATACATTTAAAGCGAATCCCGGGAACTGTAGTTTGCAAAGTGTGCTGGGAAATGTAGTTCTGCGGGGAATTCCTTGGGGAAAGCTGGGCGCTTTAAAACAAGGTTCTTGTGCAGAGTGCATACCACAAGCAAACACTTTTTCTCAAAGCACCATCCTGCGCATATTTACTCAGGCGTAAGGGTGTGCTGAGAGGCACTTATTGCTCATGTGTTTGGGATTACAGTCTTGGTGAAGTGGGGGGAATTTTTCTGCATTTGGCATTCTGTTGTTAATCCAGCTGCTTCCCTGTTCAGCTGCCAGCTTAAATGTACCCTGGCCAAGGTAAGCAGTCTTTGGTAAGAACATCTAAAAGAATGGGGAAAACTTTTCCCCAAAACTAGCAGGGAGGAGAAAAAGCCTGTGCAATAGTAGCTAGACACGTTTTCTTTCCAATTCATAAATCTGCACAACAAAGTCTCCTCCCTGGCAGGTGAGTCATTGAAGGATTTATTTCCATAACTCTTTTTATTAAGAAAAACAACCACCGCAGTTCTCCTCACCCCTTTCAATTTCACACTTCAGACCTGGAAAGTGTCTCCTTTAAAACAGACATAATCTATTAAATACGTCACAACCAATTCAATTCGTTTGCATGTGGGCTTCGTGTACAAGACCTGCTTAAAACACATCAAGGCTGTTGTTTTTCTCAGTTCGGATCCAAGCTGGTTTGGGGAGTACGGTAAATGCATCAACGCACAGAATTTCTGAAGAAACAACAGATTTGGATTACTGCGGATAACGCCCTGTTTACTCTGCTTCTCAAACCAGCAGTGGGAGAACTCTGGATGCAGAGTGGATGAGAGTGTGGACACAGCAGCAGCATGGGTTTTAGAATGGATTATTTCCTAGGAATTGTTTCAAAGCCCCCTGTGGAGCCACAGACCTTTGACTCTCCCCCCTCCTCATGCCATGTGTTGCATCTAAGATGTGGCTCCCATGATCCCTTGCAAGGGCCGCAGAGGATTCTGGGGCACAACTCTTGGGTCTTGCTTCCCATTTAAGACTTTTCATGCCGCCACAAATCACGGGAGCATTTGTGTATCTAGCTTGCACCACACATTTCGCCACCACACATTTTTGTGGTTTATTGGCAAACTTTACCCCTCTCCTATCTCAGACTTTTGAGAAGAATCGGTTTGGGGGTTTTGTCTGGAGTTCAAGGAACAGGGCGGGGCAAATTGGGGACATCAAAAGTTTTTCCAAGTTGGCGAAGGACATGCTAAGTCAGACAATTGGTCCATCTAGCTCAGCATTGTCTGCACTGATGGGCAGAATTTAGGGTTTCTGGTAGGGAGTCTCTCCTTGCCCTACCTGGAGAGGCCATTGGGGATTGAACCTGCAACCTTCTGCATGCCAAGCAGATGTTTAGCCATTGAGCTAAAGCCCTTGGCAATACTGAGCCACACAATTGGTCCATCTAACTCAGCGTTGTCTATGCTAACTGGCAGGCAGCATCTGTCCAGGGTCCAGGCAGGGAGTTTCCCCCCAGCCCTACCTGGAGATGTCAGGAGTTGACCCTGGCATCTTCTGCATGCCAAGCAGATGTTCTGACTCCTTCCCACCTTGTAGGTGTTGCCCTCTGTGGCTCTCTCCATCTCCTTGGAGGAATCAATTAACATGTCTTCCTCTTCTTTTTTTCTGCTTCCCTTGGGTGGTGCCAGGGTCTAGTCTCTCCTCCAGCTGGGAGCCATGAAGACTGACGACACGTCACAGCAGGAATGCCACTCCTAACTTCCTGGGGTGTCCCCGAAGCTCACAGCCCTCCTTCTCCCCCTCTCCCAAATTCTGGGCGATTTGTGGGTGCTTCTGCACCAGGGTCGGACCAGCCAGTCTGGAAGAACCGCTTCAGGCTGGGCTCTTGGTTCCTTGAGCAGGGCTGGAGTCAAACCCCTCCTTCTTCCGCTGCCTCCTGCCAAACCACCTGCTCCAGGGCTACAAAAGCTTTAAGCACCTCTTGCTGCAGGACCCAGGAAGACAGGGCTTGCTCCTGGCAGCCTCCAGAGAGGAGGGAAGCAGCCACCCTTGGTGATCACAGCAGGCCATGCCAGGACGGAGCCACACCTGTTAGGAGGACTTCAGGCATCCCAAGGAGAGAGGGAGCAGAGATCTCGGTTACACATTAGACATCGTGGAAGCCCAGGGAGACCCACGCAAGCTTATCATTAACTTGGCGGCGCTGCCAGGCGATATAAAGCCGAGAGCAAGAGAAGGGCAAGAGGCACCCAAAGCGGCAGGATGGCAACCACAGCGGCAACCGCGGCCATGACCACGGCAGCCCCGGAGGAGGGGCTGGCCATCAACAACCCTGCAGACATCTCTGTCATTGTCCTTTACTTCTTGATAGTGCTGGCGGTGGGAATATGGGTAGGTCTCGTTGACTTTTCTCGCGTGTGTTTTATTTGGTCACCCGACCTCTTGCTTAAGAGACCTCAGAGGAAGGAGAGCCCACAACCTCCCGAGTTTCTACTGCGTTTGCAATTATATGTTACCTTTTCCTCCAAGGAGCTCAAGAGGGTGTCCCGTGGCTCTCCCCCTCCTCATTTTGTCCTCACAACAAAATGTGAGGGAGGTTGGGCCGAGAGGCAGTGTCCGGCCCTCAAGGTCAGCTTCATGGCTGAGTGGGGATTCGAACCCTGGTCTCCCAGGTCCTAGACTGACACTCTAACCATGATGCCACACAGGTGTAGTGCCACCAGCATCATTGCTGGACACCAGGAATCTCTGGGGCAGAAAGTGGAAGGTGGCAAGAAATTGCTTTTTTGTTTTTGTTCTTTTGGAGGGGTGGATTTGACATGTAAAACTAAAGGTGCTTCAAGGCTGCCACCTTGCATTCCTGGCAGGTGCTTCCGGATGGGTGCTTATTATGGAGTGGGTCTACATCATGGGTAGGCAAACTAAGGCCCGGGGGCCGAATCCGGCCCAATCGCCTTCTCAATCTGGCCCACGGACGGTGCTGGAATCAGAGTGTTTTTACATGAGTAGAATGTGTCCTTTTATTTTAAATGCATCTCTGGGTTATTTGTGGGGCCTGCCCGGTGTTTTTACATGAGTACAATGTGTGCTTTTATTTAAAGTGCTTTTATTTAAAATTTGTGGCACATAGGAATTTGTTCATTCCCCCCCTTCAAAATATAGTCCGGCCCCCCACAAGGTCTGAGGGACAGTGGACCGGCCCCCTCCTGAAAAAGTTTGCTGACCCCTGGTCTACATCGACCTCAGAATACCAGCCTGTGTTTTACATCCATTTAAACCAGATTTTCCTTTTCTGGAGCAAATCTGATAAGTTAAAAAAAAAAAGAAGAAGCCTCTGCCAAGGTGTGTGTGTATGAAATCTCCTCTCCCTCCTTGTAGGGTTAACCCCTTCCTCACAGGGCAAGAGGTCAGGGTTGCCAGAGGCGGGGATGAAGGAAATGGAGCCACCAGAAAGTGGCTCAGGGCCAAAATGTCTGAGAGAGGCCTCAGGAAAGAGCAGGGAGGGTGAGATGGGAGACTGAGGACAGCGATAGGAACAGATGCAGGGAGGGGAGGCTGGTCAGAAACGGCAATGCCAGCCTCTAGAAGCCACAGGGGAGGAGGAGGCTCCTGTTCTCAGGCCCTGCTTTTGGGCTTTCCAGAGACACTTGTTTATTGCATTTAAATCCCACCTTCTTCTCCAAAGAGCAGTGGGTGGCATGTATGATTCTTCCCTCATTCAATCCCCTGGTTGGCAGGTTAGACTGAGAGGCTGTGACTGGCCCCCAAGGTCACACAGAGTGAGCCTCATGGCTGAATGGGATGCTCTAACCACTACACCACACTGCCTCTCACATTGGCATCTGGCTGGTCACTGTGAGAACAGGATGCTGGCCTGACCCAGCAGCCTTTTCTTATTCCCAGATGGGGCACTGCCCCACTAGCCTCCTCCTGTCCTTAGCCAGCCCCCCCCCCCGAAGTGCCTGCCTCCTTCCTTACACCCAGGCTACAGCCTGTCAGTTTCCTCCTCTTCCTCAGCCTCAGTCTCAGAGTTGCCCTTTGTAGAGGAGGGAGGAGGAGGAGGAATCCTAGAATTGTAGAGTTGGAAGGGATCCCGAGGGTCATCTAGTCCAACCCCCTGCAATGCAGAAATCCCAACACGCAGTTTGAAACCATACCAGACTCAGCTTAGCTTTGTAAATGTGCTAGCAGTTTTATTGCTTCACCCTTCAGCTTAGGAAGAGAATGGGGCAAGACAAGAAGGAGCTGGCTTTGGCTTCTGCTGCCAGCCTCCTGTGCCCTAGCAGTCCAAAGGGATACACCAGCCGCCGCTCGCTATAGCGATGTTGTTTGGGGTGATGGAAGAGAGCAGCCTGGCCTGGCCAGAGCTCCCAGGAAGGCTGTGGGTGTGCAGTGTTTTTAAACTTTCTGGCCGTTTGGAATCTGCACCCGAGGGAGAAGCAGCAAGTGTGATCTGTCCCAAGGTTCTGCACAAAGAGGTCCCCTGATACCTTTGCTGCCCTCCAGAGACTGCAGCATGCAGCGGTAGTTCCCTGGCAGTGCCTGCCCTTGGGCTTGGGTAGCTCAGCTGAACCCATTCAAAGTTTTCCCTAGCCAGGGCAAATGGAAGCATGTCTGCAGCCTAGGTTTGAGCGCTTCAGGGTGGCTGAGAGGTGTCACGGCCAAGGTGGGGGGAAAGGTGACTAGATGAGCTTTTTTATGGCAGCAGAAAGAGCGACAAAAAGGGGAACAGCTTGATTTTTGCCACAAAGGGTGCTGCTGCTGACTCCTTATTGCAGGTTCCTTATCCCCAATGCTTGCGGCTGTTTTAGCAGAGATGCAACAGGCACTCTGCACATGTTCAGCGGCGACACTCACCTTGATTACTTATTCATGGTGTGTGTGGATGACAAATGGAAGCTATTGCCACAGGCTTAAACAGAACAGATGTATAACTTTGCAATCAATTAATGTATTTGAACAGCAGCTCCCTCTCCCCAGAGAGCTGTAGTTCAGGGAGAACGATGAGCAGAGAGTTGACATCACCTTCCCAGACTAAAATTATCAGGATTCTTTGCTGGTGGTATTAAACTGATACTCATTTGTAATGTTGATGAATGGTGTATAGCAAGCTTTCAAGGACTGGGCAAATTCCCTTTTTTTTGCAGGGGATGGGAGGACCAGTCCCTGACTGTTATTTGCAGTGGAGGGCCATTATTTCCCCGAGGATATTCCTCCTTTTATCCTCACAACATCCTGTGAAGTAGGTTAGGCTGAGAGGCAGGGCCTGGCCCAAGGCCACACTCAGTGACCTTTCACAGCCAAGAGGGAATTTGAACCCTGTTCTCTCCCTGGTCTTAGTGCAGCACTTTAACTGCACTGCCTCTCAAAGTAGGGTTGCCAACTCTTTTCCTGCCTCTGCTCTTGTGCCTGGCAGAAGGTTTTACCACTTTTCTCCTTGCCCAACACACAGAAAACCTTCCATTCTTATGATTTGCAAATTAATAATAATATCACACCCTTGCACTGAGAAATTCCCAGAGCAGCTGTGTAGTAATGCACCAGGTGGTGCCTTTCCTGGGCTGTAGAGAAATGAAAAGAGCTTCACCTGTGAAACGTCTGTCTGATGGGCAACCCTTACAAGTTTCAGAAGCAGGACCAGTGGAAGGAGGTGCAGGAGCCAAGCCGACTAGATGACTGGCTCCCTAGAACCCGGGTGGGGCAGGTCAGGGTGTCTGATTCTGGCAGTGTGTGGCAATGACTCCCAGGGTCCTTGTACTGTCTGAACTCCTTCAGAGCTGTGCGGAAGTCCAGAAGGGCCTCGAAGAGCCCAGGACTCCCCTCTCTGAAGCAGCCTTCTCCAGTCTGGAGTACCTTCAGATGTTTTGGACTACAATTCCCATCAGCCTTAGCATCCCACGGCTGTCCAGGCTGGGGCTGATGGGAGTTGTTTTTCAAAGCATCTGGGCAAGGCTGCTCTTAAGGAAGACGGGCAGGTGTCAGGAGGGATGCGCTAAGAGCGTGAGGAGGGTTTTGAATACGAAACCACTGAGAAAATTGCAAGGCAAGACTGTGCTTGCTGGCTTGATTTTGTCTGAGGTCAAAGAGAGTCTCATTGTACCAGGAAGCCAGGGTGCCTGTTCCCTTGCCCTGGCTGCCCCCACGCCACACTTAACATCTACCTGGTTATGCAGATGCCAGTGTGAGAGTAGGTTTCTTGCATTCCAAAGCAGGAACGGGCAGAACATGCGGGTCAGGTTATATATATATATCACCAGGAAATATGGAGTGTTAGAAAATCCCATTGCTCTTGCAAGGGGAATGGCTTGCCTTTTCTCTCTCTTCCAGAAACCATGAGGTCTAGAGGCATGCTTGCTCTTTTTAAAATGAAGAGAAAGCAAGGCTCTCCACAGGAGGTAGCCGCTTCTGAGGTGGAAAGCCACATTTCACAACTCGGATCCAGCTGTTGCACAGGCTAGTGATTTATTTGGGTCTGTACTGCGTTGTGTTTGCTGGTTTCTAGGACACGTTTCTAGGACACGGGTGGCGCTGTGGGTAAAACCTCAGCGCCTAGGACTTGCCGATCGTATGGTCGGCGGTTCGAATCCCCACGGCGGGGTGAGCTCCTGTCGTTCGGTCCCAGCTCCTGCCCACCTAGCAGTTCGAAAGCACTCCTAAGTGCAAATAGATAAATAGGGACCGCTTTCTAGCAGGAAGGTAAACGGCGTTTCCGTGTGCTGCGCTGGTGCCGGCTCGCCAGAGCAGCTTCGTCACGCTGGCCACGTGACCCGGAAGTGTCTCCGGACAGCGCTGGCCCCCGGCCTCTTAAGTGAGATGGGCGCACAACCCTAGAGTCGGACACGACTGGCCCATACGGGCAGGGGTACCTTTACCTTTACCTAGGACACGTATGGTGCTGTGGTCTAAACCACTGAGCCTCTTGGGCTTGCTGATCAGAAGGTCGGCGGTTCAAATCCCTGTGATGGGGTGAGTTTCTGCGCGCTCTAGCTTTTGTCACTGTGTTCCGTTGTGCCAGAAGTCGTTTAGTCCTGCTGGCCACAGGACCCGGAAAACTGTCTGTGGACAAACACCAGCTCCCTCAGCCTGAAAGTGAGAAGAGCGTAACAACCCCATAGTTGCCTTTGACTGCACTTAACTGTCCAGGGGTCCTTTACCTTTACCTTTTTACCTTGCTGGTTTCTGTGGACACACAACGGCTGTGCCACAATTGTATGATGAGGAGGAGCAGCAGCAAAAACAGTCCTTCTGCTTGGTTGCTTTCTCTTTCCGGGAGGTGAACACTGATTCTCATCTGCCATTTGCGGTGCAGAAAGAGAGGTGGGCTCAAGGCATGCTATGGGTCTGCCCCGGTGGGGCAGGGCACCCCATGCCAAAGAGCCACATCGAGCACCAGGCTGGGTAGACCAGTTGCTCAGAATCTATTGAAGGCACTTTCCTATTGGCATGGGCAAATGCCAACAGTCTCCTGAGGAATTTTGTGAAGATGTAGATGCATAAACACACACACACACACACACACGTTTGTAACAAATATTATTATTTATTGAATTATTGCTAGAATGTATGCCCTGTCCTTCCAGGGCACCAAACAGACACACTATTTAAAAGCAAAACCAGTCTAAAACACTGAAAGCATTCTAAAAACAATTACAATTAAGAACATCTCAAAGCAGTTGCAGTTCAAATGGAACGTATTACAAATTCTCCACTTTGGGGGCACGAAGCCATGACCATCATTTACGCCGGTGTTTCCCAAACTTGGGTCTCCAGCTGTTTTTGGACTACAATTCCCATCATCCCTGACCACTGGTCCTGCTAGCTAGGGATGATGGGAGTTGTAGTCCAAAAACAGCTGGAGACCCAAGTTTGGGAAACCTCCTGGTTTAGGTGATCGTCAGTGTTCCTTGGCGGATCTCTGAGTTTTGAGACATTTCAAGGCTACCGTCCAATAAACACATCTCTGGTTCGTAGGAAGTGCCATAATGTAGATTAGATGACTTTTTTATTTTAAAAACGCTGCAAAACATGGCCTTCCCGGAGTAGCCTCTTCCCTGCCCATATGACTATGCATTGTAAGGGGTTAGGCTAGATGACCCATGGGCCCCTTCCAACGCTTCAATTCTATGACTATGCCATGCCCTATAGTGCATGGTGGGTGTAAACAGAGAGACTGCTATGCCAACCTCTGCCAGCCTGGTGGTGCCCTCCAGATTCTTTGGACCACAACTCTCGCCAGTCCCAGCCAGCATGGGCAAACGGCGCTGGGTCTGAGCACACCTATGTTGGCTGATGGCAGCTTTAGTCCAAAGCACTTGGAGGGAGCGCCACCAGGCCCCGGTGACGACTGCCCTCTGCCCCAACCAGCGACATTTCTGTATGACACTTGGGTTGGGCAGCCATGGAGGGTGGTGCCAGGAGGAACTGCCAGTCTGGACAAGCCTCAGGTGGCACGTTGCCCACGGACGGCGTTCTGATTCATTTACCCCCATCATGGTTTCATTGGGAAAGGTTAGCGAAAGGCCTGTTTGCTACCGAAACAATGGTGAGCCTTGATTGCGCCTAATAAATCTGTGCCACGAATGAACATGAATATAATCGCTGTCAAGCTGCCTGCAGTGCTTCCGGGATGGTGCTGCATAAACAGCAGCTCGGGGATGCCAGTTTGTTTGTTTGTTGAAGCATTAGATGGACAACTGAATGCCAGGCTTTCTCCCTCTGGATCTGACTCCATTCCGAATCCTGCTCCCAACATTTCTGTTCCATTGTTCATGGGAGCGGTGCTTTTTTTCCGGGGTGGGGGTGCAGGGGTACGCGTACCCCTAAACATTTTGTGAATCTTTGTACTTTTCTCCATGTACACTGGTACCTCGGGTTAAGAACTTAATTTGTTCCGGAGGTCCATTCTTAACCTGAAACTGTTCTTAACCTGAAGCACCACTTTAGCTAATGGGGCCTCCCGCTGCTGCTGCGCCGCCGCTGTGCGATTTCTGTTCTCATCCTGAAGCAAAGTTTTTAACCTGAGGCACTATTTCTGGGTTAGCGGAGTCTGTAACCTGAAGCGTCTGTAACCTGAAGCGTCTGTAACCTGAAGTACCACTGTTACTGTGTTTATTTCCCACGATTTGAACTATAAAATGGTGATTTTCTTGAGTCAAAATGAGAGTACCCCTAAATATTTTTAAAGAAAAAAAAGCACTCCATGGGAGGTCTTTTGCAAGCCGTTTCTGGGATGTGTCTCATGGGCTTAACACTTGGAACTCCAGAGAGATTATGAGGATAACCTGATAGTTTCATTTCTGGCAGGCTTAAGATAGAATCAACTTTTCGCAGTGGATTTGTACCCGCTGGGTCAATACTCCAAGCAGGCCCAATTTAATCAGCGGACAAGTTAAGGTCAAGGGGTTGCAGCCAACTGATGTTACTTCAGAGTAGACCCATTGAAATTAGGGGACCTAGATCAATCACATCCATTAATTTCAACAGGCATGCCCTGAGCATGACCAATATTGGACACAGCTCATAATCGACATAAGAGCCAATGTGGTGTAAGGGTTAGAGTGTTGGACTGTGACCTGGGAAACGGGTTCGAATCCACACTCACCCATGTTTTCTGGGCCTGTCGCTGCCTCTTTCAGCCTAGCCTATCTCACAGGGTTGCTGTGAGGACGAGATGGGGAGGAGGAGAGCCATGTATACCGCCTTGAGCTCTTCGGAGGAAAACGTGGTCCATAAACAAAATAAGCAATGTTTAGTCAATGTTTTGATGCTCACTGACGTCAATGGATTTAAATTAGAATTAGGGTTCCTTAAACCCACTGATCTGAATATGACCACTCACTGGATATCATCCTTTGGCCAGATGTCCTTTTCAATATATTATTAATTTATTACATTTATACCCTGACCTTCCTCCAAAAGAAGCCCAGGGCAGAAAACAATATGTGAGAAAGCAATTAAAAAAAACACCTTAAAGCCAATTCTAGTATAGAGGTGGACTGGGAAAGATCTCCACTTAAAAGGCTGATTGGAAGAGGAAAGTCTTTGGCAGGCACCAAAAAGACAACAGGGGAGGCGCCTGTCTAATATTCATGGGGAAGAGAGTTCCAAAGGACAGGTGCCACCACACAAAAGGCTCGGTTCCTACATTGTGCAGAAGAGACCTCCCAATAAGATGGTATCTGCAGGAGGCCCTTGCCTTGATTGGATATGTAAGCGGTGAGATGCTCTTTCAGGCATCGTGGTCCCACATCCTGGGCTTTATACACCAGAACCAGCACCTTGAATTTAGTAGGTTAATGTGTTGGCAATATCCTTCCCCAGTGAGCTGCCACATTTTGCAGCATCTGCTGCTTCCAGACAACCTCAAGGGCAGCCCCACAAAGAGCACATTTCAGTAATGAGCTTCTCAATGCATAGGAGATAGTTGTCAGGCTATATTATATGGCTGGTAACTCTAATTGCATCTCCTCTTCTCTCTTCCTTAGGCCATGTATTCAACAAACCGCGGGACAGTTGGGGGATTCTTCTTAGCAGGCCGGAGCATGGTCTGGTGGCCGGTAAGTTGTGTCTAAAGAGCCAGCTCCCCTGAAAAGCAGCCCCTTTCCTTTTCCTCCAAAAGGACCACAGGCTGAATCTACTCTATCTGCCCTTCCCGATTTTGCAAATTGCAGACTGAAACAGAGAACCATATCCTCTGAAAGGGACGCTCCTCTGAATTTTGCAATGTGGTTCTCCAGACAAGTAAATGTGTACAAAATTTCACCTGCTTGGGTAAAGCGTGCATAGAACGGTATATGTTCACGAAAAGAACATGAAAAAGTATATTAGGGGGACATTGCTTTGCAAAAAATGTGTAGATTAGGCAAAATGTTGGCCATTAGGAGAAATTTGTGCTAAAATGCAGGTGAGTTTTCATGAGGATTTTTTAAAAGCAAACTGATAAGGAAATGTGGAGAAGAGACTGGGAAAAAACAGGAAACCAAGAGAAACTGAAATTTTGCAGTCCAAAGCAGTGTGGGGAAGGGGGAAACCAGATTGGCAAAGGTTTGCCTATGCAAAACTTTGCTGCTGCTGGCTATTGGTGGATGGTGGAGGGGAAAGACTCTCTCTGCTCCTTTGCCCATTCTTATTGCACCAGGGCTCCTGAGGATAGACTGTGGGGGAGCAGGGAGCGGCTGGTCTGTTGCCTTGTGCATGACTCACCTTCCAATGAGGTGCCCAGTGAGGTGAAGAGAAAGAGCTTGTTCCTTCAGAAAGCAGAAGCTGTCCTTCTTACCTGATGCTCCCTTGGAGGGAAAAGATCTCAGGATCAAAGTAGAAAAAGGAACAGCTCATTCTTTGCCAGTGTGAGCAGGAAAGGGGGGATGAAATAAATATCTTATATATATTGTTAAGTTGTGGGTGAACATATCAGACGACACAGCGATTCTTCAAACAGCTCTTGTTTATTCACAGGCCAGAACAGAACTGAACTGAAGGGTTCAGTCAGCCTGCTTATATAGAGCTCCAGTACAACGTAACTGTAACAATTTCCTAAAACTATCCAATCACTGAACGTCACTTTCGATCCCTTATTTGCATAACTATCTACAGTATCCCCCTGCTGGCCCAGGGTGAGAACTTCAGTACATAACATATATTTTCTTCTCACTCAACTTTTGGCCAAGTCTCATCAGTCTTATTTGTTTGCTGAAAAACAGGTTTATCATGTGTTTGTTTGTGTTAGTGTGTGTGTGTTGCTCTAAGTGGCTTATGTCTGGAATACGTTGGTGTAAAACAGCACCTGCAAAGCAGGCAGATTCATACAATACAAATACAAGAGCAACACATTTTAAAAGAAGGATGAGTGGGGGGAAATTCGGGGGGTGGAGGTGCATTCGTGGTGGCCTGTCGACACACCATTCCTCTATTAGTTCTTCTGCGGTGTCTGCTCGATATTATTTCTGTCTAGAGGGGCCCTCTTGTACAATGGTGCAACAAAGGCTGGACAAAAAAAATAAGTTGGAATATTTGCAGCATGAAAAGGGATGGGATTTCAGCAAGCCGTGCACCAATTGCAAATGAAGCAGCCTGGCTTCCCAGAAACTACTGCAGGTGCAAATCAGTATTGAAAGTGGGATTGCATATACCGTAAATATCCCCAACACCGTTCTGTGCAAAAACTGCCCTGAATGCACAAGGAGAAGAGGTGTCTGGAGGGGCTAAAAGGCTTCACTCTGTCCCCTGTGTGACGCTGGCTCTTTTAAAATACAGTGGTACCTCTGGTTACATACTTAATTCGTTCCGGAGGTCCGTTCTTAACCTGAAACTGTTCTTAACCTGAAGCACCACTTTAGCTAATAGGGCCTCCCACTGCTGCTGTGCTGCCGCCGCACGATTTCTGTTCTCATCCTGAAGCAAAGTTCTTAACCTGAGGTAATATTTCTGGGTTAGCGGAGTCTGTAAGCTGAAGCGTATGTAACCTGAAGCGTATGTAACCTGAAGCGTATGTAACACGAGGTACCACTGTATAGTGTTATGGCAGTGGTTTTCAACCACTGTGGCACCCTGCGATGCCTTCAATGGTGGTTAGGTTCTCTGTGGGCAGCACCAGCCTCTGTCCCTCCTTCCTTCTCTTCCTCCTCTGATGCTCCCTCATGTCTCTGTCTCCAGCGACTCACACAGCTGTTTGTTGCAGCGGCCCTGGCTACAAGTTCTCCAGGCGAATGGTGCCTCTGGGGCCAGCCAGGGGTTCTTGGTTGCTGGGAGCTGAGGCAGCATTAGAGTAAGTAAGCAAGCAGGCGAAGATTCCTGAGGAAAGGAGGGGCTGAGGGAACCCTCCACAAGGGAGGGTGTCCATAAAAGGGGTGAGGGGCTGCCAGCTCTGCAGGTGAGGGGTAACATAACTGGGCACCTGAGCCCCACCAGGGAGCCACAGAAAGATGTAGTTGGTCAAGGGGCCCTCGTATTTATGGGACCGCCTCTCCTGGTATGCCCCGCAGAGGACCTTAAGGTCCATGAATAATCATGGTTTAGAGGTCCCAGGCCCTAAGGAAGTTAGATTATCCTCCACCAGGGCCAGGACCTTCTCAGTGATGGCTCCGACCTGGCGGAATGCTCTGTCCCATGAGACCAGGGCCCTGCAGGATTTAACTTCCTTCTGCAGGGCCTGTAAGACAGAACTATTCCGCCTGGCTTTCAATTTGAACTTAGCCTGATTTTTTATTCCCCTTCCTTCCCTCCCCCTCCCCTTTTTATGAAGATTACCCGCTCTGGGATCCCACAGCTAATTCTCCCCTGGTCTCCTCACTGGCCCAAATAGGACTAATTTAGCCAGCTAGCCCTGGTGATCATCTAATGTTTATTGGATGGATTTCCCCCCTAAATTGATTTTTGATTTTATTGTTATTCACGTTTTATACCGTATTTTATGCTGTTTTTTTGTAGCATCAATTAAGTGTTTTAAATTTGTTGTTAGCTGCCCTGAGCCCGGTTTTCTGAACCGGGAAGGGCGGGGTATAAATAAAAATCTATTATTATTATTATTTATTATTATAAGGGAGCCATGGACTCAAACCTCTGGGTTTGCGTGAAAAGCTCTGGGTTAAGGGAAGTGTGGGAGCAAGTCTGAGAAATGATAAAAGCTCCCCTTTTGTTCAGATGCCAGGCTATCGTGTTGTGTCTGAATGCCTCAGCCTTCACTTCGATGGAGATATCCATCTGCAAGAAGTCCGTTCCAAGCAGAGTTGCAGAGACACGGAATCCATTGTGGTTAATCATTTTCCCGGGAAAGCATTCCTAATTACCCGGCATTAACCTTAATCATTAATTGAAGGGAAACTGAAAGAGAGAGAGAAGAAGCTGCCCTTGCCCTTCCCTTTCCTGGAGGCTTAAAGATGGAGAACAAGACACTTTGCGGATTAAAATGAGAGGGGAAACTCCCCCACTGAATGAAGCCAGACAGGACAGTGCAGGCAAAGTGCTGCAAGCCAACTTGCCCTCACATGAACGCTGGCTCTTAAATGATGACAGCAGCTGCCTTGTAAAGGAGCAACTCTGCCTAGGTCAACCAAGGAACAATCGCCAAATGGGTGTTGGCACGAGCTCTGCTTCCATTGCTGGTCCGCTGGGTGGTGAGGCTGTGGGAGGAACCAATAATTGGTGCTGCAGGAGGCAAACTCCCAGGGCCATTGGAGCTCCTGTAGTCCATTTGTATTCAGATGCAGGGCCTCCCCTGACAGACCGTTTGCAGCGCTCGAGCCACGCTGTCTCACAGTTGGGCCAGCCGCTGGTCCTGGTTGTGGTCCAAGGACCTTGGGAGGTCCTCATGTTGCTTTCCCCTGGAAGAGGGCTAGGCATTGGGCCTAATTCTGCCTCTGGGGATGATGATGATGATAATTTATTTATACCCCGCCCTCCCCGGCCAGAGCCAGGCTCAGGGCAGCTAACACCAATAAAATCACAGCAAAAACATAATGGGGGGAAAAACCCACCAATTTAAAATACAGGTTAAAATGCAATTTAAAATGCAGCCTCATTTTAAAAGTAGCCGATAAATCAAGACCATAAGGGAAGGGAAACATAAGGGTCAGACTGAGTCCAAACCAAAGGCCAGATGGAACAGCTCTGTCTTGCAGGCCCTGCAGAAAGATGTCAAGTCCCACAGGGCCCTAGTCTCTTGTGACAGAGCGTTCCACCATATCGGGGCCAGTACTGAAAAGACCCTGGCCCTAGCTGAGACTGTGTGAGGCTGAGGTCCAAAGCGGTGCAAAAGCAGCAGATCTATGCATTTAAACTCAGATCTTGCTGCACTCATGTCTGATGTGTTAATGCTGCTGGAATCCATGTGGGGAACTCCAGGCTCCAACCCACAAAAGTTTATGGTATGTGTCATATGGAGCCGCAAGAGATTTTGCATACCTTCCAACATTTCTCCGATGAAAATAGGAACGTCCTAGTCCATTAATAATAATAATAATAATAATAATAATAATAATAATAATAATTTTATTTATACTCCGTCCATCTGACTGGGTTCTCCCCAGCCACTCTGGGCGGCTTCCAACATATATAGAAACATAATAAAACACGAAACATTAAAAAACTTCCCTATACAGGGCTGTCTTCTAAAGGTTGTATAGTTACTTATCTCCTTGGCTCAGGGGTCGCGTAACTCCATACCCGCCAATGAAAATAGGGACATCCTAAGGAAAAGTGGGACATTCTGGGATCAAATCGGAAACCGGGACGGCTTCTGTATATCCAGGGTTGTCCCTGGAAAATGGGGGCACTAGGAGGGTCTGATTTTGTTGCCCCATACCTAGGTGACTCCCAGCCCACCTTCCTCCCTCAGGCTAAAGGACATCTCTCCTTTCTGCTTCCAGATTGGTGCCTCTCTGTTTGCCAGCAACATTGGGAGCGGCCATTTTGTAGGCCTGGCCGGGACGGGGGCAGCCGCCGGGATCGCGATCGGAGGCTTCGAGTGGAACGTAAGTGCCTTTGATTCTGTGGCTTTAGAAAATGGCAGTTACCAGTTTATTTTTGGGTCCTTCACATTTTTAACCCTTCTTGCCTGGGGATGGTTTTTTCTTTTTCTTTTAAACCTGCTGATCAAAAGGGTCGCTCTTCCGGTGGGCGGGCAGGAAAATCCCGTCACATTCCTGGATTGCATGTTTTTGAGCGCATGCCATGCTGGCTTGGGGTGATGGGAGTTGTGATCCAACAGCGCCTCAGGGGCCATGTCTTCATCCCTGGTTTTTGGAGAACCCAGATCAGGCCCTGATCAGGCTCCCCAGGGGCAAGATGTCTCCTGATGTGTTGGCATGTGTCTCAGCATCCTGCCCAGATGCACCCAACCTCAGTGGGAAAAAGATAACGCTCCATCTTTATCACTAGAGACCCCAGTGATCTCTGTGGCTAGAAAAGATTTCCACCGGCTTTGGCTGCCACGCCTGCTGCCACCATTCCTGGACCAGGGTAGCCTGATCAGAGTGGTCCACGCACTGGAGTCCTCAAACCTTGCTTACTGTGATGCACTTTTGTGGGGCTGATGTTGGCAATGAGGGCAGAATGTGACAGCCGAGCTCCCAGAGGTGGACTTAGGACAGATGACTGGTTCTCCTGCACAGGGCACTCAGCCAAGAGGGCACCTCCCCACCTCCTTCCCAATGCCTAGTAAGTGCTTGCTTTGGGAAGGGTCCTAAATTCCCCCACCCTCCTTCCTAAAGCCTAGTTGGTGCTTGCCCAGCTTTGGGAAGGAGATGGGAGGGTTCTAGGACCCTCCCAGAGCCTTCACACCTCCTTTCCAAAGCCCAGTGCCTCGCTTAACCAGCTTTGGGAAGGTGGTACAAGATCTGGGGTGTGTGTCAAGGTGCCATATTAGCAAGGCCCACCCCTGCAAGCACCACACAGCTCATAGGAGAGAGCTACACTGGCTGCCAATTTGCTACCAAGTTCAAGATCCTTTGTTAGGACTTCATGAGCCCAAAGTACCTATGGACTGCCTGATTCCTTACTCCCCACTACAGTTACTGAGATCCTCTGAAGGGCACCGCTGGCAGTCTCCCAATTTTCCTGAGGTTCGGGTGGCCTTCACTACAAACTGAGCCTTTAATGTGGCAGGGCCTGTCCTGTGGAACTCCTTGCCACCGGAAGTCATCTGGCTGGAGTCGTTCTTGTTTTCCTTCAGATTCCTTTTAAAAGTGCATTGCTCAGACAGGACTTTGGCCCTTTACCACTCAGGTTTTATGGCTATGCTGCTAATGCTTTTCCTGCAAAAACCTTGTGCACCACTTTGCTACATTTTCTGTGTAAGTGCAGTCTGTAAATACTTGGATAAACAAATGCATCAACAAAAACTTTCCATGTGTTCCAGGCTCTGGTGATGGTGGTCATTCTGGGCTGGATGTTTGTCCCCATCTACATCAAGGCCGGAGTAAGTCCACAACGGGGGCGATTCGGCTTCCTCATTCGCGGCTCCTGTGCTTGTCTTATTTTCTGCATATCACTGGGGGTGGGACGCCCAGGCTAAGGGAAGAGGGAAGGGGTTTGCAGGAGATCTGCCTGGCAGCGCCTGGTGTTCTCAGCAAAAGGAGCTCTCACTGGGCTGCTGGGTAATTATTGACAGGTCTCCTTTCGTGCGTTCATCCACACATCCCCAATTGCCACTGCTTCCTTTTCATGGGTAATGGCTTTGTGCGTAGTTCCTCAGCTGGGATTTGCACCTACAGTTTCTAGGGCCCACCTTTGCCAGCTTCCATATTTACTGGGAGGCTGGGCCGGGCCAGGCCACGTACCCCTGCCCCAGTGCTCTTCCGCTTCCTCTAGCTGCTCCAAATGCCTTTTCTTCCTCCTCCTTGCAGGTGGTGACAATGCCAGAGTACCTGCGGAAACGGTTTGGGGGGAAGCGCATTCAAATCTACCTTTCCGTCCTCTCTCTCTTCCTGTACATCTTCACTAAGATCTCAGTAAGTGGAACCATGGATCCAGCACCCTTTCCCTCACCCAGACTAACTTTTTGCCTTTAAAGCTCTGTGTGCAAGGATGGTTTTGTTGTTGCTGTTGCCCTAGTGCTTTCCTCATGGAAAACTGCATTTTACAACTGAATCAGACGCGGGTGGCGCTGTGGGTTAAACCACAGAGCCTAGGGCTTGGTGATCAGAAGGTCGGCGGTTCGAATCCCCGTGACAGGGTGAGCTCTCATTGCTCGGTCCCAGCTCCTGCCAACCTAGCAGTTCGAAAGCACGTCAAAGTGCAAGTAGATAAATAGGTACCACTCCGGCGGGAAGGTAAACGGTGTTTCTGTGCGCTGCTCTGGTTCTCCAGAAGCGGCTTAGTCTTGCTGGCCACATGACCCAGAAGCTGTACGCCGGTTCCCTCAGCCAATAAAGCTAGATGAGCGCCGCAACCCCAGAGTCGTCTGCGACTGGAACTAATGGTCAGGGGTTCCTTTACCTTTACCAGAGCAAGCAGTCATTGTGTTTTCTATGGATTGCATTTGTTTCAATTCAGAAGTAAAATGTGGGTTTTTCCAGGGAAAGTGCCAGGAAAAAACCACACTGGGACACAAAGCTTTAAAGCACGGACCTGTGTCTGGAAAGTGTGGTGCAAAAGAAAGTGGGTAAGCCCTAGGTGTGAAGGGAAAACAACATATACGTCATATAATGTTAAACACACACCCGTTACTGCTTCTGGTTGCCCTATAAGCTCCCCATTGGAAGATCGGCTCTAGGGCATGTCTGACGTTTTGGACTACAAATCCCACCAGTCCCTGCTATCATAGTTGCATGGGCTGGGGCTGGTGGGATCTGTAGTCCAAAAGCTTCTGGAATGCACCAGGCTGGGACAGGCTGCTGTGAAGCCAGAAGAAATAATGGGAATCATGGGAAATAATGGACATCATGGGAAATAACATATCATGAGGTAAAAACCTGACAGCATCTCTTCCTGCTTGCTATATGAAGCATTATTCAGCCTGCACACAGTAAAAACCCATTTAAAGCGCATGTCCTGTCCCCCACAAGTCCTGGGAACTGTTGTTTGTTAAGGCTTCTGAGAACTGTAGCTCCAGGAGGGGCAAGCTACAGTTCCCAGGATTCTTGGGGGGGAAGCTTTATGCTTTAAATGTATGGCATGTCTGCAGCCTCAATAGGAAAGAGGGGCTTTTGGGATTTCACAGCCCACCAGACTGGAGGCCACAGGGGACCTTCCTTCAATCCTGCCCCCTCCTTTGCAGCTGCTGCCTGGTAGGGTGGGGGCAACCGCTGGCCAGTTCTTTCCCCGCAGTTGCCATGCAAGGCTACTCTTTGCCCTCATGGGCAACAGCTGAGAGATAATCATACAAATTAGCCCGAAAGGCCAGGCCTTTTGCCCTCCGTCTCCGCCAAGGCGGCAATAATCCATCTCTATCAGGGTTACTAATTAATCTGTAATGGGGCAGGGAAAAGGTCTGCAGCAACCTGCCCCCCCCCCCGCCTTTCCTTGCACTTCAGCACCAGTAGCAATCTTGGCATCCTGGGACAGAAAGGAACCACTTTCTTTAAAAGTAGAAACTCACTGCAGAACCATTACTCAAGTTCTGTTTTAGAAGTTATAATTCGTCTAACTTACAGTGTTCAAAGGATTCTAGTGATTGTCCTTGCACACAACAACCTGGTAAGGTAGGTCTGTCTTATGATTTCCACTCATACTGCAGATGGCGAAACAGAGGCTGAGAGAGGGAGAGTGACTTGCCTAAAGCCATTTTGAGAATTCATGGCCTAGGAGCAGGGAACGTCTCCCTTGTTTTTCAGCCTTAGCCCTCTCCTCCATCTGCAGTCGGCAGCGATAATACCGACCTACCTTGCCAGGTCGTTGTAAGGGTGCTGGGTGGTAGAATATGTGTCGACCCACAAGCAAGTCCCACTGAGTCCAATGAGGGCTTACTCCCAAGTAAAGCAGCCTGATCAGAGAGCACGTGAATGTCAGAGCTGTGTTGTAAATAAAAATATGCCCTTTTCCCTTATGGGGTATCCAAGAGCCCATATAGAGTCCTTACATAGGTTCCCTATTGGTAGGAGAAAATAACAGAGGCCAACCAGAGAATATTGAGAAGCAAAGCAGCTAGTAAGCTTGATCTTTATTGATCTGTTGCAACAGGGTACTCCCTCACACGCAGGAGAGGAAGAGGACCCCAAAATGCTATGCAAGGGCTTATAAAGACTTTTGAAATTCCCATCCTCTAGATCAAGACCACCCCCAGAAACATTATGCATTCATCACAGAAGGGGTGTAACCTAAGACCACCCCTCAGATAAGGCGGTCTAAAACAGAACATTTGCATGTTGTTTTCTCCTGTCCCTTTGTTTATTTCCTGTCTGGCAGGTTACTTGATTGGATTTCTTGGGGAGCCTTGGCAGTCTTTTGTAATGATAAGGCTCACACCCTTATTCAAACACAGATTAAGACAGGATTTGTGAAGGAAGAGACAATGGGGAGGCTTTTCCATTTTTACCATGCAGAGAAACATTTGCTCAGTTTAGGAATCAAAATGGTTCCAGGTTGGCTTTCCTGTGCTGATCTATGTACGTGTGGTTATGAACGTTGCCATATATCTAAAACCATAAAATTCCTATCACAGCTGCTTGCTGGTGGCATCAACGTGACCTTGCCGGCAGCCACTGTTTCCAGTTGATTAGCATGTGGCTCTGTGGAGGTGATTCCTGCCTAAGGTGAAGTTTAGTAGTCGGGGAGAGGCGATAAAGCCTTAATGGGGGCCGTAAAAGACACTTAATGAAGATATCAGATGCAGCCGGTTGAGCTGGATCTCCAGTGGGAAAGCCTTGGGGAGCCGCCTTCTTAAAGAGCTTCAATAATGAACAGCCTGCAGGATAGTTTTTATAGTTTATGTAAGATGCGGAAGCGACAGGCATCTCTTATGCCTAAGGGTCATAAATGATCACTTGGTTTTGAGGAGGAACTCTTTCCCAGGGAGGAAACGGATAAAGCTTTGAGGCTAGAGGCAGAAAACTGAAACATTGCCATGTGCTTGCCATGCTGGTTAATGTGGGGTCTGGCTTTGGCTGTTTCCAGGCGTGGGCGTTCATACCATCACTGCCAGGTGGCCCCCTAAAGCCCAGATTCCTAGCTTTCATTTCTTTATTTTGAACTGCTCACTCCTATCCGACATTTTGCAACCGAAATGATTCATCTCTCATCACTTTGACTATGTGACACCTCTCCTCAAATCCACACCTGACATTCTTTGATTGATAAGATAGATTTTATTAAAATGTCCCCATGCTGCTGACTTTCTCTCTGCCCCTGGATCCACCCTTTCTCTCTTCTGAGTATAAATACTCAACATCAGGGGTGGATCTTCACATAGGAGGGGAAAACACTATAAATAAGTCAGAAATTAAATTGTTATAACAAAAGAAAAAAACACTATGGAAAATCACTTGGATATTTTTTTTTGCTCTCTTGCGCCAACTGGTGTTGCATGTAATAATGCATTCAAAATGCTGTTTCTTGACTAATGTAGCTGAGTCCCAGATTATCTTGATGCTAGTAGGCAACCAGCAGGTAATAGGGATTGCAGGACTGTAGCTCATGGTAACCCACCTCCAGGTGAGGAAGAGCTTCAACAAACTCTCTGTGTTTGTTGGTGAAACTCCCGGGAGCACTTGCAAGCTGGCCCTGTGTGCATAGTTAAACTATGGAACTCATTCCTACAGGAGGCAGTGATGGCCACCAACTTAGATGGCTTTAAGAGAATGCGACAAATTCATGGAGGAGAGATGTTGATGGCCACTAGCCTTGATGGCTATGTTCTGGATCCTTGTGGGTGCATGGTTACTCATTACCACCACTGCTTAAAAATGCTGCTCCTCCTGTTCTGTTTCAGGCAGATATATTTTCTGGTGCGATCTTCATCAAGGAAGCCATGGGGCTGAATATTTACGTGGCCATCATTATCCTGCTCACCATTACAGCCCTTTATACCATCACGGGTGAGTCTTTGGGTTCAGAGGGTCTCCCTGCTTCCCTGTCCATTAAAGATAATAAGCTGTTGAAGTTGCAAATCCCATCCCGGGTGGGATTTGCGTCTGTGTGTGTGGTTTGGGAGCTGCACGGCCAGGGAAAAAACAATGCTATCCAGGGTTGTAAAGACTGCAGAGAGAATAATTGGGTGCACTCTTCCCATCTTAGATCAAATCTATGCTGCCAGGTGCCATAAGAAAGCGGCAGAGATAGCGCAAGATAGTACGCACCCACGAAATGATCTCTTTCAGCTTCTGCCTTCTGGAAGAAGGTATAGGGTTATAAAGGCCAGAACTAGCCGCCTGAGAAACAGTTTCTACGCAAATGCAATTCTGGTTCTAAACGCAGCATAAGGGGTCTCTATTGTATAGTGTATTTTAAAATGGGGTTTTAGAGTTTTTAGGGGTTTTGAATGTTTTATGTAGTTTTTATGTAGTTTTATGTAGTTTTGTGGTAGTTTTATGTAGTTTTGTGGTAGTTTTATGTAGTTTTTATGTAGTTTTATGTAGTTTTTCAATTTCATTGTTCTACATTGGACAATGACAATAAAGATATTGTATATCATATATCGTATCGTATATCGTAGGGAGAGAGAAAGGCTGCCTCTAGCCTTGAGTCACATGTGACCATCTCCCTGTGTGTCTTGAGCCCGAGAGAGAGAGAGAGAGAGAGAGAGAGAGAGAGAGAGAGGTGTATTCTCTTGCCAAAGCAAGATGAGAAAAGCCTTAGCTTTGGCAAATAGGTAAAGGCAGTGATGCTGGGGAAGGGTTCCTCTCCCTCAAAGGAATCAGGAGATGTTCTCTTCCTCACACTGCCCTATTGCTCTTTCTACCCTTTTGGCTCTTAGGAGGACTTGCGGCCGTCATCTACACGGACACATTGCAAACTTTAATCATGCTGGTGGGGTCCATTATCCTGACCGTCTTTGGTAAGCAGACAACACAAAGGAAAGGTTGAATGTGTCACTGAAAAGTCTACTCAGTATTGATCCAGGGTAGATTCTGGTGTATAGTTAGCAGAGTAAAAACTTAAACACGTTGCAGGATTCCCAAAAAATAGACCAGAGGCAATTATATTTCATCCAGCAGAGCTTTACTGCTATGGAAGGCAAATGTGTATAATGGTCACAAATCCAATACATTCAGGACTGGCACTCTCCATAAGAAATCCAGTTGCAGCAGACTTAACTTAAACTTGCAATAGCTTATAATAAGTCTAAACCTTAACACTATATACAAAAAACCACACCAGAAGGGAAAGAGATAGAAAGAGAAATTGAAACCCAGTCTCATTCTGGCCTCTTATTATATAGTCAGCATGACCTTGAGAGAAGAGATAAAAGAACCAGTTTAAATCAGCCATACTCAGCTTCTCTGAAGGAATAACCCAAACATCATGAAACTTATTTCACACAGAGAAGCTTCGCTCTTGAATTAAGTAGAATAGGAAAGATCTCTACGCATCAGATCAATACTTTCTGTACTAAGAAATGCAAACTGACAGAAGCATCACCTGCCGGAGCCACCGTTATTGTGCCGTGTGCGCTCGTGAGCAGTTAAACAAACCCCTCATCAGATGCTACAAGAAATTTCAGGTGACACAGCCTGGCTGTAACTCAGATGAGTGGCCTGCCTTAAATGAAAGGAGACCATTCGGTACTCGCCTTTAAAAGGGTTTTCTCACGCATATGGGAGCTGATGGCAGGAATGGGCATTCAGACCCCACCTAGTGGTCACAGGCAAAATTGCACACAAAACAAATCCCTTGTAAAGCTTCTGAATTCAGTTTGGAATTCAGTTTTCATTATGACAAGCCGAAGAAGCAGTGCCGGATTAAACCCTGTGGTGTATAGTTAGCAGAGTAAAAACTTAAACACATTGCAGGATTCCCAAACAATAGACCAGAGGCAATTATATTTCATCCAGCTTTACTGCTACTGACTAGGCAGTCAAAATCTCAGGGACACCACCCCACAACTCAAATTATCTCCTTATAGGTTTCTAATTTTAGTAAAGGTAAAGGGACCCCTGACCATTAGGTCCAGTTGTGACCGACTCTGGGGTTGCGGCGCTCATCTCGCTTTATTGGCCGAGGGAGCCGGCGTATAGCTTCCGGGTCATGTGGCCAGCATGACTAAGCTGCTTCTGCGAACCAGAGCAGCGCACGGAAACGCCGTTTACCTTCCCGCTGGAGTGGTACCTATTTATCTACTTGCACTTTGATGTGCTTTCGAACTGCTAGGTTGGCAGGAGCTGGGACTGAGCAACGGGAGCTCACCCCGTCGCGGGGATTCGAACCACCAACCTTCTGATCGGCAAGTCCTAGGCTCTGTGGTTTAACCAGTTTCGTTACACAATATTATTTCGATCAATTGTTGCAGGGCCCCTAAAAGGCGTGGGGCCCATAGGTCGGTGCCTACTCTGCCTGTTTGGTAATCTGGCACTGCGAAAGAGGACAGGACCAACAACACAAAGGTAACCCATTAAGAAGTAAGAGACTCTCTGCAGCTAGACAAACAGACATGCTCAGAAAAAGGTATATAGGCAGCATCAAAAATAAGCCATGGTGGGCCCTTACCATCAGCCCCTATATGCCTGGGAAATCCCTTTTACAGGTGAGTTCCAAACAATCTTTCCCCCAGGCATATGGAGCTGGTGGCAACACCAGGGCTTACCAAAGCTCACTGAGCCACGAAAGGTGGGCTCTGAAAAACTAAACAGGTGAACACAAATAAAATCAGCCTGGAAACAAAGTAGGAAAGAAGTAGAAACCATGAGAGAGTGACAGAAGGCACCACTGAATTCCAAAGGAGGGAGGTGATTGATTTTGCTTGCAGTTTTGCCTGTGACCACTAGGTGGAGACTGAACATCCATTCTTGCCATCAGCTCTATATGCCGGCGGGGGGGGGGGGGATGCAGGTTACTTATCTGTGAACTTGAGAGAGTTCATCCCTCTGCCCCTCAGCTTCCCTGTGACAATCAATTCAAGAAATGAAAATTCAAGTGGAGATTTATCATCAAGCGCATACAGCACACAAACACCACAGTCATCATGAGGACTGGTGGTTTCCTTTTCTCAGTGGCAGCTGAGAATCTCTCAATGCCAGATCCACTATTTCTTACCCCCTGGAAACCAGCTGTGAATGTCTGGGGGGGGGGGAGGGAGACCACATGCACCATGAAAGCAGCCCAGCCTCCCCTGAACTGGGGTGTGGATGTCTCTGTGCCTGCCTGGCATACATATATGTGAGTGAACTGGTACCTTACAAGGACTGTCAACTTTCCCCAGCATTTGAAGAAGTTGGAGGATATGAGGAATTCGTGCACAAGTACATGAATGCGATCCCGCAGGTTGAAAATTCCAGTATCCCCGAAAAATGCTACACACCCCGTCCAGATTCGTTCCAGATATTCCGGGATCCCATCAATGGTGATTTGCCATGGCCGGGACTCATCTTTGGCCTGAGCATCCTGGGCCTCTGGTACTGGTGCACAGATCAGGTATGGTGGAGATGAGTCTTGGGTCCTCAGGTCCACTCTGAAGGGGAGGGGTGATGGTGGCGCCTAGTTCCTGCTCAGATTCTGTCTGCGGAGGATATTTCTGCAGCAACGTGTGGTCAGCACTTCCCTCCAGCACTTCCCAGAGAAGAGGGAGACAGTATAGATTTAGAACAGCGGTTTGCAGAAGGTCACAGTTCAGAGGCTGCAGAGGGGAGAAGCTGGGAAACATTGGGAGAGGAGCAGGAAGAAGACGCACCAGGGGAGAGACAGCTGACAGACTCAGTATCTTTAGAAAGCATTCCAGATCCCCCATCTCCCAGGACCTGGTGGGCATTGAAAGGAAGAGAACAGAAAGCTCAGGTGCAGAAAACACAGATCAGTCAACGCAGGGATGACGTAGAATAGGAGAGACAGAGGGGATGGGGCTTTACTCAGAGCAACACCATTATCCAAGAGAGACTGCATTTCTACATCTCTCTCTGTGAATATTGAATAAAAGACACTGGTAAGAGCTTCTTGTCTCTCCGTTACTGGCGGACTGCTGTGAGGGAGGGGGATCAGATTCCCTGAAGCATGACATGTGTAGCACTTTGTTTTCCATAGGCTGAGTACTGAGACATTTGATTTCAGATGCAGAGATGCTAACTAGTAGTGAACAGAACTCTTAGGTAGTGGTGTAACGTAACGAGGGGGTGTCAGAGGGGCAGTGGCCCTGGGCACGGATTTTTGAGGGGGCATGAAGTAGGTGCCCCCCCCCACAGGTGCCCACAGCGCAGCCTGGCCCTCCTCTTCCAGCGTCAGAGGCACCAATACTCGCAAAGAGGAGCACACTAAAGGGTGTGTTTAAAATATTCACATCTAAGTTGCTTCCAAAGTTTCCTACTTCCCTTAGCATAGAAAGAAACCACGTGTTTGGTAAGTAGGGTTCACATGGTGGAAAAGAACAAAGCGTTTAGTAGCCCTTTCTCCCAAGGTGAGGGGCTGTGACCTAGCTAAGCCTAGCAGGACAGCTTATTCTATGGTCTTAACCCCTTCATGCATTAATTAGAATTAAGCATGTTGGTTATATGAGCCTGGATATATCCCGCAGGCTGAACTGGGACCTTCTGCAAAGCAGATGCTCTACCTCTGAGCAGAAGTGCTCCTCTGAAGTAAAAATTCACCACACAAGCAACCGATAAGCCCACCCCACCCCAAGGAGCCTGCTCTGAAGTCAAGACTAGCCTGATCGGCTGCTCACTTTCCTCTCCATTCCTCTCCGGTAGGTCATTGTCCAGCGATGCCTCTCAGGCAAGAACATGTCCCATGTCAAGGCTGGCTGCATCATGTGTGGTTACCTGAAGCTGATGCCCATGTTCCTGATTGTCATGCCAGGCATGATCAGTCGAATTTTGTACACAGGTGAGATGAGACCTCCAGCCTCGTCCTCTCGTCTCCATCCGTGGCAGAGTCCATTCAGAGTGTGGCTCTTCCATCCATCCCCTCAAAGGGTGGTACCCACTGGGAATCCTGTTCATCTCTAGGATGGTGCACTCAGGATATCTCAGCCCACCCCCCCCACCCCAAGTAAGGTGCCCCTGTTTTTCTCTTTCCCGCAGATACGGTGGCTTGTGTCGATCCTGACACGTGTCTTGCGGCATGTGGGACGCCAGTTGGCTGTTCAAACATCGCCTACCCAAGGATGGTGGTCAAGCTGATGCCAAACGGTGAGATGCTTCACTTGTGCTCTTGTGCTGTTAGGAGGGGGTTGGGAAGAGGAAGAAACCCAACAAGACAGCAAAGCACAGGTGCAGGGTGGGTAATGATGCCTGCACCGTTTTGTAAGAATTCATCTACATGGCTTTGGCTGCTGGGGGTTGTGTTCCCACAGAGTCAGGGCAAACAAGCCTGTCAGGGCAAGAGTGGAGAAAGTGAGGGTGATTTAGGAAAGGTGGGGGCAAGCACTGCCCACCTTTGTGACTTAACTAAGCTAGAACAAAGCAGCTCGAGAAGTGCTGTGCTGAGTGCTGGGAGAGTCAATCAGAACCCTGGGAAGGCAAGAGCCAGAACAGATCAGAGAGGTGCTTTGGCAGCAGCAGCAGCAGCATATAACTGGAAAGCACCGCACTCCTTGGCTCCGCCCTCCATCCGCTAACCTCTCCAGTTACCTGTGGAAGTAGTGGCTGCAGAACATGCCACCCAGGAGCTGGCAGTCCAGGGGTGCCAAGCAGTAGCATGATTTCCGTGCCACCTCGGGCGGGAGGGGGGACTGTTTCTCCAACTCCTAGGTATGCCTTTGCCACTTACCCGGGGGCAGAGCTTGGGGGTCTCAAACTTCAGCGGTGTTCTGTGTGATGCCCAATTTGGCTCCCACTGCCTCTCACGCTCCGTTCTAAAACACAGTTGTGGCGCCCCCTACAGTGCCCCCGAGGCTCTGTGCCCAGTGCTAGTGGAGTAGGGGCACAGGGGCAGTTGTCCTGGCACAACATTGTTAGGGGGCAAAAAAAACTGACACCCAGTGCTGCCTCGATACAGCTACATGCTTCCATAACTGAAAACAGCTTCTCCATGCAAACCCGGAAGTGACTTCTCCAGACAAAGAAACGACTCTTCTTTTCTTATCTCTGTGGCTGCAGTCACCTGGATGATGCAGACACCATCCATTTCCCTCCCTCCAATGTGGCCTGGGGTCCTGGCAACCCATGTTATGCCACTGCCCAATGCGACTGGCCGTGCTCCTTTAAAGCCACCTCTGACTTGCCCCCCTGCTTCTCTTCCTCTTGTGTTTCAGGATTGCGAGGCCTGATGCTGTCTGTCATGCTGGCGTCTCTGATGAGCTCCCTCACCTCTATCTTCAACAGTGCCAGCACGCTCTTCACCATGGACATCTACACTAAAATACGTCCGGGAGCGAAAGAGCAGGAGCTCATGATAGTGGGAAGGTGATGATGACAAGTAGGAATGACTATTATGTGCTCACAGCTCTCTGCAAATTGAAACTTTGCCTGGGACCTGTGAGACCACCAAGGGGAACCTCACCCAGCCTTCCACCTGACCTGGAGGTTTTGAACTACAACTCCCATGAGCCCCCTTTTCATACGACCATGCTAGCCGGGGCTGGTGGGAGTCATAGTCTGAAACAGCTGCATGGCGCACCAGATTGGGGAAGGTTGGCCTCATCTGATGTACAGCCCAGGCCCCAGCTTCTTTACCCAGATAGATAGTGTTCATTGGGGCTGGATCCCAAGAAAAGTGGTGCCTGCGGCTGCAGCCTTAGTCTGGTTTCTGCCCTCTATCTGAAGACTCACAACCTAAGGATTTAAAGGTTTTTACAGGATGCCCAGCTTCTCTTTCCATAGACATATACTCAGCATCTGGTTTGACAAAGAGTTCTGGAGCACGGGTTTGCTCGCTGCTTGGTGACATTTTTGTTGACCCTCAATGCAACGCTTGGGTCAGCACCCAGGGCCAGATTCCGTGTCTAACTAACAGCAGTGAATCAGCAAGAGGTTAACCATACAGGGTGCAGTACGCAAGTAGATTTGAATCTCAAATGGCCCACCTTCTCCCAAGGATCTGTCCAACAGCTGCTTGGCAGCAGAACAGACTTCATCGGCAGGTTTTTAAACAGGGATTGGATGGCTGTCTGCCAGGGATTCTTGGTCCTTTCCAACTCTACAGTTCTAGGATTCTATGACAAGGAGGCAGAAGTGGCCCAGGCACCCTTCTGTTCATTAACATATTCCAGGAGTGACAATACGACAAATTGTTTGTTTGTTTATTTCATTTCCATCCCACCTTTTCCTCCAAGGATCTCAGAGTGGCATATATGGTTCCCCCCATCCTCATTTAATCCTCACAATAAGTCATACACAGTGAGCTTCATGGTTAAGCAGGGATTCAAACCCTGGTCTCTTCCAGGTCCTAGTCTGGCACTCTAACCACTATGCAGCATTGCCTCTCAACCATAGATATAGAGTGCAACTCTCTCCAACTGGCCAACAAGCATGGCTTGCTGAGTTCAGACACAGTATTTTCTCTGCACTTTCTGCTTCTGCCACTTGGTGGGGTGCATTCTTTTCTCCACACATTTACATTTTTAAAAAAATGGTTTTGCCTTACTGCGGCTTTTGGTTTTTTCTCTCTCTATAGGACCAATAGGGCAACTTAAGATTTTTCTTTGCTATGTGACACCTGTGGTGCTGAGGTGCCCCCCTGTGGACATTTGGACTTATTGCACATGTAGCATCCTGATAGGCTGAATGCCAAGTCCTTCTCTCCAACAGAGCAGCCTCAGCTGACCTGGTGCCCTCCAACTATGTTGGACTACAACTCCCATCAGCCTCAGTGTCATATGACCCTGCTGGCTCTGACTGATGGGTGTTGTAGTCCAAAACAGCTGGAGGTTATTAGGTAATAGGGAAGGTTGAGATTCGACCACTCCCTGCCTATTTAAATTAATTCCCTTTATAACAGCTTAGTTGCCACCTAGACAAAATGGAAGGAACAGATGCTAGCTGTGCCATTTAATGGATCATGCTGTTTGCTAAAATATGGGATTAGTTTTTGCATTTGAACACCCGCTTAGGGATGTGATATGAATGAACCCAGCATTTGCTCAATGAATTACTGTAATTGCCACTACAGTGGACGCTCAGGTTGCGAACGTGATCCATGCAGGATGCACATTCGCAACCCGCAGTGTTTGCAACCCACAGTGGTGCATCTGCGCACTCGCAGGTTGCAATTCGGTGCTTCTGCGCATGCGTAAAGCGCGATTTAGCGCTTCTGTGCATGCACAACTGCCAAAACCTGGAAGTAACCCATTCCGGTACTTCCAGGTTTCGGCGGTCCATAACCCAAAAAAACGCAACCTGAAGCGTCTGTAACCCAAGGTATGACTGTATACTGTTTTTCATGTGCAACAATAATAAAATGGTTCACAATGTACAAATAAAAACCGACAGTCAAAACCTCACCATGCTCAGGTGTGTCCAGGACCAGTGCTGGGGGCCAAGACGGACAGGTGGGGCTTCAACTGTCAGCAAAAGCTGGAATGAGCAGGGCAATGGGAAAGACGTTCTGTTGTGCTTTGCTCTCAACCTGAGTCGGTTGGAAAGTGGCGGATGTGATTACAGTATCGCAGAATTGTAGAGTAGGGACTCCAAGAGTCATCTAGTCCAACCCCCTGCAATGCAGGAATTACAGCTAAAAAAATCCATGACAGATGGCCATCCAACCTCTGTTTCAAAACCTCCAAAGAAAGAGAGTCCACCACCTTCTGAGGGAGTCCATTCCACTATCAAACAGCTCTCACTGTCCAAAAGTTCTTCCTAACATTTAGCTGGAATCTCCTTTCTTGTAACTTGAATCCGTTGGTTTCCTGGAGCAGCAGGAAATAAGCTTGCTCCATATTCCATGTGACAGCCCTTCAGCTATTTGAAGGTGGCTATCCTATCACCTCTCAGTCTCTTCTTTTCCAAGCTAAACATACCTGGCTCCTTCAACCATTCCTCATAAGGCTTAGTTTCCAGGCCCTTGATCATCTCTGTCACTCTGCTCTGCATGGGTTCCATCTTGTCGATCTCCTTCTTACACTGTGGCGCCTAGAACTGGACACAGTGCAGTAAGCCCACAACTTATGCAGGCATTATATTCTGGAAATAACACCTAAAGCAAAAATCACATATAGTCAAAATGCATTGGGTTCAGTGGCGGGTGGGATTGCCAAAGTCATTTTTCCTGGAACCCCACCCCTTTAAAAAAAAATTATTTTGCCACACACGTAAAGCTTGATGCACACAAATGTGCATTAAGTTACAGGCTTACTATACACTTGATGGGGTCTGACCAAGGCAGAATAGAGTCCCTTGATCTGGACGCTGTGCTTTTGTTGTTGTCTCAGTTGGAGAGGAAGAAGTCTCTGCCTACATCTTTAGGGTTTTTGAATGCTGGCATGGTAGAGAGCTGTGATTAACATCTCCCTTCTGTTTCCAGGCTGTTCATGCTAATCTTGATTGCGGTCAGCATCGCCTGGGTCCCAATAGTGCAGTCGGCTCAAAACGGGCAGCTTTTTGACTACATTCAGTCCATCACCAGCTACTTGGGTCCCCCCATCGCAGCCGTCTTTTTCCTTGCCATTTTCTTCAAGAGGGTCAATGAACAGGTAAGCTGGGCAGAGGGGTAGCACTCCCACCAAGGCCTGGGAAGAGCAACTGCTGGGCTTGACCTCAATTCTCTGAGCGTCTGGGCAACTGCAGGAGGGGTGGCCATGCTCAAAGGGCTATTGATGGCTACTAGCCGCAATAGTAATGCTCTGCCTTCATGGTAAAAGGTAAAGGGACCCCTGATCATTAGGTCCAGTCGTGGCCGACTCTGGGGTTAAAAGTCAATCCTTTATTAGGCATAGCAAATCACACATTACCAAACAAACACCGTATACAAATTGTGCAAAATACGAATTCAGCATAACAAGGTTTGTCCCAGTCAGATCTTTAACTCCAGAGAAAATAAATTTGCATAAATAATACAATATAACACTACCACATCACCGATCAGTTAAGAACCACTAAATCTCTTTATAATGGCCCAGTCTTTCTGCATGGACAGCACTCAAAAATTCAGCCACTATTAAAGGAATTTGATCATTCCTGTCTGAGAGCAGGTCCTGAACCGTTGGTGGCATAGAATTGAGCCTGTTAAGTTGTAAGGCCTCTAATAATTGTCTTCTAGCATAAATGCCAAAATCACAAGAAAAGAAAATATGCTCCAACGTATCAGGTTCTTGTTTACCACATTTGCAGAGACGCTCTGCTTCTGGGAGAGCTAATATCTTTCTCTTACTATCATTGAAGGAAACATATTAAATCTGGCTAATGAATCTGGGGTTGCGACGCTCATCTCGCTTTATTGGCCGAGGGAGCCGGCGTACAGCTTCCGGGTCATGTGGCCAGCATGACTAAGCCGCTTCTGGTGAACCAGAGCAGCGCACGGAAATGCCGTTTACCGTCCTGCCGGAGCGGTACCTATTTATCTACTTGCACTTTGACGTGCTTTCGAACTGCTAGGTTGGCAGGAGCAGGGACCGAGCAATGGGAGCTCACCCCGTCACCGGGATTTGAACCGCCGACCTTCTGATTGGCAAGCCCTAGGCTCTGTGGTTTAACCCACAGCGCCACCTGCGTCCCCTGCCTCCATGGTAGGACGTAGTAAATGCCTCTGATTTCCAGTTGCTAGAAACCATGGGGGGGTGCTCTTGTGCTAGGATCCTGCTTGCTGGCTTCCCAGAAAAGGCATCTGACTGGCTTGCCAGAAGAGGCAGGATGCTGGCTCTTCTGAAGGTTCTTATGTGTAAATAGAGGCAGCTCCAAGTGGGGCAGGAAGTGAGGACCACCTGTTAAGAAGAGGGATGGAGCACTGTGCCTAGAAGCCATTGGGCTGAGTGTTGTTGCCCATGGTGTGAGTCAGACTAAAGGAAAGAGGAGCAAGGCTGGATCCGAGCACCATTTGTGGAGCTGAGCTTTTTCTGCTGCTTCCTGCCAGGGGGCCTTCTGGGGCCTGATTCTGGGGCTGCTGATTGGATTGTCTCGAATGATCACTGAGTTTGCCTATGGAACTGGCAGCTGCGCTCAGCCCAGCAATTGCCCGGATATCATCTGCAAAGTCCACTACCTCTACTTTGCCATCATCCTGTTCGTCATCTCGGTCATCGTCATTTTGACCGTCTCATACCTGACCAAGCCCATTGATGACGTCCATGTAAGCCATTCTCTCCCTCTGTGCTTTTATCTTTCTCCTCCTCTGCCCCTTCCCACCTCCGGATGGTGCTGCAAACATGGCACGTGCGTCTTTCAAAAGGAAGAACATCTGTGGGACATAGCACTGTCTCAGAACCTGTTTTGAACACCAAGACTTGGTTCTGCAGCATGCAAAGGAATGAAGGCAAATGCCTTTGTCCACACTCAAAGTGCTTCTGCCTTGACAGCTGCTGCACGCATCCACCTTGGATCACAAGGAGTGTGGCTACCAGACAGGCTGGACACACTGTTTTCCTTTTAGAAATGAACCACAGATGGAAAGCCAGTGAGGGATGCGGCTAGGACCAAATCTTTGCTTAGTCAGTGAAGCTCCCCAGGGAATACCTATCTCTTTCTCTCAGCCTGGCCTACCTTGCAAGGATGTTCTGAAGGTATACGAGACAAGTGCAGGGCCCAGGCAGTGGCGGAGCTTCATGCTCCGGCACTGAGGTGCAGAGAGCAGGTGGGGGCGGGACTGGTGTGCATCCTGGGGGGTGACACGCTGCCTGCAGGGACGTGGCATATGTCCTGGGGGCATGGCACGCCTGCAGGGGCATGGCACCCAATGTGGGCGGGTGGGCAGCTGCGATGGCACCCTAACAGGATTGCGCTGCCGCGGGTGGTGCGCTCCCCCCGCACTCCTCTTCCTCCACCAGTGGGCCCAGGCCAGTACTATGGAAATGCTGAATAATTATATCTCACATGCTCTAGTCTGCTAGGAATCCTTGTATTGTGCTAGATGACCCTTGGGGTCTGTTATGTACTGAGTTGAATAGGATCCAAAATGCAGCAGTCTGATTGGTCCTAGAACAATAAGATCCAAAATGCGGCAGTCTGATTGGTCCTAGAACAATGCAGCAATATGATTGGTCCACAGGAGCCACCCAATCCAGCTCCAGGTGGAATTGAATCCACAACCTGATTGGCCTACAGGAGAATCCCAGAATTAGCCAATCACATGCAGCCCATTGTGTAAATAATGTATATAAAGCAGATATTGTGGGGGAACCTCCATTCCTCCTCACCACTATGAGCTGAATAAAGACCATGAAATCCACTCTCAACTCCGAGTATATTTCAGGGTCCCTTCAAATTCTACAATTATATGAGCACAGAGTGGGGCAGAACAGTAGAAGGGCATTTCTAGACTTGCTGCCCCCCAGTTTTCTGCTTCCGAGCTGTGAGCTGCCACGGCCTCTCCAGTTACTTCCACCACATGGGACACCCTCTCTGCACCGGACCCTTTCCCTCACCCACGATGGTCTCAGCCCCCTCTCCCCAGGTTCATCTCTGTCTCCCTGTTCTGTGCCCACGGCAGCTCTATCGCCTCTGCTGGAGCCTGCGAAACAGAAAGGAGAAACGCATCGACCTGGATGCTGAGGAGATGGAGGAAGAGCCGGTCTTCGAAGAAGAAGCTTGTAAGAGCTCTCCCCTTGGTTCTTATTCCTTCCTGGCACTAAATGAGGGTCAATGGCAGGGGGGCGCTAGAGAGGAAGGACCATCGTGGCTTGGTGGCGGCGCATCCACTTTGCCCATGGAAGGTGCCAGGATCAACCCCGGGCTGCATTTCCGGAGCAGACTCCTTGGAAATAATGGACCTAAGTGGGTCATGCCCATTGATATCAATGGGCTTCCCCTGAAATAGACCTGCATTTGATACCACCCACAGTACATGCCATTGAGTGCTTTAAAACAGGGGTAGGCAAACTAAGGCCCAGGGCCCGGATGCGGCCCAATCGCCTTCTCGGTCCGGCCCACGGACGGTCCGGGAATCAGTGTTTTTACATGAGTAGAATGCGTCCTTTTATTTAAAATGCACCTCTGGGTTATTTGTGGGGTCTGCCTGGTGTTTTTACATGAGTAGGATGTGTGCTTTTATTTAAAATGCACCTCTGGGTTATTTGTGAGGCATAGGAATTTGTTCATTATTTTTTTTCCAAAATATAGTCCGGCCCACCACATGGTCTGAGGGACGGTGGACTGGCCCCCTGCTGAAAAAGGTTGCTGACCCCTGCTTTAAAACAATAAAACCAATTCAGGCCAGAACAGGCTTCTAAGCTGTTTACAAAGCATGCAAATCAGTCATGCAAATTTTACTTACTTACTTACTTACTTACTACCCACCCTTCGTCCACGGCTCTCACCCACTTGCCACTTGAGGCAAACAGAAAATGGCACCACCACCTTCTCCACCTGAGGGAAGCCCCACAGAAAAACAGAATCTGGAGAGGAGCAGGGGGTGGCAGCGGTGACAAGTGCAGGAGACGGCGAGCACTGTCCTCCTTAAGGGCCGGGATCTTCTGCCTCTCCCAGCTGTCCCCAGCCTGCCATCTGAGGCAACTGCCTAATGGGTGGGCCGGCCCTAAGGTGTCACTAAACAGTGGTACCTTGGGTTACATACACTTCAGATTACATATGCTTCAGGTTACACACTCCGCTAACCCAGAAATAGTGCTTCAGGTTAAGAACTGTGCTTCAGTATAAAGAACAGAAATCGGGCTCTGGCGGCGCGGCGGCAGCAGGAGGCCCCATTAGCTAAAGTGGTGCTTCAGGTTAAGAACAGTTTCAGGTTAAGAACGGACCTCCGGAACGAATTAAGTACTTAACCCGAGGTACCACTGTAGTACACAATAAAAGCACCCTTTAGAAAAAAACTTTCTCAGCATCTTTTACGACACTCAGACTGACCTGTATGGCAGGAGTCTGGCACTGAGACCTTCCTTGTCGTGCCCCATAGACCGAGAGCAGTAGGGGTCTGGGGGACACGGAAGTGCGTTGTCTTCTGGGCTTCTACGTTTTCAGACTTGACGTTGACCTTTTTTTCTCTCTTGCAGTCCCGGACAAGGAGCAGGGTTGTTGCAGGAAGGCCTACAACTGGTTCTGTGGCTTGGAGACCATAGCAGCTCCCAAGCTCAGCAAAGAGGAGGAGGAAGCCCTGCAGGAGAAGATGATGGACACAACAGAGGACCCCTTCTGGAGGCGGGTGGTCAACACCAACGGCATCATCCTCCTGGCCGTGGCCATCTTCTGCCACGGCTTTTTTGCATAGACTCGTGGGGTCGGGTGTTTTCCTTCCCCCTTTCCCTTTGAAATGAAGGTCTCCCTCCCTCCCTGAGATTGCTTTGTGAAGCCATAATTTGTAAGTTCTGCCCTTACCAGGCCTGACACTTATTTGTGCCAATCAAGTTGATTAATTGTTAAATCAAATGAGTTAATTGGTGGGTGGGCTGCCTCTCCTCTGAAAGGGGGGGGAGGAGGAGCCCCACAGCTTAGAGATAAAAAGGAAGGGGTGAGGAGAACCACATCAGCAATGCTCAGGGTCCATTTTTGGACTCTCTTTTTACAAAGTGTTTTTTATATATAAAAATGCTGCTTTTCTATGTTTAAAATGTTGTGCTTTCCCATAAGTGATTCCTTGTAAATAATAATGATAGTAATAAGTACAAGTCCCTAAAATAGAGGCTGAGTTTCATATTCTGTGGATCTATCTGCTTGAATTCCTTTTAAGCAAAATCTCTAAATTGCTTCCCTCCCTTGCTTTTTCCTTTCCTGTTTCTCTTTTATCATCTCCCTCCCCCCATTGGATTCCCACCCCCTTCCCATGAGCTCTTTTTTCTGGTCTTGGACTGCAAGTGACTAGACTGGATTTTTATTACCACTGCGATTTGAGCAAGCTTGAAATTATTAGAAGGGTTGCCAACCCCCTGAAACTTCAGTCTTTGACTTGACATGGCCTGCCACTCTTTGTGCATTCTCAATGTATTATAAATTGTGCAAAAATAATAATACACGACTTATTTTTTAAAAAACAGCAGCTTGCATTTTGTTTGAAAAGGGATCCCATGCTAAGGGGCAGGGAAGGGCAGGGCAGTTGCTTATGGTGCTGTGTGGTGTAGTGGTTAGAGTATCAGACTAGGACCTGGGAAAGGCCAGGGTACAAATACCTGCTCAGCTATGAAGTTCACTGGGGCCAGTCACCGCCTCTCAGCCTAACCCTACCTCAAAGGGTTGTTGCTGGGATTAAATAAGGAAGGGGCGTACCATGTATGCCACCTTGAGCTCATTGGAGAAAAAGGTGGGATATGAATGCAATACATATATAAAAATAAACTGGAGCTCCCACAGGTTCCGTACGACATGCAAGAGTTGGTGTAGCATTTGTGCAACCATCTTGGATGCTAAGGGGGGAGAGAGGGAGATTCCTTCATTGGTGAGATCATTTGCAGGACAGGTTGCTAAGAAGAATGAAAAGAGCAAATTGCCAGTGTGGCTTATGGACCGTTCTAGACCACAGTCCTGGATTCAGCCCTGTGGCTAGTATGTTCATTGTCTGGCTGTGGGCAAGTCCCCATTTCTCAGTCTGCTCCACCTCACAGGATAAAGTGCATAACCTCCCCGTGGGTCTCTGTGGAGGAAGAACAGAATGCCAGCTTGAAATGGGATGCCTTCCTTGACCAAACTGCTCTGGCTTGTGACTAGGAGCCCGCAGAGCATGCTGGATGCATGAGGGTGGCTCAGGGAGCACCAGGCTGGATTTTGCAGGACCCTGGACAGCTCCAAGCAGCCAACCTGCTCATCAGGAGCTCCACTGAAATCTTTCAATGACTCCCTGGCCCCGCCCCCTTCCTGATGAGTGATGGCCCACTGGGGGAATGTGAGGCCCGCATTGCAAAGTGGGTGGGTTCCTTGAGGGAGTCTGGGGTGTGTTGGAGCTCACTTTGGGGGGGGGGGGTCCTGGCTCAGACCAAGTTGTGGGGGGGGGGCCTCTGCCACTTACCCCAATTTTCTTCCTGAACCAGCTAAGTCCTTCTCACCCCCGTCCACCCATAAAGAGATCCAGCTTCTGCTCAGGATCAGGGTCATGATTGGGCTAGAGCAGGGTTAGGCAACCTAAGGCCCGGAGGCTGGATCCGGCCCAATTGCCTTCTCAATCTGGGCCACGGACGGTCCAGGAATCAGCGTGTTTTTACATGAGTAGAATGTGTCCTTTTATTTAAAATGCATCTCTGGGTTATTTGTGGGGCATAGGAATTTGTTCATTCCCCCCCCCCAAATATAGTCTGACCCACCACATGGTCTGTGGAACGGTGGACCGGCCCACAGCTGAAAAAGCTTTGCTGACCCCTGGACTAGAGATATCATGAGGAGTGTTCCCTCTACACACATATTCAGCCAGCCTGGGCCACTTGGGAGGGGTTTCACACCTCCAGGGAACCTGAGGCAAGTTCACAAGACACTGGAGCCTCAGCTCCACAGACCTACAGAAGAAGAAGAGTTTGGACTTGATATCCCGCCTTACACTCCCCTTAAGGAGTCTCAAAGTGGCTCACAATCTCCTTTCCCTTCCTTCCCCACAACAAACACTCTGTGAGGTGAGTGGGGCTGAGAGACTTCAGAGAAGTGTGACTAGCCCAAGGTCACCCAGCAACTGCATGTGGAGGAGCAGGGAAGGGAACCCAGTTCACCAGATTACGAGTCCACTGCTCTTAACCACTACACCATTCTGGCTCCCATGAATATAAGAAGAGGCTGCTGGATCACACCAAAGGGCCCACCTAGTTTAGCATCCTGTTCTCACAGCGGCCAACCAGTTGTCTGTGGGAAACAAGCAATCAGGATTTGAACACAAGCACAGTCTCCCCTCCTGTAGCTTCTGGCAATTGGTATTTGGAAGCATTGCTGCCTCCCAGAGCACAGCTAGCATCAATAGTCCTCTCCTCCACGAATCTGTCTGATCCTTTTTTAAAGCCATCCAAGTTGGTGGCCATCATTTCCTCTTGTGGGAGCTTCACAGTTTTAACTATGCACTGTGTGAAGAACGACTTTATTTTATCTGTCCTGAACCTAGACTGGGCTGCTTCTGTCATTAAAAACCCCCCAACCCCTTCTCTGAGCTGGCGGAGGTTGGAATCTTGCTCTCAGCTGGTGATTAAGTCCTGGCTACATTAATTAGAGCCATGATCGGTGCTGACTTCAAGTGATGGAGAGAGGGGAAACAGGTGATTTGTTGATGCAGGCATCTTCTGGCGTCACCCGCAGCAGAGCATCGCTCCAGACCTCCCAGCACCACGCTCCGCGACTGCGGCAAACAGGCCCCGGCTGAGTCCGGCTCATTTTTAGAAACGTCAAGGCTTAATAGCAGGGCGGAGGGGAAGTGCCAGATGGTGACAGGCTAATTGTTGGATTTGCCATATGCAGGAGACAATGCAAAGGTTCCCCTCAATATTTCCGGGTGACTAAGTTGTTTGCAGCTGAATCCTCGGCTATGTTAAGCTGAAACCCACCAGCGATTTCTCATCGAGCTGAAACCTTTTCTCTGCCTTTGGCAAGGGGAGGTTGGAGCAGGATGGGAAGCCATCGCCTAGAGGCATTCCGTCAGGAATGTTGTTGGGTCTGTTCAGGTGATGTCAGAAGGCTGTGGTGGGGCTATAGGACCTGGAACGAAAGGGGGGGCACCAGAGGCACTTTCTGGGGCAGCCTGGAGGTATGGGAGTTTGAGGTGGTGAATGTGGCAAGGTTGAAGTAATAATAATAATAATAATAATAATAATAATATATTATTTATACCCCGCCCATCTGGCTGGGTTTCCCCAACCACTCTGGGCGGCTTCCAACAAAACACTAAAATACAATAGTCTATTAAACATTAAAAGCTTCCCTAAACAGGGCTGCTTTCAGATGTCTTCTAAAAGTCTGGTAGTTGTTTTTCTCTTTGACATCTGGTGGGAGGGCGTTCCACAGGGCGGGTGCCACTACCGAGAAGGCCCTCTGCCTGGTTCCCTGTAACTTGGCTTCTTGCAGTGAGGGAACCGCCAGAAGGCCCTCGGCGCTGGACCTCAGTGTCTGGGCAGAACGATGGGGGTGGAGACTCTCCTTCAGGTGTTCTGAGGCCACAAACGCTTGAGGGTGGGGAGTGCACGCAGTCAGAAGCATTCAATGCTAGTCCTACTCCGAGTAGGCCTATTGAAGTTAATGTACGTGATTAACTTAGGTTCATTCATTTCAGTGGGTCTGAGTTGGATTTAGTTGACTCAATCTGATGGTGAGAGTTGTTTGACAGTGGAACGGACTCCCTTGGAAGGTGGTGGTCTCTCCTTCATTGCAAGTTTTTAAGACTAGGTGACCCTTGGGGTCCCTTTCAACTCTACAACAACAACCCAGGGAAAGAGACTAAAGTAAGCGAGAACCAGAGGTGCTTCTCCCATGAGACAAGGGGAAGTGCTGGTTTCTGAGTGGTGTTTAGAGCGGAGGGCAGGCAGGCAGACCTAACACACAAGGCACAGCCCAAGGAATGCTGTTGCACAAGCTCCACTGAAATGATCCTAGGGTCTTTCCAGGAGACTTGTACAGAACATGCTAGTGAACTGTGCCTTATGTTAATGTGTGTGTGTGGTCATTTGGTATTTCCACTAGCCCTGGACAGGAACTGTTGAATGCAAAGACTCTGAAGCAGCAACTGGAGGCAGAGACCGCTCTTGGCCCCTTTCCAGAAGACACCCCTTGCTCCTGCCTTGGCACCATCACAGCCCTTGGAGTCCACATTGATCAAATTGAGGCATTGCTCCAGAGGCTCCTGGTTCATCATTGCCAGGAATGGTTCCATTCTTTTTCCTGCTGACAGAGCTTGGGGAATCTTCATCTTTTGTCTCTGCAGCTTGTTCTGTGAGAGCTGGGGAAGGGTGATGGCAGCCTTCCCTAACCTGGTGCCCTCCAGATGTTGGACAACTCCCATCATCCCTGACTGTTGGCTGCCCTGGCTACCGGGGCGGCTGGGAGCTGTAGTTCAGCGGCACTTGGAGCGCCCAGGATGAAGAAGGCCTTGGGTGGTGGCTGATTTTGAAGCTGTTGCTTCTTCGTAGGGCTATGAGAGGGAAGGGGCCAGTTGGCAAGATCAAGGACTGCATTTGTGTCTGCATTCAAAGGGAGGGAGTCAGGGCAGGCCAGAGACATTTTGCAGGCTATAGCGAAGAAGTGCTGGCAGCCATGACATGTACAACAGAACCGGCGATGGAATCATACTTCAGCACTAGTGATGGGATAGCTTCCTGCATGCCATCTGAGGCTACAGACACATTTAAAAGCTCCTGACTACCGCCAAAGAAGCCTGGGAACTGTAGTTTAAGGCTTATGGGAATTGTAGTTTTCTGAGGGCTAAACTACAGCTCCCAGGATTCTTTGGGGGAAGCCATGTGCTTTAAGTGTACAATGTGCACATAGCCTCATTGGCTGGCTAATTTGGGATGGGGGCAGGATACGCTCTGCCCTTCAACAGAGGTGGCTGCCTGTGGGGCTGAGGAGGAACAGCCTGAGGACATCTGCTGCTGCTGTCTCCCGACACCTGAGGCAACTGCCACCCTTTGCCTACTGGTGGGGCTGGTTCTGGGGGGTAGGAAAGAGGAGAGACGCCTCTCACCAAGCTCTTCTAGGCTTGGAGTCTTTTTTCACAATTGCCCCACAGTACACCATATTATATCCTACAAAAAACACAGCACAATTCTCCCATGGGGCTTCCGCGTGCAATAAAATGACCTGTCTGCCCTCTGCCCCCTCCCAGCAGGGGCCTGACACTGGGAGAGCCCTGCTCAGCTGGAGACAGTCAACCCCTGGACTCTGTAGCCCCTACAGAGGGACAGAGGTCAGCCTCCCCCTGGTGAATTCCCTTCCGCAGTCCTGTCTTGCCTTCCCAGCTTGCTGGCCTAGCAGCTGCCACTGAGTGGCAACAGGACCCACACCTGAGGCTTGGGGGGCAGGCCTTGTTCCTGAATCTATTCTGCCTGGCTTGGTCTGCAAAGGGTCTCACTCAGCCCACAGGGGCACACATCAGCAGAGAATCTACGAAGGGCAGCCATTTCAATGGAGGTTGCACAGGAATTGGGCCCTGTGGGTCAGATCTCTTCGTCTCCCTACTGTCCAGAATGGTGCTAAGGGCCCTGGTTTCAGAGTTTGGTCACCAGCTCTGTCTGCTCCCTCAGGGAAGAGGCTTGTGGATTAGATATCGTTACAAAACTTGAGTGCATTTTGTAATTTTACAAGCTATGTGACTCCGTTACTCAGTTGGATCTCTATACATGGTCTTTCATGAATCGTGACTTTGCTGTTATTTTTATTGGTTATAGTCCAGTCATGATTTATCACAATGGCTGGGAGTGAATATCTGCTTAATTATTATTTGCCAATATTTTGAGAGTTCATCTGATTGTGTCATGTGGTATTCCAAATGGAGCACAGAAGATCACTTGATTGATATAAACTGTATATTTTCTAGTCATGATTTTTTATCATGACTTATAGTGGTACCTTGGGTTAAGAACTTAATCTGTTCTGGAGGTCCATTCTTAACCTGAAACTGTTCTTAACCTGAAGCACCACTTTAGCTAATGGGGCCTCCCGCTGCTGCCATGTCACTGCTGCACGATTTGTTTTCATCCTGAAGCAAAGTTCGCAACCCAGAGCAACTACTTCCGGGTTAGCGGAGTCTATAACCTGAAGCATCTGTAACCCGAGGTACTATTTCTGGGTTAGCGGAGTCTGTAACCTGAAGCGTCTGTAACCTGAAGCATCTTTAACCCGAGGTACCACTGTACTTGCATTGGATCAGATTGCTAAAGTGTGATCTTTGTTGTGTATTTTGCAGTTTCTGCGGCTTGTAATCTGCCTTGTGTATAGCAATATGGAAAGGTGGTATACAAGTTAAAAGAGAAATGAAACAAAGCTCCTCCTCTAACCCAGTCATGATAGTGCAGCCCACGCATGATGACGAGAGGCAGGCAGGCAAGGAGCTGTTGAAGCAGGAACTTTATTGTCAATTGCGTTGCTCTCCAAGGTCCCCGCCAGCCTGTTCCCTACGGCTTCCACTCAATGACTTCCACCGCAATCTGTGCCGCCCTCCTCACAGCCGGGCTGGAATCGCTCAGCCTCTTCCGGAATTCGGCCACGTGGCCCAGCAAGATCTTCCGGCCCTCCGGGGCCTCTGACAACATGGTCAGGGCCTTGATGGAGTAAAGGCGGACTTTGCTCCTCTCATCGTGAATCAGGGGCAGCAGCGTGTCGATGGCGTCCGCATTGATGGCTGCGTATTTCCCTGAGTGTGACAGAAGGAAGGCCCTGTGAGATGCTAAAAGGAGAAGCCCTGCAGCAGCTGCTGGGGGTGGGTGGGTGTGTTTAAAGGTGGCCCCTGCCGAGCCCAGCCTCCTGGGCTTCCCGTGTCAGCCATCCAGGAAGCCACAAACAGGTCACAAGTGCCACAGTAGCCTTCTCCCCATTTGTACTCCTTGGCATCCTGCCTCTGAGAGCGGAGGGAAGACATACCAGAGTGGGTTGCTTGTGTGAAGGCTGAGTGGCTTTTTCTGCAGCCCTTGGCAGGTCACACGTTAAGATTACAACTAGCAATGCAATATGTGAGTGGCTGGAATTGGCCGGACCTTTGGCTATGCAGGTGTTTCTTGCCATCTGTACAACATGGGAATGGCCTCCACCACAGCTCGGAAGCCACAGAAGCTCTAGGCAGCCAGTGTGCTAGATGTTGCCCTGGCAGCATCCTGGAGCCTGCTGCTCAAGTTGTGTATCAGCCACATGAGACAACAGGATTCCCCTCAGCTGACCCGACAGCTCTACACTTGGGGAGACCAGCCTTGTCCAAGCTGGTGCTCTGGAGAGGTTGCTAGACTCCAAATCCCAGAAGCCCCAGAAGCCAGCACAGCCAATGAGACGACGGGAGGGAGAAGCAAATGGAGGACAGCAAGTTGTGGGGAGGCAGGGTCTAGCTAAAGCCTTAGAAAATGGCCCTTGTTTCCAGGGACCCCATGGCTTCCTCTCAAAGCCTGGCTACATGCCCAGCTGCACTGCCCCTGTCTTTCTCTCTTGTGCCACTGGCATTGCCTTCTAACTTTCTGCTTTCCACAACTCAGCTGCCCTCCCCTCTTCTCCTCAAAAGGGGTTGGGAATCCAGAAGGGCCAGCCTGCCAGCTGCTCCCCTGCCTTCCCCTCCTCACCTTGGGTAGTGATGGCTGAATTCATCAGCGCCCCGGCAGCGTTGGCTCGGACCTCGGCGTCTTCATCTTCCAGAAGCATGACGAGGTCTGGGAAAACATCTTCCTCAAAGACCATGTTCTTCCCTTCCAGGGGGACACTGAGGGGAGCAAAGGGTGGGGATCAGCCAAAGAAACTCTAAAGCCCCTCTGTGGGTCTGACGTGTGTATGTGTGTGCACACATGCTAAGAGCTGGTTGTCCTCTGGCCAACACAGGGGACCTGAGCTGTCCCTTATGTAAGAGAGCGACCTCTGTCTTGGGACATTCTGACATTTGCAAAACGTAGGGCTACAAAAACAAAAAGGCCTTGTTGACCCATGGCTTAGCGCTACGTGTGAATCCTGCCCACAGATCTGCATCAATTTGTGATTTCTTTTTTTAAAAAAAGACATGAAACTTTGTCAGTGTTTCAGAGCATGTGTCTCCTAAGACACACAACCTGGCAAGCAATTCCCTCCAACAGACCACAAAAATCTGGAGAAGTTGTGTCTTGAAGGATTTTGGATTGTGTATCATTTTGGAACAGAAATTTGCGTTCAAGCCCTGTACGTTTTTTGCCTTTTGTATTTTATCAGTTTTGTATTTTTCCCTGTCAGCCGCCTTGAGTGCAATATGAAAAAGGTGCGATATGAATAAACATGACAATAACAATGATAACTGAAATGGGGACTGGATTTCTCCTCCTCCCCTGGTGAGTCACCGGCCCTCACCTGATGGCCATCAAGGCCTGAGCTGCCCTGCTCCTGATGTTCACCCCTGAATGGCTGAGCAGCTCCTTCAGGATGCGGACGGCTCCTGTGGCCAGGGCCTCAAAGGCCTCCACCCGCAGGCAGCCTGTCAGCGTCTCCAAGATCAGCTCCTGGATATCCTCCAGCTCCGTCTTCAGCTTGAAGACCAGTGAGGGAACCAAGCCGCTCTCCACAATCCCGGTGGCTCCTGCAGGAGGAGGGAACAGAAGGAGGATCTGTGGTGGTGCCCCAAAAGCCCACGGCCTAGCCGAGCCCTCCCAGCCATGAGGATTGCCATGGCAAAACAGAAGGCAGCTGAGGAGAGAACAGGCTGTCTGCGAGGAGCCACTGGCAAACAAGCCTCAGCTGCCTGGTGACTGTTGCTAGGAGACAAGCAGCTCCATCGAAAGTGATTCACATGTGCAGTTGGGTGATGCGGAAGTTCGGCATACAAGGAGAACAGAAGGAGCCTTCCCCAACTTGTGCCCTCCGGGTACTTGGGACTACAACACCCATCAGGCCCAGCATCATAGGGCCGCACTGGCAAGAGCTGATGGGAGTTGTGGTCCCAAGTTGTTGTTGGTGTTTCTTCAAAGCAACCTTTCCTTTCTGAGAAGAAGAAGAGAGTTTGGATTTGATATCCCACTTCATCACTACCCAAAGGAGTCTCAAAGCGGCTAACATTCTCCTTTCCCTTCCTCCCCCACAACAAACACTCTGTGAGGTGAGTGGGGCTGAGAGACTTCAGAGAAGTGTGACTAGTCCATGGTCACCCAGCAGCTGCATGTGGAGGAGCGGGGAATCGAACCCGGTTCACCAGATTACGAGTCTACCGCTCTTAACCACTACACCACACTGGCTCTACAACACCACGGCTTAGGGTCCTTCTCCTTCATGGGGGCATATATGGGGTTTCCAAGGAGACACTTCTTTAGAAAGTAGAGCACAGAATCATCATCACCATCATTGTGGGGACCACGGTGCACACAGAGGGGATGTTAATCCGTCCCTTCCTAGCCATGACCTTGACAAAATGACACCACCCCACTGTACTGGTATCAGCCTTACCCCGTTCCCCACAAAACGTCTTCCCTTCCAGTGCTGTAGTGGCTTTGATGACGCAAAGCGACTTCTCCTCCAGGCTCCACTGCAATTTCATTGATGAAAAAGTGGAGCAATTTTCCACGGTGACTTTCTGGAAGATTATCAGTCGGCATTGTACTCGCCTGAGGGATAGCCAAGCAGGTGTTGTGTGGGGCTGTGCCATGGCAACAGGTTTGGGAGCATGAAATCTCTCCTCAGAGCCAAACAACCTTGAACTCATTGGAAAGCCTCTTGATTAGCCCCACAGATCTCTTGACTGCAGCATCACACACGGTTCCTGTGCTACCGAGCAACTTGAGGAGTAGGGGTCTCAAGAGCAACACCTTCACCACCACCAGCTGAAATCAGGGTGTGTGTGGTCTTAGGAGGCCAGAGTCCAGAAGGCCTCCCTCTTGAGCATTCCAGCTGCTGGAAGTAACACAGGTCTCTGGCTCAACCCTTGGTCTTGATCTTGGCCTGTTGATTGACCACACTTGTGACGCATGTCTTGGGCTGCAGCTGATTCCTTGTGCTCCCTCTTGGTTGTTTGGGGCACTGCTGTACCCTCATCCCAGCTCTCCTTGGCGAGGATATGAAGTAGGAGGCTCAGACCACCCCCAGGACTGGCATCTCAGCTCCTACGGGCACCCGCTGGAGTTTGACAGAAGCTGAAGGTAAGCAGAGTCCCTGTAAATTTCCTTAGGAATGTAAAACGAGTCTGATGGGTCAGGCTAATGGCCCATCCAGTCTAGCATCCTGTTCTCAAAGTGGCCAACTAGATGCCCCCAAAGGGAATCCCACAAGCAGGAGCTGAGCATAAGAGCAACTCTCCCCTCATGTGGGAGAGTCAGCCCCATATTGCATGGGACTGTTCTTGTTTTGAACAGGGAGATGTGTGCTCTTGGAGCCCTAGTCAATCCTGCTAGAGGTCCCGTGGATGGGAGTGTCTATGACAGGCATAGGCAAACTCGGCCCTCCAGATGTTTTCGGACTACAACTCCCATGATCCCTAGCTAACAGGACCAGTGGTCAGAGATGATGGGAACTGTAGTCCCAAAACATCTGGAGGGCTGAGTTTGCCTATGCCTGGTCTATGAGGAGCCTGGGCAGAATTCAGGGAGGACCAGGGTTAGGATCTCTGAAGCCCTCTAGAATGAGGCAAGGCAGAAATGGAGAAATGACTCCAGGGCGGCCTTGGGCTGAATGAATCTAGCATCCAGGTTTGGTGGAAAAGGAGCTAAATGAACCTGTTTCTGTTTGTTTGCTTGCTTGTTTGAAACGTTCTCCTGGCTTGGAAAGGCAGGTGTTGGAGCAGAGAGAGCCAACGTGTTGCCCTCACTAGATGTTCATAGAATCATAGAATTGTAGAGATGGAAAGGACCACGAGGATCGTCTAGTCCAATTCCCTGCAATTGCCCAACGTGGGGCTTGAACCCACGACCCTGAAATTAAGAGTCTCGTGCTCTACCAAGTGAGCTATTTGTCTCAACTCCTAGCAGCCCTAGCTGCCAGCCTGCCTAATGGTCATGGATATTGGGAGTTGTAGTCCAGCAAATCTGCAGGACACCATCTGGAGGGCTACCGCTGGATTGGGATAAATAAGATTTACAAGAGTAATCGGCTGGAATAAGCATCAATGTTTAAAATATGACAAGAATTAAGGAAAGGAGGTCTGGTTATATTTCAAACTGCACTAAGGGAGAAAAAGTGCAGACATAATTTAAAAATGCCCTGCTCAGAGCTTCTTGTACCAAAAAAAAAAAAAAAAGGGTCCATGCTGGTCTTTCTATATATAACTAACCTAGTTCTGCAGTTGATTTTAAAGAGAGCTAGCTGGAAGATGAATGGAACCTGACTACTGTAAAGCTTGCCATGAAAGGTGAAAAATTAGGGGGAAAGCAGGTTTTCCATTGAGTTTGTGTCTCGATATCTGCATGTGCGCAGAAAAACCAGGTTATGGTACAATCATCACTGAAATGCTCCCTCAAGAAGGGCAATTTCATCTGGAATTTTTGAGACAACTTTGCAAGGGAATGCATCTGCATTTGGGAACAACGACCATTTTTGTCTCTTGGTGTAGGTTAATACTTTTTTCTTCCCCAAACCGAGACACAAAGGGTATAGGGCAGCACATAAATTTAATAAATAATCATAACCATAATTTTCTACCCTATGTGAATTTGTTACCAATGTTATATCGGATTAATGATCATCACTTCCCCAAAGAATCCAGGGAGTTGTAGTTTATCGAGGGTGCTGAGAATGTTCTGCAGAAGAATATGCCAAGGGGGAAATGACTATTTAACCTATTTAAATCTTAAAAAGCAGAGACATCACCTTGCTAACAAAGGTCTGTATAGTGAAAGCTATGGTTTTCCCAGTAGTGATGTATGGAAGTGAGAGCTGGACCATAAAGAAGGCTGATCGCTGAAGAACTGATGCTTTTGAATTATGGTGTTGGAGGAGACTCTTGAGAGTCCCATGGACTGCAAGAAGATCAAACTTATCCATTCTTAAGGAAATCAGCCCTGAGTGCTCACCGGAAGGACAGATCCTGAAGCTGAGGCTCCAATACTTTGGTCACCTCATGAGAAGAGAAGACTCCCTGGAAAAGACCCTGATGTTGGGAAAGATGGAGGGCACAAGGAGAAGGGGACGACAGAGGACGAGATGGTTGGGCAGTGTTCTCGCAGCTACCAGCATGAGTTTGACCAAACTGTGGGAGGCAGTGGAAGACAGGAGTGCCTGGCATGCTCTGGTCCATGGGATTACAAAGAGTCAGACACGACTAAACTACTCAACAACAAAATCTATACTGTAGGGTTGCCCCTTAAGATTTACAAAAGGCATGGACCCACCTCTAGACAACAAATGGCAAGTTGCTAGCTAAAGGGCTTCCTGTGGGTGGAGTCAGGGTTCTAATTTTGTCTTGCTCTGTTGCTTGCTCTTATAGGGTGGTAATGTGAATTGAACATGTATCTGGCCCTGGGGCAATTGTAAAATTAACATTCTGGAATCTGAGCAGTCCCAGAGTTTTAAGGCCTGAGTTCAAGCCACCTGGCACCGGAGGAATGTATGGGTGTGCCAGTTATATGACTTCAGCTTGCAGCGGAAGGAAAAGAATGTGATGCACACCCAGTCAGAAACCATCAAAACTGAGGGCTTCAGTTGACATAACACAGGTGGTCAGCAGTCAAGGTCTCCTGTGTTCGTTTGTTTAAAAGAAGAAGAAACAAGCACTTAGCAGCTGAAGATTGGAGCAGGTAGGACTAGATGGCACCGTTTTAAGTGGCATTGGGAGTGGGATAAAGGAAGGGAACTGATTCTCCGGCACCGTTTCTAAGAGCTAACTCCCACTCACTGCTATTAGCTTTGCAGGGAAAGTGTGTGGGTGCCTGTATGGTTCCTGTGTGTCTCCCCCAAAGAACTAATAGTACCAATGGGGTGGGGGTGGGGACACACGACTTAGATTGGGGAGTGTCAATTCTCTCTTCCCCAGTGTTACTCCCTGGTCTTCGAACCAGATGAGCGGGGCTGCTGCGGGTCTGATGATACCTAGTTTGGCCCCTAAATACTTGAGAACTGTGCTTTGGCACAATTGAGTTGCCTGTTCCTGGATTGTATTCTGCCATTTGTGGTTCAGGAGGAATGGCCTTTACTGGGGCACCATTTGGATAAGGCCCTTTTCTTGGGGCGGAACCTCAACTTGGGAACTCTCTCCTCCAGGAAGCAGGGATGGCTTCAACATTAAAAGAAAATGACGGCTGGGAATCCAAGGACTAGGAATGTGGTGGGGTGGCCACTCCAGGGCGAGGGCACAGCTAGGACACCCCGATTCTCTTTTCTACCCCTGCAGCAGTGGAAATGCGGCCGACACCAAGTACAGAAGGTGGGTTGTGCTTGAGTTTCAAATGCTCCCCAGCATCGGAATGTGGCCGATGGGCTCCAAAGACCTCAGCTGCACAAAGGTGCCTGGATGGACACGCAGGCAGGCGCATGCTAGTCTCCCCTGTGAAAACGCAATGAAGGAAAACCTTTGCGCCTGCATCTTCCACCCGCATTGCATGCCTCCCGGTCCCTCCACTGTTATTCTTGTAGCCAAAAAAAATCAGCTTTCACATGAGTGGATGAACAGCATGTTGATAAACAAACACACTGACAAGGAGTGCAGGGTTCCTATCTGCTGCTCTACAAAGGAAAAGGCGTTGCCATGGAAACTGTCTTAGCGCTTTACTTCTCAGCAAATACCCCCTCCATTCCACATATTGACCACAACCCGGGTAGGAATCATTGTGCCAGGTCCTGTGTTTCCGGCAGTCCCTTTTAGCCACGGACCTTTCTGTCAGGTGACCCTCGGGACCTCCCTTTGTAAGGAGAGGCACTTCTGGTGCACTGGCAGGTGGGGAGGGATGACACCGTCTTTTTGCTGCTCCGGAACTCCAGAGGGCAAAGTGAAAAGGGCAGAAGCCCTGATGCTGGCAGGAGGAGAGCAAGAAACAATGTATGGCGCTGGCAAATGTTCCTGCTGGGCTGAGAAGGATGGAGGAAGAGGCCAGAGAAGGGAATCGGGCAGGAGGAAGAAGAAGAGGAGTTTGGATTTGATATCCCACTTTATTACTACCCTAAGGAGTCTCAAAGCGGCTAACAATCTCCTTTCCCTTTCTCCCCCACAACAAACAGTCTGGGAGGTGAGTGAGGCTGAGAGACTTCAGAGAAGTGTGACTAGCCCAAGGTCACCCAGCAGCTGCATGTGGAGGAGCGGAGATGTGAACCTGGTTCACCAGATTACAAGACTACCGCTCTTAACCACTACACCACACTGGAAAGGAAGTGGGCACAGGGTCCATGTACAAGGTGCCAGGGAGACCCTGGCACAAATCCCTGTTGGGCCAGGGTTTGCCCTTGCAATACATTTGAGGGTATGGGTAAGTTCAGCCCTGCCTCTGCATCCTTAAATTGTCATGACAAACAGCACCTAGATGAGAAAGGGCAACAAAAAAATGAGGCTTGTGAGGCTGTTCGGTTTAGAACAAAAATAGTAAAGATGATAAAATGATGAATGGCAAATTGCTAAAAGAACACAGAGAGGTTGCCAGGCTAATAACCACTTGAGATTAGTCAGAGATACATATGCCACACTTGGAAGAGGAGGCATTGTGACAAATGAACAACAACCAGATTGAGGACGAAACATCTCTAAACCTCAGCTTTGGAGGAATAAGAAGACAGTGATGCCCTGATCTTAAACAATAGTATACCTATAATGTGGACTTGGCTGGGCAGCATCACAGCCACCCCAAAATTTAGCTTTCTCTCTTGAGTATTTCATATCCACCTTCTCAGCCCATTTTATTTCAAACGCTCCAAGTTATCGCATCTTTGTTATAATTTTTAAAGGGGGAAACAATTGATGCAAATGTATATTCATATAACAAACACATAGAATCATTGAATTGTAGAGTTGGAAGGGACCCTGAGGATCATCTAGTCCAGAAATATGCAGCTGTCACATACAGAAGATGCACACCATTGCACACCAAACTAACCTAAGAAGAGCCTGACTGCTGCTGGATCAGACTGAAAGGGGGCTGATCTAGTCCACCATCCCATTTCCCACCCCGATCCCCCAGTGGGGACGGGGTGCCACAGCCCTCCTTCTTCTGCTGATATCCAGAGCCTGGTGTTTGGGGATGTGCTGCCTCTGAACCAGGAGGCAGCTTACAGCCATGGCCTTTATCCTCAATGAAATTTTTAACTCCCTTTTAAAGCTGTTCAGTCTTATGGACATCACCATGTCTTGTGGTAGCAAAATTCCATAGCTTAAATCGTGCTTCTTTTTGTCTGCTGTGAATGTCCTGCCATCAGATCCCACCAGTGTTTCTGTGAACTTAGGGGGTTGTGCTCCCAAAATGCATTGTTTTCCACCAACACTGAAGCGGAATTGCAATTTTAACGCCCATTTCACCCAGTTCAGAGAATGTGTGCATAAACAGGGGCACCAAAAAGAAAATATAATCAATTGCCCCTCAGAGAGTAGAGCATTCCTTAAACATGGTCCAACTGCAGAGAAGCCCCTCCAGCCCAGCCACACTTGTGATTGCCCAGCAGGCGGAAACTTTTCCTTACTAGCTGACTACTGATGGAATGGACTCATTTGGGTGTCATGGCCTTGGGAGCTGATTTCCCAATTTTAGTGAGTTTCTTGGCTGCCTTCCCATGTGGGCATTGTTGCCATTGCAGTCCCTGATGGGTGGGCTGTGGTACAATTTGCAGGAATGCTACAGGCACGTCTGTTGTTTTTCTGGCATTTTTGCATGTTGGGCATAATCCTTCCCGGACTGGGTGCTCTGAAGCAACCGCAGTGCACCCACCAGAATTGGCCTCATGCTGGCCACATGACCTGGAAGCTGTACGCCGGCTCCCTTGGCCAATAAAGCGAGATGAGTGCTGCAACCCCAGAGTCGGCCACGACTGGACCTAATGGTCAGGGGTCCCCTTTACTTTTACCTTTACGAGAAGTTTGCTTGGCCCATCTTCCATTGAAATACTTAACATGTCAATACATAAACAACTGGCAGCTGTAAAGAGTTATTCCAAAGTAATATCAGACATTATTTCCGTACTCCTAAACATTTCATTGTTGTTCCAGTTACAATATGGTGCCTATGTTTCATTTATAATTAAGGCACAGTGATTGTGGCAGCCATCTTGGATTTTTAAATTTCCATTTTCTCAGCAACCCAGAGGCATAAGCTGCTGGTTTATACAGCAAGACATGCATCATTTAACGCTCCATGAACCTGATTTTGCACTGTTGCCTCAACTAGGTTTCAGTTGGCTGCTCGTTTTCAACTGAGGCTTCTAAATCCTTTGGGATAAGCGTTAATAAGCCTAACATTAGCTTGTCATTAAAATTTCATCAAAGTGGTTGAAGGGTAGGGTTGCAAGAGCAAGTTTATGCTGGTAATTGGCAGCACTAGATGAGTTTTTAAGACATCATTTTTAGACAGACTCCATGGCTCAGTGGCAGAGCATCCCACCTTGACTTCCACCTTTAGTTTTAGAGTCAAAGCAAAAGCTTCTTGTTCGTTTTTTATTATGGATTTTGTGTTCTCACTTTGTTTTTATATGTTGTGAATTTTGGATGAAGGGCAAAATTAATAAACAATAACAAGAAGTGTACCCCAAGAACCAGGAAGATATGGATCCAGCAGACTGAAAACAAATTCCCCTGAAACAACCCCCAAAATTGGGAAATCTCTCTTGTTGCATCTTATGCCCCTTGGCCAGTACTATTCTCAGTCCAACCTATCTTACAGGACTGTTGTTAGGGGGAAATAGGGCAACCATTGCACAGGGCATTGAGGGCATTGTGCCAGAATGGGCTTACTGGTTGTAGGTTAAAGAGGATCCCCAAGAAGTCATACCTCGCCAGTAAGCCACCTGGCTATAAAACTGGGTTAGGCACAGGGATTAAGGACAATCTGCAAAGGGGCCCTTTGCCCTGAGGGGCAGCTGCTGCTCTGCCCATCTTGTCCTTGAGGTCAGGCTTCCACGATGGGGACTCTGCGGTCAGCTGCCCCAGGGAAGCCAGGATCCCAGGAAACTGTGCCCCCGATCCCTCCCCGGGGAAGCCAGGGAGGCCCACCGAGCCTTTCCACCCTGTCGCGCAGGGGTTGCTTGGCGCCTATGACCCGGGCGAGGTGCCCTCTGGCTGCCAGCCCAGGGCCAAGGGGGAGGCCCAGGGAGCCGCTGGGGGGGGGCCTTGGCGGCTGGGAGAAGCGTGCCGCGCTCGGGGGCCTTTGAGCGAGCCGGCCCCGTCCAGCCTCGCCGGGCCCCCACGTGGCAGCCCCGCTGCCTGGGCGCGCGAGTCTCCTGCGCGCACGGCGCCGGCGCGCTCCGCCATTGGCGAGGGCGCGCGCCAATCCGGGCGTCGGCCGGCCAATCGGGGCGCGCGGAGCCTCTGCGGCGCGCCAGCCCCTCCTGCGCCCGAGGCTCCCGAGCGTGGTGTGCTGTGGCGCGCGGCTGCGGGGAGCCACCGAGCAGCCCCAGCGCCCGGCCCGCCCCGCGCCTGCTCCAGCTCCTCCTGCGGCACCGGTGGTAGCAGCAGCAGCAGCAGCAGCCAGACGAAGGCGAGGCACGCATCCCGCGCCGGTGCCCGTCCCGCGGGGAGGATGGGAGCCCTGGCGCTGACGAAGCCCGGCGGCGGCGGCAGCAGCAGCAGCAGCAGCCGCGGAGAAGGAGGCGGCTGCCTGCCCCGCCTCTGGCGCCTGTGAAGAGGTAGGTGCTGCTTGGCCGCGCTCCCGCCGGGGAACTAGGTCAGGGCGAAGCCGCGGCGAGGGCTGCTTGGGACGGGGATCCCCGCCAGAGATGCCCTTTTGCGCCGGGGCCGGGGTGGGGGTGGGCTAGGCTACCGCCGGGCTCTTGGCTTCCGCGTGGCCAAAGCGACGCCAACGCCTCCCGCGAGGCTCGGCCTCCGCAGCCCGGCAGGGCGGGGAAGGGGGCGCCTTGGGCAGGAAGGCAAGACGTCGGCTGCCCGCTTTCCCGGGCAGGCTCGGCCTTCGCGCAAGCGGGATGGACAGCTCCTCTCGGGCAGGCGATTTGCGGGCGGGAGGCCTTTTGCGGGAGGAAGGCGCCTGCGGTGGCACCTGAGCGGGGAAGCCTCCCTGGCGACCGGGCTGGTCCCTGCTGCTGCTGCTCCGTTTGCGCGCGTCCTCCCGCCCTGCGTGCGCCAGACAGCGCTTGACCTCCCGATTTCATGCTGTGCCATTGAGCACCCCCCACGCCCTCTCCACGAGGATCGTTTGCTTGGGTGACAGGGAGAGAGACATGCCTGCAACCTCCTCTTGGGCCGGGCACCAGAGGCGGGTCGCCACACCCTCCGGGGGATTGTCTGGATCGATTTTGCTGCAAAGCATGGAAGCGGATCAGGCCAGCGGGGCCCAGCGACGTGAGCGTTGTGGATTTCACATCACCGAAGCTGACACACCTTTTGCCGTTTTGGGCAGGTGGTGCTTAACTGGGCTTAGGGATGCATGATTCTCTCTTCTCGCCTAAGTGTGCTGGCTGGGGTCTGTCTCCATCCCCTCTCTAGTTGGTGCTTGCGGCTGGATGGGATTGAGACTTACTGTGGCAGGAGACTGTATGCCACTGGCATGGCTGTCGCCTGATTGGGTTGGGAAATGGTCCACCGAAAAAGGAAGGAGCCCTGCCCTTGGATGGAGGACACTCTGAGAGCAGAGGCCCAGAGAGGTGGCATGGGAGGGGGGTGTGGTTCTCAGGGAAGGGCCAGCACCTGGGCTGAGTAGACAGGAAAGGATGAGAGGGCCCTTCTTGGCAAGATGGTCTCAAGTGTAGGATTCTCCTCTCCTCCTGACATACTGCCTCAGTAAGTCTATCTGCTTGCACATCAGATCTTTTGAGAGAAGCCCTCCAAAAACAAGCAAATCATTGGACAGGACATGAAGAATTTTGCAAGAGAAAACCTGGTTTTTGTGTTCTGTGATGTTCATCTTCTGGCAGTTGACATAGTCAAGCGATTTAAGGCTGCCTGCTAATGGTGGAGTAAACTGCTCTGTCTTTGGGCCTTCCAGGAGTAGGGCATGTCTTTTGTTGTAGCCATGGTACCCTCCTTTCCAAAAATTGAAAAATAATTGGTCCAGAGGCGCTTCAGGTCTGAAATAGTTGGGTCTGGTGGCACTTTTTTTAAGTTATGTTTACATTAATTTATTTATTTAATACATTTCTATATTGCCCTTCATCAAAGGATAACAAAGTGGTTTACAATGTAAAAACACAAAAATACATAGCGCAGTGACAAACAAAAACAATACCCCTCCCAAAAGGGTAACACACTGCAGTAATCTAACTTAGAGGTTAACAGAGCCTAGACAACAGAAGTTAGCTATCCATGTCCACATAGGGATGCAGCTGGGCCACCAGCCAAAGCTGATGGAAGGCCTTTGCCACAGAGGCCACCTGTGCCTCAAGTGACAGCAATGGACCAGAAACGACCCCCCAAGCTGCGTACCCGCTCCTGCAGAGGGAGTGTAACCCCATCAAGAGCAGGCAACCTCCTAGCTATCTGGTCTAGGGAACCACCTACTAACAGTGCCTCAGTTATGCATGCATTATGTTAGCTTTGATTGGCTGGCCAGGTAGAATAAATAAATAAAGTTCTAGACACAAGTACAGGATGGGACTTTGCCCTCCTCATTTCAGGAAGTGTACCAGGTGTGGGAAATATTGGTGTCAGTTGGAATTTCTTCTTCTGTGGACACAGTCTATTTATATACCAGTTAGATACATGGTTTAAAAAGTGACTGAGCTGGCATCGGGAGGTTAATAATGTACCACTTACACATTCAAGTGTGTTAATCAGCAGGGCAACAATGCAGTGTCTCCTCATTTTGCCATAATCTTATTAGCCATTTTTGACTGGCTTGCTTTCCCACATTGAAGAAGCTTCTTTGCTCCAAGGCGCTCCCGGGAAGGCAGAATTAGCGTCTTCCAGGAAACAAAGCTTGATCCAGGCAGTGGAAGGTTTTTGTCACCAATCTTGATATAGACAGGCTGGCAGTGCTGAACAACTTCACAGGAGGCTTTTAGAGACGTCACTGGCTCACTGACAAAATCCACTGATATCACTGGTGCTGATTTCCAAGCCATAAGATAGATTTCTTTAATATTTTCGTTCTTGTAGAATATGTGGCCTCATTTCACAGTATCGGCGGTCACAAAATCATGCGGCTTCAAGTGCAACTGGGTGTCCTCTGCCATCCACCACAGGGCAAGGGACTCCAGAAAAATAAGGGCTGATTTCCTCCTGCTGCATGTGCAGTTCACATTCCATGCCTCAGGTAATCATTGAGAGATCCAGGTAGTTGAAAGTCAGTTTCTATAAAGCTAAATAAAATAACCTCCATTCAAGTCCTTGGCACTCTTCTGATGTCAGATTCGTTGAGCAAAGAGGCAAACGTTACAAGCCCATACATAACAACTCAGAAGTAAGCCCCATGGAGGTCTATTGGGCTTACTCACAGGTAAGCGGGCATAGGACTGCAGCCTAAGTCTGCAATCATATGTACACTTGCCTGGGAGTAGGCCCAGTTGAATTTAACTCTGACTAAAAGCGCATTGGCTCAGACTGTAGCATTCGATTTTAAGTGGTTAAACCTTTATATTCTGGTAAAATGGAAGGTTTAAGGTTGTAAAGTGGTGGTGAAACAGGCTAAGAGGCTTCAGTCCTGCACACAGTGAGTTTGCTTTAAATTTCTCAGATTAAATCTTCCCCTATAACTTTTCAACCATATATTACAATGAATATTTCAATAAAAGGGGAATGGTTTCATCCAGTTCCACAGAAACATTTCCGTAATCAGTCAACATGTCCAGATCTTTAATTGGCATGAATGCAGCTTTCCAAAGATGAGCCCATGCACTTTTCACAGCAACCAAAAGCTTTTGTATGAACAATTTAGTTGCCCCTTGAAATCAAGAGAGTTCAAAATGACTTGATACTTCAAATGTTAACACTTTCCCCATTATTCCCACCACTTGGGTTGAAGAGACTTGAAGAAAAGGGCAAGTCCAACAAGAAAGTTAGAAATCTGCACTGTTGGTATGTCATTTCCAGAAACTAAAAGTGACAGTTCAGTAAAGGATTTTGTTTAGCTTTTCAGAAGTAATATAGGAGTAAGATTACTGTTTTGTACACCGGATATATATATAGTGGTTAAGCAACGTACAACAGGAATTGCCTGATGCATGGTTCTTTGCTGATGTCCTTTTTGATTGATGTGTTGGATCCATCAGTCATACAATTTTCTCAATTTCATATTGCAGTTACCTTATAATTGAGAAATTGCTCTAGTTTCCTGAACTCTCCCCCCTCCTTAAATTCTTTGTGAGAGATAACCGAATATGTGTCATCAAATGCCCTAAAGGGTCTTAATTAAATGTATTCTCTCTCATGACAATGGCCAGTGGCAGTGTCTGCAGTCTTAGCTTGTTTCTCCCCTGATCCCCTAAAATCGGTTTTAAAAGCTGAGGTAGAATGAGTTGCTTCTGCCCAAGTGACCTTTCTCTCTTGTAGAATCTCGAAAGGAATTCATATTGATTAATTTTCCAGCCCAAAGCATGCACCTGATGTCTCTTGAGGGATCCATACCCAGAGTCACTGAATTTGTGCTGCCTTATAGTATTAACAGAGGCTAGTGTGCACATGATCATCCTTTTCTGCAGGGTGGATAACAGACCTAGAATATTTTCCAGCATACAAAGATTCAGCATTTTCTTCCAGTAACAATTCACTTTTGATTGTAGAGGCATAATGAATAACAGCAAACATGTTGGATTCAAAGTATTGTTTACTATTCCAGGCCAAAGGTTACCAACCCATTCTTGACTTGAACCATGCTGAAGATTCAGCCACCTTTCCATGAGGGAGCTTGTGCTTTGCTAATCTCTCGCACCTTCACTTGGGTTTTAGTCAGCTGGGCTGGACTTCTCCATAGTAACTAGAAGGTCAAATAGCCTAAGAACTTGCCGAGGTACAACTCTGAAAGGCTATGATCAGATAAAGCCTGTGATGGCCTGTGCTGACATGGCATTGCTTAGGAACCACTGAGAAGAAATCCCTTATGGTGAAGGAGTTCAGGAAGGTGGAGTTTTGTGAGCACAACACATGCATCTTAGTATGAACAAGGATGTGTTTGGATGCCCCTTCTTCACCAGGCTCTCTATGTGCAGCCTGGCATCCAGCGGTGTTCTGGTCCTCCTGTGAATAAGCCTCTCCTGTGTGATGCCTTTGTGGATCAAGTTGTTCTGGGCCTGACCTGTCAGTCTAGCAAATGGTTGTTCATTCCAGAAGTTGGAGGTTATCTCATTGGTTCCATAAAACAGCAAGTGAGGGGTGGCAAGAAGGCAGTGATTCTGCCACTGGTGATGGTGGGAAGAGAGACTTTATTCTGCAAACTGGCTGTTCTTGTGCCTATCTCCTTCTGCCCTGCAGTGCAGAAGAGTCTCTAGAATCTTGGAGCTCCCAACTAGTTCTGTGGTGTGCAAAAAGTTGAACATGGTGTTGTAGGAGAGGATTGTGTCAAAGCTTCCATTTTTTCCAAATAGAAAAGACTCAGCTGAGAAGATTTTCAAAAGCAGTATAAGAGGTGGCGGGGTCTGCTACTTAATGCACAGGGCACAGGTGGAGGGATGCTAAATAAACTTCTTGGACTTTAGCCATTGCTCCTGAAACTAGCCCGGTAAAAATGTCACTACTAAATGGAATAAAAACACCTTTTGAGTCACTTGTAACCTCTTCCCAAAGACTTTCCACCTGTAATCTGGCAAGGGGTCAATTCTTGTAGAGGATCCAGAGAAGGCACCTTGTGATAGGGGGAGAAATTCAATTTCAAGGCGAACCTACCTAATTTGCACTTTCTGAAACCGCACATGAACCGAATTTTGCAATGCAGTTCTCCAGCTAAACAGTGTGTTAACAAAAATGCATACACTGGAGCGAACTGTGCGCAAAAATGAATGTACTGGTGAAAATAACACAACTGTATTATATTGGGGAAACTGCTTTGTAAAAATGTTTATATTAACAAGATAGCATTAAAAATGTGTATCAGGAGAAACTCACATTAAAATACAGGTGAATTTTCGTAATTTTTCATTGAAACCATTTCCCCCCACAAACTGATTTGGAATAATGGAGAACTGAAGTTAAGATCTGAAAAAATGAGAAACTGAGAGGAAGCAAAATTGACTAATCCACCCCTCCCTACTCATCACTTCAATTTCCAAGTACCAGTGTGCTCTGTTATATGGCCAAGCATAACTGAACTGATTTTTGTATCAGCTGAAGTCTGTTGCAGTGGAATGGAAGGGCACAGAGGGGCATCAGGTCAGCTTAACTGGGTGACTGATGTTTCCAGCAGAGATTAACTTGATCAGGCCACTTATTGTTCCTCACACAGCTATAGAAAGCCACACATGAGGAGGAGCCTGTTGCGTTCCCCTCGCCTTCAGCAGCAGCCTGAAGAGGTGCCTGCCTTTGCAATCTTGCCGACGTGGGAGCAAGTCCAAGTTTGCAAATGAAGCTGCTGATGGCATTACAGTGATGCTACGCCAGCAAATAAGTTGCTAAGAATATTTGGGAATGGGGTGTAAGATGGGCTGTCTTTTTTAGGAGCTGCCCTAAGCATCATCTTTTTTGTTTTGTTTTGTTTTTCTTACATAATTCTAGCTAAATTAGATTTGTAGGCTTCGGGAGAAGCAGTAATTGGCTGATGTGAATTGCATGCAGCAGTGATTACCTCACCCTGATTCATAAAGCCTAATATGGGGAATAAGAGCAAGCCTGCCAGTGACATCTTGGCAACTGAGGCGGAAAATCCAAACGGTGCCCTCCTTTACAGTTCTGTTTTAAAAAAGCCGGTAATTTAAGGGTGGCCCAAATCTGCCACTTTGGGTGGCTGCCGCTCTCCATCTGAGCCAGTCGAAAGAGAGTAATCGTTGCTCTGATACCATTTATAGCCGAGCTGAGCATAAGAGGGGTGATGAACAGGTACCCCTGGTTTGCTGCTCTTCCTTCCCATGAGGTACATCTAATCCTAATGAGATGGTTCGGTTTTATTCCAACTTCTTGAGAAGGAAGTTAGTTGAAATCAGAGCAGGCTTTCTTTCTGGGAAGGGAGAAATGGAGGCAAGGCCTCAGTATACGTAACTAATTAACAGAGCCTGCCCTCACCTCACCTCTTTCTTTCAAAGCACTGCGGAACCAGCCAGGTACTCACTTGGACATATTCCAAGAACTATGGAACTCACAACAGCTATGTGCAAAGGTTGGTTCTCTTAAAATGATCATCTCCTCCGGGTGCCTTGCAGCCTAATCCTGCATGCAGTTACTTGGAGGTGCCCCACTAAATCCAGTGGGAATTACTCTTGAGTGAGTGTGGTCAGGATTGCAGACGCAGTCTGGGATACTAGCATCACTCCAGGTGTCACGTGAAACCTTCAAAAAATGCGGCACAAAGATAATCTCTCCCTGTTACAGTAGGTCCCCCCCCCCCAGAATTAGGCCATCTTCTCTTTTCCCTGCCCCCACCCCCAAATTTAGACCAATTAAAAGACACTTGCAAAAAAAAACAAAAACTGTTTAAGCCCATGTACTCAAGGTTATACTGCTGTCAGAAGTATAGGAATGGGGTGCAGCTGTAAGATTTGTCAATTCCAGCACTTCTTTTTTCTTACTTCACCAGTCTTAAATTCAGATCTCCATATTTCTACAGCAATTTGCATTTTTTTAAAAACTAAAAATCCTCATGAAAGTCCAGCATTTTGTGTAATTCTAGCCCCAAGCATTTGGCTAATACACACATTTCTGTGAGCTGCTTCCCTAACATAATTCATTTGTTTCGGGTCGCAAACCACGTTGAGCTTCTTCTGAGGTGCTGGGGCCCCTTCTCAGCACTGCAGATGCTACACTGTGCTGCAAGCCTGGGGGGCCACATGGGAGGGGGTTCATGGTCGGTTCCACCCTTTCACACTTCCTTCCCTCTCCCCCACCCCCAGTTTCTGGGAGGGTGGTGCAGGTGCCTCTCATTACCATTCTAGCAGGTGCCAGAAAGCAATGCCCTCCATTGGCCTCCCATGCTGGTGATGCCACGGGAAGAAGGGCCCAAAATGGTGTCAGAGCGGAGGAGTCAGGGCTGCTGGAGGTATGACATTCAGCACAGCCTGGGTTTTCTTACAGTTATCGACTCATGCAGCTGACCTGCCTAGTTTCAGTTTGAGACTCTATTTGCTTTTCACAGACTTATTAACTAGCTCACAACCTTATGCAGAAGCCGTGAATTCTGAAAGCTGCTAGGGAGAGCTTTAAGAAGGTGGGGGAGGAAATACGTTGAACACTTGCAGCTGTACCCGAGAGAGACATTTTTGCATGCATTAATATTTGAGCATGGTCTAAATGGGGATTCACAGTTATCAGGCAGAATTGTTGGGTGACCCATCGTCTCAGGGTTACATGAGGTACAAAAGCGGTCCAGCACATTGTAATGGTGGCAGTTCATACCTGCAGGCCATATTTGTAGGAATAATTGGGGAGGGGGAGAGAGAGAAGAAAGGGGGTGGTACATTCCAGTGGTTCACTTGCACTGGTAGACTTTTCTTCCTGTTATTTGGGACACAGAATATGGTAAGAGGTAGAGAACCCAGAGGAACCTCTGACCGTTGAAAACAGCAGCAGGAATGGCTGCTTGCAGAGTCTCGTTCATGTTGACCAAATCTCTGCAGAGTGCTGTGTGGCCATGCAGTATGGAAATGATTCACTCCAGAGCAAATCTTCTGAGAGAGAGCAAACGGGATAAAATGTACCTTGTTACAGATGAATAAATTGAGAGATGGGGAGAAATGGTGCAGAACACACCCACTTGTATGAAAACAAGGGGGAAAGATGTATGAACAGACAAGGCAAGGCAGATGCAGTGTGAAAATTAGAAATGAAATGAGAAATGATATTGCAGTTTAAAACTGGTGATCATCAGAGCCCTTGGTTTAAAAATGTCCTTCCCACGTATTGGATTGCCCCAAACAACATGGCAACCGTGTTGATCCTTACTCCCCTCCATGGATCATGTAGCAGGCTGGAAGAATTGTGGCTGACACAGAGCCATGTGGAAGAATGCTGAGCAAATCTGAAGCAGTACAGTACCTTAATTTGTTGGGTATCATTTGGCTCAACACAAAACAAAAACAAAACTAGTTTGGGATAGTTTAAGCTTGGCTCCAGTTTGCGATTTGATATAGCAATTACAGCATCCATCATTTCAAGCTTCTCCAGATTCACTAGGCTTGTGTCAAAGTATGCAAGGTCTTGCAGAAGCCTGCAGCCTCACTCGGCAAAAGTAGCCCTCCAGGTCACCACTGCTCCTGCCTCTAGTGTATGACTGTATTTATTTATTTCTTAAATTTATATCCCACCCTTCCTCCCGAAGGAGCACACTCCAGTTTACTTTACATCCAGTGCATGTCCACTGCTGGTATCTGATGCTGTTTGTACATAATGTTAGTCACAACTTCCCTTTATTACATATATAGCTCAAGATATGACCTAACCCCTCCCCTGACAGCATATGAATCAATATGGCTAATTTGACCCAATAACACCCCCTCATCACACACAGAGACAAAACTCACTGCAAGCAACCGAATGCAGCCAACCATGCTCTGGGCTCTCCAATCTCTCGCTTTGCAACAATGAATGAATAAATAAATGATCTGTCCACATGGCGCTGACACAAAAACTCTGCACATACGCTATGCAAAAGAACGGAATATTATTCTCCCTCCTTCTCTCTCCTCCCCACCTCACAATGTCTATGACAACAATGTCTCACACCAAATGTAACTGCCATATAGGAAGGACTCTGTGAGTTGAAACATTATATGTACCTTTGTTATTCATGAAAATCTTTTAATAAAAAAGTAAATTAAAATAAAACAATGTTAGCCACAAGCCACATCTATCCTGGAGTTTCTTGAGAAATACAACCGTGCCTTGGGTCTCAAACGCCTTGACTCCTGAACAAATCGGCTCCCGAACAATCGAAACCTGGAAGTGAGTGTTCCAGTTTTCGAACGATTTTTGGAAGCCGAGTGTCCAGCGCTCCTGCAGCCAATTGGAAGCCACACCTTGGTTTTTGAATGGTTCCGGGAGTTGAACGGACTCCCAGAATGCATTCTGTTCAAGAACCAAGGTACGACTAGTGCATTTTGATGTGTTTCCTCCCAAACCAGCAACTGAAAACTTAAGCCATATGAAGACACCCAATGCTCCCTCTCCACCCACTGGAGTGGACAGATAGTGGGCGACTTGGAAATATGTCTAGCTGTCCTGATGTGAACAACGATGTGCAAATGTGATTTGATGCAGAAGTGGTTTGCTGCATTTTAAGTCAGTCTTGTGATGGGTTCCATTTGTACTGTGCTGGCTACAATAAGTTCTGGAAAATATAAAACTTGGGTGAGAATAGCATTTGGGGAATGAGTGGAGTAGGGAGATCTGACCTTGTGTGCTATCATTGCAAAGGAGAAGTTTATCAGACTTGATGGTTTGCTCCACCTCTTCGTCCTACTTTGAGAGGCAGGTGGCATTTTATCACAGTCTGGGTGTTAAGACTATTTTTAAGCATGAGAACAAGGCTGGCTATCCATCATCCCATGTAGGGCGCTTGCTTTGTAAGACGGTAGGCAAGGGATAGGAATTATTCACAAGCTGGCTACCCAAAGCACCAGTGAGTGAAGAACTTTCTAATGGCAGGGCTGGTCAGCAGTGGAACAGAGGCTGCCTTAGAATGTGATGGACTCGCCATTGTTGGAGATTTTTAAGCAGACGCTGGATGCTCAGGATACTTTAGTAGTGGATGTCCTGTTTGATGCATCTTCTAGTTTTGCGATTCTTTTCATACCACTACAGCCCAAGTTAGATCGCTTAAAGGATTTCATCCATTGCAGAGGTCTTTATTCACTGATGTTTGCTTGTTACACAAAATTCTGTTGATTTTTTAAAACATACTTTATGCTTTGCTAAAAGCTGGGAGAGGAGAAGGAAATAAAACAACCCTGCTTCCTTCTCTCTCCCTTTAATCTGTCAAATGGCAATGGGTCTACCCTGATTCTCCGTTAAAAGAGAGTGGAAGGAAGGGAGTTTGACCAGGCTGACATCTCAGTTCTGTTTGTTTTAATGGTTGGTTCTTTGTTGTTTAAATTTCCAGCTCATTTATGCACTGCCCTATTTATGTGTCTGTCTGTGGGTAGATGCCTCTTTGTAAAATAAGTCTTACACTGAACTATGGCTCTCCCTAACTGGTAATGTGAGGGGGCTTGGTTCCCAGTTAAGTGGAAAAGCTAAAGAGGGCTACACAAACCTGAGCAAAGGAGCATCCAGAGAAAACCATCTTGCAGGAGATTTATAAACCAAAAGGCAGAGAGAAGGCAGAACTGTTAAGTACCTGGGAAAAGTAGAACTTAAGGACTTGCAGCCCAGAATAGGTAAGGAGATAGAAAACACCTAGCTAAATTAGATTGTGCTCAAATCCTGCTTGCGGGTTCCCCACAGGCATCTGGTTGGCCGCAGTGAAAACAGGATGCTGGGTTAGATGACCCATTGGCCTGATCCAGCAGGCTCTTCAGATGCCCTTATGTTATCAAACAAGTTCAATTCTCGAGACTCTTATGAATTACAATCAGGGGTCAGCAAACTTTTTAGCAGGGGGGCTGGTCCACTGTCCCTCAGACCTTGTGGGGGGCCGGACTATATTTTGGGGGAAAGGGGGGAGAGAGAACGAATTCCTATGCCCCACAAATAACCCAGAGATGCATTTTAAATAAAAGTACTGTACACATTCTACTCATGTAAAAACATGCTGATTCCTGGACTGTCTGTGGGCTGGATTTAGAAGGCAATTGGGCCGGATGCGGCCCCCGGGCCTTAGTTTGCCTACCCATGAATTACATCTTGTGGTATTGAAGGAGCAGAGATGCTGATCACAGTTTGAAACTTTTAAATAGTTAAGAATCCACGGAGAATGCATGAGGAGCCAGAAGAGTGGAGATGGGCAAATGTCGTCCCTGTCTTCAAAAGGTGGGGTAAAGAGCGGGTCTCGAAAACTACAGACCATGCCAGTTTCACAATGATGCCTGGCAAAATTCTAGTACACGCTATTAAAATTAGCATGTACAGTGATTACTAGGAGTCAGCAGGGGTCATCAAGAATAAATCATACCAAACCAATCTCACTTTCTTCTTTTTTATATACCGTATTTTTCGCTCTATAAGATGCACCAGACCACAAGACGCACCTAGTTTTTGGAGGAGGAAAACAGGGAAAAAAAAATTCTGAATCTGAGAAGTCAGAACAGCAAGAGGGATCGCTGCGCAGTGAAAGCAGCAATCCCTCTTGCTCTTCTGGCTTCTGGGATAGCTGCGAAGCCTGCATTCGCTCCATAAGACGCACTCACATTTCCCCTTACTTTTTAGGAGGGGAAAAGTGAGTCTTATAGAGCAAAAAATATGGTAACTACTATTTGATAACCAAGTGGATTGTGGAAATCCCATGGATATATTATGATTTCAGCAAAGCAGTTGACAGAAGCCTCCTGTGATATCCTTGTTAACAATATGGTAAAATGTGGGCAGGATGATACTGCCATTGGGTGGAACCACAGCTGCCTGAACAACTGTACACAATATGTGTTTGTTCATGGCTCAGCATCAACCTGCAAGGGAGATCTCAAGTGGAGTGCCCCAGAGCTCTGTTCTAGCCCCATACTCTGCAACATTTTTATAAATGGCTTGGATGAGGGAGTAGAGGCGATGCCTATCAGATTTGCAGGTAATCAGTGGGGACACAGGGCTTGCTGCTTTGCTACACTACCCCGAATGTTCCTTATAACCACAGCTGACAACTAGGCCTTGCCTCTCCATCTACAAAGGTGTTTGAAGCACCTCTTGCTTTCTTGGTGCTTCTGCTGAGGCAATGATGTATAGCAGCTTTCATCAACCTGCTGCTGTTCCACATGTTCCGGACTAAATACTCATCAGCATGTACCAGCTGGGGATGATGGGAGTTGTAGTCAAAATATCTGGAAGGCACCAGATTGATGAAGAAGACTGCTGTACAGGATGCTTAATCAGCCTGCACTCTTTTCCCTCCATGTTTAATAATGCATGATTAATAAAACCCCAGTTTATTTCACCACCATTCATGGTTGGCCCCTAAACCTTTAAGTAACTAATTCACTGTTGTCGCCTGGGAACGCTCTGCTGAAGGATATACATTCAACCATTTCATATGGCCCTCGAGCTTATTTACAGTGGCCGTCTGTTGTATTCATACTCCCGTTTTTAGTGTACGGAAGTGCCATTTGGAAAAGCAAGGGATGGCAGTGGGCGAGGTGGATTTGAGAGGCTTCGAATAGAACAATCTGGCACCTTTAAAGGTGGGGGAACTAGAACATGTGGTGGGCTGGTGCGACAGCCAAGGAATTGAGTGAAAACAGAGAGAGAGAGAGAGAGTGCTTAAAAACCAGCAGCCAGGCAGAAAATCTGATAATTGTGAAGACAATGTTAAAGAAGAAGAAGAGTTTGGATTTGATATCCCGCCTTTCACTCCCCTTCAGGAGTCTCAAAGCGGCTAACATTCTCCTTTCCCTTCCTCCCCCACAACAAACACTCTGTGAGGTGAGTGGGGCTGAAAGACTTCAGAGAAGTGTGACTAGCCCAAGATCACCCAGCAGCTGCATGTGGAGGAGCGGAGACGCGAACCCGGTTCCCCAGATTACGAGACTACCGCTCTTAACCACTACACCACATTGGCTCTCTATTGTATGGATGTTTCCCCTGGAAGGCTTGTGGCAAGGACGCTGCCTCTTGTTCTCTTGATTCACATCAAGAGGTGCACATTGGGGACCAACTTACAATGGGAGTCAAATACAAATGAGCTCAGAATATCCAGTGGACATGCTTCAAGAAATAACTTCTAGGAATGGGGCCAGAATAGAATATGTCCTGTGATCCGAGAACGATCCGAGATAGTTCAGGAACTGCATTTAGGGAACCCTGAGATGCCATAAAAGAATGTTCTTTAACCCAGCTTCCAAGGTTGTTTAGGAGTTCCAAATACATCATAAGGAGTGGGCAGATGACTAATAACAGATGTACCATGAAAGTCCTATCCACAAGGTTTCCAGTGGCTTGTACATACCCCATCCTGTCTTTGCAGTGTGTAAGATGGAACATCTTGAAAAAGCAAGTGTATCCAGTGGTACCTCGGGTTACATATGCTTCAGGTTACATACGCTTCAGGTTACAGACTCCGCTAACCCAGAAATATTACCTTGGGTTAAGAACTTTGCTTCAGGATGAGAACAGAAATTGCATGGCGGCAGCGGGAGGCCCCATTAGCTAAAGTGGTGCTTCAGGTTAAGAACAGTTTCAGGTTAAGAACAGACCTCCGGAACGAATTAAGTACTTAACCTGAGGTACCACTGTATATAGAAAGAGATGCACTGAACCTGCGTAGCCAAATCAAAGCCCATGCTTAGCCTTGACTGCTTAACTGCTTATTTACTTAGCTTCTGCCCCTCCTTTCGATCTCCAAGGCAGCTTACATAAAACAATAAAATGCAATTAAGTTGAGGCTGCTTCTGTCACCTCAGGCATAGCATTGCTCTGGGGTGGCTGTTCGCCACTCCCAAAACCCCATTTGTCATCCAGCCATTCTGCCTTTTTCTATCCCTTTCCATCTAATCTACCAGTTTCCTGGATGCACTTCCTTCTCCCATCTCCCACAACTGCAGGTGTTCTATCACTCAGGCTGAGAGAGGAACTAGGACACCGAGCGAAACAAAAATGAGTAAGAGTGGCAAGATTTCTCCCTCTGTTGTTTCCCCCCCCTGCTGCCTATTGTTTCCCCTATACCACTTTCCCATCTCTGGAAGGAAAAAAAGCATGTGTACTCCCATTTCTCCCACCCAAATGGTGAGGAAGCTTCTTTGGAGAATATAATTTTGAAGCCCACACCTTAAATAAATGACAGCTCAGGAGGGTATGCAGATTCTCCCGGGACTTGTTATTCAAGAGCAGAATGGAACCCACTTTTTCTCCTATTTTTGGCTGCATTTCTAGTTATCACATTACTTGCTGCCCAGGAAATTCACAATAATGTACTACAGAAGCACTAAGAATTAATGCATTTGCAGAGTAGATAGGCTGCAAAGTGAGCAGGCTTTTGGCTGGAGCACAGAGGATGCCTCTGAAAATGGCTTCCCTGATTAGACTGAACCTTGCTCTGGCCATAACGTGCAGAGCTATTTTTCTAGAAGTGCGCCTGGCTTTTGAGATAATGTGTGAATAATATCAGTTTTATCAGCAAAGCAATGTTCTGTACTCCTTGAAAACCATCCCAATAAGAGCAATTGGAGTGCCTTATTCTTGTTAAAGAGCTGCAGCATGCAGAGGTTTATTTAAGAGAGGACCGTTTAGGATGCTTCTGTCCTTCATGGCTGTATAGGTGCGTTTGAAAACATGCAGGCAGTGTCTTCAAAAGGCTCCAGGGGGTGGCAGGTATCATCATACTTTGCGCCTGATTTGCATAATTTCTTTTGAGTACAGAATCTCAAATGGATTCACTTGATGTAGAATTTGGGTTTCATCTCTGTGCAGACTCTTCTGTGCTTATCCTTGAGTTTAGTCATGATGACCAAAGGAGGACCTAGGGGTGTGTGACTGGTGCGGTCGCACTGGGTGGGGAGCTTCTGGGGTGCTGCAACTATGACACCCAATGGAAGGTGGGGAGGGGCACCTGATTTTGGCACTGCACAGGGTGCCACTGAGATTTGAGGTGCCAAGTGAAGTGGTGCGCTGGTGCCAATTTGCTTTGCGAAGATAACTTATATTCCAGTTATAATCCATATTTGGAGATTTTTAAAGCGGTACATGCTTTACAGTTGTTTGCTTCCTCAAGTTCCTTTTCACCTTCGTAGGAGTCCCATTTTGAATTGTTTGTGCTCTACAATGCAAGCCTGGCTCCCATGTGTGGCCTTGAGGGCACTTCATGCAGTTCCCTCCCCACAGGTGGACAGACAGCTGTGAGCCTTGTCAGAACTTCCAGAGAGAGAGAGAGAGAGAGAGAGAGAGAGAGAGAGAGAGAACATACCCCACGTAAGGCATTCTGAGAGTCTGGGAGAAAAGTCTGAAGGGAGTGAACGGATGAATAAGCCTGTGAATGGGAGCTGGTTTTGTTGTGTTTCTTTGGCCTTTCTCCCTTTTCATTGGTGTTCTTGAAAACTTCAATTTCACTGTGGGTTTCTAGTCATAACTCATGCCTGCCTTAAAATGTTTTGCTGTCCCTGCTTGCATCCACCAAGGAGATGGTGGCCTTTTCAGGAGGGGCATGCTGGTTAATAATAATAATAATAATAATAATAATTTTTATTATTTTTATGATTCGTACCCCACCTATCTGACTGGGTTGCCCCAGCCACTTTGGGCAGCTTCCTACATATATAGAAACATAATAAAACATTACACATTAAAAGGCTTCTCTATACAGGGCTACCTTCAGATGTCTTTTAAAGGTTATATCATTACTCATCTCCTTGACAACTGATGGGAGGGAGTTCCACAGGGCGGGCGCCACTGCTGAGAAAGCCCTCTGCCTGGTTGCCTGTAGCTTCACTTCTCGCAGTGAGGGAACCGCCAAAGGCCCTCAGAGCTGGACCTTAGTGTCTGGGCTGAACAATGTGGGTGGAGACACTCCTTTAGGTATACAGGTATACAGGGTCAAGGCCGTTTAGGTTAAGAAACAGTCTTCTAAGAAAGGTTTACCTGGCACCAGTTGAAGACCTTTCTCTTCACCCAGGCCTTTTTGATAATTTACGTAGTTTTAAAATCTGTGTTTTGACTTTCAGGCTATAGTGACACCCCCCCACCCCAGCTTTAGCTGTATCTATGTTGCTTTTGATTTTATGTCTTCCATATATTATTTTGCTTATTTTGGTTTTTTACTGATTTAATGTAAGTTTCCTACAGAACTTTATTTAACTTCTGTCTTATTTTATTTATTTTAACTTTGTGTTGTGGTGTGGCATGCTAATGCAAATGAATAAAGTAGCTAATATTTTATCATCAAGCTATTTGTTATAGCCATGTTCGGACTTACGTGGAACATATGATATAAATTCCTTAAGTAAAAGGCACTTCGTTGTAGTCAATTTATGCCCCATCTTTCCATCAGAAGATGTCCAAGGCAGCTAACAGAACAAAAATTAAAAACCAGTATCAATATCAAAACAGGGTTAAAGGGCATGGCATCAACAAAATAAGCAGGAGTCAAACAGATGGCAGATAAAATTAATCTGCCAAGTTTTAAACCGCCTGCAGGAACGGATGTCTTCAAAAGGGTCATGTATACCAACCCACTCAATGCCAATGAACTGCTACCAGTCTGCGGTGTGTATAACAGCTCTAGAGCAGATTCTGTACAATTTATCTATGGGATTGAAAGGATTAAGCTCCTAATTGGTGCTGTTGACAGATCAGCTTCTACAGATTAAAGGCAGTGCTCTGATCTAATCCAGTTATCTGGGCTCTGTGGCTGCCTGGACCTCACTGCCTCCTCTGCAGAAGAGGAAGAGGAGGAGTGTCTCGAGGACTGGAGGAGCAGGCGTCTGTGAGGAAAGGGAAGCACTGTGTTTGTGGAAGGAAATGCTGGAGGGTGGCTGTGGCACTTGGACCAATATGCTAATCAGCTGGCAGCAACCGTTGCCCATGCAGAAAGTGCAACGTAAATTGGAAGATCATTTTGTAATTGAGATTGGTTGGGGGGACGGGACTGCTCCAAGTACCTCCATAGAGGTGTCAGTATTTGTTGTTGTTTAGCCGTTTAGTCATGTCCAACTCTTCTTGACCCCATGGACCAGAGAACGCCAGGCACTTCTGTCTTCCACTGCCTCCCGCAGTTTGGTCAAACTCATGCTGGTAGCTTCGAAAACACTATCCAACCATCTTGTCCTCTGTCGTCCCCTTCTCCTTGTGCCCTTCATCTTTCCCAACATCAGGGTCTTTTCCAGGAAGTCTTCTCTTCTCATGAGGTGGCCAAGTATTGGAGCCTCAGCTTCAGGATCTGTCCTTCCAGTGAGCACTCAGGGCTGATTTCCTTAAGAATGGATACATTTGATCTTCTTGCAGTCCATGGGACTCTCAAGAGTCTCCTCCAGCACCATAATTCAAAAGCATCAATTCTTCAGCGATCAGCCTTCTTTATGGTCCAGCTCTCACTTCCATACATCACTACTGGGAAAACCATAGCTTTTACTTTGTTGGCAAGGTGATGTCTCTACTTTTTAAGATGCTGTCTAGGTTTGTCATTGCTTTTCTCCCAAGAAGCAGGCGTCTTTTAATTTTGTGGCTGCTGTCACAATCTGCAGTGATCATGGAGCCCAAGAAAGTAAAATCTCTCTCTGCCTCCATTTCTTCCCCTTCTGTTTGCCAGGAGGTGATGGGACCAGTGGCCATGATCTTCGTTTTTTTGATGTTGAGCTTCAGACCATATTTTGCGCTCTCCTCTTTCACTCTCAATAAAAGGTTATTTAATTCCTCCTCACTTTCTGCCATCAAGGTTGTGTCATCTGCATATCTGAGGTTGTTGAGGTTGTCAGTAGTTATCCCTGTCAGGGATATCTGCCCTATCAGAAGGGCCTGCTGGCTTAGGCCAATGGCCCATCCAGTCCAGCATCCTGTTCTCACAGCAGCCAACTAGTTGTCTGTGGGAAACTGGCAAGCAGGATTCGAGCACAAGTACGCTCTCCCCTCCTGTGGTTTCCAGCAACTAGTATTCGGAAGCATTGCTGCCTCTGACTGTGGAGGCAGAGCACAGTCATTGTGGCTTATAGAAGGGTTGGGCATAAGGAGGGCTGGGTTCTCTCAGTAGACCTCTGTGCGATTTGCAGTCAATTGTATAGGCTGTCTGGCTCTTTAATGATAGCAACAGCATAGCTGCTTTTCCCACCTGAATTAAGCTGCTGAAATGAAGAAAGCTGACCAGGAGTAGACTTGTGTGTGAAAGCAGTGTGCGCTCATTCTGGCTCTGCTACAGGAAACAAAATCCCTGGTTCAGAATGTGCTCAGAAGGCCCCCTGTTCTTTAATTTTAAATATCTCTCTCATGTACCTGGCACTGGTTGGTAGATCTTGGGATTTTAGTAAAGCGAACACACACACGTGTCAATCTGACACACCTGGAGTCTGCCAACTCTGTTTCATAGCATGCCTTCCTCCAGGAATGATGCCTGCAGACGCCAAACCAAATTAGAGTTCAGGAAGAATGTAAGAAGAGTCCTTCTGCAAGAGGAAGGAAAAGACTCAGTTCAGCTTCCTGTTTCTGATGCTGGAGGGCCAGTTTTTTTGGCGTATGGTGAAAACAAATGCTGGAATGGATGAGCCTTTGGTCTCATTGTCCGAAGAGCTGATCTTCGGTTCATTTTTAACTGTAACTGGGCTAAGTATTTGAGGAACCTAAAACCTATCCCCCCTCTGAAGCTTTTAATATTTATTTTTGCAGTTGCTTGCTGCAAGTTTTAGAATGAAAATGACATTGACAGTTGCTTTTCGGTTCTTAAATTGCAAATTTTAAAGTACTGGTATTGTATGGTTAACTGCTTTGGGCTACATAAGAAAAAAAATTAAGCTTTTTTGACCTGGTGGACCAGAACATTGTCTCCCCCCACTTCGCAGGCTGTTCACCTGCCAATCACCTGATGTCATGAGACTGATGAATGGGCGGTCCTGTCAAAATTAACCTGTGGTGTGGAGGGAAGGTTCTGTGTTGGGAATGTGCTGGCAAATCGGCACCTAGCAGGATTGAACTCTCCGCTCACCAGCTGATAAGTGAAGGCTTGAATCCTGCTCTCCACAGCTTTGCCAGAGCATTCCCTACAGGGAGCGTGCTGGTGAGGTGGTACCCAGCAGGATTGAACCCTGCCCATCAGCTGATGTCACCCAGTGATGTCAGTTGACTGACAGGTGGCTGTGGTTACAGTGGAAATGGCCTCGCAGGTCAAATTGGACCACTGGCAGATGAAGATTGACCCATGGGCTGGAGATTCCACCCTCCCCTTTATAAAGACAGAAAATAATAATGCCAAGAAGTCTTAATATGACAGAAGCAACAAAGTAGTAAAGGCTAAGGCGTCCAGGATATTGATTAAAATGTTCAAATCAGATCATATATTTTTATTTATGTATGCCATTTAATCAGCAAAGTTTCTAAGCACCATACAATAAAATTATGTCTGTTCTGGGAGTTGCAGTCCAAAATACGTGGAGGACACCAGGTTAGAGAAGGCTGTAAAGGAATCCTGGCTTTTCTGCTCATTTTAGAAAGTTGAGTCAGACTGGATGTGTTCTACTGGTTCCTGCTGGGGTTCTGGCAGGGAGGGACAGCTTAACTTACTGTAGGCTGAAGTGTGTTGGGAGAAATCAGCAGGAAATGTCATAATATATGGGAAGACATGAGGAAATAGCAGAGCACTTCAGATACAAAACAGGTATGCACATGCTAATTATGAGATCATTGGAGTGGCTGATTACTGAATTGCTGAAGGGCAAATCTGTCAATTTAAGTTTCTCATTTTTCTCAACTTTAAATTCAGTTCTCTACACTTCCACATCATTTTACAAAGGTTCTCACTGAAATTTATCAGCGTTTTAGTGTGAACTTCTTTTAAGAGACACATTTTTGTATGGCATTTTGCCCAATAGACACATGTTTGCAAAGCAGTTTCCCAAATATAATGCATGACTGTATGCTATTTTCACATACATTTGCATTTTTGGGCACACTTTAACCCAGCAGATGCATTTTTGTGCACACATTACTTAGCTGGAGAACTGCACTACAAAATTCACAGAAGTGTGAATTTTGAAGGCTGCCTGTGTTGCAGTCCTTACATTTTTTTGGAAAGTTCCAGTTAAGTGGGTTTACCTTTAAATGTGGACTGGATCAAATTTCTCTCCCATCCCTAATCAAGAGTAGAGGAAGAAAGCTTAAGGGAAACAAGGGTGGGTGAGGCAGGAAGAACAAGGGGCAAATGTCAACAAAGGCCAACATACATGCTAAGGCTTCCCTCTCGTTTGAGTTGAGGAGTGAGGATCTATTTGGGTATTTGATGAGCCCACAAAGACCCTCTAAAACAGCCTCCTTCTCTCCTGGGCTGATGTGAGTTGCAGTCCACTAGGGCATGAGGTTTGGGAAGGCTGCTCTAAAGGCAACAGAGTTTCTGCACTCATAGAATTGTAGAGTTGGAAGGCACCCCAAGGTTCATCTGGTCCAATCCCCTGCAATACAGGAATCACAGTTAAAGAATCCCTGGCAGATAGCCATTCAAACTCTGTTTAAAACTCTCCAATGAAGGAAAGCCCATTACTTCAGATAAACCCATTTGGAAAGCTTTGCTTTAAGATCTTGATTTAAAAATTCACTCCATGAATTGCAAAAGAAAAAGTTCAATGTCAAAAAGAGAGAAAGGAAAGCAATGGTGTGTGTGTGTGTGTGTGTGTGTGTGTGTGTACCTGCACATGTGCATTCAATGGGTGTTGGACTCTGAGGCAACAGGGAAGGAAATGGTGGATCTGTCTCCCTTTTCCTCTTCTTTCCTTCATTTTGGGAAAAAGTAGTCAAGACAGGGCTGTGCAGGAAGAGGAGGGTTGTCTTCTTCATGAGAAGAGCTTGTAAACAGCTCATGTGGGTTTGGGTAATAAAAACATCAGGCTGGAATAACAAAAGGGATTAGGTTTGCTTTTGTGCCAAGCACACAATCTCCAGGGCTCCTCAGCCTTCAGCTAGCTGTGTTTTTGCTCCATTCCAAGATTTCCTGCTTTCTATTTGGGTTGCTTGCTTTGGGGAGGATAAGATGTTCAAGTTCCCCAGTTAAAGAAGTTCATTTAACGTTTCCCCCTCTGTCCCACTGTCTTAACAGGGGGAGACTGTGGCTTCACGTACCCAAACTTGACCAGCATAAAGAATCACGTCTGAAAGGGAAGCCGGATCAATGCAGCACAAGACTGGACAGGAGTTTTCACTGCACCTGATGGCATTGCTACAGCAACTGGAAACTACGAGTGAAACTTAGAAGTGCGGCAGAAGCCAGGGCACCTCCTCCTTGCCTTTGTGCAGGAGAACTATGCAGGAGAGCAAAAGGGGACACTGGGCAGATTTTGACCACTCTGTGGGCAAGGAAAGCTTCCCTTCCATAAGAGGAACGTGCAAATGCTTCCTCAGAAAATGGGAGTGCTAATGAGCTCTGCTGAAGCTACTGTTTGTTTGTGGTTGCCTGTTATGACTTTGCAACCTTCCTGGGACTGAAGTACTTGGTCCTGGTCTATTGGAGGGCATCACAAATTGGACAGTACTCTCACCCTGCTCCTAGAAGATACACCAGATAAAAAGAATCGCTGCAGTTATTTCTGGGAAGCAGAGAGAGAGAGTGTGTGTGTCTACAGCTATCCCCTTCTGCTAGTCTCTGCTGTACCATGGGATGTAGGCAAAGCTCTGAGGAGAAAGAGGCAGCGCGGCGGTCCCGGAGAATTGACCGCCACCTGCGCTCTGAGAGTCAGCGGCAGCGGCGCGAGATCAAGCTCTTACTTCTTGGCACCAGCAACTCTGGCAAAAGCACCATTGTCAAGCAGATGAAAATCATCCACAGCGGCGGCTTCAACTTGGAGGCCTGCAAGGAGTACAAGCCTTTGATTATCTATAACGCCATCGACTCCCTCACTCGCATCATCCGCGCCCTGGCGACTCTGAAAATCGAGTTCCACAATCCCGATCGCGCCTACGATGCGGTGCAGCTCTTTGCTCTGACGGGCCCCGCGGAAAGCAAAGGGGAGATCACGCCTGAGCTGCTCGGGGTGATGAAGAGGCTCTGGGCTGACCCCGGGGTACAGGAGTGTTTCTGTCGCTCCAACGAGTACCATCTAGAGGATAATGCTGCCTACTACTTGAATGACCTAGAAAGGATTGCTGCATTAGATTACATCCCGACAGTCGAAGACATTCTGCGCTCTCGGGACATGACCACAGGGATTGTGGAAAACAAGTTTACTTTCAAAGAGCTGACTTTTAAAATGGTGGATGTTGGCGGGCAGAGGTCTGAGCGCAAAAAATGGATCCACTGTTTTGAGGGGGTTACAGCAATAATTTTCTGTGTGGAACTGAGTGGATATGACTTGAAGCTGTATGAAGATAACCAAACGGTAAGTCCAAATGTAGCTTTCGTCCGTCCCCCATCCCCTCCAGTCTTCATTGTTTCATTATGTGTATTTTGATACTGCTTGTGGGTTCCAGGTATGATGCTCAGTTTCTTTTCCGAGTGCTCAAGGAGAAGGTATCCTGGAAACAGCTGCTGAGCATCGTAACTGCCCTTATATTTCCTATAAGGCTTTCATATGGGCTAGCTTCTGTGACCAAAACAGAGTGGTTTTTATCATAATGGAAAAGGTAGGGTTTACTAATGCCCTCTGTCTGAAGTTTCATTGCTGCTCTACCTTCAAAGCTCAGAAGATATGATGACCCAGATGTTGGACCACGTGACTCTCTTTTTGTAAAGAGACATCATTGTCTTGGCAGCCACTTTTAGGTTGGATGTTGTGTTCCTCTTGCAGGTACTGTTGCCGTGTAAATACAGAAAACTCTGGGTAAAGTATTCTGGAGGGATGTACATGACACAGTTTAAAAAAGGAGTTCCAGAAAGCCTTTGAAGCTTCAAAATTAAGTTGAATTAACCTTTTTGTGCTGTTTAAAATGGCACCCGCTGGTCTGAGACTCACTATCTGCGTGGGTTTTCACAGAGAATTTTATGGTGTTCACTAAACAGCTTCTGTCCATATCATAAAAACCGACTCCCTTTGCAGTCTCTTTATGGTGCTAATACTGGCCTCCAGTTTGCTTGAACAAACAGATACAGTAACTATGGAAATGACTGCATATGCAGAAGTGTGCGTGGATCATTGCATTCACCCTCCTTGACTTGACCTTTGTTGCCAGTTTTGTTTGTGCTTTCCAGTCTCTTTCCTCAATATATAATTTAACTAAGATGGTAACACGCATAATTGTAGATGCTTCGTTTGCAGAAGGTTCTCTGTATGGAATTCCTGGTATCCAATCAATGGCTTTGTTATGAAATGTTCTTCATGCAGAAAAAGAGCGCTCATGGCCACTGCTGATAATGTGTGTGCTCAGCAGATGAAAATTCCATATTTATGTCTGGCTTTGATGGAGAATCTCAGGGCTTATCCCGCAAGCCATTTTGCAGATCCCCAATCTCAGTGTCACAGCTGAAGTCATAATTGTGCCTCCACAATGTTGTTGAAGATTTGCAGAGTTTGGGGGGTTGTGGGTAGGAACATAAGAACAGCCTGCTGGATCAGGTCAAAGGCCCATCTAATCTAGCACTCTGTTCTTACAGTAGCCAACCAGATGCCCCAGTGGGAAGCCCACACGCTTGCCCCACTTGCAGTTCTCAGCAATTGCTATTCAGCAGTGTATAGCCTCTGAGAATAGAGGTAGAACAAATGTCAGAGCAAATGTCTCAGGAGCCTTGCACACTCTGCTTTGCCTTCCCCTATTCATCTGAAGCACTTCAGAAAGCTTGGGAGATCTTTCCAAACCTCTGATAATGTCACCCCCTCTGGGAAATAAAAGAAGGGCTCAGTATTCCTGGCAATATTCTCCTGAAACAGATAATTCAGCTTGGTGTCCATAGGAACTGAGGAGAACCTACAGGCCTATGAATTTTGAAACAAAGCACTTTTTTATATAATTGGGGAGGGGGGGAATGCACCCTTTTCTGTAGGATGCAATTAAGTAGTAATCTCAGGCTCTATTTATAATTGATGTGCAATTATGGAGAATGACAAGCAGCTCGAGTCGGGGGGTAAGAGCTGCTTCATTGAGAGATCCTTCTGTTCTAACAAATGGTGGGAGAGAGTGAAGCATCATTTCAAATGCTGTTATAATGGTTAATGTGGTTTAGGCAGGGAAGAGATCAGGCAACAATCTTGCCTGGATTGTTTGCAGAGTTGCAAAGCAGTCCTGAAAAGTCCTGCATACCTTGATACCACTCTGGGATTGTAGATATAGAGGTCAATGCAACTTTTTCAGATCAAGGTTAAAATTTGCCACTAGAAGCTGAGCCATCTGGGCTTGATTCGTCCTTCGTCCCCTGGCCTGGTGGCCTCCTGATGTTTACTTCTTGTTTCCTTTTACACTGCTTTAATTTTGTTCATTTTTGGATTGGGCTATATCTATTTTCATTCTAGGAGCTTCGAATGAAATGTAGATTATAAATGCTTTCCCTAAATAAAATAAATATGTTTACAACTCCCATCAGCCCCAGCCAGCAAGACTGACCTAGAACATTTAGATAATCAGACATGTTTGCCAAGGAAGGCTATTGAAATGAGGCTACAGAAAGAAAATTGTTAATTCAGGAGTACCAGGAAATGTAGCTAAGTTGGCTCTTGAACAGCAAGGCTTCTGCTCTTGCTCTCGTTTCAGTTCTCACTGCATGCCTTCTAACAATCTTTAACTTGGGGGGGAAAGCCTTCTATAAATTTAAATAATTACATAATTACAGCCCTCTCATCAGATGTAAACTGGTGAAATGTACTCCAAGAAATTATCCTCCCCTTGTAGCATAATGTTGTATCCAGAGCAACACCCAAACCCTGAACTTGACTGATTCTTACAAGTATGATAACTTGCCAACCTTCATTGTGATGGCCCTTCCCCAACCTGGTGCCCTCCTCATGTTTTGGACTACAACTCTCATCATCCACAGCATCATAAAGCCATGCCACCTAGGTCTGATGGGAATTGTACCCCAAAACATCTGGTGGGCACCAGACTGGGGAAGGCTGCTGTGTGTTGCTTAGATTCAGCCTCAGTCTGGTAGATAAGATTTTTTTGGTTTTGTTTTTTGAGAAGAGCCTGACAGTTGTCTTCTCTTCATCTCTATGGGAAACTTTGGGGAGTCAAAGTCTCAGTCCCTCAAAAGCAGCTGTAATCATCCAAGATGGAGAAGAATCCAAGTTGCTTGCACAAGTGGGGGTTGTTATTGTTTCTGTTTGTTACTCTGTTTTTGTGGTTTTATATTGTACACCTCCCTATGGTCTTCTGATGAGGGGTATTATTAGTACAGTAGTACCTCGGTTTTCAAATGTCTCCATTGATGAACATTTCGGTTTACAAACTCCATAAAACCAGAAGTAAATGATTCGGTTTTTGAACAAGCCTCAGAAGTCAAACATGCCACGCGGCTTCCGCTGAGTGCAAGATCCTGAGGCCTAGCTGTTGGCTGTTGAGTTTTCGATTTTTGAACATTTCAGAACTCAAACAGTCTTCTGGAACCAATTACGTTCGAAAACCGAGGTATCCCTGTAGTAGTAGTAATGGTAGTAGTAGTAGTAGCACTCCACCCATCTGACTGGGTTGCCCAGCCATTCTGGGCAGCTTCTAATCTAAAACATTAAACATTAAAAATATTTCAGTCCTGTGATGGGGTCTGAATCCAAATTGGAAGGGATGCAAATGGTCCACATCCTCCAGACTGGCCTGGAGTTGTTCAGCAACCAACCGCTCAAGGACCTTGCCCAGGAATGGAAGATTTGAGACTGGGCGATAATAAGCCATAATGGCTGGGTCCAAAGATGGTTTTTCAAAGAAGACGTTTAATAACTGCCTCTTTAAGGGGTTCAGAGAAGACTCCCTTACAGAGGGAAGCATTCACCATCCCACACAGCCCATTGTCCAACCTGCTTGGCTCGCTTTTATGAGCCAGGATGGGCAAGGGTCAAGGAGATAGGTGGTTGGTTTTGCTCATCCAAGCAGCCTGTCCACATCCTCGGAGGCAATAGGTTGAAAATGATCCCATACAACCTGACTAGACAGAGCTCTGGCACTCTCCCACCCCAGCTCTGCTACCATAGTGGAGTCTACCTCCTTCCGTATTGAAATGGAATCCATCAATCAATGCCCTTTTGGAACCAAGGGCCCCTGCCCCAAAATGTTCATAGCATACAGGACATGAATATGTCAGTGAGTGTGCAGGCATCTTGGCAACTACTGGGTGGATGTACAGGGCTACCATGCTGGGTTCAAGCAACGTTTTGATGGACCTGAATTAGTATTAGACATTACTGGTTTTTATTAGAAATGGTTTGCTGCTCTGCCTGCCACCATGCTCATTCCACTGTTTCTTTTGCCGTTAGGGGAAATGTGCATGGCCTGCCTGGCCAATATCTGTTTCGTTTGCTTAGATGAGCAATCCTTGCAGAGGGGCTGCTGTAAGCGTTTGAACTTCAAAAGCTCCTGACTGTTCCAGCAATCTTCTATTGTCACTGAGAATGGAAAACTTGAGATGTACGTGACCCAAAGTGTCAATGGTCATAAATGTATTGCACAGTTCAGAGCCACTGCTTCCATCAGATACAATTTCCACTGTTGCTGTTATCCTTGGTTTTGAATCAAGTCTATTTCTGTTTAAGCTTTTTCTCCTTTGCAATCAAGCCGTTTCCTGATTAGGGAGTGTTAAGCCTGCAGTCCTAAAGGTTATTTGTATTGTTGCAAGGAGTAAATGCATTTAAATTGGTGATACTTCAGAGAAAACATCTTTTGATGAGACTGCAAGCCATCATGCTGAATTTAATATTTTCATTCAGCAACTGTCTATAAAGTCATCAATATCTCCTGAGGGATGTGGTAGAAGATAGAAACTAGCAATCCTACAAAGTACGGTAATATGATTCTGCAATAGAAGAGGATCAGAGCACGGTTATGGTTCAGGTAATGGAACTATTGCATGTTCAACAGTTAGTGGGCGTACAAAGATATGTGCACATTAGACCAGGAGAAAGCTGGAATATAATCATTCCTGACAAAGGAATGCATAACCCCGGTCTTTTAAGCTAAAGATAATCTGAGGAATATTATCAAGACAAGAATTTTACACAATTGCTCAGTGTGAAGGAGCCAAGAATAAATGGACAATTGACCACTATGAAAAATAGTATAGGTTTTTTTTACATGTGTCATTTTAAAAAAATGAAGATACTATTGGATGTCCAAAATAAGACTAATTCGGGAGGCCTGGGCTTAATTGGCACACACAAGGGGGTGTATAAAAACACACACACAAAAACCAAGAGTTTGTATCAAGAATGACTATGGGCACCTTTTACTCTCTTTTCTGTGCTCCAGTGAGCACTCTTGGAGTGGTTGGGAGAACTCAGCCCTAGGCAGTGAGGGTACATGTCGACCTTCCCCAACCCAGTGCCCTCTAGATGTTTTGGACTACAAATCTGAACAGCCCTGGCATCATGCAGCTTTGTTGACAGAGTGCTCTGTTCCGTGTATTGAGGAACATGTTTTGGACATGCAACAGTCTGCTTATTTTGCTTGTAGGGTTTTTGTTTTTTTTAACTGATGAAACTGGCAATTTTCTAAGACAAGATTTTATGAAGATTTGTTAACTTTGTCAGCAAAGGGTCTTGTGGGAGCATTGTGGCATAATCTGTCATGGACTACAGCCCACTTCATCAAATGCATAGAGTGTGATCTTCTTGTGTTTGCAAAAAGAGCCTGGTCACCTTTCACAATAGCAGTGGTTGGTGATAACAGAATCATCTTGGGATTGCTGTGTAAATTTTATGCATCTGTACTGAGACAGTAGAACAAGGTCTCTATTTAGACACAAGTGACTAGAACTGAAAATTTTCATAAACTGCAATTTCACCCTGGATGTTCTCCTTTAAAGCTGCTTAATTCCAGGATGGTCACATTAAGCTCAGTACAGTGGTACCTCGGTTTAAGAACAGTCCTCTTTAAGAACGATTCGGTTTACGAACTCTACAAAACCGGAAATAGTGTCCTGGTTTGAGAACTTTACCTTGGTCTAAGAATAGAATCAGAATGGTGGAAGGGCACCGGCGGCGTGAGGCCTCACTAGGGAACGCGCGCCTTGGTTTAAGAACGGTTTTGGTTTAAGAATGGACTTCTGGAACAGATTAAGTTCGTAAACCGAGGTACCACTGTAACAGAGAGGCCCAGTAGGCTGAAAAGTTATCCTACTGATTCCTGAATGATTGCCATTTCTGGTGTCAGATCTGTGTACAATTATTTAACCAGGCCAGTCCCTAAGCAAAAGAATATTTTTTTAATTTGTCAATTTGGGTACAAATAAATCAGGCAGGCTTGCACAAGTTGTGACTCAGCAAGCCAAATGCTTGATAATCTGCTTGTCCATCCTCCCACCCCCACTTTTTCTTTTACTGCCTGCCAGGGGAGTTGTCAAGCAACCATCTGGCTGGCCGCAGGACACAGCCAGTGGGCTGCATTTGGCTCAGTAGGTCATAATGTTGTGCTGGCATTTTCTACAAAAAGAGATTCAAAGACCTCTTTTAAATGTAGGTGCCTGAAAATACATCTGATGCTTGAGTCTGGCTTTGTTAGAAAATAAAATGTTTTAAGGCTCGCTTTTGGATGGTGAGTGGCCTTTTCTTATTGACAAACGCTGGTAAACTCTATTTGAGGAGTTGGACTCACTCCGCATAGGACAGGTGGGATGAGCTGGAACTGCCTTGACTGGGGTGCTGCTCCCGTGCTCAAGGAATTTCAGCTTGCAATATTAAGCCAGAAGCTTCCTCTATTTCAGCAGCCCCAGTTCTTTTCCTCCCCTGTTTCCATAACAACGTGTTTGTAATGGAGCACATAAATGCATTCTGAGGTTTTCTGACAGCAGTGCCCTTCCATCGTTAGCTTGTAAATCCTAAATTCTCACAGCAGAACCTGGGGAGTCTGTAACACAGAGGGGGTTTCTTTAATGGTAACTGTCAGTCCAGCCCAGAGCTAGGCACTGGCATTCTCAAGGCCAGGCTCTGAAGGGAAGTGACTCGTGCACAACACTATCCAAATTTCATGTGCAGCAGCCCCAGCTGGAAAGGAAAGAAGGATGGCTCTTGTGCACTCATTCTTCCATCCCTACATTTTCCTCTGTGCCTCTGCACAATTTCTATTATTCACGTCAACAGCGTTAGCTTGAGGGGTGAATGGCTGACTCATGTGGACTTGGCTGCTTCCACAGTGAGACCCCTCTGATTCAGACAGGGGAAACCAGACACATGTTTCAGATGATGTTGGTCCTGCTTCTTGTAAGTTTGAGTACAACGTGTCAGATGATGTTTACATGCTTATTCTGCTTCAATATTATTTAGAGGACAAAAGCCATCCTAGAATGTTGAGATGTGTGTTTAATTGTAGAAAGTAAGTGATTTGGGGGGCAAAGGGGGTGAGCAGGCGGATCCCCATACTTGCCAAGTAAAGGGGGCATATGGCAGGTGCAGCTGGATGGGTGCTTGCTAAAGTGCTCTTTGCTATAGAGCTATTAAACGTATGGATTATTTATGCCTTTCCCCCCTCCCTTGCATCTGGCCATTCTCCTTCGTCAGGCAGCTGCAATGATTTGTTTAGGTAACATATAGATGCCTGTTCTGCTAAACCAGAGATTTTCAACCTTTTCCAATCCACGGCTCCCTTGACCAACTACATTCTTTCTGCGGCACCCCTGTGGGGCTCAGGAGCCCAGTTGTGTCACTGCTTTCCAGCAGAGCTGGCAGCCTCTCACCCTTTTTTCAAATACCCTCCCTTGTGGAGTGTTCCCTCAGCCTCCTCTCCTCTCCCCTCTCCTTAGGAGTCCTCTGGGCAGCTGTTGCTGCCACCCCTGGTCTCTGAGCTGCCCACCCTGCCCCAAAGAGAGGTGCCTCCTCACACTGCCCCATAGAGGCCTGGGACTACAGCAAGGGCTGGTGGATTGGCTGGCTGGACTCCCTCGCCTGCTTGCTGGGCCTACTCCAAGGCCACCTCAGCTCCTGGCAACCAGCACCTCCTGACCATCCCCAGAGACACCATTCACCTGCAGAGCTTGTAGCCAGGGCTGCTGCAACGAACAGCTGTGCAAGCCTTTGGGAGGCAAAGATGTGATAGGGCATCAGAGGAGGGAGGGAGGGAGGGAAGGGAACAGGGACGGAGACCAGAGTTGCCTGTGGCACTCCTGATTATCATTCAAGGCACCCCAGGGTGCCATGGCACACTGGTTGAAAACCACTGTGCTAAACCATCACCTCCCCCTCTCCTTCTGAAGCTCCTGGATGGTGTGTCTTAATCTCTTTAGCAGATAGGCATGGCTCCATTCTCCAAATGCCTCACTAGGGCAAGGGTCACCCAGTCTTCTAGGCCAGCCATGCCTCGCATGCACAGCAGTGCAGAGCAATGGGAGATCCCAGGAGCCCAACTGTTTTATTCCCTTCAGACTTCGCAAACAATTTATTTGAAATTTTCAAATAAAATTTATAAGTGCAAACAACTTCTGTTAGAGTGGAATAATAGGGTTTCTTTGTTCCTGGGCAGCGGGGATGCATTCTCCTTACCCTGTTCCTCAGATCCCTACCACCACAAAAATGTGTGCTGAAAATTAAGATTTGTGCTTAGGAAGGCCCTGTTTAAAGACATCTTAACTGGAGTTAAGTTTTAAGGACAGGGCAATGTAATGTTACTTGACTTTCTGCCTTTTGCATTTTATTTTCGAAAGTGACAACATTATCATCTTGACATACTGGGGGGTGGGGGTGGTTATACACATGTGCTCGAATGCATTGTTAAAAATAGGCCTCCTTTAAAACACACACACACCCAACTCCTCCAGTTTCCTTAAACACAGATTGAGACTTCCTGTATGATGCATATGCACACATACAAAAGTTGCCTTCTTCACAGAATCAAATCGAGTTGAGCAACATTACATTTCTTTCTCGACCAATGGTTCTGATTTTGTGGGAATAGCCTACCTACTTAAAATGGATTTGCAACATTTTGGCACTGATACTGTGCTTTAATCCTCTTGGAATTGTAACTGGTTTAGAAGGCATCAGCAGGGGTCCCCAATTTCTGCCTCCACCCGTGCCTTGCTCTGGGGAGATGTTGTGCATGGGTTGGAATAGTGCGCCACAACTCTGTTTGGTGAGATATCTCTCAGAGAAGAAGACCACTGTTCCATGCAGTGGCATCCTCAATGTCTTGAACAATAATGTGAACACTATGTTACAATTTTCATAGAGAGAGAAGCCTCATAATTAAATGTGCAGTATACGTTGTTTCAAAGCCTGTACTGTAGCCAAGGTGAATCCCTAAGAGATTGCTATCCTGACATAGCAGCGTCAGCAGCATACAGGTCTTGCTTTGAGCAGAGCAGCCCATGGATCCTCAATCTCAGATTCCCAGAGCAGGCATTACTAGGGATGGACATCCTCCTGCTTCCCCAGCATTCTCTTGAGGGTCATTAGGACCAGAGCAGAGAGACACGCCCTTCCCCGCTATTCAATGAACTACCAAGGGCAGTACAATCCACTCTTGCCAGAAGCCCAAACTGACCGCTTGCAGAGGGCTTTTGAAATCAGGGTTTGGCCTGCATGTCATTAGCCCAAGTGCTACAAGTTGTCCACCCTGGTATAGTGCTTGCCTTAAGGGTGCAACTAATTGTTACCAAACAAAAAACCTGGAGAATCATTTCCATATCTGGTTTTCCTTTCCCAGTGGCTTCCTGTGAGTCCTGGCACCCAGACACTGGGGGCAGATTTTGTGAAAAGGAGGAGGACTGGGCATGGTGGGGGTGGCACTGTCTGCAGCACCCCTCTCTCTTTTCATTGGCTGATTCTGCCCCCTGAGCCAAGATTTGAGCTGCAGCCCTGCAAACAAGCTTATTATGTGCTGCAGCTAAGGAGGCCTCTTAAGGCCAAGCTGCCCTCATCTCCAGACTGCAGAGCAAGCATTACTGTGACATGGCTGCAAAATCAGGGCATAACAGACTTATTTTTTATTTATTTTATTTTTTGTCCCACCTTCCTCCCAGGCTGGCTCACAACATCAATTAAGACAGTTGCAGCTAAAAACACACCATCAATAAAAATATTTTTTTTAAAAACCAATTAAATAAGTACAGTGGTACCTCGGGGTTACATACGCTTCAGGTTACAGACTCCGCTAACCCAGAAATAGTGCTTCAGGTTAAGAACTTTGCTTCAGGATGAGAACAGAAATCGTGCTCCGGCGGCGTGGCAGCAGCAGGAGGCCCCATTAGCTAAAGTGGTGCTTCAGGTTAAGAACAGTTTCAGGTTAAGTACAGACCTCCGGAATGAATTAAGTACTTAACCCGAGGTACCACTGTAACCCTATTAAAAATTACTTAAAAACAATTTAAAGTGCAAACACGCAAAGTGCAACACCCACCCTCAGAAGAACCTGTCACAACAGACATTAAGTGGCCAAAGGCCTGCTAGAACAAGGAAGTCTTTGCTTGCCAGCAAAAGGAAAGCGGAGAGGGAGTCAGGCAAAGCTCCCATGGAAGGGCATTCCACAGTCTGGTAGCAGACATCAAGAAGGCCTTCTCTCATGTCCTCAGCAAATGTGCCTGTGAAGGTGGTGGGACTGAGAGTGGCGTCTCCCCAGAAGATGTCAAAGCCCAGACAGGCTCATATAGGGAGATATGGTCCTTCAGGCAGCCTGGACCCAAGCCATATAGGGCTTTGGAAGTGGAATAGGAAAAATCCTTCACCCCTGAAAAGCAGACTGGTCTCTGTGTTAGGGAATCATTCTGCCAGAAATAAGTAGAAAGTTTCTAGAAGGCTCCAGAGTTTTTCCTTTATATATGGGAGTGGTACTCTGAGCTTAATTAGCATCAGCTGGAAGTGCAAATAAGAAGACGACATCTGTCCGAAGAGTATTGCCTGTAAAATATTCTGAAGGACTGCTCCTGTAATTTACGACGTGTAGGAGATGAAAGACTTTTGTTTGAAAGTGTACAGTTAATTGCTGTTTATGTTAACAGTCGAAAATATATTGGCTACCGTAATGCTTGTACCCGGTCTGGGAATAAAATCTCTTGACCGAGACTTCACAGAGTTTGTGTGAGTCATCTTTAGAACAACTTCGTCATTGTCCACTGCTTCTGCGCAAGAGACAGAAAGAAGATAAACTCTGCTAAACAGTTTTAAAGAGGTTTCACCTAACCACCAGTATCTGCGCAGTGAAAGTGTGTGGACGGTAATCTCTAATACTCTGCTGCCTTGTAGGGATGGAGGCAAAAATGCAGCTTCCACAATTAAAAGTGGAAGCAGCAGCCAGAAAATATAGTATCAAATCTGCCATTAGTTCTCTGATGCAAATTAAAGAAGAAAAGGCAAGAGACCGATTTTATTTTTAAACAAATTCAGAAAGAGCTTAATAGGGAAATATATCCCTATTACGGTAAATGCTTAAAGGATTGTGTGGAGGTGAATGTGGGAGTGGGAGGGACCGCAAGAATAATAGTATACAGTGGAAAATAATTACCCACTCCATTTGCAGACAGTTTTTAATGGAGAAATATTAGGGGCTTAATATTTCCCCCTCAGTTTCCCCCTCAGGCCGCCATTTTGGCAAAGTAGCCCTTGCTGTGATAAACTGCAGCTGGGTTTGGTGTAATTATGACCGAAGGGGGCGAATTGCCCCCTTTCTGTATCGGCAGTCAGGAGGGGAGCTGCAGGCACTGGGAAGGGTGCCTTTGGGGGCTGCCTGGCTAAGGCTGTGCTTGAACCCAGTCTGTCTGTGGGAGATGAGGTTGCCGTATACACACGCAAACAGGTTTGCTGCTTTGAGCTGCTCTTGGCTCCTGTCTTGCTGTGGAATAAAATAAGCACATAGGGTTGGCTAGTGGGTGGGGACAGACATATCTTTCCCTCAGCTGCATTTGTTGTGCTTCCTTAAAGATGGGGACGTTATGACACTGATCTGTGCTTCTGTAACCTCCAAAATGGACTGCTGCACAGTAGTGTAGAGGAGGCTGCAGCGAGTGCAGAGGGTTGTCACTTAAAGTCTTCTAATGACTGGGGTGAAAGGTGTGAGCATGTCCAGTCCAAACTGGCTTCTGGGCTTTAAGGCCCCTTCGGGCCTAGGACCCATACAAGCCTCAGGGACCTTGGAAATACTACACAAGAGGCAGCAGAACTCTTTAAGTCCTCACATCCTCTGCAGCGAGTCACTGTGAGAGGGAGGGAAGGAAACACCTCCAACCCACCTCCTTGCTTTCTGATGGGGTGGGCTTGGGGTAGATGGTGGGGAGGAAAAGCAGGAGGCCTTTTCCAGCCTGGATTCTGATCCCTGAGGGACCAGGGTTGGTGATGGGGGCTTAGCAGCTCAACTTTGCTTTTGAACAGGCATTTAACAACTGCCAAAGCTTGTTTCTGAGGTCAGGCCCAGGAGAACTTTGCTGTCACCACTACAGCTTCTTTGCTTGCTGTAGCAAATGCCCCTCTGTGGAGTACTAGGCCTGAAAGCCTTGCCAGGTCTGTACCAGGAACATCTACATCACCCCATTTGTAAAGAGCATAAAGGGCTTCCTAAGAACCTGCAACTCTATGAAACGATCCAAGTAACATTTGTGCTCCTGCCTGTGTGTCTCTGTACCACCCACCACCCTCTTTCGCATAATTTCAGCTCACATATGCAGAAAACTTATGAAGAATCCTCTGCCATTGGGGGACACTTGGTGTGGACACTTTGTGAACCTTTGTGTGGAATGTTTTGTGCCTGTCTCTGTGCCTGCTTCAGTGCTACAGTACCTGACACACACAAACACACACACAATCTTTCCCCGTGTTTCTGAATATATTTACACCTATAATATCACTATGCTTATTTGCTATTTCCATGGAAACCTGAGTAGGAACTTCAAGTGACTGCATTCAATTACAGTGGTTAGACAAAAGTGTGTTCCCTCGTTGTCTACCGTCAGGCCATTTTCTGGCAGAGCTGATCCAAGCTAAGTGCTGATATAATGACTGATTGATTTTTATATGTATCACCTTATTTCACTAGTTCAGGGCTGGTTACCATCTGAAAAGATAACCATGTAAGACATACAAAGTGCAATGCTCAAGCTATTAACACTGTTCTGAAATAGTCAATATGCAAGCTTGCAGCTGGAGCCCTTCTGGCTGGCTGCTTCATCCCTCTCCACTCCAAGTTCACAGCCCCTTTTGCAGATGGGGACTAACTTCCCCAAACCATTCTTTTCTCCCGCTTTGCATTTGCTGATTTTACCTCATCTAATATTCTGTGAATCATCTTGATTTCCCCTCTGAGCTGAATTCCTTTTTCTGCTCTAGACAGAGAAGATTTCAGGGGGGGTGGGGGGAGCCTGGCTGCCAGAGAAACCCAGTGGTTGATGATGATGGAAAGTAGAGGAGCCCTGGACTTCTCTGAAACGCCAGAGATGTAAGATGAACTCATTGTGCTCTCAGGGCGTAGGGGTGGAATGCGACACTGTGACAAAATCGCACAAGTGGGGGAAATAAGTATTACAAGAGGGAACTTTGCTACTGTGGCTCAGAGTCCTTCAGTTTTGAAAAGAGGCAAGTGAGAGTGAGGCTTTCTTCTGTCAGACCCTGGATTCCATTTCAGAATCACAAAAGCTGGTGATCTGGCTGGAATTTCCTCTCTTCCCTCCAGCGTGATGCTGCTTCAGAGTGTGATTCAATCATAGAGCCATTAATGAAGAGCATCATTCACAAATGGCATTAATCTGCAGGGGCATTTGCAGTGGAGAGGACATGACTCAAAGGGAGGGCATTGGGTGTAAGGTAAGAGCTCTTGAATTAGTCCCAGGAGTAGTATGTGGAATTCTAAAGCATGAACAAGCATGACCTTGGATGCTTATCCATCTTATAATGATTTGCTTCCTTTATCTTGTGATTTCTCCAGAACCAAGGCTACTCTGCACATGGTTTGTTTCCTCTCTTGAAGGCCTTGACGTATGAACCAGGCCAGTGTTATTCCCTGCATGGTTTTCTGCAAATTTTCTCCGTTTGTTGTATTAAAGTTCCTGGAAGATACTGTTACAAGAATTCAGCCTTGTATAAGCATTTGACTTGTTCATAACATGAATGTTCTGCGTTACTCAACTCTGAATATCTTTCCATATACTAAAAGCCTCCAAGGCACATTGATCTCTCTTTGTAACTGGCATCACCTTGGGTGGCTTGTGACCTGAGGTGCTCCTAAGAAAGGCCCATCCAGATGGCAGGTTTTGGAAATCGAGCCATTGTTTGGATTGACAACAGCTTGTAGAATTTATGTACTTTCTCCCTCTAAAGGCCTTGTTAATTGTCACTGGCTTACTGTGTTGCCGTTATTATTGTTGTTATTGTTATATCAAGTAATACCTGGAAAGGGCTAAGGAAATCCAGGCTGCCCACACCCATGCTTTTCTGGTTCAAAACAGCACTACTTGCAGATCTGCTTGTACATATATAAATTTTGAAAACTATTTCTTGTGCAATCCAGGCAAAGTTAAGCAACTTTAAATCCCATCAAGTATGTGCTTAATCCCCTCAATGAAATAAATGAGATTAGAAGTACCTAGCCTCTGCTGGATGGAGTCCAGTGGTCTTGGGCTCTGCTTTCCACAAACAGCTTTTCTATCAGGAATTAGTGCCTGAATCTGCTAGTTTCCCGTTCCCAGCCCCCTTTTCTTCTGTAATGTCTACTAGGCTGTAAGTCTGTGGTCTTAGCTTTGTACAGCACCTAGGATAATGTAGGTGATTTCTAAACAATAAATAAGTGGGAGGAGGTTTTTGTTCTTTTGATCTGCTGTGCTTGGCAAGAGGAGTACAAGTTTCCTGCGGACACAAATGTAGAAGTGACCATCTGGCACCTGATGAAATGCTTGGCCTTGAACGGTCACAAATGCCGCTTGTGCGGTGGGCTCCCTCCTCTCTGGAAATGATTACTTCAAATACTTTTGAAACGTCGTTTTTTAGTGGAGTTCAAAGTTATGTCTTCACTAAATAGGAAACAGCGTACCATGGACAGCTCCATGCGAAATCATCCTAGCAGCACGATGGCTATAAAAAATGTATGTTGTTAAATGATGTCTTGGGCTTGCTTGACATGTGATGAAGTTCTCTAAACAGAAAGCATTTCTCCTCTGCAAGGAAGCAGCACATAAATTTGCCTATGTGGCGCCAATGAGCCTGAAGGAGAAGGGTTGTAACTCTGTGGCCAAATGGATGGTTTGCATGCAGAAGGTTGTGGGAGTGTGGATGTGCACGTGTGAACATGAGTTTGGAAAACTGTTTTTCCATTTTACAACTGGTGCTGTGACAGCCTTATGTGTTTGTTTGGTTCCTCTACCAGAACGAGAGAGAAAGAGATCTGCTGTTTCCAAGTTTAAATTAGCCAGTGTTTGCAAAGCCTGGCACTCTCCTGACATTTTGGACCTCAACTCCCATCAGCCCCAGACACCACAGCCATGTTGGGTGGAGCTGATGGAAGCTTTAATCCAACAATATCTGGAAGGCAGCAGACTACTCAAGGCTGGTACAAGCTAACACTTCTTTAAAAGAAAATCCATCTTTGGGGCAGCTTGGGTGAGAAGCACCTTAAGACTATTCACTGAGGTGGCTATGGCTGTTGAGGTTCCTGCGTAATTTTGTGTGCGATTCTCTTGCTGATGCTTCTGTCCTTTCCCACAGAGTCGGATGGCTGAGAGCCTTCGTCTTTTTGACTCAATTTGCAACAACAACTGGTTTATCAACACCTCCCTCATCCTCTTCCTGAATAAGAAGGATCTGCTGGCTGAAAAAATCCGCCGCATTCCTCTGACAGTCTGTTTTCCGGAGTACAAAGGCCAAAACACTTACGAGGAGGCAGCTGTCTACATCCAGCGTCAGTTTGAGGACTTGAATCGCAACAAGGAGACCAAGGAGATTTATTCACACTTCACTTGCGCCACTGACACCAGTAATATCCAGTTTGTGTTTGATGCGGTGACAGACGTCATCATTCAGAACAACCTCAAGTATATTGGTCTTTGCTGAGGATCTGTGCAGATGAATCTGGTTTCTTAAGGTGATGTGAAACAGGCGAGCCACAGCTGCTTGCCACAGTGGAAACAATGGCGTAGTGCTTGGAAGACCCAGTCACGGAAGGGAGAAATCTGAAGTATGTTCACAGATCCCTTCAACTGCCCACACACCTTTTTGCAAAAACAATGTCTTGGAGTGTGCAAGCCTCCCACCAAATGGCGAGGTTCTGAACTGTATGGAAGTGTTTTCACTACTATCACATCATCCACTGGCTCATTCCGTCTGTTTCATTCCCCCCCCCCCAAGAGATAGCAGAGCTTACCATGTTCTATGTATAATGAGACAGATTGTTGTCCTTATTGTCCTAGAAACCATCATACTGTTGGAATGATGCAGAGTTGGGGAGAGGGCTGTGTTGCAACTCCCAACCCCCAAGAGGGAAGAGACCAGAGGCTAGAGAACAGGCATATCTGAGCAAAGGGTTCCTTTAACCTACAGTCTGGTACTTGACCTGTACCAGATTATGTACACATGGATCAAGCGTGCACAGGCACCTAACTTGCAGCAAGTACAAAGTACATACTAGATACACACATTGTCTTTGCATCATGGTTTATCATGAATTATCTCTCTGTGGAAGGAACTGATAGTGCAGAATCATCCCTGTGAGTCCCTGCCACCCTGACCAGTATAGCCCCTTCTGCTGTTCACAACTTCAACATGTGTGCAAAAAATAAGAAATGAATGGAAATGTTAAGTAATGACAAGGCCAAATTGTGGTCAGTGTTTCTTCTACCAGTGAGGAGTTTTATACATCAAAAGTCTTCTTTTACATCTTTTTTTGCCAAATCTTTGTGCTCTTTCACAAAAACTCTAAAAGTTGAATAAGTGGTTGAGTGTTGTTGGTTTTTTTTAAATACAGATATATGAAGGTATACATTTTTTTTAATTATTGTTTTGTGTCTGGATTTTGAGTGTGCCAACGGACAATCCTGTTCCATCGCTCCAAGGAAAATTCTGACAAGTATGGCAACATTTGCAACAGCCTTTCTAAACACAGGAGCCAATGAAACTGTGTACAATATAGCCTTTTAAGTCATTTTGTTTTGTTTTGGGAGGGGGGTGTTTATTTTTTAAAAATGTGCTGTAATTATTAGGTGAACAGATGAGTGATATGAACAATACTTAAATGTCTTGATATTTAAATTTACAAAACTTAGTGGAATTTAAGGAATGGAAGTGAAGCATTCCTCGGCTCCCTTTCATCCTGTATGCCAATAATACTGGATGGCATATTACTCTAGCAAATTTACAGCTAAGTTTGAATGCCTGAGAAGCTGTGTGTGAACTTACTGGATAATCTCACATGGATCCTAGGGCCAGTGCCCAGGCGGTTCCTTCTTCTCCCCCTTGTCCCTTGCAAAAGACTTCTTACAGACTTCAGTGTAAGCTAAGTGTGTAAATAAATATACATTCAAGAATCGTAAAGCACATAAATGCACACACATACACACACTTGCTCTTACACTTACACACACACACACACACACACACACACAATCTCCTCCTGCCTCCCTCCGTTCCCCAGTTGTATGAAGATTAGTGAGAATTCTCAGCCAAGGGCTCTAAGAAAAACCTAAAGAGAAAACAGTGAATGATAAAAAAAATTACCGGCTGTCCACTTTTAAGAAAATAAATCTGAATGATCTTAACTGATTTATGGTGTGTGTATGTAATGTTTGTAGATCTTGTGATTCTAGATTCCACACAGCTGGGTTCTTACGTCATTTGCTGCAAGTATGCGTTCTTCTGGCATTAAAAACCTGTTTAGTTCTAATTGCTTACACGATGCGATAAAGCCAGTACAGCTACTGAATAGGAAATGGGGGACAATTCTGTTCAGAAAAAGCTGAAACAGCTGGAGGTTAAAGGGTGTGAATAGTACTTTCTGGCAGAAGGGGATTCTCCTGCTGCTTAGCCCCAAGGGGCACTTCTCATGAACACCTATTGCTACAACCATCTTTAAAGGAAGAGGAACGTTTTTCAGAATTGCTGGTGCCAGTGGTAGCCAATACTTGTGAATCCTGTTGAATGTAAGGGACCAATTGCTGAGTAGTGTATCAATTTGAGGAGAGTAGCAAAACGACAAAATGAGCTGTGACACTTTGGAAGAGGTGTCCTTTTACTCTGAAGTAAAAGGCCTCAGAGGTCAGTGGAAGTGCCTTTGTCTGCTCTCTTCTCCTGGAACTGCAATCTACGGATTCTTGTCATTATTTTAAAATGAAGTGCTGAGCTTGTACCTGCATGCCCCTTGATAAATTGGGGGGGGGGGGGAGGACTGGAGCAGAAAAGAGGAGAGAGAAAGAGCACTTGAAACAGGATTGTAAAATAGCCAAGTTCAGTTTTTACTAAAGGAAATTAGCAGGCAAGTTCTAGCTGAATTCATGATGTTTGTTTTCAATAAAAGGAGACTGCCAGTGGAGGTCAGCAGTGACTGCCGGGAAGGAAAAGATCAGTCCAAACCACATCTCTAATAGGAGTAGAAGCTCTGGCACAATTTGTTATAGGAAGAAGACTTTACAATGTTGCTCTTCAGTGGAGGCTTAGAGCAGAAGACCATGGCAGATTATCCTGGGAGGCAGCGAGGGTTCTCCCCACGCCACCCCCGGTACAAATATCAGTAGCAGATGGATGAGAACTTGCTGATCTGCCTGAATCCTAATGCTTTATTATGGAATCACCTTTCATGGGGGAAAGCTTCCTTCCTGAGATGTGTGAAGTAGATAGTGAATGAAGAATCTACAGAGATGGGCTACCGCTGCTTGAAGCTCATGCCAAAACGAACCATGTAGGAGTAGGGATTGATTGAAACCACTGAGGTGAGTAATGTTATATAGGACTGTAGATTTGGCCTCTAAGGTTACAGCACTTTGGGGGGGGGTATTCTTTGAGCCATGTTAAAAATCCCAGACACTCCAAAGCCAATTTTCAAGCACACCAGGAGATAATTTAAACCATGGAATGATGTTTTAGAATGCTGTGGTAGACAAATTGGGAGTGAATCCGACCTTTTTGCAACAGGGAATATCTCCAGTCCTGCATCTTTGGGAGAGTTCAGCCAAGACTGGATGATGGAAACCATAGCCATGTCCAACACACTTAATTAAGAAGGAGTTTTACTGAAGGCATCAGGAGTATGCTTAAGAGAGACTGTAGCACAGATGAAGCAGCACAGCTTCATGTAGCAATTTATCATTTATTACATCCTTCCTTTCTGCCTCAGTTACAGGCACAAAAGGTCACTTGTGTCATAAATCAATAAAGACAATTATTCCCTCTATTTCCAAAGCTCAATAGCAAATGCAGATCCTCGTGTAGCCAAAATGGCACCATGGAGCATAAGACTCTCAGGGTCATGAATTTGAGCCCCACATTGGGTGGAAGATTTCTGCATTGTAGTGGGTTGGACTAGATGATTCTTGTGGTTCCTTCGAACTCTACAATTCTGTGATTCAAGATAAGTGAGGAGGCAACAGCAAGCTGGGTGGGGGTACCCCAACCAAGGTTTACAAAAAATTGCAAAAAGAATTTTGGGAAATCCCCAAAGCAGCTCAATGAGGAGGACCGAACATGCTGGCTGGCTGGAAGAGTGGACAGCAGCACTCCAGACAGCTACATTTTGTTGCAGAGTCCCCCTTGTTAAAAAAGAGACAGTAGAGAGTATAATAGGTATCAGCCAATCAAATATCCAGCAAGTCACAGGGCCGAAGAACATGGCAGCACATTCAAACATCTAGGCATGGCAACACAGCAAACCCCAATGTGTATTCCCACCACCAACCAAACTTCAGACAGTCTTGGGATGCACAGCAAAGCCTCATGTTGTTGGAGCTGGTCCTTTAGGTATTCCTGTCCCTACCCTGTTTAGTACAAGGCAGATAAATTCAGGATTTGTGGATTGCATTTCATATTCTCTAGCAGTCTTATTTCAGTGAATCCAATGAAAACATCTGCTTGGTGTTAATCTTGTACAATGTGCCTCCTTGTTAACAGGCTGCTCAGCCTCAACGTTGTTTTAAATAAGCCCTTTAGCCCCTTGAAACTTAAAGCTTAACTCTGGATGCAGCTGTGCAAGGTAAGGGCTAATGCCAGCTGTGCAAGGTAAGGGCTAGTGACACAGGAAGTGAACAACTGGGGGGGGGGGCTGTGTCTCTTTATGAACAGGAGGAGGGGAACTAACCCTCCTTGTCACATGCAGATAGCATGCAACTTATGCGGGAGTTATGTTCTGGGGATCTCACCTAAAGCCAAAATCACATATAGTTAAAACACATTGGGGTAAACACGGAGAGGGATCACAGAAGTCTTTGTTTCTTGGACATCCCTCCTCCTCCTGCCCCCCCCCTTTTTGCCATGTGTATAAAGCTGAATGTGCACAAGTTAAATGTGCATAACTTGTGGGCTTACTGTATAAGCAAATGCTTGACTTTATACCTGGTTCCTTTTTGCATATGGAGAATCACAAAACTTCTATTGAGCCATCCGCAATGCCTGGAGACAGTCAGGTTGGGCACCCATAGTAGTGACCAGAAGAGGAATGACCGCTGGGAGGAGCGCAGAGAGAAGAAACACAATAGTGCATCTGCAGTAGCACAACCAGAAGCTACCCCAGCTGCAGCAAAACATGTATCTCCTGTATTGGTCTCTACAGCCACAGCGGGCGCTGCAACCTTCCAACAGTTTGACTTCACACACACACCCCGCCCGCAAGGTGCACTCTTCCATTGTCTCCCAAGACATAGACGGATGCCAACAACAACTGAGAACAAGGCACCATTCTGAAAGGCACAGTCTCCTCTACTGGCCGTGTCATCATCATCCACTGACATTAGCAAAGGGTTAGGAACCCCCTGCCTGGGGTCTGCACACACAACTCTGCTAATACAGTGGTACCTCGGGTTACATACACTTCAGGTTACATACGCTTCAGGTTACAGACTCCGTTAACCCAGAAATATTACCTCGGGTTAAGAACTGTGCTTCAGAATGAGAACAGAAATCGTGCAGCAGCGGCGCTGCGGCAGCAGGAGGCCCCATTAGCTAAAGTGGTGCTTCAGGTTAAGAACAGATCTCCAGAACGAATTAAGTTCTTAACCCGAGGTACCACTATAAGCCTGAGCTTTTATTCAGTTTGGGATGTGCAAATACTTTTCCACTGCATTGGCAATCTCCTGAGAGGCGGGGGTAGTCACAAAACACACGACACAGAGCTGGTAAACACCTTTGAACACTGATACTTTTCCTGTCTTTAATTCAGGCTTGTAAATAGTCACTTGCCTGGTTGCCTGTAGCAAGAAAAAAATCTCCCCTAGGCGACAGAGTAGGTAAGCTATTGCCCGTCAGAAGAGGAAGGTGGGTTTGCTTTTATTTGGTAGCTCACTGAGTGTTCACTAGCAACAAGGAACCAGATCACATGCTGTATGAACTAGAAGTGTGAATCATTCTTTATGCAGAAGCTTAGAAGAGCAATGTGTGATGTTCTGGCACCACCAAGAGACAACTGAACTTTACTACTACATAAGATACATTTCTTGCATAGTGCCGTTAGTCTACCTGGCTCTTTACACAGTGGCAAAGCAAAAAAAAAAGGCAAAAAGCCATCCCTGCCCTGAAGAACATCTGACCTATATTGAAATCGCACTGCAGGGCTGGGAGGGAATTGGGAACCATGAGAGGGAGGGAGGGAGGATGAAGTAACAAGGGATAATGTGGACAGGCAACAATAAACAAGTAAAATGGATCACAGACAATAGGGTTGCTGGGGTTTTTTTTAATCTGTTACTGCATAACCTTACATAGTGTTTGTACAACAACCTTGTAAACATAAGCCAGTATTATTACCCTTAATAATACACTTGAGAGGCTAAAACTGAGCACTTTGTCTAAAGACCACAGTGTGGACTTGATAATTCTAGTTGATCTCATCTTAAGTGTCATACTACATCGGCTCAGCAAAGGCAAGGACGGTTCCTTTCACTGAAAGAATTTTAAGAGAAAGAAGCAGAGGCAAAACTGGTTTCTAACCTGAAGTTCATTGCACACTCAAAATGCTCTCCAGCACCACCAAATCACAAAACCACAGGACCATAGGGTATTTCTAAGCTACACATATGTAGAGCACTTTAAATGGCAAGGCTTTTGTCAAATTATCATGGGACAGCTGAAAATAAGACCCATGCCCCCAGACCCGCTCACAGAACCAAGATTCCCTGGAGAAAAGGAAATTGCCTCTAAATGAGTTGAAGTAGCCTGTTCAATAGCTGTGGGAGGAGAAGTGACCCAGTTTGCCACCCTCTCCTCCCAACCTTCCTTCAGACCACGGGGGGAATCAAAGGAAAGGTGGGGGGCAGCTGCCCCCCTAAATCAAGTAAATAAATAAAAATAACTAACAGCTCGGTTCTGTCCCCCTAACATAAAGCCTGCTTCCCCAACATAAATCCTGGCTATGCTTCAGGCATTCTCAATCCACGCCACATAGTGTGTGGGCCACATACACAGACCATGGCTACAGAATAGTAGCTCCCGTTGAGTCAAGCAAGAAAGCCAGGTCACAAGACACAAGGGGGTTAGGTGAAATCAACATGAAATTCTAGCCTTTGCTTGGTTATGAGCAGAGCAGTTGAGCAGTCAGCGTTGTAAATCTTATGAAATTTAATCCACCTTACCTAGAGGCAATTCTGACACGAGTTTCAGTGCATAATGCATATTCCACCGGCAGATGTCAACAGGATCATCCAAAAGCTGTGCCAGAGCTGGAATGACTCCATTTTCTAGGAAGCCGGTCCTACATTCAGAAAATGTATTGGTAAGAAGTGGTTTGTATAAGCACAATATTAAACTCCCCTATTCGAACCTGGGAAAATATGTTGCAGAACAGAAGAAAATCCCTACTCTAAAACATTTGCATTAAACTTCAGCAAATACCTACCTGCCAACAGAATGTGTTGCCATAATATAAAGAACCTCTGTTGTTTTCTGTCGCACGGTGCTGTCTTCATCTAAAAGCAATATCTTCAAATTATCTAGAAATCCTGAAAGACACATTTTTTTATAAATTTTTTGGTGCCACACTTCAACAGACATCTAGGCCAAAATTATAATACACTCATTAAACCACCACAATAGAAAAAAACACACAGAAGGCAGTGGTAGAATTAAAAACAGCCACCAAGTAGAATTAAAGCAGTTGCCTCTGAAACTCATCAGAGATGACTATATATTGATTATTTAGAGTACCCAATGGGCAAATAATATTCACAACATGTGTATGGTTCTGTTCCTTTATTTCTGTTTTTGTTCTATTAGCTATTGTTATTTTGATCTTTGTAACAATGATGAAGATATATTAATTGAAACTGTTTAAAAAATATTTGCAACCTGTATAAGAATGATCTCCAGGTGAATGAAGTTTGGACACACACATTTTCCTTAACCATGTGCAAAATAAATATTGAAGTGGGTTGCCTGCTCATGTGCTCTGGAACAGTTTCCTGGGATGCCTTCTGGAATACTTCGGTATCTACTATCATTACAATGTCTTTTAGGTCCTATGATTTATGTACCGTAAGCTCTCCTTTTCAGCTCAAAAGGTTTTTCAAAAGAACATTAAACATTGCTTTGCTGGATCTGACCAAAGGTCCACCCAGTCCAATGTAGCACTTCCCGCAGTGGGTGGGATCTGCCATCTGGTACTGCTAGAAACAGACTGCCTCTAAATTTGGACATCCTGTGCATTAATTGCACTTTTCATGTGTTCATCCTGAACCTACTTTTTGCAGCAGTACGGTACACATACATACTAGCACAAAGGATGCAAAGACAAATAACATTTTGCTGGTATTTACTCACAGTAGGATGTCTCTGTAGCTTTGTGATATCCTACTGGAAATGTAGGTATTCTCAACTCGGTCCCTTGTTCCATGAACTGAATTAAATAAGGGGCAGGCAAACACCCACCCTTGCAAATAAATAAATGATCCAACCCCAAACAACTGCTGCACCTTTTTCCTTTTCAAGAAAACCATTTTATAGCCTGATCTGAATGACTACCAAATCAAAGTTTGGAAAGATCCAGCGGTTTGTTGACCAACCACAGTGCACTGTGACAATGTGCTGCTAGCTTTGCAGTAGGGCAGGTGGTCCCCAGCATGTGACTGCAGAGGTCTGTCCTGCCGCTCACAGGTTCTGCCCCCTCCACATTGCTGCCTTTCACCCTTCTGAAAGTAGGCATGGGAGAAGCATTCTACCTACTGTAGCCTATAAAATAGACTAAAGTGTGGACTTGGTTGTATGCCAATTTATCCAGTTTGCAAGTGTACCCATAGACCCAAAGAGATTGGTGATCAAGCCTGTATGTTAGGGCCATTGTGTCACCCCTCCCCACTTCCACTGGAGCATGTATCATGAACTGCCCTGTGGGAGGGAAGGAGGTATAGCAGGCCTGCTATAGTTTGACTATCCCACCATTCTGACCTCTAATAGGGCCATTTTTATCACCCACTGCCCTGGGGGAAGGAATCTAATGGCTTTGTATATGTTGACATTGTGGATTGTTTATCCCACCCCCAAAAAAGTTGAATATTACCGGTACTTGTACTCCACCTTGGAAGGACTTGTATCCTGAAAGGTGGTATATAGATAAGAGTAAAAGGTAAAGGGACCCCTGACCATTAGGTCCAGTCGCGGACAACTCTGGGGTTGCGGCACTCATCTAGCTTTATTGGCCGAGGGAGCCGGCGTACAGCTTCCGGGTCATGTGGCCAGCATGACTAAGCCACTTCTGGCGAACCAGAGCAGCGCACGGAAACGCCATTTACCTTCCCGCTGGAGCGGTACCTATTTATCTACTTGCACTTTCATGTGCTTTCAAACTGCAAGTTGGGCAGGAGCAGGGACCGAACAACAGGAGCTCACCCCATCACAGGGATTCAAACGGCCGACCTTCTACCAAATAAATAGCCAACAAGGTGCAATCAGTAGAGCATGAGGCTTTGGATCTCAAGGTTGTGGGTTCGAGCTCTATATTGGCCAAAAGATTCCTGCATTGCAGGGGGTTGGACTAGATGACCCTGGTGGTTCCTTTCAACTCTATGATTCTATAATTCTCATGTTCCGTCCAGGCAAAAGTGGCATCTCTTACCGAGTCTAATGGCTTCGTAGACATTCTCTGGGTCGTGCACCAAATCACACAGAGCCATCAGCGCCCGCTGCCGGGTCAGAAGGTCGGGGTCTTCCAGCTCCTCGTTCAGTTTTGGGAGACCCCTTCGGCCATAGGCAATGGGGGCTTTCGTGGGGTCGATATCAGGGGGCAGTTTGGAGGAGATACGGGGCAGGAGCGCCATCCCAAGTTCCTTCTGTACCACAGCAGCCCTAAAAAAGGAAAGGGAAAAAAGCTGCTTAGGGCAAAGGGAGGGAAAATAAGAGCAGCAGTTGTATGTGTCTTTGCTTCAGTTCCAAGACACACGCACCAACAGGACATGTGTATTTTTTTGGAGCGGGGTGGGGGACACCTGTTGCAACTGAAAGCAAGACAGGATTTTAAAGGTAAGTATCTAGCCTTCTCCCCTCCAACCCCCACCCGCGATTCAATAGAAACAAACAACAATAATATTAACCCTGAAAGAGAAGCACGAATGAAAAACGTGGGAATTCTTGTTTAAAAATTTAAAATAATAATAATAATAATAATTTAACATCGAAATGAACGATAGCAACTGGGGAAAATATATTACTTGGTGCACACACGCAAAATAGAAATGGCAGAGGGGGAACCCGATAAACCCAGTTTAGCAAAGTGGGGAGAAACGTCAACTCCGAAAGCGGCCCGTTCGCCGCCCTGCCTAGGCCTCTGGTTGCTAAGCGACCGCGACGCCCTCGCTCCCTACGTCCAGATCTGTGAATACATAACTACGCACGCGGGAAAAAAACCCTCTACGAGGTGTCGCCGAAGTCCGATTGAGCGCAAATGTCGTAATTCCCGCAAGTGGCGGCTGGGCAGGATGTGTCGTGGTGGGGAGGCCAGGCGAGAGAGAGGTGGTAGCCCTCAAATGCCAGTCTCTGCAGCCCGCGCTGCCCCTGCGGGAAACCCAGACAGCTTCCTCCCCACTGGCGCCTACCAAATTCTTTGGACTACAATTCCCATCAGCCCCAGCAAGCACTGCGGCGGTCTCACCAGCCCTGTGCTCGCTGAGGCTGATGGGAGTTGTAGTCCAAAGTACTTGCAGGGCTCCAGGTTGGGTAAATGCTGAACGCTCTTAATTGATTGCATTGCGTTGCGTTGCCTCTATAGTTTCTTCCGAGAAGCTCAGGGTGGTGTACATGGTCTCCTTGTTTTGTTTCCAGTGAAATACGGATGTTGCAAACATTTGTCCGGATATAAACCAGAGCCACTGTGGTGTAACGGTTAGGGTTTGGGGCAAAGACCTAGGAGAGATCAGGGTTCGAATCCCCCACTCAGCCATGAAACTCACCGGCTGACCCTGGGCGCCAGTCCCCGTCTCTCAGCCTTAACCTACCTCACAGGGTTGTTGTGAGGATGAAATGGGAAGTTGGACAACCATGTAAACCACCTTGAGCTCCCTGGATGAAAAGCTGGGTTATACTGTGAATGGAAGGAATAAAAACAACAATAATTTTAATAATGCTGGTGATTCAGTTCTTTTCCTTTTCCCCTTTTTCCTTTAATAAAAGCTGTCCAGCTTTATACTAGCAGCAGGAGGCGTTGCTCAGCTGAGCATGCCAACATCTGGCATTCATTAACCAGGTTTTCTCCCTTCTTCTCAGTGGTTTTTAAGGTCTGCCAGATCTCTCAGGTGGTTGGTTTCTCTGCATTTTAACTCCACCTTCTAAGAGGGAGGCGCTCTGGTTCCTATGGTGACGCGGCAGCCCCTTTCCAGACCTGGAAGCAGCTCTTGCATGGTGAGTCGTTTTTCCTCTCACTCTTTGCCAATATTGCCCCTTTTTTGTAAATGCCGAGGGGGGGGGGCAGGGGAAAGCCCCTGGTCTGCTGGGGGTGGTGGTGGTGGGGATAGGCTCAGCCCCCCACTGCCTTGCTTTTTTGCAAATTATCCAAAGGCCAGCTTAGACCAAGTGATTCTGCAAGCTGTTCATGGCCACCTTGCAGCTTCAGACTGGCTGAACTAGGGTGATTTCCCTCCCTACCATCCACATAAGGCTTAAATGGCTCCCCCTCCTCTTTTACCTGTTTGTAACACAAATGCAAAACCCACATAGAGGAGATTGTACAGCAGCTTTCTCCACCATGCTCTTTTTTACATTCACAAATGAATCCCCACACCTGGAAGAGAAAGCATTGAGAGAGAGAGAGGCACATTTTTACAGTGGCTGGCCACTTTGGAGCCAGAGATCCAAATGGTCCTACACAACCACATTCACACACCCCATGCCGCCTTTGCCAACTTGGTGCCCTCCAAGTGTTTTATTTATTTGTTTATTTACGCGACACCATATACAGGTAAAAAAGGTAAAGGACCCCTGGACAGTTAAGTCCAGTCAAACTTTGTTATGGCACTCTTCTCATTTCAGGCTGAGGGAGCTGGTGTTTGTCCACAGATAGCTTTCTGGGACTAAACCGCTTCTTTTTTGGTTTTTTCTTTTCTTTTAACAAAGTAATAATATTAAATAAATAAAAATGTGCACCCCACTCCCAAGACCATTCCATTGTAACTATCCAACTGCCCAAAATTTCAACACCTCTTGCGATGGTTTGACCCCTTTCCGTTTTAACAGTACAAATTCTACAAATACCTTCCACATCTCCTTAAAATAATTTATCCTGAGTCTTCATCGTCTTACCTTAATAGCACATGTTAATTTATCATTAATTGCTATGTCCCGCACCTCTTTATACCATTCTTCCATTTTATATTCACCTTGTCCCTTCCACTTCCTAGCTATAATAACTCGTGCAGCTGTCAATAAATTTGTGAACAAGTCCTTCATAGCCTGTGAACCTTCCACTCCATCGTAAATCAATAATAATTCTACCTCTGGACACAGTGATTTCTGTTATCTCCTTAAACACCCTTTGGCAAAAAATTTGTATATATTTACATCCTGACCACATGTGAACATAAGTCCCAGGACTAAACCGCTTCTGGTGCAACAGGACACCGTGACGAGTGCCAGAGTGCACGGAAACACTGGTTTGGTTGGCAGCAGCTTCAAGTGAGGCGTGTGTCCTACTGCTACCTAGAGATGCCATTGAGGACTGAACCTGGGACCTTCTGCATGCAAAGCACATGTTCTACCACTGAGCTACGAAGCCTTCCGCATATTCATAGAATCGTAGAACTATAGTTGCAAGGGACCATGAGGGTCATCACTTCCAACCCCTTGCAATGCAGGAATCTATTGCCCAACATGGGGCACGAACCCACAACCCTGAGATTAAGAGTCTCATGCTCTGCCAACTGAGCTATTCAGCTCCCCTCATCCACAAACCTTGGTCATTCTGGCTGTGGCTGATGGGAGTTGGGAGTCCATCAACATCTGGAGAGCCATGAATGTTCCCCAGCCCTAGTGTATGGCTTTTCCTGAGGAATGCCAAGTGAGAGCCATCAAGCCCTGACACTCAGTTCCCTCCAACATGGTGCCCTTCAGATGCTTTGGAACATGACTCCTGTAGGCTGGAGAAGACTGCTCTTCTCCTTAAGAGGTTTGCAAAACAAAGCTGTTCCGAAAAAGACTTTTGGCTGAATGCTCTTGGGTTAGTTTTGGTGTCTTGCCGCTATGCCCAGACTTCGTTCCTGGTGTTGGTTTCTAATCCTGATATTTTACAACTGCAGACGGGGTTGTTGTTTTTTAGGAATGGTGGGCGTGACATAGGCTTTTAAATATTGTATGGCATTTCCTGCTTTATTAGCCTCCTAAGTTCATTTTGGAAATCAGATGGATCATGAGTTTTAAATTAACATTATGACAGATGGGGGATTTGCATAATGACGGACAGGACCATTGCGGTTTGCTAACTGAAGTTGTTTTCCAAGCTGAGCCTCTGGAGTGGCACGAGGCGGCCAGGGAGACGGTTAAAGTGAGTTAAAATATAATCCAAATGGATAAAGGCATGTTCACTGTGAAATGAGGCCCTCGCAAAGGGAGTCCCCCTGTGCCCTCTTTCTGGGCTATTGTAAGCTCAGAATGCCACTCACCTCTACTATGGCAACATCCTGGCGATATCCTTTATCCATGAAAGGCCTTGCTGTTTTATTATTCAGGAAAATGCCAGGCTCACCAGCCAACAGGCTGCTAACTTCCTTAGCTTGCAATCAAACATGGAACTACTAGTCAGGGAAAACAGACACACCCACAAGTTTTTAGTACAGTCCAGACTGGGAAATTACAGAATTGGACAAATTCATGGAGGACGAGGCTATCCTTGGCTACCAGCCATGATGGCTCTGCTCTGCCTGAGAGGCAATAAACGTACCCAGTTCTAGGAATACCTTACAAAAACAACCAACCAACCAACTACTTTTGTCAGGACTGCAAAATCACAAGCGATGAGTGCTGGTGTTGTGTTTCGCTGTTGGCAAGTCCCCTGATATGACCCCGATATTGTTTTCTGGTTTGTAGTGTCTTTTTCTTTAAAAAAATGCTTTTAATTAAGTTTTAATTTCAAATACACCAACACCAACAAGATACACAAATATTTCAAATCTTTTAACATCTGTCTTACTTTACGCTCCGTAGAGCAGTTGACTTCCCTCCTTCCCTTCCGCAGGTTTTCTTATTCCAATCACTAATCCACAGTTCCTTAATAATAACTAAACCATGACATAAGATTTATTTCAGTCCTGCTAACGTCTTCAAATTTCTACAGTTCTCACTTATATAGACCTGGCAGCTGTCGTAGCATACATATATAATCTTTGGTCCATCTTCTTAATATCCTCTCCTATCAAACCTAGCAGTAGTTCTTCAGGCTTTTTTGGGAATGTCTATTTAAGCATCTTTTTTAATTCATTATAGATCAATTCCCAAAACTCTTTCATTTTATCACATGTCCACCACTTGTGGTAAAAATCACCATCCTTTTTTTTACATTTCCAACAGATTTTACTACTCATCCTATACATTTTTGCTGGTTTGACAGGTGTTAGATACTAGTGATAGTTTTCTGGTTTGTATTGTCAGCACCCGCTGATTTTGGGCAATGAAGGCCAACTTCCTGCATGTGACGCCACCTGTGAGCAGAGACAGAACCATCTCCCACTTCCCCAAGGTAGGCAAACTGTCCTCCTGTGTCCACTGGGCTCGTTCCCTGACAACCTGAGGCAGTGATTTTCAACCAGTGTGCCTTGGCACCCTGGCGTGCCTTGAATGGTGGTCAGGGGTGCCACGGGCCACACCAGCCTCTGCCCCTCTTTCCTTCCCTCCCTCCCCTGATGCCGTCTCGCGTTTCTGCCTCCCAAAGGCTTGCATGGCTGTTTGTTACAGCAGCAGCCCTGGCCACAAGCTCCTTAGGCAAATAGTGCCTTTGGGGCTGGCTGGGGGGGTGCCCTGTGGGGCAGTGTGAGGAAGCACCTCTTTTTTGTGGGGGGGGGAGCTCAGAGACCAGGGGCAGCACCAGTGGCTGCCCAGAGGACTCCTAAAGAGAGGGGAGAGGAGAGGAGAGGAGAGGAGAGGAGAGGAGGCTGAGGGAACGGAAGATGTTTGAAAAGCCTGAGGGGCCGGCTCTGCAGGCAAGGGGTGATGTAACTGGGCTCCTGAGCCCCCAGGGGTGCCGTGGAAAGAATGTAGTTGGTCAAGGAAGCCATGAACCTGAAAAGGTTGAAACCCTCTGGCCTGAGGCAATCCCTAAAACAGAGCCTGTCCTACATTTTGCCTTGGGCCGGGCAAAGCTGTCCTAGAGGACTGGCTAGGTGAAATCCTGGCCCAGCTGATCTCATGCTCCTGCTTCCTGTGTGTCTGCAGTGGTACACACCTGAGGCCTGCCTCCAGCTCAAAGATCACTTCCACGCCCAGGTGAGGAGTGCCTGTCGGAGACAGAACACAGCCGCTGTTGGGTGAGTCGGCATCAAGGAGAAATGACGCTTTGTGCCGTAACAAGAGTTTCGGTCACAGGCAATGTTTCCTTATGTATTTTGGAATTGACCTGTAATCTTAAGAATATACGTTTTGCAATGTTTCAAAATTGCTGGGGTGTCAAATGCCTATGTAATCTTAAAATCTAAAAAAAATGATACTTGTTGACAATTTAGAAGGAACATTGCAGCACAAATAAGATCGCAAGAGGCTGAAGAAAGGTTCACACACACGCTTATTTCAGGGATCTGGGGTATTGTCTAGTTTATTCAGATTATGGTAGAATAATTATTATTTAAGCATTTTTTGTGTTTTACTCTGCAATATTTGTATCTCATATACTGTATGTGTTCTTTGTAATGTTTTTATTGGTCCGAATAGAAGTATTAATCTGATATGGTTCTTCCATTTCAATGACACTGTGCAATGTGAAAAAACAACAACATGTGTGTTTCAGGCTAAAAATATCAAAAGTGGTTGTGGTGGGAGACCTCTATGTTGGAAAAACAAGCCTCATCAACAGGTACAAATCTGTTTTAACACGTAGTTTTAGTGGTGTTTGTCAAAGACTGTCCAAAGTTCCTGCCTCAAAGTGCAGCCACTGACCTCAGTTTATAAGTCTTTTCTGGCTGACCAGTTTGCATCGTAGCTACCACCTGCTTGAAACAGTGCTTGTGAAGCACTCCTTAAGGATGGTACCAAGAGGAGGAGACACCCCAGGTTACAGTTATGTGTCTCCTCCTGGCCCATGTCTACAAACACAGCCGCCAGTCTCTGTTTTTGAGTTCCTCCTGCTCAGAACTTGGAAAGGCTCTTAGATGCGTGTTTAACCACACAGCTTCCGCTCACATACAATGGTTACTAGGGTTTTCTCAGAGAGTTTATTTAGTACAAGAGACCGGGCCTTTTCTGTGGTGGCTCCCCAATTGTGGGATGCTCTTCCCAGAGAGGCTCACCTGGTGCCATCATTACATGTCTTTAGGCGCCAGGCAAAAACATTCCTCTTTACCCAGGCCTAGGGCTATCAAAGAATCTATGGCCTGTGAAAGTGTGGGGGAGAGGACTGTTATGATGATGACTATTTTATTATCTGGCTGATAGTCAGTATGCTTTTTATTATGTTTTTATCCTTGATGTTCTGTAATGTGTTTTTAATGTTGTTCACCACCCTGGGATCTAAGGGTGGTATATAAATTGAATAAATAATAATAGTGGAATATTTCTTAAATACTACAACTATGTGAAAACTTTTGATTTAAGGCAGAGGTAGCCAACATGTCTTCTTCCCTCGCCTTTTTTTCATTGCTCTTTCTTTCAAACATCCTCTTGTCAGCATTCCCACACCCTTATTTATTTTATTTCCTGCCCTTCACCTTAAGGTCCCAGAGCAGGTTACAGAATTAAAGCACAATATTAAAAACAATCTAAAGCAGCCAATAATAATAATAGCAACAATAATAACAACAATAAGGTGTGTACTACCCATTTTTCCCTTGCAGGTTTTGTAAAGATGTTTTTGACCGGGATTACAAGGCAACCATCGGAGTGGATTTTGAAATTGAGCGTTTTGAGATAGCTGGAGTTCCATACAATCTTCAGATGTAAGTTGGAAATGAACACGCGGCTCACCATACGTGTGGGATGTTTTAACAGAGCCAGCCAGAATCAAAGAAACATAGAACCATAGAGCTGGAAGGAACACAAAGGGTCATCTAGATCAACCCCTGCAATGCAGGAATCTCAGCTAAGGCATCCATGACAGATGCCCATTCAACCTCTGTTTTAAAAACTCCAGCGAAGTTTTTAAAGTCCATTCCACTGTTGAACAGCTTTCATTCAGGGGGCCAATAATGGCCAAGCAGCCATTATTCATTTTGAGAAACAGACTTTTTACTAGTTGTAAACCAAGGGGCAGGGGGATCTGTGGGGATCTTTCAGTTGTTGGCTGAGCTCCAACTCCCCCCAGCAGCCAGCAAGGCCAGTGGCCAAGACGGAAGTGTGATTAAAAAGGAAAAAGGGCATCTTCCAGATGGCATTGAATCAGGCATCACAGTCTTCTTCAGCTTGTACTCCTAAGCCATTTGCTTAATCCCTGGGCTCACTTAGGCCCTCGCTCACCATGACTGATCAAACTTCCCTTATTCCACTCTTGCCCAGATGGGATACAGCCGGCCAGGAGAAGTTCAAGTGCATTGCATCTGCCTACTACAGAGGAGCAGAAGGTGAGTCAAAAGCTTTTTGCTTCCTTGCTAGCAGGGCAAAAGCTGACTCCTGGGGGCTGGAGACATTCTCCCATTTACTCAGCCTCCAGGGCACTGCCACCGCTGGTGTAGACACGACTTCGCCCCAATCCATAGCTATCCTGTCATTTCTGATGAAATACTGCATTTTGAAGCATCCCCCCCCCAAAAAAAAATCTGGCTTTGAGGAAAAGAACAACTCGGTTGCATTTTAAGCCAGCCCTGTGTCCCCAGCCTCTTTCCTTCTGGATGTCTGCTGAGTCAGAACTAAAACGACTCCTTTCTCCTGCCTTCTGGACCTAGAATGTCTCCTAATCCTCTCTTGGTTTTGTTGCAGTGATTATAACAGTCTTTGATTTGGCCGACATCCAGACTTTGGATCACACCAAGTAAGTCCTTGCCATTCTTTCTTGCAGAAACTTTCCTGAGGACTGGGGGGATTAGACAGGCTTAAGCAGGGTGGGCCTGTCAGCGGGTGTGAGCAGGAAGGAGGAGGATAGGGAGAAAACCAAAATGAGTTGGCTCTGGTTCCACTTCCTGTTCAGTCTCTCTGCCAGTCCCTTCCCACCACCACTGGCCACAGGTTTCCCACCCCGATAAATAGAGAGGGTTGGTATTGAGGTTTCGGTCGCACTTGCTGAAAGAATGAGGTTCTTATTAGCTCATTGCCTTGTGACACAGAAATTGCTGCTCTTCATGTGAAATTGGTGGCAGACAGTTTCTCTGTGCGCTCTCTCTCTCCTTCCTGCAGTCTTGTTTCTGTTTAGCCTTTGACATATTCCCTGGAGGTGTTTGTATTTTCCTGGTGCTGGCACCATTTATCTGTCCCACGGGGGTCTCCCTGCCCGGCTTCCCTCCAGGGTTTTCCGTCTGCACTTGGTAAGGATGGCTAAGTTGCTCACCCCCTTTGGTGGGCCAGACACGAGGCATTGCTCCAAGGGGACTGGCAGAGGAGGAGGCATTATTTTTTCTCAAGAGGAAAGAACATATGGTGTGTGTTCCTCTTTCTCTGGTTTCCATTTCCTCTCCCCTCTGCCCCTTCCTCCTGTTCTCATCATGCTAATCCCAGTTCCTCTCATTACTGCTTTCCTCCAATGGATCACTTTCTGTACTTTCATATACCACACAATCACACCCAAGATCAGGGGTTCTGTTTCAGGATGAATGAAATCGGCCAACATGTGGCTGGTGGACAATGGAGCGTATGTCAGTGAGTTTGCTCAGGGTGGGGGAATTGTGCGGGAGACGAGGCTGGCCTTCCCCAACTGTAACCCCTTCACATTTTGGACTACAACTCCCATCAGCCTCAGCCAGCACAGCCAAGGGTCTGATGGGAGTTGTAGTCCAAAGGCCGACCTAGGCTCTTGCTCACCTGTTTATGAGAGCCAGTGTGGTGTAGTGGTTAAGAGCGGTAGTCTCGTAATCTGGGGAACCGGGTTCGCGTCTCCGCTCCTCCACATGCCGCTGCTGGGTGACCTTGGGCCAGTCACACTTCTTTGAAGTCTCTCAGCCCCACTCACCTCACAGAGTGTTTGTTGTGGGGGAGGAAGGGAAAGGAGAATGCTAGCCGCTTTGAGACTCCTTAAAGGGAGTGAAAGGCGGGATATCAAATCCAAACTCCTCCTCCTCTTATTATTATTATTATTCAAGGACCAATCCTAACATGGAGAACAATATCAGGTGGTCAGTTACAAGCAAGCAGTGCTGGCTTCCCACTTCGGAAATGGCTGATAAATCCTTATATCTAGCATGTCAATATCATAAGTTGCTTATTTATTCATCTTTTCAGCTCTGAAAAGAGTATTAATACTGCCATGTGCAGTTGGCCCAAACTACTGCTGATGAGAGCAGAACTTTGTGGGGCTCCCCTTTCTATCAACATTGTATTTCTTCCTCTTCTAGGAGGCTTCCTGCGCACCATTCCTTTAAAACACATTTAATGCCCATTCTCCTTCTTTGCAAAATTCTGGAAACTGTAGTTTGTTTAAGGCAGTGATGGCCAAACTTGGCCCTCCAGCGGTTTTTGGACTACAACTCCCATCATCCCTGGCTAACAGGACCAGTCGTCGGGGATGATGGGAATTGTAGTCCCAAAACAGCTGGGGGGCCAAGTTTGCCCATCACTGGTTTAAGGGTACTGTGAATTGTAGCTCTGTGATGGTTGCCAGGATTCTGTTTGAGTTTTGTGTGCTTTAAATATATGGTGTGTATGCAGCCCCCATTCCCTCCAGAACTCTCCACACTGGGCTGATCCCTTGTCATTTTTCATCCTACGCAAACTGCCTTTTGCAGCATCAGCATCATATCATTTATACCCTACCCATCTGGCTGTGTTGCCACAGCCACATCTGGGCAGTTTCCAGTACATATAAAAGCATAATAAAACATCAAACATTAAAAGCATTTACATGAAACTCAGCCATCTTGTGCATTCTAAATCCTTCAGACGTTTCCTCTGTCCTCCTCCTCCTTTTTCAGGCAGTGGCTGGAGGATGCATTGAGGGAGAATGAACCAGGCTCCAGCTTCATCTTTCTCGTTGGAACAAAAAAAGATTTAGTGGTAAGTGCATTGCAGCTTGCAAAATAAATGCTGCAGCTGCTCTACTCGGAACCTTGAGCAGTATTACGGAACTGCAGTCTCCATACACAATTTATTTGTCCCGTCTGGATGGTAACTGTGTGATGATGGCTGGTTGCTGGTAGCTCAACTTGCCTAACAGCAGGGCTAGAAGAAGTTCTAGCCCATCAGTAACTGCAACGGAACTGCAACCAATAACCACAACTGGGGGAAACAGAACGTGTGGGTGCACAACAGTGACCTGTATCAGAACATCGAGCCTGCAATATAAAGCCTCCAGTTGGGAGCACTTGGGACATACCTGGCCGACGCATGCAGGACACATAGATAAAAGGGGCCTGAAGCAGAGAGAGGGACAATGTCCTTTGTGTGCAGAAGCTGGAGCAAGGGATCCCTGTGGTCTGTGCTTCCTTCCATAGCCAAGACCCGACAAGGATTCAGAATTCACTTTTCTTGCTGTTGAGTTGGGTTCTTCTTCTTCTTCATCATCATCATCATCCTGAGCAGCTTCTAGCACAAACTCTTTCCTGGTGTCTTTTCAAACCATTTCTGCTCATCAGCTCCTTGCCCTGCTGAAGCAGGGGAAATGTGCCCCCAAAGGATTATGCAGTTGTCAGTTCTGGACAGATTTCTTTGGTAAGGCAGCGGGAGGAAAATGCAGGTTTAAAACTCAGGAGAGACGAACAGCCTATCTAAGGCTCTGACGACAGATGCTTAAAGGCAGCTTCTCCCCTTTACTGTAATAGCTGTACATCATGGGATGGAGACAAGTTCTTTTTTATAATAAAGGTTTTTATCAATGTAAAATCGAACCTTAAAGCAAACAAACAAGAAAAAATATATAGTTAAAGTTACAAAACGTGGGAGAAGGACAGAGTTTGTATTTTCCAAATAACAGAGAGCAGATACCGTAGAAAAATTCTATCAGCAGAACACCACCATAAATGCTATTTTTTTCCTTTGAGGTTCAAATAAAAATAAAAATAATATATATTATTTATTTATACCCTTCCCTCCCCAGCCAGAACCGGGATCAGGGTGGCTAACACCAATAAAATTACAATAAAACATAACAGAAAAAGAAAAAACAGTTAATTAAAATACGAGTTCAACTGTAAGGGCAGGTTCATGTGTTACGTTTTCCATACACTGTGAAGTAAGAATATAATAATTGCCCAGGTAGAAGTGAGCAAAATTTTCTTGTGCTGAACAGGTTCTTACCTTATGTATCCAACCACATATGGCCAGATGCTCTTTAGTGTCAGCAGGCAGAGCTTAAAAGATGGCACAGTCTTCTACAGCTTCTGTGTGGCAGATTAATTCTTCAGTGCATTGGTCTAATTCAGCCTTTGCCAACCTGGTGCCCTCCAGATGTTTTGGACGGCAGCTTCCATCATCGCCCACATAGCTGGACGATGCTGGGGCTGGTGGGAGTTGCCAACCAAAACATCTGGAGGGCATCTGGTTAGAGAGAGAGATGGGGGCAGGAATCCAATGTGGTTCACTTCTAAATGCAAATCTCATCTCATTCACACTTCCTTTTTTTAAAAAAAATGAAGGAAAACTCAGCTTTTATCTTTAGAAATTTGCCCTTCTCCAAATGTTCCTATACAGTTCACCAGCCCCCAAAAGTGTATAAAAAGGCATAGTGGAAATGACTTGTAAGCATCTGTGTTTATCAAGGGAAACTGTATACAGGAAAAATGTGCCCTAAAACACTTAAGAATTTTTGCAAGGACTTGCTTTTTTTGGGGGGGGGGCAAACTAATGTGGAAATGCAGCAAACTGAATTGGGTGGGGCGTGGGGGGCTGAAAAGGTGAGAGAAGTTGGAATTGACAGACTTGCCCATCCCTAGTTGGGAAAAGCTGGTCTAATCTCTTTCCAAAGCCAACTCATGGCCACATTTTGCAGAAGCAAATCCCTCTCTGTTCTTTAGAAGGAAAAACGGCTGTGGTACCTCGGCTTACATACGCTTCAGGTTACAGACTCCGCTAACCCAGAAATAGTGCTTCAGGTTAAGAACTTTGCTTCAGGATGAGAACAGAAATCGTGCTCCGGCAGCAGCAGGAGGCCCCATTAGCTAAAGTGGTGCTTCAGGTTAAGAACAGTTTCAGGTTAAGAACGGACCTCCGGAACGAATTAAGTACTTAACCCGAGGTACCACTGTATTTGTGTTTTGGGGGTGAGGGGGAAGTTTACCCATTTGCAGCGCAACATAGAGATTGCTGTTCCTTGGCTGTGGTTCCTTTCTTTTTCAGTCCGACGCTGCCTGTGAGCGGACAGAACAGGACGCCATCCACCTGGCCAATGAAATGCAGGCAGAATATTGGTCTGTTTCAGCCAAGACAGGTGAGCTGAGCCAATTGAAGTGTTTGGGAGTGCCAGTGCTGCAGGGCTGAGCATGCCAGCTGGTCTCCTTCAAGGAGTTAAGCTGCCAGCTTGCCCAGGGACTTATGTGGGACAGTGTCTTTCATAGTGATGCTCTGCTTGGGTGCAGAGTTTGATCCTTGTGAAATGCACCCTTCTGCTCTGGAACTCCACACAGGCTCATGCCAAGATGCCAAAGGTAGTCCCTTGAATGCCCCCCCATTTTTGGGAGGGGGGTGGGTAGGGATGTTGGAAGAGACACAAGCCATTATTTTGTTTATAGCAGCTGCCTATAGTACCACCCTGTGTTTAAAATGGGAGTGGCTAACCCATGACCCTCTGGATTTTGATGGACTACAACTCCCATCATCCCCAGCCAGCAGTTAACTACAACTGCTGCAATTCGAGAGCCACGGGTTAGCCATGCACGCTTTAAAGCTGTGTTTCCCAAACTTGGGCCTCCAGTTGTTTTTGGACTACAACTCCCATCATCCCTAGCTAGCAAGACCAGTGGTCAGGGATGATGGGAATTGTAGTCCAAAACAGCTGGAGGCCCAAGTTTGGGAAACACTGCTTGAGCCCCACTTGTTTTATGTTGCTATGGCCGTTGTCTAATGCGAATAAAGTTTATCTTATCTATCTACTTGAGCCCCTCAAAGGTTACAGGATTCCCTCTACCTCCCCACCCTCTCTTTCTTTCACCAGGGGAAAACGTCAAGGGGTTTTTTTCCCGAGTTGCTGCCTTGGCCTTTGAAAAATCGATGCTGATGGAGCTGGAGAAGAGCAACAGCCGAATGGCCCAAATTGGTGCAGGAAACCTCATCAGTAGGTTTGAACTGAATTGTCTTTGTTTGATTAAAAACAAAACATTTTCAAGGGATGAGGATAGTGAGGGGGCCAGACAGCTTTTCCTTCTGCTTAGAAAAGTCTTTGCCGATTGGTTGCTCTCCAACCGTTTTGGGCTACGACCCCCATCTGCCCCCAGAATCGCAGGACCACTTGGAAACTTCAGCAGGCCTGAAAATGCAGTAGCAAAATGACTGACCAGGGTTCCACTTAGGAGTTGCATAATCTGTGTTTTAAAACTGGTTGCACTGGTTTCTGTTCTGTTCCCAGGCCCAGTTCAAGATGTTCACATTCATCTTCAAAGTATGAAATAGGTTATAGGCGGTCTTTCTGGTATCTGGGGCCCCTTTTCCTACTTCTCTGTGTTCTGTGCTGTAGCACGCACACCTTCCCTTGGGTAAGCTGATTCTGTCTTAAGTGGTATATAATCTTCTTATGAATAAATAATAAATATAAATGCATATAGTAGCTCCTCCCCTCCACAGTGACTAGTACTGATAGGACTTGCAGCCCCAAACCTCTGGAGGGCACCAGGTTGGGGAAGGGAGGCCAGTAGGACCCCAGCCTTCATGCTGACAAGCACAGGAAGGTTGCCTGCCCATCTAACACCGTGCAAATGTTTATGAAGACTGGGATGAACACTGCTGTTGCCTGTTAACCATTTCTGGAAAGTGATGTTCCGAAAGGATTGATTTGGCCATTTCTTTGTTCCCTTGTTGCAGAAATAGAAGGGGACTCGCCAGAGACTTTGGAAGCCAACCCACAAGCCAGCCCAAGTTGTTGCTAGTAGCCAGCTGTGGGTATAACAAGTTCCTGGCCTGTTGGAGGATTCGCCAAATAGCACTTCAGGAAAGCAGCTGAATATCTGAACAAGCAACAGCAGCAGGACAAGGAGGGGGGCAGGGAAGCAGCGGTGCAGCCCCCCCCTCCCCGCCAAAGCCCACTTTGCTTTGATCTGCCTTCAGGGGAACGGACAGCCTCTCTCCTCTCTTTGGAAAAATTCTATTTTCTGAGCTCACGTTATGGGAAATGATCTGCCTTTTCCAGGAGGGTGTGTTTGTTATCAGCACAATCTGTCTTTCTCTTTCTCTTTCTCTCTTTCCCTCTCCAGGAAACCCATCCTGTTCCAAACTTGCAAAGCCTGTTTCTGTGGAAAGGACAGACCTTGGGAGTGGAGAGCACACGATGGACCTGCCCTATGAGAGAGGCTGCAGATGTGAAAGAAGCTCAGATTTGGTGTCTCTCTGTGAATTCAGTTAGACCTGGCGCCCTCCAGGTGTTGGGGGCTAAAACTCCTTCTAGCCCAGCTAAGCTGGTCGGTCTTCCCTAGATGCCTTGGACCTCTGACTGTGGCTAGAGGGAAATGTAGTCCCAAAACAGCCTCTGCCAGCAGGTGCTCCTGAGAGTTGTAGTCTTGGCAGCTTTGCATCCTTCTCAAGCTGAATTTCTCTAGTTCGTGATCACCGTGGTTAATCATAGTGCTGACTTAATCATGGTTAAGAGCAGCAGGAGGAATCTGTAGAATCCGAGGGGTGAGGAAATGAAGGAAGAGAAAGCATGTAGTCCTGTGGTCCTTCTCAGATGGTGGTTAAGGAATGAGCAGCATCATTCCATCTTAGCCAGTAGTGGGTGGTAGGTTGCCTCCCAAGTCTTCTGCATTGCTCCGAGGTGTGGAATAATCTCATTTCTCTAACTGCCTTAGATATTAGCAGCTGCAGTTGTACAAAACTCGTCTTTATTTTCATGTCAGTTGTGGAATTAAACGTGCTTTCTGATGTCCTCTGAAGACTGATACTTTGGAAGCCAGAACAATTTATGCTAAAACATCCCCCCCACCCCAGGAGAAAGGGGAGAGCTGTCTTAAAGCCCAGAACGTGCCTCTTGGCTAGTTTGGTGTGTGTGTTCCAGCCAGATTGGATGCTGATGGGCAAGTCCGTCATTTCTCTGCTGCTTTTAATCTTTCTGGCACCTTCCCCAGTCTCTGGGTGGGCACTGGGTGCCACGGATGTTTTGTTAGTGTAAATGTGGCATGTCTCCTCCCTGGTGGCCAGAAAACTGCTTGGCCCCTGAATCCAATGAGAGCTGAACCTGTCAAAAGGCAAAGGCTGTGCACACATTATAGGCTTAAAAGCACAGCTAAGACGGGGTCGTCGTCCCCCCTTCTCAGTATGGATCAAAGCTAGTTTGTGGGGAAACACACCAAAGCACAGTATTTCATCAGAAACAATAGGATAGATCTGGATTGTGGCTAATGTTGTGTGTACAGTGGTACCTTGGGTTACATACGCTTCAGGTTACAGACTCCGCTAACCCAGAAATAGTACCTCAGGTTAAGAACTTTGCTTCAGGATGAGAACAGAAATCGCGCGGCAGCAGCGGGAGGCCCCATTAGCTAAAATGGTGCTTCAGGTTAAGAACAGTTTCTGGTTAAGAACAGACCTCTGGAACGAACTAAGTATGTAACCAGAGGTACCACTGTACTCCACTTTCCAAACCAGAAGTGGGAATGAACTGAATGTGTACACAAGCTTAGATATGGTCCCTGAGGGAGGAGATTACCTCCTTTCCTTTCTGAACCGAGCTGATTGCTTTCACTCCCATAGGAAACTGTCCAGGGCACCACTTGGGGATCACTGTGGCTCCCTGTCTCTGGCCAAAAACAGGTGGAAGGGATCGGGGGAACTTTCCAGAATTCAAAGCAAGCCAAGGAAATGAACTGCCCAGTTACCAAGTTCTCTTCCTTCAGTGGGGAATCAGAGCAGGGGTATCAAGAACCTTTGCCTTTGGCTCCCCCTTCTGTTCTCAGGCTCTCTCGGGGTCTGGCGTCCCCCTGGAAGCCACTCAGATTCCCTCCCCCCTTGCCTTATGATGCCACCATTCACGTTCCTCTGATTGCCAAAGACAGTAATTGTTCCTTTTGGAACATGTAGGTGGCAGCGAGGGCTCTTTCCACCCGAGGCTGTGCTATTTCCTGCAACGTTATAACATTCAGTGCAGCTCCTCTTCCCTCAGAAATAGACTTCATATGGCGCTTTTGAGTTGCTTTTTGACTTTTGGTGGGGCGGCACACTCAGCCGAGCAGGCGGAGCAGAAAGGGGAAGGAGTCATTACGACAAGTACGAGCATCTGTGATGATGATGCACGGCTGAGTCCCAAGGACTGATGTGGGTTCTGTCCCAACGTGCCAGCATCACGCATTTTGCAAACAAACATTACCTTTGAAAGATCAAACAAAATACAAAGGATATGTTGGGTTTGGTTCATAGGTGCGGGTCAACCAGGGAAGGGTCACGGGCTTCTCCCTGGACTGCTGGTCTTGAGGCTGCTGGCCAGCCACAGCTGGGAGAAGGATGCAAGGCCAGATTGACACACTTGGGTCTTCTCCAGAAAACCAATTATTCATGTCTTGATAAGATCAAGCACGGTGTGTGTGTGTGTTCCTTTTGAACTATGCATTCCTTTCGCCACATACAGGATTCTCTGCATCCTTCTGTTAGAGAAACAGAAGAGGATGATCGACAGAAAGGGCACAGCTCTTCATTTTAGCAACAGGACAAGAAACCACCTTGTCCTCTATTTGTGACAGGTACACGAAGGCCTGGCTTTAGGGTGTGTGGCTATCACGATCAATCACTCATTTTCACACATTCAAACACACACTAAAAAAACTTGTGTGACGTTACTGTTGACAGATAGCTTAGTCAGGCTGTTCAAAGGAAAAACTCGTAAGCTCTGGCTGGATGAAAGCTGCTTCCCTCCCACCCCCTTCCATTTGCTTGTACAGTCATACCTTGGAAGTCAAACGGAATCTGTTCCGGAAGTCCGTTCGACTTCCAAAATGTTCAGAAACCAAACCGTGGCTTCTGATTGGCTGCAGAAAGCTCCTGCAGCCAATCAGAAGCCACGGAAGCCCGGGTTTCAAAAGAACATTCAAAAACCAGAACAATCACTTCTGGGTTTGCGGTATTTTGGGAGCCAAAATGTCCCGAGTTCCAGGACGTTCGGGATCCAAGGTACGACTGTAATTTCTTGATCCAATTCTATTTTCTCAGTTTAGCTTTTATATTTATTTGTTTTATAAGGGAAGGGTTCTGCAAGATGCACCTTCTGTTTGCTCATCTGGCAGAAGCTGTCAGGGGCACGGAAGTTGTTAGCAGCCAGGTACCGTATTTTTCGCTCTATAAGACGCACCAGACCACAAGACGCACCTAGTTTTTGGAGGAGGAAAACAAAACAAAAAAATATTCTGAATCTCAGAAGCCAGAACAGCAAGAGGGATTGCTGCGCAGCAACTCTTCCTGTTCTGGCTTCTCGGATAGCTGCACAGCCTACATTTGCTCCATAAGACGCACACACATTTCCCCTTACTTTTTAGGAGGGAAAAAGTGAGTCTTATAGAGCAAAAAATACGGTAAATATTGGAGGACTCCTTGCTTTTGCACTGAGGCCTGCTAGCTGGCTGGCAGGCAGGCAAGTCCCTCCTCTCCTGATGCCTCCCAGAGGAAATTATTCTGAGAGGCTTAGGTGGGGGAGCAAGATGCTCAGGGGCATATTATGTGAACAAATGGTGCATGTGTCCATTAGGAGGCAGATTGGGATCTACTGGGAGGTGTCTGGAGTGCTCTGCATTAGGAGGCCTTCCTTTGGAAAAGGAATGCTAAGAAAAATGCAATGCATCCTTTGTAAAAATGGGGCTCGCAACAGCTTTCTGGCCAAGGTATGTGTGTGAGGGAAACCAGCTACTTTTGCCCACAGGAGGGAGTGGCAAAAATGCCTGGCTGCTTGCATGGCTTCTTCAGAGTTACAGCAAGGGTTTCAGGCTCATTGTGGGAACACGAGAGGGCTTGTGTGTGTGGTCGTGAAGCTTGCTTGGGAGCTCTTGAAGACAAGCCTGCCTGCAGAGACTTTAGAATAATAGAATTGGACAGGACCTTGGGGGTCATCTAGTCCAACCCCCTGCAATGCAGGAATCTTTTGTCCAATGTGGGTCTCGAACCTCGGATGACCTCAGCAAAGTGGTCCGAGTTCTTTAAAAGGGCCATTTTATTTAGAAAAAAATAATATATAGGCTGCTTTGTCAGAAAACTCTGATAAGTGATGCTCATTATAAAAGATCTAGGAAAGGGGCATGGGATTTGTGCAGAATGCTGACTCTTACATGCTTATGGTCACGCCAAGACATTTGGTATGCTCTGCTCATTAACACGTGGGAGGAAGTTCTCCTGAGCCAGCGCCATTGAGAAGAAGCCCAATAATGGGCAGAGCAGACAGGGAGGCGGACAGATCTCAGTGGAAAGGCAGCCCCTCTGAAATGAAAGAGAGCAATGTGAGATAGCATCAGTGTGTTTCAAGGGCACTTGCTCAGGAGAACTGCCCAATTGTGGGAGGAAGATCTGAAGGAGCGCAAATCTCCCACCCTGTGCATCTTGAGGAAGAAGCAAGAGCCACTGGGCTCAATGGGGCCGCTTACTCTCCATCTGCCCCACAGCCAGCATGAATACGTAGCCTTAATGGTGCCTCAAGTGAAGCCCACCTGTCACGGCTGACCTCCACCTATCAGGAATCCTGAGCCTGGCTTCCTCAAGGGGGAAAGAAGTGGATAAACCCAGCATTAACTTCTGCAGCATATGCTCCAGGGTAGATTAATGCAGAGTGTGGCCACCGGTCTACTGGGCATATAAGAGGCCTTAATGCCGAATTTGTTGACTCGAGGGTGATCTGCGGTGCTGAGCTCCTTTCGGAAAGCTCCTTGAGGAAAGAAGGGAATCCTACATCTCCCCACTATTTTAATTGGGTGTGCATTTAAATGGGCGATACTAGGTTGTTGCTTGCTTGTTTTCTGTAATAGTAATAATAATAATAATAATAATAATCCACCCATGTGGCTGAACTTGCCCTATATGTATTTTAAATTTTAAGTGCTTCAAGACTGTGATATATAAAAATATTAACAAAAACAAATAAACAGTTTAAACCATAATAGCATCAAAAAGCAACCGTCACAAAAAACGTCCTAAAGCATTTCCAAAGGGGTAGTTGTGCTGGTCTGGTGCAGCTAAAACAAAGAGGCAATGGGAGGTAGGGGGAAGAGAAATTTTTTATCCAGTCCAAAGATGGCAAGACAAATGCCTTCTGAAATAAAGCTGCAATCCTATATGTGTTTATTTGGAAGTTTGCCTGAGAACTGAGAACCCCCCGCTTTGAACTATCTTGTGTGGCAGGGATTATTCTGTGTTAAGTGGAGGAATAATCTGAATGCTAGCAAACCATTTTCCCAAGAGCGGGCGGAGGGAAGTTGTCATAATTTGTCCTGATATGCTAGAAGCAAAAGTGGTTAAGAGGTTTGATGGATTATTGAGCAGCATTAAAAATGGAGCAGGCTTAATGCTTTGGCGTGAGCAGCAGCAACACCCTCCATCTATGGGTCCCAAAGCCCTCCCCAAACACCAGTTAATTGCCTGGCAGCTCCTACAGGCCAACCTCCCACACAGATGGACATAATAATAACAACTCGCTTTCATTTGAAGCCTGTTTATTTTCGTCAGGAATCCTCTCTGGGTTTCTGGGAAAGGAGGGCCACATGGCTGGGGCTGAGCACATGAAAGACATCCCGCTCTCTGCAGACAATGGAATGGCTCAAGGTAGGCTGCCCAGGTGATGCCACGGTGAAGGGGGGGCTCTGCTCCACCCTTTGCCTAGGTCTCAGGAGAGGAGAAGAGAAAGGTTCTGGGTTGAGAACATATAAATAAGTCATCCCATCCTTTGGAATAAAGGTAAAGGTAAGGGAACCCTGACCATTAGGTCCAGTCATGGCCGACTCTGGGGTTGCGGCGCTCATCTCGCTTTACTGGCCGAGGGAGCCGGCGTACAGCTTCTGGGTCATGTGGCCAGCATGACTAAGCCGCTTCTGGCGAACCAGAGCAGCGCACGGAAACGCCGTTTACCTTCCCGCCGGAGCGGTACCTATTTATCTACTTGCATTTCGACGTGCTTTTGAACTGCTAGGTTGGCAGGAGCAGGGACTGAGCAACCGGAGCTCACCCCGTCGCGGGGATTCGAACCGCTGACCTTCTGATCGGCAAGTCCTAGGCTCTGTGGTTTAACCCACAGCGCCACCCACGTCCCATCCTTTGGAATAGCCACAGCCAAAAAGATCTTCAACTCCATATGATGGCGGGAGAGGGACTCTGACAAGCTTCTAAGCACATAAGCAGAGGCCTAGATCTTCATCAGACCCAAGGCCCTCTTCGCCAATTAGTTAAAAGAAAGTATTTCTTCCCACAGCGTACAGCTAAAACTATGAAACTGCAGGAGGCAGTGATGACCACCAACTTGGATGGCTTAAAAAGAGGATTAGGCAAATTCATGGAGAGAGGGAAGGCTACGGGGGGGGTGCAAACTTGAATTAAATATTGGGTGGGGGCAGTTAAAATAAACCCTGTCCCAAATAATCACATAATGTGGCGCGCACACACACATTTGAATGGGAATCCCCCTCAACTCGGGGAAGGATGGACCCCTCAAATATTTTATTGGAGGGGCTGAAGCGACCTCGGCTCGAGCAGTGGGCTCCTATGGGGCAGGGGTACCAACTTGTGTAAAATATTGGGGGAGGCCAGGTAAGCCCTCCCCTGCATAATCAATCACAAGATTACACCCCCCCCCCATTTGAACTGGCCCATCAACTGGAGGGAGAGCTGTCCCCCTCAAATATTTTATTGGGGGCGGCGGCGAAGGGTGCAAGGGCTCTTATTGCTCGGATCCTGCTTTCCATCAGAACATTTGGCTGTGAGAAAAGGATGCTGCCCTAGGCGGGCCAGCAACAAGGCTCTTCCGCTGCTCCATTCTCACAAGAGAAGCCCCCTACCCAGGACGGGTGCCAACTTGATTTTTTTTTTTTTAATGGGGTGGGGGCAGGTAAACCCAGCCCCGCATAATCGACCACATGACACGGTGCACGCGCACTATTTGAATGGCAATGCTCATCAACTTGGGGGTGAGGGTTGCAGCCCCCCCCCAAATATTTTATTGAGCGACTGAAAGCCCCTCGACCCCTTGGAGTTGGCTCCTCTGCCCCAACAGCATTACCGGAAAGGGAAGCGTCCTCTCTCCTACCCTAAGCTGGGATCTGATCCTTTTGGCAGGCCTGGCCCAGCCAGCCGGATCCACGGCAGGCGGCGGTGGCGAGGCGCTCTGCACGTGCTCGGGGCTGTGGGCGGGGCGACGAGGCCCAGCCCGTCCCGCCCGCCCCCTCGCCGCGCCCCCCCTCCAATCCCGCCCCCTCGCGCCGCCCCGCCTGGCCTCCCGCCCCGCCCTCGCCGTCCCTGCGGCTGCCATCCCGAGCGCGAGCTGGGCCAGCCGGCGATGGGCAGCCGCGACGCGGAGCCGCCCGGAGAGCTGCAGCCCGACCCCGCCTGAGCCCGCCTGGATCAGTAGCCGCCGCCGCCGCCGCAGGATGGGCTAAGGCTCGGGCCCTGCCGAGGCCAAGGAGGAAGCCAGCAGCCAGGCAGGCAGGCGGAGAGGAGAGGAGCCCGCCGCCCGGGCGCGTGAGGCAGGCTGCCGGCCGCGCTCGCCTCCGCCTCGGCTCGCGCCTTTGTTCTTGCCCGCCCGCCCTCGCCGAGGGGGCGGCGGCGGCGACGGCTCCTCATGGGCAGCGCGGCCGGGGCGCCCGGGGCTGAAGCGCCGCTGCTGCCTCCGCGGACACCCTGCCTCCTCCGGCGGGGGATGAGCGCCCCCGCCGCCGCCTCCTCCTGCTCCGCCGCCCGGGCGCGCCGCTGCCGCCCTGACCGGCCCTCGGGCCGCCTCCGCCGCCGCGATGGTGGACCCGGTGGGCTTCGCCGAGGCGTGGCGCGCGCAGTTCGCCGACTCGGAGCCTCCCCAGATGGCGCTGCGCTCGGTGGGCGACATCGAGGCGGAGCTGGAGCGCTGCAAGGCGTCCATCCGCCGCCTGGAGCTGGAGGTGAACAAGGAGCGCTTCCGCATGATCTACCTGCAGACGCTGCTGGCCAAGGAGAAGAAGAGCTACGACCGGCAGCGCTGGGGCTTCGCCAGACCCGCCCGCGCCGGCCTCGACGACGACGACGAAGACGAGGGGACGGCCGCGGCCGACGACGGAGACGTCGGGGCGCAGACGACCGGCCAGGCCAGGCCGCCGCCGCCGCCAAGCGGCAAACCCCACCACCACCACCGGCCGCGCCCGCCTGCTCTCCGCAAGCTCTCGGCGGCGCACAGCGACGGCTCCGAGGCGGACAGCCCGACGCAGCAGCCCGACGGCAACGGCGAGGCGGCGGCGGAAGGGGGCTCCCCGGCCAGGGCCCGGGCGGCTCCCAGCGGCGGGAACAGCAGCAGTAGCCGCCGCCAGCGCCTTCTGAGCGTCTCCTCGGAGAAGGAGGCGGGCGCCTTCGAGCCGGTGGGCAGCCGGGAGCGCGGAGGGGGCGGCGGCGGCGGCGGCGCGGCCAGCAACGTGGCGGCGCTGCGCTGTAACTTCGAGCGGGGGCTGAAGAAGTCGTTGACGACGGCAGCGGCGGATGGGAAGGAGCCGTTGTCCGCGCCGCCCTGCTCGTCGGACAAGCCCTTCTACGTGAACCTGGAGTACCACCACGAGAAGGGCCTGGTGAAGGTGAACGACAAGGAGGTCTCGGACCGGATCAGCTCGCTGGGCAGCCAAGCCATGCAGCTGGAGGCACGGAAGAAGCTCTTGCCGGGGCTGCGCGGCCGCTCGACCGAGGCCTGCTTCGGCGACGGCGACTACGACGACGCGGAGCTCAACGCCCGCTTCCTCAAGGACAACCTGCTGGACGGCAACGGCGCTGCCCGCTCGTCCTCCGCCTGGCAGGCCGCCCCCTCGGACTTCCAGCCCTACCAGAGCGTCTACGTCGGGGGCATGATGATGATGATGATGGCGGCGGCGGGGGGCGAAGGCGCCGGGGAGCCCGGGGGCAAAGGCGCCCCGCCGACGCCGCTGCTGCGCGGCCACTCGGGCGCCGCCGTCGAGCCGGAGAAGCCGCTGACCTGGCCGCGCCGCTCCTACTCGCCGCGCAGCTTCGACGACATCGGCGGCGGCTACACGCCCGACTGCAGCTCCAACGAGAACCTCACGTCGAGCGAGGAGGACTTCTCGTCGGGCCAGTCCAGCCACGTCTCGCCCAGCCCCACCGCCTGCCGCCTCTACGGCCGCGACAAGAGCCGCTCGCCCTCCCAGAACTCCCAGCAGTCTTTCGACAGCAGCAGCAGCCCCCCGACGCCCCAGTCCCAGAAGCGGCACCGGCAGCAGCAGCAGGTCGTGGTCTCCGAGGCCACCATCGTGGGCGTCCGCAAGAGCGGGCAGATCTGGCCCAGCGACGGCGACCTGCCGGCTGGCAGAGCCTCTCTGGACAGCTGCTACCACCTCGGAGAGGCAGGTAGGTGGGAATCTCCTTTTGTGTCCTTGTTCTTCTTCAAGAGGGAAAGGGTGTCTCCCTTTTCTATAGCATGCAGCAGTGTTGAAATTCCTGATAATGGTGTAGTGGGGAGTCCCTTTTGTTTTCTGATGGTTCCTTTAGAGGGGGGGTGGTGGTATGATTTAGCCATATAGCCGCCTCTTGACTCTGTGCCTGGCTGGGTTGGGGGAGTTTCTGACCTCCCCCTTTGCACAGCTTTGTGATGCCTGGCCTGGCCCACTCAGGTGAGGTCCTCAGGTTGGGCCTTCTCCTCCGCTGCCTTCCCTTGGTTGGGTCAGGTGATGCCATCCTGAGGCTCCTTCTCCTTCTCCTTCTATGGAAGCTGGGAAAACGCCATCTGGGGGCTTCACATGGTCCTTTATCTCTTGGTGGGAGGGAGGTGCCAGGATGCCCAAAGGATCCTTGGCTCTAGAATGCAGATGTTGGGGTGGCGGCAGTGGAGGAGGAGGTTGTCCAACTCAAGTGGCCCTTGGACCAGTGGATCCTGCCTCTTTAGCCTGGTTGGGGGGTTCTGTTGTATTGCTCAGAACGACAGGAGAGCAGGGTACACCTGAGCCCTCTCCTTTTGCCTCCTGATTTTGAAAGGCTTCATGGACTAGCCCTGGGCTTTAATGGGCTGCTCAGGTGTCCTTGTGCTGCCTTTGAGATGTTACGGAGTGTGGCTTGGCTTGTGCGATCCATGGGTCACCTGCATGCCAAGCAGGTACTCTGCTGCTGAGCTGCTCCCTTCCCCCACTGTTAACTGGCATGCTGTGTTTTGAGTCAAGGACCAGATTCTACCTGTGATTCATTTTCGCCTGCAGTCATCACATGGTAGACGTGCAGTCATCGCGTGATGGGCCTGGGTGTGTGGATGCACCTGGAAGTCATCTGGCTCCGTCTTCCCCCAACCTAGTGCCCTGCAGCTGTTTTGGACTACGGCTCCCAGCCGCCATGGCCATTGAGGGGAATTGTAGCTGCAGGGCACCCAGTTGGGGAAGGCTGATCCTAGGCCCTTGCGCTTTCATTTAGGAACCTGCCTTCAGTGGGATGCTAGCTCATCACCTGCAAGGCTGGACTTGCTACTTTCTTGGGCCTGAGACTGCTATGCTTCTCCTTGTTTAAGTGTCTTACTTTTAAGGAGTGTGTCTTCCTGGCGTAAACACTGGCCAGGTGTGTATTGTGTGTCCAGGCAGATGCTGGACTTGATGAGAGCAAGGCTGCTTAGGAGCTGCGTGTACCTTTCTAACAGACACTGGCTTCCTTGTCCAGTTCTGAGATGATGGACAGTGGTTGTCGCTACTGGAAGTTGCCCCTGCAGCTTGCCAGGCATTGTCACTGGACCTCTGCTTAAAGAGCAGAGCGGGTTTAGCAAAGCAGTAGCTGATTCTATAGAACAGGTCTAGCAAAGGCCTTGGATAATAACTTATTATTGAGTTATATCTCCTCATGCTTCCAGGAAGTGCCCTTCAGGTAGCCTACGGCCCCACAAATTCAGCCCAATACCAATTAAAACTCTACATTCGAAATCTTAACAAGTACATGGGTAATGGGGACAGCAAAGGACATGAAAGTGGGGAAAAAAATTGCATGCTGACAATCATTCTAAAACGATAGGCATTTCTTTTTAATAATGATGGATGCTGGAGGTGCTGAACTGGAAGAAGTTGTGGCCTCTGGAGTGAGGGTCCAGACTGCTATATATATAGATCCTTCACCTTTGTCATTCCCAGAGTCAATATTGTAATAAGGAACAGCGCCTGACATTTGCAAACAGCTAAATTCCACTTGCTTGGCTGGGCTTCAAGAGGCTCTCAGAGTAGAGAGGTTTTGAAGCTCTCAAGGAGAGTTGGGATCCTTTGTCCTCCTAGTTTGGCATTTGTTAATATTTAAATGCAGGTAGAGTTTTTTAGTCTCCTTTTCCTGCCTCTCATTTATTTCCTGAGAATTTATCTCCCCACCACCCCACATTATATGGGGAGGGGGATTGTTTGGGCTCTGAGCTGGCTTTGGCACATGGAAGGCGAAGGCTCCTTATCCTCAAAGTGACCTCTCCCCTCCCTCTCTCCCTCCCAGATTAGAGAGCCCTCAATTTCTTTTCTTCTCAAGACTTGTGGATCTTGTGCGAGAAGCAATGGGGGCGGGACGGGAGAGGGAGGAGGCTGAACCACTGGTCTAATCTGAACTGCAGCCATCTGTCCTGTGATGATGCTCTTTAGATGTCTGCAAAGCCTCTCCTCCGGCTTGCAGTTTCCTGGGCAGGAACAATAGGAGGGGAGGGGAGGGTGCCCAGGCCAATGCCTCCGGGCCCTCTCTTCTCTTTCAGCTGCCTGGGCTGTCCTTGCAGAGAGGCAGGTGCCTTTTAAATGGCACACACACACAAAGCTTTTACTCTTCTAGCAGATGAAACCCTGAAACTGTGAGGCACCAGACCTGGTTCCCCGGCAAGCCCAGAATTTGTGTGTGTGCCTGCAAAAAAGGGTCATGTCTCTCCATCCCACAGAAACAGCAGCGCAGTACCTTGAAGAGTAAGCCTGATGCAGGAAGAAAGGACCCCTTTCCATCATGGCATTAACCACATCCACTGTTTTATTTTGTCTATGCTTCCACGTTGTTGTTGTTGTTGTTGTTATATCCTACCTTTTTAGCAGACCGGGGCTGCTAAATTCAGCTTACACAAATTACAACAAAACAGATGAATTACAAAAAAAGCTAAAAAGGTATAAAAGATAACGATTAAGGATAATTTAGAATTAAGGCAACGTTAAAAACCGATCTATTAAAATTCAGGTAATCAAAAACATGCGCTGCTCCTGGTGGTTAATAATACAGGAAAAAGACACCTTTGAAACAATTAAGGTGCAAAGCGGCGTAAATGTAAAAGGAAGAGAAGCCAGAACTATGAAGAACAAAGTGGGTGGACTTTCAAAATAACCTGAGCAGGAAAAGAGGCAAACCTGCCTCTGGGGTTTATTTTGACCTTTCTTTGCTTGAAGGTAGAAGGCAGCTGGTTGTGAGGGGGCAAAATGAAGCTCTGTAAGGGAAGATCTCAAAGCTGCATCTGCTACTGAGAAGGCCCCAGTTTCCTTGGATCCCTAAGGTAACACCAGGACCAGCTGACATGGAAGGCAGTATTCTGGACCCCGGTACGTTTAGGACTTTTATAGGGTTACAACCAGCGCTCTAAATTGTGCCCAGAATTGAAGCTGCAGTAAAGCAGGAGTGAGTTGCATACTCCCACATCTGACTGTGATCAAGAGCCTGGCTGAACCAAACTCCTTCAGAGGCAGCCCTCCATCGAGTGCATTGGAGTAGTCCAGGCGACATGTGAATAAGGCCCACATTCCCGCAGCCTGATTGGACATCTCTGGGAATGGGTGTAGCAGGTGCATTAGCCTCATTTGTGCAAAGGTGTCTTGGCACTGATGCAATCTGGGTATTTAGGCTCAGAAGATGAACCCCCAGAAAATGAACTTGGGTCTTCAAGCACAGCGCAGCCTCCATCCAATGCAGATTGAACCCTGTTCCCTATTGGCCTTTGACATGTCTGGATTAAGTTTCAATTTGTGCGTTCTCCTGGCGCCATTTTGGATGGAGGGTAAAGTCTCAACGTCTTCAGGGAAACCTGGAGTTGAGATGCAACCATGTGCTCAAGTGTGCTTGCCGAAAATGTCCAGACACCAATGGGGGGGGTATTCAAGGAGGTCTTTCCTAAAAAACCAAAAGCTTTCCCACCAACTCTTTCAGGTTCAGTGGACCAATGCTCTGTCGTAAAATGGCATTTGCCACCCCACCTTCCCCACTCAGTCGGGCCCTCTCAAGGCAACTTTTGTAAGCCAGGAAGGGTTAAGTGCATATGTGGCTAGGTTCCAAGATTCCCGTTCACACCTTCAGATTGCACAAACATCCTTCAGAGCTGGATGAGCAGGTGCTGAAGTGACCTGCTGCAAGGGTGCAAACCGTTTTATCTGCAGAATGCCTTGTAAACTGGTCACCGTGAGGGTTCTTCAGTATCGTCTTGCAAGAGATGTCAGAGGCCCTGGAAAAAGCTCTTCTGGACAACTCTGTCCCTCTGCAGTGGTGGCAGAGAAGCATGATCCTTCGTACCCCCTGGAATAATCCCCAAAAGGGTATCTTTTCTGTGTTCCCTCAATGCTTTTCTGCCCTCATGGCTCCCTATTCATATTATCAAGATCTCCAGGGAGCCTGTTTGGTTTTGAGTGGGTCGCCTGAGGGCCATTTTGTCAGCTGTCCATCCAGAAAGTCGGACAGTCCCCAAGACCCAATGGGAAGTGGTAGGCATCCGCCAGTCTCTTTATGGGAGCCTTCATAAAAAAGGTAAAGGACCCCTGGACGGTTAAGTGCAGGCAAAGGTGACTATGGAGTCCACTGAGGGAGCTGTCGTTTGCCGCAGACAGCTTTCCAGGTCATATGGCCAGCAGGACTAACCTGCTACTGACACATGGAGGACCGTGACAATAGCCAGAACACATGGAAACACCGTTTACCTTCCCGCTGCAGCGGTACCTATTTATCTACTTGCACTGGTGTGCTTTTGAACTGCTAGCTTGGCAGGAGCTGAGACAGAGCAACGGGAGCTCACCCCCTTGCGGGGATTCGAACCACCAACCTTCCGATCAACAAGCCCAAGAGGCTCAGTGGTTTAGACCATAGCGCCACCTGCTCCCTAGGAACCTTCTTAAACGGTCTTCAATTTGACCCTGTAGGGGCAATAATCCTATTCCCCCTAACAGTGAGAATCTACTCCTGTGGCAGAGTTGTAGGGGACCCCCCCTAATTGCTAGTTGGGGGTGAGCTACATGGTACATTACTGCTATTTGTCTATTACATTAATAATGCCACCTTTTCCTCAAAGGAGCCCAAGGTGGCATACATGGTTCTCTCCCACTCTCAATCTCCACAACAGCCCTGTGAGGTAGGTTAGACTGAGAGGCAGTAACTGGCTCACACAGTGAGCTTCATGCCTGAGCAGGGATTCGAACCCAGTTCTCCCAGGTACTAGCCTGCCACCTTAGGATGCACAGGGTGGGGTGTCATTTGTTTGAAAGCCCCTGTCCATGTGCTTGGTTCTTCCTCCTTGGGCTTGGTTCTTCCCTGCTTTGAAGGGTCTCCACTGCCATCCTACTGGTTGTGATTTCCTCTTCTGAGCTCTTGGGCTTGGCTGTTTGTGGGCAGGGGATGCCCCACCCCTTGAATGGTTGAAAAGGGGGAGCCAGCCCCCCTCCCGCAAGCTTTGATGATAAACCTTTGGGGAGAACTGGAAGGGGGCAGTGTTATTTTTCTCATTGTATTTTTAAAGTTGGTGTGTGCTTGCAGGGGCAGCGGCTTCAAGGTATTCAGAATGCAAATCCCTCCAGATCAAAGCTCGTCTCTGCATTTGGCTGGGGCCTCAGAATCTGCAATGTTCTCCCACTTTATTTTGTGTTATAGCGTTTCAGATGCCAAGCTGGGGGCAGTGTTAGGTGTTCTGACTGCGGATTTTGTTATAGTGGGGGTTGGTAGCAAAGCTCCCCTCCCCCAGCTTTCCTCTTTCCCCTCCATTAGGTCTGCGAAGAATATGGAGTAGCATAACTTCACAGAAAATATTTCACATCCTTCTCTTTAAGTGACATTTGGCTCTCCCCATATTTATTTACCTACTTAATTTATAGAGCTGCCCTATAGCAGAAGAACTCTAGGAAGCCAGTGTGATGTTGTGGTTAGTGTCGGACTAGGACCTGGGAGATCAGGGTTCAAATCCCCACTCACTGGGTGACTTTGGGCCATAGCTGTCAATTTCCCCCTTTTCTTGCGAGGAATCGTATTCGGAATAAGGGAATTTCCCTTTTAAAAAAGGGGAAAGTTGACAGCTATGCTTTGGGCAAGTCACAGCCTCTTAATCTACCTCGCAGGGTCATTGTAGGGATGAACGGAGGAAGGAGCTGTGTATTCCTTGGAAGAAAAAAAGGTGGGATATACCGTATTTTTTGCTCTATAAAACACACTTTTTCTCTCCTAAAAAGTAAGGGAAAATGTGTGTGCGTCTTATGGAGCAAATGCAGGCCGCGCAGCTATCCCAGAAGCCAGAACAGCAAGAGGGATCGCTGGCTTCTGAGATTCAGAATTTTTTTTTTCTTGTTTTCCTCCTCCAAAAACTAGGTGCGTCTTATGGTCTGGTGCGTCTTATGGAGCGAAAAATACAGTGAATGCAATAAACAAGCTCTTCTACTTCCCTACTTAGGAAAGCTGGAGGGGCCAGCCAGGTGGAGATGCCAGTCGCCAAATCTCCACGTGGTCGCAGTTGGACTTGCACCAGTCGCAAAGCGTGCCTGGGCAATTTTTAAGTGCCTGCTTTAAAGTGCTACGGCAGGTGGTCATGGTCGGGATTGCTTTGCAGCCACTCGCATATCAGGCAGTAAAGGGCCGCCACAGTTTAAGAAGGGTATTGAAAGCTGGAACATGTGCAGAGGAGGGTGAACGAGGTGCTGGAGGGTCTGGAAACCAAGCCATATGAGGAACGGTTGAGGGAGTTTGGTGCGTCTAGCCTGGAGACTGAGAGGTGATACGATAGCTGCCTTCAAATACCTGTATGTCAGATGAAGCAAGCTTGTTTCCTGCTGCTCCAGAGGGCAGGACCGGAACCAGTGGATTCAGATAACGAGAAATGAGATTCTGGCTAAACGCTATAAAGAACTTTCTGACCATAAGAGCTTTTTGACAGTGGAACCGAGGCTGAGTGGCCATCTGCCGGGGGTTCTTTAGCTGTGGTTCCTGCATTGCAGGGGGTTGGACTAGGTGACCCCCAAGTTTACAGTTTTGTGCTTCTCCACATGCCGTGATGTTTCCTCCTCCCTGCGCTTCTCCACAGATGGGGGGAGAAAGTGGACTGAAGGAGCACTTATAGGGGGGCAGTTTCTGGTGGGGCTTATTTGATTAACTAATTGTATCAGTTGTAATTGGTTTATTAACTGGTTAAATCTGCACCCATCGGCAAATGGATGAAGCCGTTGTTTGAAAGAGGAACGCTCTTTGGAGAGGCAAAGAGAGAAAGGGAGAGGGCAGGGAAACCCAGCTAGATGGGTGGGGTATAAATAATTATTATTATTATTATTATTATTATTATTATTTATTTAGGCCATGGCCCAGTAGCGTGCACAGTTTGCCTTGTGTGCCGAAGGTCCCACTGGGGCGTCTTGCCTCTTCCACCCCCACCCTCCAACCCCCTGCTTTACGTTCTGAAGAAGCCAAACCAGTTTCCCCTTGCTGACAAACAGGCTGGAATTCAAACCAATTTTTCGGGCTGTCCGGTGGGTGGATTTCCAGTCCATCCGGCTTTGCTTCTTTTTCACGTGTCCCCCACACCTCCTCAGTGCGCCATTAGAATAATAGACTTGAAGAGTTGGGAGGGACTCTGAGGGTCATCCAGTCCAGCCCCCTGTGATGCAGGAATAAAGCACCTGGCCACCTGACCACTGTTCAGAAACCTCCAGCGAAGGACAGCCTGCCACCTTCCGAGGTCGTCCGTTCCACTGTTGAACAGCTCTAGTCCTCAGAAAGTTCTTTCTGACGTTTAGTCAGAATCTCCTTTCTTGTCATTTGAATCCATTGGTTCCAGAGCAGCAGAAAACGAGCTTCCTCCATCCTCCATGTGGCAACCCTTCAGGTATTTGAAGATGGCTTGCTCGCTTGGTCTTGCAGCCGTCTGGTGGCCACGGACTTCACTGGGTGAGACCCAAACTGTGGCTTGCTCTGTGCCAGGATGGGCAGCCATCACTGGGGCAAGAGGCGGCTGTCAGTGGCCTGGCTGGCTGTTTGTCCAGTCTATTCAGAAAAGCCAGTCCTGCGCAGAGAGAGGTCAAGAGTGGGGGAGGCCTCTTTTGGGGGGGGATGGGAGCTGTGTTTTGCAGATAACCTGATGAAAGAATGAGTGTGTGCGAATGTGGAATGCTGCATAGTCTTCACAATTTGTTTATTTAATGCATTTTTACTCTGCCCTTTAGCCAAAACAAAGCTCCCAGGGGGGTCTCAGGAGGAGTCAGGGCAATCCCTTCCCTCGGGCTGAAATGTGGAGGCCGTTCTCATCATCCGCTGGCATTTGTGGAGCCCCTGGAGGGCCTCCCTCCTTTCTCTCTGCTGCCAGGGCTGGGCTCTTTCTTTCAGGGAGGGCCAAGATGTTGGGTGGGCAATAGGCAGGGCTTGTTGGGGGTACCTAGATTGCCAGGTTCTGCACCAAGCCAAGTCAGAATCTGTGACCTGGACAAATGGTTGGTTTTGAATTTTGAATTTCAGGGGGTTGGGCTAGATGACCCTTGGGGTCCCTTCCAGCTCTACAGTTCTATGGTTCTGTGACACTTTCAATGATTTCTCAGTTTGCCTGTAGTCCTGGTTTTGCTAGCCAAAGCACTGACATGCCTCTCCCGACTGGTGGGAGTCTTGTTGAGCTCCTTGGCTATTGAAGCTAGTGATTTGCACACATGTGTGCTCTCTCTTTCAAAAAAAGAAAGAAGGAAAGTTTACACCTGAGCTTTGATGGGGGACGCTTTTTAAGGATAGAAGCAAAGCAAACAGAGAGCTTGTGGTATGTAGTCCACTTTTCTGTCGCTTCTCCATGCGATGCAAAAGCTGGACACCTGTAATGCCACAGATGCCGTCTTGAATATTGAGTCTTGGAGTACTGTGAAGAAATGTGGGTGCATGATTCTGAGCACCTGGTGAGGGCCTTTAGGTCACCCCAGGGTAAAGGTAAAGGGACCCCTGACCACTAGGTCCAGTCGTGACCGACTCTGGGGTTGCGGCGCTCATCTCGCTTTATTGGCCGAGGGAGCTGGCGTACAGCTTCTGGGTCATGTGGCCAGCATGACTAAGCCGCTTCTGGCGAACCAGAGCAGCTCACGGAAATGGCGTTTACCTTCCCGCTGGAGTGGTACCTATTTATCTACTTGCACTTTGATGTGCTTTCGAACTGCTAGGTTGGCAGGAGCAGGGACCGAGCAACGGGAGCTCACCGCATTGCGGGGATTCGAACCGCCGACCTTCTGATCGGCAAGTCCTAGGCTCTGTGGTTTAACCCACAGCACCACCCCAGGGTAGCTGCATCCAAATCCTGCATTTCTGGGATTGGTGTCTGCATTTGGACCCCTGGACAGGGGTGGCCAGCATTCTCTGGCATGGCTCAGCTCCCTCTTTCCTTTCACCTGGGCTGGCTCCGCAGTCAAGTTTCTTTTGCTCCTCCCAGTTTGGCAGGAAACAGGCAGCTGCTGGACTGGAAACTGGACCTCATGAGCCCCAGCCAAAAGGGGCTTTCCATGCTAGGGCTTGCTTTGCTCCTGATGGAACTGTTCATCCTGCCTCTTTGACTGCCTTGCCTTTCCCCCTCCTGACCCTTCTCTGCTTTCAGTTTGCTTCCTTTCCGCTGGCTGCCCCTTCAGCTTCCTCGGAACCCAGTAAAACCAGGTGAGCGAGTGGCTGATGGTCTGGGGTGAGAGCGGAGACTGCTGATGGGGACTGGCGGATGGTGTCGCCTTTTGGAAAGTGTGGCTGCCTCTTCCTCCTGCTGGCTTCCTTGTCATCTGGTGGCCAGCTCTGGGTTCTGGGATCTGGTTTCACTAAGCAGCACAGAAGAGGAAACTTTTGGGATTTGCTTTCCTCCTTCCTCTTTTAGTCCTAAAAGACAGTGGGGGGAAGTTAGGAGAAAGGCCATGATCAATCTCAGCATATACAGTGGTACCTCGGGTTAAGAACTTAATTCGTTCCAGAGGTCCGTTCTTAACCTGAAACTGTTCTTAACCTGAAGCACCACTTTAGCTAATGGGACCTCCTGCTACCGCCGCGCCGCCACCACGCGATTTCTGTTCTCATCCTGAAGCAAAGTTCTTAACCCAAGGTACTATTTCTGAGTTAGCGGAGTCTGTAACCTGAAGCATCTGTAACCCAAGGTACCACTGTATATCCTCAAAGCTCTGCAGGATCAGACCAAAACCACTTGAGGCTGTATCTTGTTGGGAGAGAAGGGATTTAGCTGAACCTCCTGCTTGACATGACACTTTCTACATATGAGCAACGTTAGAAACTCAGATATATAAGCTGGGTGCCAAATGGCTCCTTAAACCAAGGTTACAGTCGCCAAAATAAAATGTCTAGTTGTCATTTTTGGGCAAGACTAAAGTCTTTATTTTTCAAAGGACTGATTGTGATTGATTCTCAGTTAGACTTCTGGCTAGTTCAGATGACAGGTTAAGAGCTTTGAGAACATAAGAAGAGAAGTCGCCTGGTTCCAAGTGGTCGAAAACCAGGTGCAAAATGCGCCTGGCTAATTTCAAACACTGCATACGAAGTGTTTTATTTTATGCAGAGAAGCAAATAGCCTGCTGTGAGATACCACCCGAGGCCCCTGAAGTGCTCCAGCCCAGGCGCAGGTGAGCCTCCTTGGCCGCCATTTTGTGTGTGAAATTGTGGGAGAAACTGGATCAGTTCATGAAGCTGCTGGCCTCTTTGCTTGGTCAGGATCCTGTTTGAAATGGTGTTTGCCTCCCAGTGACATGTTGGCTGCCATCAGTCCGGCTATTTGAGCAGGCAGCTCTGGTTTGCCTTTGTTGGACCAAGGAGCTCAGATCTCTCTCTCTCTCTACACCCCAATCTCTTGCCATAAAGGGGAGGGCTTTGTAACCCAGCTGCTGCCTATGGGCTGCTCCTCTGCCTAGTAAGGAAAACCACTTTGCTCCCCCCTGGGGCCACTGCAATTCCAGTCTGGCAGATAACTCTTCTTTTATGACTCTTGCTGTGATGGGCTGTAATAGTGGCTGGTGACGGAATGGGGCCTGGCTGGTCCAGCAGGAGATGTCTCTGGCTTTTCATTTGCTCTTAACTACATCAGGTGGGGGATGTCTTCTGGGGCAGTTGCCCTCTGAGCAGATGCAGTAGTGGGGGAGAAGTAGCTTTCCCTTGCCTCCATTGGGTAGATGAGTCTAGACTGAACTTGAGCCCAGTCTTCCTCATCCTGGTGCCTTCTAGGTGGTTTGGACCACAACTCCCATCAGCCCCAGCATCACATAGCTGTCTTGGGCATCCTGTTCTCAGAGTGGTCAACCAGATGCCCCCAACGGGAAACCCCCCCAGGCAGGATCCCAGCACAAGAGCCCTCTCTCTCCCTTCAGTTTCCAGCAACTAGAATCCAGAAGCACTGCTGCCTTCCAGCTGTGGAGGCAGAACATAGTCCAGTGGTCAGTGGCCTCCCTTGATGGAGGCGGAAGCCCTTCATGCAGAGGCTGCATCGCTTGGGGGAATCCCTCCAGTTTTGGATTCTTTGCATCAAGCAAGAGTTGGATTGGGTGGCTTTCAGGGACCCTTCCAACTCTTGGGTAACTTGAGCAAAATTGTGTAGACTATTCTACGTCTCAGGTTTCTGTGATGGGCCTGGGAAGCAGGATTAGCTGTCCAAAGATTGCACTCTTCCATTGGCTACTAAGGACAGGCGGTGCTTTTCTTTGGGCAAGGAAGGTGTGTGTGGGGGGGTGTTAAACGCTGTCCCCCTTTTCCATCATCATCGCATATATTTATTAAATGCACACAGACAGCTGAGGGAAAAGGGTATTTGCTTTTAAAAATGGATGCTAATTGGAGATAAATTTGTAATGCAAGCAGCATGTAATAGGTAAAAAATGGAAATATCTGAGAAAGAGAGTAGGAAGCCAGTTTTTGGAAAAATCGTATTAAAATAGTTTTAATTTGGCACTGATGTGTTATAAATTTGGAAAATGAATAAAAAGCAATTGGCAATATATAGCCACTCATTGGAAGTGATGAGGCACACTGGGTGAGCATATTGCACGAAATTCCCAGGTAAGGTCTTTCTCAATGTTCGGTCCCCAGTTGGTGTTGGACTACAACTCCCATCATTCCTAGCCAGCATGGCCAGTGGTCAGGGATGATGGGAGTTGTAGTTCAAGAGCATCTGGGGACACAGGGTTGGTTGAGAAAATCTGCCCTAGAGAGTCTCCTGTCTGAAATCCTGGAGAGCTGCCGCTGCCAGTCAGTGTAGTAGACAATGCTGAGCTAATGGACCAGTGATCTGATCCAGTGTAAAATGGCTTCCTATGTTTCTACTAGCTGCATACAGAAAAAAATAAAAAAATTCCAATTAAAATAGACCTGCAACTGTGCTAAAAAAAATTAACAGAGTACAATTTAAGCAACAGCATCAAAAGGTGTGAAACGGATTGTAAGGAGAAAATGTCTGTGTGTGTGTGTTTAGGGGGTGGGTGAGAAAATAATTTTCAAGAGCTATTCCTGTTATCTCTCCAACACTGACTGATAGGAGGGGCTTATCTCTCCTTTCCATGTGCCCCAGAGGAAGCTGGGATGGAAGAAGAGAATCTCCTCTCACCGCCCGGACAACAGGGAATAAATCAAAACAGGATTGGGCACCAGAGAACAGTTGGCAGTTGAAAACAATGCCCCCTTCCTGCACACTGGCATCTCAAATCCCCCCTCCCCGTAATGTTTAATATGCACGATGGGGGCTGGACTGATCTGGGGCATCCTTTGAGCAAGCTGCTCATTTCAGCAAGCATCCCTTTTTCTTCAGCCAAAAGACCCCCCCTCTTCCATTTAAACAGGAGGTTGCCTGAGAGGTTGCAGCTCAGAGCTGCATTTTGGAGGTGGAAGGGGGCAGCTTTTCTAGGGAAGTGCTTCTGAATGTGTTTTATGGGGTGGGGGAGAGAAACAAATGAATTTTGAAGCAATCCTGGTTTGGAGAATATTGGGAGAGGCACTTGCTTGGCTTTCCCCTCCTCCTTTTCAGGAACGCCTGGGAGGGTTTTTTTTTTAATTCAAAATTATAACAAGACATATTATCCAAAAACATATCACCCTTGTTTCCCCCCCCCCCCATTTTTCCTCCCTCCCCCCACAAAAATGGCCTGGGGGCCAATTGCAGTCCTCTGGACCTCTCTGTCTGTCCCTTGGGACTCTTCCCAGGCCACGCCCCCTCTCCCTAAGCCACACCCCTTGCTGGCCTTGCTCCACACCCTCCTTGAGTGCCATGGCCTTAGTCTTTGTAGAAACGATTCTACCGTACAAAGGTGTTGTTGTTTAGTCGTGTCCGACTCTTTGTGACCCCATGGACCAGAACACGCCAGGCACTCCTGTCTTCCACCACCTCCCGCAGTTTGGTCAAACTCATGCTGGTAGCTTCGAGAACACTGTCCAACCATCTCGTCCTCTGTCGTCCCCTTCTCCTTGTGCCCTCCATCTTTCCCAACATCAGGGTCTTTTCCAGGGAGTCTTCTCTTCTCATGAGGTGGCCAAAGTATTGGAGCCTCAGCTTCAGGATCTGTCCTTCCAGTGAGCACTCAGGGCTGATTTCCTTCAGAATGGATAAGTTTGATCTTCTTGCAGTCCATGGGACTCTCAAGAGTCTCCTCCAGCACCATAATTCAAAAGCATCAATTCTTCGGCGATCAGCCTTCTTTATGGTCCAGCTCTCACTTCCATACATCACTACTGGGAAAACCATAGCTTTAGCTATACGGGCCTTTGTTGGCAAGGTGATGTCTCTGCTTTTTTGCCTTTGGCCCCTCCCGCCAGTGGCATGTGGTTCCCTGACGGTTGTCCAGAAGAGATTGACTACAGGGGGTGGGGAGAGACTCGACCGTACATTTGCCCGACCTGCACTGATTGAACTGAACCGGTTGCCAGCTTACCACTGAGCTCAGTTGAAGGTGTTATCCTTAACGCAGAAAACTCTAAACAACCCAGGACCAGGTTACCTGAAGGAACACTTTCCCTCCTGCCCTGTTAGATCACTGTGACCTTTGGAGGGAGCTCTGCTGGCACACCTGCAATCTGCAGAACTAGAGGGGGCATTTGTGGTGGCAGTGGCCACCTATTTGAACAGAATGCCGCCCTCCTCACCCCCCCCCGGCCATTTGGCATGCACCAATGGTTTCTGCTGCCTGTTAAAAAATAAATAAATCTCTGGGCATTCGCAGACCAGGGGTTTTTAAAACTGCAGTTTTGATGTTCTTGTGTTTTATTGTTTTGCAGAAGCTTTGCGGTTTTTAGATCCCAAGCACGTTGTAATTTTTAAACTTCAGAATAAAATGAATAAGCTTGGAAGCACAACCCGGGGCTAATCTAACAGGAACACAATCCAGTGTGGTTATTCTGCTCTGGAATTCTATACTAGGGAGTCCCGTGCAGTTGAAAAGCTAGCACGTTTTAACCAGCCAGGGTTTTGATCTAGCAGCAGGTTATTATTCCCTTTTTACATATTTGGTGCCCCTGCAGAGGCAGATTTTTGTGGCCAACTGTTTACTGTGTTAACGGGGGCCATTTATTATCTGTCGCCCAGGCATGCATCAGTTCACTTGGGCCAGGGGGGAGTGTCTCTGCTAAATCAATTTGCAGCTGGTCCCTAAGGGGACCAATCCAGCACATCCCATATGGTGCCCAGGAAGACACACCAGCTCTCTGCTACACCAGGGAGCAGGAGAGAGGCATTAATGAAGGTAGTGTTAGCCCCCCACCCTGCGACACCCCCCCCTTTCGGTTGCTACCTCCCTCCTCTTAGGATTCCACTAGCTGTTCTCTGTGGTCTTCTGGAATTACTACGAAGGATCACGCTCCTCTAGTCTAACGCTCGGTGGTTTCTTCAGTTTCTGAAGCTGTGTTTAAAGTCTCCAGATCTCACGAGAAAGGAGCTTCCTGGGTCAAAAGGAGCATGTGGGAATAACCACCTCTGAGCATTGCCAAATGCCTCACAGGTTGGGGCTGCTCAGAGCCTCTGGGGACAAGTGCCCCATCTGTCCAAGAGACACGTTGGAAGGTGCCAACAACATACTTCTGTTCAAGCTTCTCTTTCAAACAGAGAGGTCTGTTGCTGGATGGGGTTGCTTCCCAAGTCAAGGCCGATGGAACGGTTAAGTAAGTGACATGGGGCTCCCCCAAGGTTACTGCAGACCCCAGTTGAAGTTGGACGGGGGGGATGGGACTCCACTGGACAGACCTGAGGGATGCTTGTGAGTGGATCTCGATTCCTGCCTTTTAACAAATGGACTGGCAGGTGGTGACAGTCGCTTATATTAACTCTGGGGACCACTGTGCAGAGAGAGAGAATTTCGCTGCAGGACGCCAGGGAGTGCCTTGAAGAGTGAGCCCCCTCCCCCAATGAAACTCTGTGCCACAAAGCACAGTGACAAGAGGTTATGCTAATTTTTGGTGTTGCGCAGTAGAAATTAATTGGTGCCCCTTTTCCAGCCTCTGGAACAGATGGGAAGGGGAAGGCATCTTAACCCCAAGCTGGTGGCAGCTGCCTCCTTTGCTCATCCAAGCACTGGTTAACCACAGTCAGTGCTGAAAGACTTAAAATATCCCTTGACCACATGGGTGGAATCCTGGTTACGAGAGAAGCCAAGATGCCCCTGGATACATGCCCGTCTTCCATTGGCCAAATTCTTGGGGAATATGTGCAAGGTCCTTTTCCGCCTGAGCCACAGGATGGGCTTTCAAGGTCAGGTAGAAATCCCTTTCCATGCAATTGAATCACAAGCTCCTGTGAGCTTTTGGCCCCTGAAAAGAGCTCTGTGAGTAGAAGCCAGCTCTGCAGCCCTCCAAAGCAGTCCAGGCAAGAGGATGGAGTTTGGGTTGGGGCGAAGTGGGGGATGAAGTTGATGCACAGGGAGGCTGTCCTGCAGAAGCCCCACAGGCACCCCAGTTTCCAGCGGGAATGGAGAAGGAAGAAGAGTGTTTGGGGCTTCTCTGCTGCAGATCTGGAGGCTCCCCACAGGTGGAAAACTAGCTTGTCAAGGAAAAGAGGTCAGCAGCCAAGCTTTCTTCCTGCCCTGGAATGATCTCCCCCCCATGTGGTACAGCCAGGGCCTTGCAGAGCCAGGCAGTGGCCCAGGCCAGGTAGATAAGTTGCCCCCCTTTTTTTACCCTGGGGATAATTGAAGTCTTATAAATAAGTAAGTATATAAATAGTGCTGACCAAGGCCCCCTTTGGAATCGGAGGCCCGGGCCAAGTGGCCCATATGGCTCCCCCTCTGTCTGGGCCTGGGTACAGCCTGGAAGAGCTTTATTGCCCCAAAGGTTCCTAAGAACTGTTCCACATCCTGCTATCTTCCTCTTGTTTTCATATTATCTCATGTGATCCAGAACCACGAGAGTCCAGAAGCTTGATGAGCTCAATGGCATTCAGTTGGCCATTGCAAGAACAGGGAGCTTGGCAAGATGGAGCCCCGTTTGGTCTGATCCAGTGACCAAAAGGCTCTTCTTGGGTGTTTTAATGATCCCTCCTTGGCTGAGGTTGAAGGCCGCTGAACAACAAATCATCCAGCTCTGTTTCCTTTAGCCTGGCCTCCCCCAACCTGGCACTCTCTGGGTGCTTTGGACTACAACTCCCATCTGCAAAGCTGCACTGCTGGGGCATCCAATTGCTGAATGAATACCTTAGGTGCTTTGGCAGCTCTCTGCTATCTTGCAAACTCAATATCATATTGCGGCCCATTCCTGTGGATAGGTTGTTCGCAGGTGCTTCCCTGGGGGACTGGGCACTAGTCGTCGTCCCCTCCATCTTTGCCTCTCCCTGAAGAGGTCTGGCCATGGAGGCTCAGACTTTGAGAGCTGCAGGTTCTGGAGGGAACCCCAACATTCTGTTTTTCTTTCTTTTTAAAGGACGGATTCTTGGTTAGAGTTTTGCTTGCAATGAGAGTGGCAAACCGAATTGGCTGCAAAGACGTAGGTGTTCGTGCCATACTAGGACCAACCTGGGATGGGGATGCATTTTTGCCTTTTGTACGTTGGCATCACCTTCCTATCTCCCCCCATCTCATAAAACCCACCATGCCGCCCAGAGAGTTTTGCTGGTTCTGTGCTGCTGCTTTCCAATACAGCAGGCCGGATGGTGTATTTCAGGCCAGTGTTAAAGGGAAGGAAAACTTTCAGATCTGAAGAGTTAGCAAAGACTGTGCTGAGCATTTGGCAGAGCCTGCCTGGCAACTTTCTGCAAAAGTCTCAGCAAAAACAAGGTCTAAATTTAGCCCTGCTGCACAAGTGGCCTTTTATATTTTTCCGGCCTCGCTTGTTCACCAGCTTCTCGGCTTGTTCTGCTTTCACTTGGCTTAAAGATGGGCAGAGGCTTAAGTGGTTAGATGAAATGTTCCTCATCTAACCATTCTGGCTTGGCTGTCAGAGGGAATCCAAAAGAATTGACTGATGAGTTTAGGATGCTGCAGTGGTTCTGAATCCCAAGATCAGTGGTGCCTTGCGCAAGAGTCTTGCAACCACTTCTGGGGAGCCTTTGCCCCCCTGAAATGTACGTGTGGATGCCAAGGAGCAGCTGGCGCCATTTGTGGCTCTGTGTTTGGAGGCCTTTCCACCGCTGGGCAACATCCACCCTGCATCTGGGCATTACAGAGTGTTCTGGCACCGTCCCAGCTTCTTCCAACGTGTCTTTTAAATAACCCAGTCCAGGAAGTGGCTTTGCTCAGACTGCAGTTTGTGTGAGGCTGAGCACAGCCTGTTCCATCTCATTCCTCCTGGCTGGAGCTTTGGACTGCAATTCACAGTGGCAAACAAGGTGTTCTCTGCACAGCCCCATTGACTGTGGCTTTAACTAGAGTTAACATCTGGTCTGGATCAAAAGGGGTACTACTTTCTAAATGCAAAGTAACAATGCTATGTAGTTCATAAGAGAGTCCAAAGCACTTCAGATGCATTTTTGGGAGAGTAATTTTTACACCGGTCCTTTGAGGTAGGCCAGTATTATCCTCTTCACAGTGCTGGGTTTGAGGCTGGGAGAGAGTTGAGAGTGCTGCTTCTTTTGTGCAAACTTTGTAATGATCTTCCCTGATTTCATAGTCTGCCTGGGGATGGGCAATCTTTAGTAATAGTAATTTGTTATTTGTACCACGCCTATCTGGCTGGGTTTCCCCAGCCACTCTGGGCGGCTTCCAACAAAGATTAAAAATACATTAGTGTAGGGATGTGTATAGATGCCAGGAGAGGTTATATTTATTAGATTAGATATTATCCTTCCTTCCTCATATTTGTGAATTCAACAGAGTGCATCCCTTTGCAGCTTAAAAGGGAGGCTTAGATAGGCTAGTCCTAGCCTTTTAGTTTAAGTAATCCAGGATGCTTTAAGGCAGACTGGATTCTCCTAGTATTTCCCCCTTTTCTCCCCTTAAAACAATAATCGCACAAACAGCCTTGTAAAAAATAGCATTTATTCACTCAGAATACTTGTTGAGGAGTAACAGATACAGCAGCTTTGTTCAGGCAGGCTTAACACGGTAATTCAGTTAGAAAGACATGCTGAAGTCTAGCTTAAGAGACATGCAGATGTTCTCACATTTCTGGCTTGGTGATGAAGAGTAAGAGTGAAGAGAAGCCAAAGAGCAAAGAGAAAGTGTCCAGCCAAGAGAGAAGTCAGGGTACAGGGGGAGTGGCTCTCAGAGTTCTCTCTAGCAAACCTACAGGAAAACTTGTGAGCTTCAGCGCCTATAATGTGCCTATCTAGCAAACATGCATTGTTGGTTTGTCTGCATCATAAATATCCCACATTTAGGGGCCCAGGGCCATGTGCCAGAGAAAGATAAAATGGAAGGTAAAGGACCCCTGGATAGTTAAATCCAGTCAAAGGCAGCTATGGAGTACGGCACTCATCTCGCTTTTCAGGCTGAGGGAGCCGGCGTTTGTCCACAGACAGCTTTCCGGGTCATGTGGCCAGCAGGACTAAACCGCTTCTAGTGCAATGGAACACCGTGACGGAAACCAGAGCGCACGGAAACGCTGTTTACCTACCCACCGCAGCGGCACCTATTTATCTACTTGTACTGGTGTGCTTTCGAACTGCTAGGTTGGCAGGAGCTGGGACAGAGCAACGGGAACTCACCCCATTGGGGGGATTCAAACAGCCGACCTTCCCATCAGCAAGTCCAAGAGGTTTAGACCACAGCGCCACTCACATACCAGAACAGCTGGCAGGAGCATAGTAGTAGGCATAGTCAGAGCCAGCCACATTCTCTGTCTCACACTCACACTCACAAGTTATTCTTAAGGGAAGGACCATCGCTCAACGGTAGAGCGATTGCCCTGCATACAGAAGGCCCCAAATTAAATCCCTGGCAGCATCTCTAGATTAAGACAGAGAGAGACCGCTTCCTTGAAACCCTGGAGAGCCACTGCCAGCCAGTGTGGACAATACTGAGCTATATAGGCCCCAGGGCTCTGACTTGTTAGAAAGCAGCTTCCTACGTTCCTATTCCCAGACATGCATTAACAGCAACACTCATGGATAGACAGATGTGCAGGGGTGGCCTCATTCCTTGAGCTTTCCAATAAAATTATGTCCCTCTGCCACTAGCCTGCCAAGCAGCTGTCATCCCAGCCTCCCTATTTCCTCATTAAAGTGCAGGTGATCACTTGGGGAGGAGGGACAGCGGTCTTCATTGGATCTGGACCGTGGGGGGGGGGAGAGAACCTCCTCCCTGGTGCCCTTGATCTGTCCTTGATTGCTGCCCTCTTGGGACTCTTCCCTACTGCCCAGCTGGTGTCCAATTAGCAGGGCAGTGGGGAGAGGCAAAAGGGGGGCCACCAGGGGAATGGCCAAGGGCTGCATGTGGGTCACAGGTTGGCTCCTGGTCTAGCCATGATGCTAGGCTAGAAAGAGCAGCCCCTTCTGGTTAAAGGATGGGGGTTCTTTCGTATGTGAACATGATCAACGCCCCTTATTTCAGAGCATTAAAGGTTCACTGCATTCAGAAACCTTCTCTGCCACTTTTATTTTCAGCTTCTTGAGCATAGCTGTCAACTTTTTCCTTTTTTTAAGGGACATTCCCTTATTCCGAATAGGATTCCTCGCAAGAAAAGGGAAAAGTTGACAGCTATGTTCTTGAGTGCCTGAGGATGTTGCTTTGCCCAGTCTGTGAATGAGCGCCCTTCAGTCATTTTGGACTATAACTCCCATCAGCTTAAGCAGTGCTGGCTAGTGCAGATGGGACCTGTAGTCCAAAACCCCCGGAGGGCACCAGGCTGGGGAAGGTTTTCCTGTTAGCCTGATGCTGGCAGACGGTGGTGTTTTTCCGTGGCCTTCGGGGGAGTTGGGCCCATTGAATGGATCAGCTGCTGATTGGCGACTTCTACAATGGGGCTGTGCAGAACAGGAAAGGCTGGATTGTTAACAAAATGACCTTGGTTGGGTGCAAGAACCTTTTTTGTAACTTAATTTTACTTTTCAATTCCCCAAGCAGGATAAAACAACAATGCGCTGTGCATGCAAAAAGAAAAGAAAACCTTAAGGGAGTTAAAGGACTTTCTGTGCGGTAAGGAGGGTGGAATTGTAAATGTGTCCCACTCTCGCAACATGGAAAGGGCTCTTGGCTCTTAGCTTTGCATTCGTAACACCCCAGATTCAGCTCCCAGCACCCCCAGGTTGAGTTGTATGAACCCCTGGAGAGTTGCTGCTGCCAGTCAGTATAGCCAGTCAGATGAACCAATTGGTTTGATTCTGTATAAGATACCTCCCTGTATTCCTTTTTTATACACCAGAATCCCATTCTAAAGGTTTTTTTAAACCCTCCTAAAAGACCAGGGGGGATGCGGGTGGCGCTGTGGGTTAAACCACAGAGCCTAGGACTTGCCGATCAGAAGGTCGGCAGTTCGAATCCCCGCGACGGGGTGAGCTCCCGTTGCTCGGTCCCTGCTCCTGCCAACCTAGCAGTTCGAAAGCACGTCAAAGTGCAAGTAGATAAATAGGTACCGCTCCGGCGGGAAGGTAAACGGCGTTTCCGTGTGCTGCTCTGGTTCGCCAGAAGCGGTTTAGTCATGCTGGCCACATGACCCGGAAGCTGTACGCTGGCTCCCTCAGCCAATAAAGCAAGATGAGTGCCGCAACCCCAGAGTCGGCCACGACTGGATCTAATGATCAGGGGTCCCTTTACCTTTAAAAGACCAGGGAGATAGACCTGACATTTATGGCACTGTGAAGAATTCCACAAGCACAGATCCAGAATGAAAAATACTTGGGCTAGCTCAGTCGGTAAAGCATGAGGCTCTTAGAGTTGTGAGTTCAAGCCCCATGTTGGGCAAAAGATTCCTGCTTTACCACGGGGTGGATGACTAGATTTACCCTGGTGGTCCCTTCCAACACTACTGTTGTATGTTTTACTACTGTAGAAGTCACTGATGCATCAGAAGAGACCTATAGCAACTGGCTCAGGCCAAAGGGAGCCCATATAGTCCAGTGGGCAACCAGGGAAGCCCAGAAGCAGGACCTGAGTTGAACCAGCAGTGGTTTCCTCACTTGCGATTCCCATAACCGTCATGGTAGCCATTGACAGCATTCTAATTTTCCATGCATTTAGTCTTATCCCTCTGCAAGGGTTTTACAGAGGCTCTTAGAATAGTCTTGCTGGTTGACAAATGCAGGTGGTTGCTGGTGTCCTTTGGGACAGTTTCTCGCTGAAACATCTGGCCACGGCTTCTCTCTGAAACGACCTGAATTCTCAATAGCATCGCTCCTAAATGCCCTCGCTAGAATGGCAGAAGGCACATGGCTCCTCACTTGGACTGAGAAGCCAAAGGCAATGAAATGGCTGACTAGGTGGCGAGGAGTATAAATGGCAGAAAACTCAGGGTTAATGCAAGTGAAAGTAGGGGGTGGGGAGTCCGTATAGGGCCCTCCAGGTGATGGCAGACAAAGCCTTTTCCTCTGCCAACATTGTGTCTGCCCTTTTCCCAGTGGTGAGAGGTCTGTTGCATCCCAGGAGCTTCTGCTGAGCCCTCTGTAGCCTGCTGTGGCAAATTGTCAGTGCATTTTGCAGATAATTTCTGCTCCAAGGGGAGGTGGATACAGCCACTGCAAAGGTTTTTAATGGAGACCTTTAAGCTTGTCAAGCCTGGGGATGGGGGGAGACTGCTTGGAGGTTGAGACTTTTCTCTTGATCCCTTGGCTCTTTCCTTTCCTGTCTTAGAAGGGAGCCAGGGCAACTGAGTCTCTTGATTGGAGGCAGCGGTGCACCTCTGCATAGACTCTAGAGAAACCCACCATAGACCCTAATTTTTAATTTCATTTCACTTCACTTTTAATTTGTATATGGCCTTTCTGTATTACTATACGCAAGGCGGTTTGCAGCAAGAAAATATACAACAGAGAACACACACCTTATTATAATAATCTAATCCAGTACAAAAAGTCATAATAAAACATTCCTTTAAATGAAATGACTTCTATCAAAGTAATATTCAATAATATATTATAGTAAGATAGTACACAACAAAATCAGCTCTCAAATTTATTAATAATTAAACAGAAACTCATGCTTAACAGTTATAATAATTAATAAACGATGATCAATAAAAATAACTGCAAGTCACAAATGCATAAAATACCACAATACATACAAAACCTTGTAAAATGATCAAGTTGAGAAACAAAGACATACAACCTATAAAACTTTTTTTTTAAACCATCGTTGTTCAGTGACAATTTTACCATTCTTGGCCAAGGTCTTGGAACATATGGGCGTTTCTCAGCTCAAAGTGATTTTGGAGGAATCTAGTTTACTCCCTGGTTTGGGGAATGAATGAGTCACAAGCAGGGAAAGTGCAACCCTGGATGTCTCAGTGGCTCTTGAGATAGTGGATTATGGGATCCTGCTGGCTCACCTTATCCTCCATCCTTTTTTAAACATTTCCACGAAGCCACCTGTCAGGGAACTGACATCGGAGCTAGAGGCGGAGGGAAGGCTCTCAAATGATGCTGGAGAAGGGCCCAGCAGGGAGAGAGGCAGCTCCGCAGATGGGGAAGCAAATCAGCGCAACACCAGGGATAAAGGGGGGCAGATGGGGAATCGGCGAGAGGGCTCCAGGACTCTTCACCGGACACCAGCGGGGAGAGCACGGGTCCTCCGCTACCCACGCCCTCCCTGCGCAGAAGACTTCCGCGCAGAGAGAGTAGGAGGAGACTGGGTGTCAAACAACTTTTATGTTGGAAAAGATTTAAGAAACGCCCACTGACGGATTCTGCTAGCGACTGAGGCAACCACAAAGTGAAGGGCTGCCCAGACTGAAAGGTTTAACAAGGCAACAAAGCCAGGAGAGGCGGCAACTTACGCACGAGCAACCCATACTCATTACACCACCAATGGGTAAGGTTTGTTCTGAAACGGTCGCGGCTCAGCTCTGCCTCCTTGTTTTCATCAGCCACTGCCAGGGAGGCAGCAGATACCTTGAACCAAGTTCGATTTGAATGGGGGGCAAACCAACTGGAAATTAATCTAGATGAGGTGGAGGTACTGCAGAGAGCCTTTCCTGCTACTCTCGATGAAGATATACAGCCTGTTCTGAACATGGCTGCCAGAGTGTTTGCAATAGTGAGGTGGTGCGTCCATAGCACACCTATTTTTTTCCATCAGTTGCATTCGCTAACAAATCACTTCTGGCCTCAGTTTCAAGTGCTGATCCTAAGCCATGCAGATCCTAAGTCGTCATCTCAGGTATCATCAACATGCCCTCATGAGCCTATCCAACTCCTGCTTCTCTTGGTTCTACCAGTACCAGGCAGCAGCAGACCCTTTTCCATGGTGGCCCCTTGATTGTGGCACTCGTTCTCTGGGGAGATTAGCCAAGCCCCCTCCCTTCCTGTTTTCCAAGCGTGTTCTGAAAACCTTCCTGTTTTGGAAGGCTTTTTTGATAATGGATTGTGGTGTTTTTCTCAGATGCCCGTTTTCAAGCTGCTGTTGCTCTCACGGCGTTAAGAGCTCTCTTGTTTTGAAACTGTACTCGCACCGTGTAGGCTTTGTAGGAAACTGCTTTGTGCAAGCTTTTTAAAGCCTTGGAAATCTGGGCGTAAATAAATACCAGGGTTCTGCAGTTTCCTGCTCCACACAGCACTGCCTCCGTCCTGGCTGCGGAGCTGAGAGGTGAGAGCCAGCCTCCCCTCGCCCATGGCTGGCTGCCAGGCACTTGACCAGAGGTTTGGGGGCAAAGTGGAGCAGAGATCAGCCTGCCCTGGCCTTCGCTGCCTGGGGCTGCAGCCACAGTAGGGCTGGCGTCTCTAGGGTTATTGCTCTCCTCCTGCTTCCACTCCCTAGAGCTGTTTCCCCTGCAGGAGTGACCACTCATCCCTTCCCCCTCTGCAGAGCGCCATTCCAACCCCTAGGCTTCCTTTCTGCTGGAGTGGTGGCTTTCTGCTTCTGCCACCTGAGCTCCTGGGCAGAATGGACCTTTCAGCTGCAGAGGAGGACCTGTGCCACCTCTTGAATGCTGATGGAAGCAGGAAGGGCTACTAAAAGGGGAAGACTTCGACCACACCATGTCTGCCAGCGACCGGATCTGTGCTGGGCCAGCAGGCGGGGGGGGGGGGGGTTTGCATTACAGGCTGCCAGCTGGAAGCAGCTTTGTACATTATTTATTCAGGCTGCCTCCTCTGCCCAGCTGCCCTATTAAATTCAGAGCTTGTCACCTGCAGGAGGAAGGTTTTTCCCCTCTGCACAAGTCCTTTACTACCTCCAGTTCATGGCCGTGTCATCTCCCAGAGGCCGTGCCTAGGCCAAACAAACCTGTAGGAGGAACGCAAGTTAAGGTGCAAGATTTTAGTTAGTGCTGCTTGACTTTTGAAAAAGGAATTGACAGAAACTCAATTAAACCTGCTAAACACAGCGTTGAAAGTTTAGATCTGAGGTATGTGCAAGAGTTTGCGACCCTGTATCAAGCAGATGTCTTAATAATGTGATTTATTACTTATTTGGGAGCAAAATCTAAACTGTCCAGCCAAACATTTGGGGGGGGGGGGGAATCGACGAAATGTTAAAACAAGCCATGAAAACAACAATATTCCACTGATACTCAAAGTAGACCCATTGAAATCAATGGACCTAAATTATTCACACCCATTAATTTCAGCAGGTCTATACTTACTATCACTGTATACAACCCATCATAAATCAGAATTTTATGACAGATGAATTTTGAATACAGTGTCAGGATGGTTGGTTTTCTGCGAGGGTGATGTCTGCATTATTCCCTCCTCTGCCAATGGATTAATATCATGGGTATGTTCCTATCAGCAACATCAAACAGGATGTACCAATGGCCACTGACTGGGGTGCCTTTAAAAGGAGGTTTAAGAGATTCATGGAGGAGGAGGAGGAGGAGGAGCAGGAGCAGGGTGATGGAGGTCTCTCAGTAGGTCTAGCTCAGCCATCCCCAAACTGGTGCCATCCAGCTGCTTTGGACTACAGTACAGCTCCCATCAGCCCCTGCCAGCACAGCCATATGATGTCCTTCTAGTGGTGCAGCAGTAAAACTGCTAGCACACTTGCAAAGCTAAGAAGGGTTCAGTATGATGGAGGAGCATGTGTTGAGATTCCTACATTGCAAGAAGTTGGACTAGATGACCGTCAGGGTTCCCTTCCAACTCTACAATTCTATGTGTCTTTGTGGGGGCTGATGGGAGTCGTAGTCCAAAACATCTGGACAGCCCCAGACTAATGACTGCGGGCTTGCAGCAAGTTTGGTCCCTTGCTGATGTTTGCCCACAGTGCCATGGGATGAGCTAGTCAAGTGAAGGTGACTGCCTGCATGTTGAGCTAAGCCTTGACCAGTTTCTTGCACTCAGGGGTCCTAAAAGTGCCTGTTGTGGGTTGCATGCCAAATGCCAGGCTGTGCCAGGTTCATTGCATGGTGTAGTTCATCTCAGGCTGACAAAAAACACATTTGGAGCTGTTGTGGGTCAAAGGCAGAAGGGAATGGACCCTGAGGGATTTGTGGTGATGGGGAGGAGGGGAATGGAAAACTGAAAATGCTTAGAGTGAGAGGTGCAAAGGAACCACCCAAAATCTGGACCAGGTGGAAGACTGGAGCAGCTCAGCCAGCTGGGTCAGGTTGTGCCCTTCTGCAAGAGGTACCTGAGATGCTAATTTGGTGGGTTTCATTTTGCTGCTGTTTGTGCTGACAGGTTGGTGGAGAGGAGCTCTGCTCTTTCCTCAGGGAGAGAGTCATCCGGAGATGAGAACCGTGTCTCTCTCTCGTTGTTGGACGAAGGCAGCCAAATCAGTTCCTGGAGCGTGGGTGCAGCCAGCTGTCCATGAGGCATCCTGTGGATGCCTTATGCAATCTCCTGTGGGTGTGTTTTGGGGGGCGCTGGGCTAATGCCAGAGGGAGAGAGGGGAGATCATTCCAAGGTGGCCCATCCCAAAGGCTTACTTAAGCATGCTTTGGCAGGGAAAGATGATGAGCTGCTCTGATGCTTTGATTCCTGTATTTGAGTCCTGCAGGGGGTTGGACTAGATCAGCCTTTCTCAACCTTGGGTCCCCAGATGTTGTAGTCCAACAACATCTGGGGACCCAAGGTTGATTAACACTGGAATAGATGATCCATTGGGTTTCTCCCAACTCTACATTTCTGTGATGCTCCTCATGTCATGCTCTTTCTGTATAGTCTGAGGACAGCCCATGCAAATCATCACATGCCAGTCTTGTCCCTAGGTGGGGACTGTGTGGGTGAACTCTCCCTTTGTCTTGCTGGCTCCTGTGCTAGCATGGGTTAACCATAGAATCGTAGCGTTGGAAGGGAACATGAGGGTCATCTGGTCCAACCCCCAGGAAACCTTTGCCCAAAGTGGGGCTTGAACCCATGACTCTGAGAATAAGAGTCTCGTGCTCCACCAACTGAGCTATCTGAGATCTTCACATCCTTCCAGATTTCAGGACTGTGAGCCACTTTGGACATACACTAGCCTCTACTTATCCTTTTGTAAGTACCTGGCGCTCAAATAGGGACAAACAATATGACTCAGTTGGGTTCCTTTCCTTGCGATGGGGCTTCAAGCGTGGCGTTGCCAGCCCTTACATACAGGATAAGCATTGCTGTTAATGTGTCCCCACCTGATCCTGCCACTAACCCCGATCCACCTGCCCGCTGCCTCATGCTGCCTCCGTCATAGATAAATAACAGCTTGACGGAGGCTAACAGCCCTGAGTGAGACCATCAGAGGCCCTGTTGTGCTGAGGAAAACAACAGCCTTTTTGTGAGGGCTAAACACCCACCATCAGTTGGGGAGTCAGTTTGCACGGTCAGAAGCATTTCACCGGGGCCTGTGAATAATTTGTTTTCACCATCTGATTTCGCATGCAGTCATCAAACATGTGCCGTCGCCAAACTTTTAAGAGGAGCATCTGAGGCCCCTTCTTTGTGGTCTACGTTAAGAACACAAGAAGAGCTTGCTGGGCCAGGCCAATGGCCCACCCAGTCCAACATCCAACATGCTGTTCTCACAGTGGCCAACCAGATGCAACTTCTGGGAAACCTGCAAGCAGGATTCAAGCACGAAAACACTCTCCTGCCCTGGAGTTTTCAGTGACTGGACTTCAGAAGCATTGCTGCCTCTGACTGTGGAGACAGAGTACAGTCACCATGGCTAGTATCTCTTGATAGCCCTCTCCCCTATGAATTTGTCGAATCCTCTTTTAAAACCACCCAAGTTGGTGGCCATTGCTTCCTCCCATGGGAGCGATTTCCACAGTTTTGCTACGCACCGTGAGGAAGAAGAAGAAGAAGAAGAGTTTGGATTTGATATCCTGCCTTTCACTCCCCTTCAGGAGTCTCAAAGCGGCTAACATTCTCCTTTCCCTTCCTCCCCCACAACAAACATCTGTGAGGTGAGTGGGGCTGAGAGACTTCAGAGAAGTGTGACTAGCCCAAGGTCACCCAGCAGCTGCATGTGGAGGAGCGGAGACGCGAACCCGGTTCCCCAGATTACGAGACTACGGCTCTTAACCACTACACCACACTGGCGCTACCAGTGGTGTTCGAAATTAGCCAGGCGCCAGGCGCATTTTTGCGAATGGTGCAAGTCCAATTGCGACCACATGGAGATCTCTGGGTGCCAGGCTGGCAACTGGAGAAAGCAAAATGTCACTTAGAGAAGGACCTGAGATATTTTCCCTGAGTGAATTTTATTCTGGATTGCTTTATTTGACGTTTTAATGTGTCGTAAACCGCTTGGAGATTTGTTCTTTAAAATATAAATTGGTATAGAAATGGAATGAAAGAATGAATAACAGTAAAAATAAGAATAAATCCCATTGGGGTTCCTAGACATTCTATTGTGGCAGTCGCAGCCTAGGTTTAAGGTGTCATTTGGCAATCACATTATATATCTGAGTTTCTAACGCTGACTACCAGTGAGAGCTGTTAGATAAGTGAGTACCAGGAGGCCCTATTCATGTGTTACAGTTGTGTTTGTGTAGCGCATGGCCATGTGGGCAGTGGTGCAGGGCCAGCCTTCAGCCCCACCTCTGAGGTACCGTATTTTTCGCTCCATTGGACGCACCAGACCATAGGACGCACCGGATCATAGGAGGGGGAGAACAGGGGAAAAGATTTTTTTTCTTGTTCTCCCCCTCCAAAACAAGGTGCGTTCAAGGTACATTCACCAGAGCTTGTGGGGCTGGCGGTGGGGGGAAGCGCTGCTTTCCCCCACCGCCAGCCTCAAAGATCCCTGAAGCCTTTGGAGCGCAGCGCCCCGCTGCCCTGCAGAGGTTTGCGCGCAGCCCTCCCCAAGCTAGAGCAGCGAGACGGAGCCCTCCGTCTCGCTGTTCTGGCTTGGGAACAGCCTTGCTAGCTTCTGCAGGACAGCGGGGTGAAGGCAGCCCGCTGCCCTGCAGAGGCTTGCGCGCAGCCCTCCCTTGGAGCAGGTTTGCGCGCAGCCGTCGCCAAGGGGAGGGCTGCGCGCAAACCTCTGCAGGGCAGCGGGCTGCCTTCACCCCGCTGTCCTGCAGAAGCTAGCAAGGCTGTTCCCAAACCAGAACAGCGAGACGGAGGGCTCCGTCTCGCTGCTCTAGCTTGGGGAGGGCTGCGCGCAAACCTCTGCAGGGCAGCGGGGTGCCATCACCCAGCTGTCAAGCAGAAGCTAGCAGCGCTGTTCCCAAGCCAGAACAGCGAGATGGAGGGCTCCGTCTCGCTGCTCTAGCTTGGGGAGGGCTGCGCGCAAACCTCTGCAGGGCAGCGGGGTGCCTTCACCCCGCTGTCCTGCAGAAGCTAGCAAGGCTGTTCCCAAGCCAGAACAGCGAGACGGAGCGCTCCGTGGTGCTCCGTCTTCCTGTTCTGGCTTTGGGCTTAGCGGCGCAGCCTGCATTCGCTCTATAGGATGCACACACATTTCCCCTTAGTTTTTGGAAGGGGAAATGTGCGTCCTATAGAACGAAAAATACGGTAATCTTCTTGCAATTCTTCTAGACTTTCACTCCTCAGGTAGTTGGAACCCTGCCTTGTTTCTCATGTAACTTGCGATAACCAGGTTGGAGCGTGCCAAAGTCCAGATGAGGGCAATGCCAAAACATCATAAAATAGTGTTCCCCACGACTCTCCCTCAGGCTGGATGATAAAAACTATGAAGGGAGTTGGGGGTGGGGAAGACTGTTGGTGAAAGCCAGGCTGTTTATCCAGGTCTATGTCAGATAAGTGTTTAAGATGGCTGAACTAACAGTTTTTTTCTTCTGTCTCTGCTCCCATCCCCTTTGGGTTTTTTTGTTTTGTTTTTAATAATTAGCCTGATGGAGAATTCTGAGGAATTTGAAAGTTGGCACACTGACCCACTTGAAAACATTTCTAAACTACTTACTATTTAAAGCCCTCTAAGCGGTATGCAAAAAACATGACATGTAAACAATAGAACAGTGTAATAAAAACAGCAAAGTAAAATCCACTAAAGTAGTATTATAAAAAACAACAACACAAGGGTTTTGTTATGGCAGGGCCGGGTCTTGTGGGTCAGGGAAAGCCTGGGCAAAGAGATCATGCTTTTGTGAGACTGGTGGGTGATGCGACATGTCTGGTGTTGTTGAGATGACAGTAGTAGGGACTTTGGGGGGAAGTGATGGTGTGGTGTTAGAATTTGTATCTTTCATAAAGTCAAAGGTGAGTGAAGCCTAAACTGCCCCCTTTCTTTTCAGGATAGCTGCTTTTAATAAGCTCAGACAAATGCTATGTAGGGTCCTACAGTGCAGAATTGTTGAAGATGGAGTTAAGGAAAAGTGCAGCTGCAAACCATTTCAGTGAGAAAGAAAAATGGTGGCAGTAGAGGCAACAGCAAAAGGTCAGAATTGAGATGTTTAGAGCAGCAAAAAGTCCTTTGCAAGACTATTCAAAGCAACCGGAAGGCTGTGGTGAGCCCCCCTGCTCAGGAAGGAGGAGGAAATGTTAATGGATGAACAAGCAGAGGGGAGCTGAGTACAGTCTTCCTCCAGTAAGTTGCCCAACCGCTTTAGGGCCAGAATTGCTATTCTAGACTGATACTGAGTCTGTCAGGCAACGCCTTTGAATGAACACTGGTCTTCAGGGCTAAGTGAACGGCATCCTATGGTATTAAAGAAACTGCTGGTGTACTCTTGAGGATCTCTGGGTCCTTTCTGAAAAGCATGGACTGAAGACCAGCAAGTGTTGTCTTCAGAAAGGATGAGATGAGAAACTGGTCAATCTGACTTCAATAATGGAGGGAGGGGGAGGCAGAACAGCTTATAAAGGTGTCCTCTTGATTAGCAATACAGAGATTAGGGAGAGATAAATGTGTCAGACTAATAATCTCTTTCTCTCACAAACTTTTCTTTTAAAAGAAATCAATTTACAGTGGTACCTCAGGTTAAGTACTTAATTCGTTCCGGAGGTCCGTACTTAACCTGAAACTGTTCTTAACCTGAAGCACCACTTTAGCTAATGGGGCCTCCTGCTGCTGCCGCGCTGCCGGAGCACAATTTCTGTTCTCATCCTGAAGCAAAGTACTTAACCCGAGGTACTATTTCTGGGTTAGCAGAGTCTGTAACCTGAAGTGTATGTAATTTGAAGCGTATGTAACCTGAGGTACCACTGTACTAGTTTAGTGGATTGTGGGAATGTTGTGAACATAAGTTATCTTGACTTCAGCCAAGAATTTGACAAAGTCTACCATGATATCTTGGTCAGCAAATTGGCTGAATGATACTAGATTGCCAAGTGGATTCGCAGCTGGATGCAGGGGTGGTGTGTTCTGTTTTGCCGCTTGAGGTGAAACAGGCTGTGTTGCTTTGTCTTGCAGTTCCCACCACCACCTACCTTGCTGCGCCTGCTTCTGCCACTGCCATGTGCCCTCCTGCCATCTGCTGGTGGTGGTGAAGCACCACCACCACCACCAGCACCCATTTTGAAAAGATCAAATTGATTTGGGGTGAAATCTCACCCCAAACGAATGCGATCTTGCCCGGTATTGGCACTGATGGTGGCAGTGCTTCTCCACCGTTGGTGGAGGTAATGGAGAACCCATGGGTGTGTTGTATGGGGGGCTTCTGCCACCTGAAGCAGTGGCCTCATGCTGCCTAATGATTGGGCTGGCTCTGGATGGATGGAAAATAGTCCTCTGGGAGTGCTCATTAGTGGTTCCTCACCCAACCAGAGGGAGGTTAGGATGGGGGGGGGGCAGGTGCTGGGCTCTGTCTTGAGTCAGGAACTGCTTGTGCACTTCCTGTGAGGACACTTGGTTAGCTACTGTGAGAACAGGATACTGAGCTGGACAGAACCCCCATAACAGACTCTCCTTATGTTCAGTACTCTGTCATTGTGTTAGATGAATGGGTAGAGGGAATCTTTATGAGATTTGTGGATGACCCAAAATTGAGAGGAGAAACTAACCTCTAAGAAGGTGGGAACACAATGGAAATCGACCTTGTTGGAATAGAAAAGCTGGGCTGAAATCAACAAAACGCATCAACAGAGATGAATTCAAACTTCTGTGCTGGGGTGAGGAGCTCAAATCTGCACAAGGATGGGGGATACCTGGCTTGAGAATCTTGGGATTGCTGTCAGTCATAAGTTGTGTATGAGCTGGCAGTGTGATGCCACTGCAAAAAAAACAGAGGCTAACGAGGTTTTAGGTAAAGGTAAAGGGACCTCTGACCGTTAGGTCCAGTCGCGGACAACTCTGGGGTTGCGGCGCTCATCTCACTTTACTGGCCAAGGGAGCCGGTGTACATGTGGCCAGCATGACTAAGCCGCTTCTGACGAACCAGAGCAGCGCACGGAAACACTGTTTACCTTCCCACTGGAGTGGTACCTATTTATCTACTTGCACTTCGATGTGCTCTCGAAATGCTAGGTTGGCAGGAGCAGGGACTGAGCAACGGGAGCTCACCCTGTTGCAGGGATTTGAACCGCCGACCTTCTGATCAGCAAGCCCTAGGCTCTGTGGTTTAGACAGTGCTGTTTTAGGCTTCATTAAAAGACCACATTTCCATGTCAGAGGAAGTAATAGTTGTGTTTCAGTTTGTGCAAATTAAAATGTAATGCCCCAATCTAGCCTCTGCAGATGCATCCACAGCTGGATGGGGGGTGGGGGCCTTAATGGGGCTGCTTCTCTCTCATTCCCAACTGGCCTTGGGCCAGGATATCTGAAGGGCCACCTCCTCTTGCATTCCATTTATTCATCTTCTCCTTCCTTCAAAGTGTTTACATCTATCTCATCAGCCGGAAGAGGGTAAGAGGCTGTTCTTACTTAAGCAGAGGGAAGAGCCTTGTTCTGGCTGAAGCAGGGGAATTTCCCTTTTGTAGGTGCTGAGGCCCGAAAGCCATCCTAGGACTTGGTGCTGTGAAGCTGCTGCTTTCCAGCATGGCAGGACAGGGAGATGGAGGTGTCTCAGTCCAGAGACAGACCCATTGAGGGAGAAGCACACAGACATGTGTCCTCGGTAGCATAGGCTGAGCAACTGCTTGAAACGGCACTTGGTCCCATTGAAATGAATGGGAACTGCATTAGGACACTTTGCAATGGGGCAGGAGAGTTTTTCAGTGTGACCAGCAGTGCAGTTCGGATTCCCTGTCTCAGGCACCACATGCAATTGCAATCGGAATTATTCAACCCCCATTGCAAAACAGGTTTATTATCAAATTTTTCAGTCTTTCAGCTGTTTGCAATGAACAAATCACACAAAAGCAATGGAAATAGCTCCACACAACAGATGCTTCAAGCAGTTTTCCCAGATTCAGCTGAAAATGCAACTCCGAGTGAGACTGGAGTATAAGTTGCATTTTCAGCTGAATTTCACCTGATTTGCAATGGGGGTTGAATAATTTTGATTGCAGCTATAGTATGGAACTGACACAAACCATATTGCTGTTAGCATAAATATAAAATGTGGATTCATATATTGGACTATACGGAGATGGCGAAATTGATGGCAAAAATAAGAGACCAAAAGGACGAAATTGTTTGTGGAAGTGTCAAGAACCCTTTTATGTGAGAAAATATTACAGTCAAATGAAATCACAGGCAGGTCTGGAAATATAAGCAAAGGAACGAGAATGATAAAGGAATGTAATGTGAAATATATGTTGTAGAAATAAGTATTATTTTTAAGGTAGTAGATAAAAGGATTTGAACAGAAACATCATGGAAGTAAGGAAGGGAACTTGGGAAGTCAAAAGGCTAAGGGAATATTGCATGGAAACTGAATTGAATTTGTTAAATTGTATGCAAATCAATAAGAACTTATGACAAAAAGTAGTCAATCCGCAGGATCCCACCAGCCTACTTTTAGAAGGGCGGAAGGTGGAGGGGGAAGAGCGACTTGGGAGTTTTCCTCTCCCCCCCTCGCAGTTTGAATTCTCACTCAGCAAAATCTCTCCCTGGAGCCAGGATCATACACCCAATGCAGAAGGGGAAATGTGTCTGCTTCCAGTGACTTGGTGACAAATCCTTTGAAGAAACATAATTCCTTTATCGGAAACCTTCCCATTGCGGAATTGATTTGCAAATCCACTCCTTGGGATAAGGAAGCAGAGGGGAGGTGGACCCAGTAAACCCAGCCAGTGGCTGGTCCCCAGCCTCCTCCTGGGAGCAGATGATACAAGGTCACACCTCACACTCCTATGTGCAAGCGCCAACATTTAACAGGAACAAAAAGATTAAACTTGGGAGGCCTTAAGGCTCAGCCAAACTGCAGTTCCTTACAACCTTGAGAGCCAATTCCCGTACCACAATGTGACTTATCTTGCAGCCCTCCTCCCTACAGATGCAGAGAGAGGGAGAGACATGCCCCACTCAGAGCAATGATACACTGTTGTCTCCTGTAACCAAGACCAGGAACTCCGAATTCCAGCCTCAAGGCTGATTCACATAGTTGTGTTGGTTGTTTATTTCCTCTCACAAGAACTGTTGTCTTTGGCAGCCAGGCCGTGGTTGGAATAACTTCAGCAAACATGTCTTTTGTGAGGGTCTGCATTTGGCTAAGTTCCAGGCATGAGAGAAGCCCCAAGAAACAAAACTAGAGGGGCATAGGATCTTGGGGGCTTCTCATTGTTCTAACATGCTATTTTTTTAAAGGTACCATTAGCTTCTTTTTGTCTTGAGGGGGGGGAAGGAACATTCTTTTTTTTTTTAATTTTCTGATTGAGCACTGCATATGAACATAATGAGAGCATACTGGAGCAGGCCATTGGCCCTTCTAGTCCAGTGTCCTATTCTCACAGTGGCCAACTACCTGTGGGGGAAACCTGCAAGCAGGATTCAAGCAGAAGAGCACTCTCCTGTGGTTTCTAGCAAGTTGTTCACAGGCATACAGCCTCCAACTATGGAGGTAGAGCATAGCCATTATGGCTAGTAAGCCACTGATAGCCTAATCCTCCCCCATGAATTTGTCTAACCCTCTTTTAAAAAGGTAAAGGGACCCCTGACCATTAGGTCCAGTTGTGACCGACTCTGGGGTTGCAGCGCTCATCTCGCTTTATTGGCCGAGGGAGCCAGCGTACAGCTTCCGGGTCATGTGGCCAGCATGACTAAGCCGCTTCTGGCGAACCAGAGCAGCGCACGGAAACGCCATTTACCTTCCCGCTGGAGCGCTACCTATTTATCTACTTGCATTTTGACGTGCTTTTGAACTGCTAGGTTGGCAGGAGCAGGGACCGAGCAACGGGAGCTCACCCCGTCACGGGAATTCGAACCGCCGACCTTCTGATCGACAAGTCCTAGGCTCAGTGGTTTAACCCACAGCGCCACCCTCTTCCCTTTTAAAGCCCTCCAAATTGGTGGCCATCACTGCCTTTTATGGGAGCGAGTGCCATAGTCTAACTATGTGCTGTGTGGGGAAAGTCCATTCTTTTACCCGTCCTGAATCTTCCAGCATTCGTGTAGAGCTTTAGATCAGTTGGTAGAGCATGAGATTCTAAATCTCAGGGTTGTGGGCTTGAGCCCCATGTTGGGCAAAAAGATTCCTGCATTGTAGGGAATCGGACGAGATGGCTCTCGTTGTCCCTTCCAACTTGATGATTCTATGAGTTCTAGTGTTATGAGAGAGGGAAAACAACATTTCTCTGTCCGCTTTCTCCATGACATGCATCATTTTATAAATTTCTCCCATGTCACCTCTTACTCACCTCGTCTCCAAACTAAGAAGTCCCAAACTCTGTGACTCTTCCTCATAAGGGAGTTGCGCAATCCCTTTGATCATTCAGATTGCCTTTTCCCAAAAGAATTGTAAATGAAGTCTACATAAAATGACAAAACCTTTATGAGAGGAAGCAAGAGAACCAGCTGAGGCTTTCTCCTCCTTCTCTGCTAGACCTCTGTCTGGCACCATTAACCTCTGCATCTCCTTCCATCTGGCTTCTGCCTCTTAGCTGTTTTCAGTGGTGGTCAATGTCCCCGGTCTAATGGCCATATCTCCTCATGACATGCTGTAATAAAACTTCAGGTGTGTTCACACAGCTGAAGGCAGCACCAGCAATGGGTGACACATGAAAAAGTTTGGGGCTGGCAGGTTAGGAGAGGAGCTGCCAGCCTCCCAGGTTGTCTTCTCTGTTGTCCATCTGCACAGAAGGTTAAAAAAAAGGACATTTCCGCAGAGCTTCAGTCCCTTCTGGATGTTTGGAGAAGACCAAAAGGTCACCCACACCGAGGCAGCACCATGAGAGATACAGGCATTCTATTCTGGTGGGCTACTTTGGACTAGACCTGCAAGTAGCTTCCCAGGGTCTTGGGCAGAAACCTTATCTCTTCCCTACTCCACAGCTCTGCATAGTTCATGATCTCTTGTCTTCTGAGTCAGGGATCCTCTGAAATAAAGCTGAAATAAAGCAGTCTGAGTGCAAAGCAGCTTTGAAGGATGAGGCTGCTTCTACACTGGCCACACTTCCGTTCTCTCATTTTTCCAGGGCATCTGCACAACACTGAGCAAAATATTCCTTTCCTGTTTTCCTTCGGCAGCTTCATTCCACCTTTATGATGTGCTTATTTAGGCAGCTTATGTGGCAAGTAACTAGTACACCGAATGAATGACACTACTCATAATAACTATTTGCTTTTCTTTGCAGACTTGTCTTTTAGTGGGATGCCGCCCGGCTACGCCTATGACGTGGACAGGGCCGAAGAGCAGCGTCGTCACCATGACATGATGCCCTACATCGACGACTCGCCCTCCTCCTCTCCCCATCTCAGCTCCAAGAGCCGAGGCAGCCGTGACACCATTTCCTCGGGGTCTCTGGAATCCACAAAATCAGTAAGCCTCCTTTTGACTCTTGGAGCGGACTGTAGGAGCAAACCCATTCAGGTTCTCTCATTTGCACAATTTATGTTGTAGTGGTTTTTCTCCCCTATTTCGTACAAACTATTGTTTTGTCAGTTGGAAGTGTGTGTCTGCACACCACCTGGCCAAAGTAAAGGTAAAGGGACCCCTGACCATTAGGTCCAGTCGTGGCCAACTCTGGGGTTGCGGCGCTCATCTCGCTTTATTGGCCGAGGGAGCCGGCGTACAGCTTCCGGGTCATGTGGCCAGCATAACTAAGCCGCTTCTGGAGAACCAGAGCAGTGCACGGAAACGCCGTTTACCTTCCCTATTTGTCTACTTGCACTGGTGTGCTTTCGAACTGCTAGGTTGGCAAGAGCTGGGACCAAACAACAGGAGCTCACCCCGTCACGGGGATTTGAACCGCCGACCTTCAGATGGGCAAGTCCTAGGCTCTGTTGTTTAAGTCCTAGGCTCTGTGGTTTACTGGACCCCAACTTCAGTTGCCCTCTCTGGCCCATGAGAGATCTCCGCAGACGTTGTGTTCAGGTTTATTGTCATAGAGATACGGAAGGGATTGTGGCTTGCTTACGTTCTCAAATGAAAGCTGCAGTTGTCAGGAAGGGTGAGTCCTTTGCCCCACCTATTTGCCACATGTGGACTATCACATCCAGGCAGGTCTGGCTGCCTTCTTTCTTCCTGCCCCCTGAGATCTGACCCGTGATGCTCAGCCCTTGGCCTCTTCTGGGTCGGCCTGCAAGTCTACATGTACATGCTCTGACCTCCCCAGAAGCCAACTCTGCCCTTTGCCTGCCAAGCTGCCAGTTAAGATCATCTTTCCAGCGGAGGGGTTAAACTAAGCTGAAATTAACTCCTTGGTAGTTCAGGGATCCTGCTGTGTGTACATCAATCGTCAGTACATGAATCATCCAGTATATGACAGAAGCTTTCTCATTTTATATATAATGGATGGTGAACCTGGGCCGTGCAGGCGTTGCTGGACTACAACTCCCAGCAGCCTCAGCCAGCCTGGCCAGTGAACAGGGCCAGATCTGAAGGGCCACAGAATCACCATTCCTAATGTATAAAATGACACTATTGTCCCTGGGGTGTGCACTGCCTTTCAAGAGTTTGCTCTCGAAATACTGTATTTTTCGCTCTATAAGACGCACCAGACCACAAGACGCACCTAGTTTTTGCAGGAGGAAAACAAGAAAAAAAATATTCTGCATCTCAGAAGCTGGAACAGCAAGAGGGATCGCTGCGCAGTGAAAGCATAGTTCCCTTTACTTTTTAGGAGGGAAAAAGTGAGTCTTATAGAGCAAAAAATACGGTAAATAAAGGGTTTGTATTTGCCATAAGATTGTGGGGAAGGAGCAAGGCAGTACTGTACAAGGACGTGAACAGTCTCTCTCCCCCTGCTTTTTTCCCACTGCAGAGAGCTTTTGGCATCTTTTGCACGTGCTTTTAATTCCCAGAGCCACCCGCTGTCACTCATCCTTTTTTTGTGGTTCCTTTTACGATTCCTCAGCCGTAGCAGCTGGAGCAAGAAGCAAGGCCTTTTAATTTCCCCAGAGTCTGCTTCCGCAGGAGGGGGCAAGGGGAGAATGCAGCGTGCCTGGTTGCTAGCATCAATGTCTGCTTTCCCCAGCCTGGTGCCCTCCAGATATTTTGGGCTAGCACCAGCATCCAATGGGCCTTGCTGGCTAGGGCTGATGGGAGATGTAGCCCAAAGTGTTTGGAGGGCATCAGCTTGGGGAAGGCTGCTCTAAAGTCACATGCCTCTGCACTGAGGCAGTGGTTGTAGCTTCTGATTGTGCCACCGGGGCTGATTTCTAGAATCAAAGTTGTGCCGGGAGCTGGCCCTTCCTCCTGGCCAGCGGCTGTGTGAGAAGCTCTTTGCTCTTCCGAGGAGCTTTTACGTGCAGCTCTGACATAATATCCTGGCTGGTAGAGATCAGAAAGGTGGCCTTGCCTAGTCAGCAGCTGGTTGGAACATCCTATCAGGGGTAGGATCAAAGGGTGGCCAAACTGGTTTGAGAAATACTTTCTCTTCTGGCCTTGGGCAGTTTGGCACTGAGGAGCAGAGAGTGCCTGTGGCACTTCCCCAAAAAGCTTTAACTCTTTGCTGATAGGGGAGGGAAATACTGCATCCGTCTGGTGATGTTGTTTTGACCCCAACTTTTTTCTTTTAAGAAGTCTTTTCCCTGAAGTGTGACCCAGTCAATTTATGGTATGATAACTGCAAAGCTGTAGGAATGGAGTTTTTGCTTTTTGTTTGTTCAGTCTGTCTTTGTAGTTTTATCTTTTTTCTTCTTCTCTCATTGTATACACTGCTTTGGTAGCTCCTGGCTAGGAAGTGGTGTATAAATCTGCGTTATTATGTATCATCATCATCATCATCTTCAATGGAGAGAAGTATTGGAGGCACTTGTGGCCCAGCCTGGCTACTCCTCAGGAATCCCAGTTTATTAAGAAAAGCTCAATTTATCTATGATATCTCATTCAAAATGCTCAAGGCAGCACCATAAAGTACCATAGGGCAGGAGTGGTCAACATGGTGCCGTCCAGATTGTAGAGTTGGAAGGGACCCTGAGGATCAATTAATGCAACCCCCTGCAATTCAGGAATATGCAGCCATCCCATATGGGGATCGAGCTTGCAACCTTGGCATTATCAGCACCATGCTCTAACCAATGAGCTGTCTAGGCATTTGATGTTATTGAACTCATAGGACTGTTGGCCAACCTGACCACTGTGGCTGATATTGGGAGTCCAATATCTGGAGGACACCACCACCATGTTGCTGGCTATCCATAACATGACAATAAATATACAAGTAATGACAGGGCAGCTATGAAGGCAGTTTTTTGTGCCCTCTGGGGCAGCTCTCTGGCCTGGTTTAGGCCTGCCTATGGTGAGAGCCCCTGGATTGTTCTGCAGCCTCTCTGATGTAGTGGGCTTGGCGTCAGCTGTGGCTTGGGGAATGAATGCCTCTTCCCTTACAAGCAGTCCTCCCAGCAATGGCCAGAAGGAAAGGGAAATAATTTTTTGGGGTGGGCAATGGGTAGGCTGGGATTGTGGTCCACGGCAAGCCTCCAGAGGCCCGCTCTGGCTACATCCATCTCCTCCTTCCAGGCTCCTTTCTGCTCCAGATCAGGGTCTTGGCTCCTGTGGTGCATGGCCTGGGAGGGGGCAGGGAGTGCCCAGCCAGTGCTTCGTCAAGCAATGCCCAAGGTCCTTGGCGTTGTCCTTGGCATCCCCCACCTTGCCTTTGCTTGACTCCCAAGATCACCTGCTTGAGGCTGGTGTTGGCTTTCCCCCTCGCTCTCCCTCTCCTCCTCCTCCTCCTCTTCCTCCTGCTTGTTCTCTGCTGTTTTAATGGCTTTGCCTGAATGTACAAGCCCTTCCTGAGCAGAGGTTGGCATGAACACCATTGGGTGGTTATAAATAAATGTTGGCTTCTCTCCCTGCTCCTCCACCTCTCTCCACATGAAGCACAGCCGGCTGGTTCTGCAGAAAACATTCCCTGTTCAGCACCACTCAAGCAGTGAAACCTTCTCCAGCAGCTTATTAAACAGAAGCCCCGGAAGATAATGTACGTTATAAGGATCCTAATTAATATCTCTCTGTCTCTCTCCGCTCTTCATCCCCCGTTGGCCTCTCTGTGTCTCCCCCACCCCCTCTTCCTTTTTTTACTGGAAGTCTCTGCTCTGAAAATGTTCATTGTGCTGCTTCCCACAAAGTCATGGGAAGATACTTGTTCTTTACAGCTCCCTCTTTAACACACCCACTGGAAAACAACATTTCCCTTGCTGGAGGCAGGTGCCAGTGGGGCCCGCTATGCAGCATTGCTCATTCATTGTGTTTCCAGACCTTAATTCCGTACTCTCGCATTGTTATTAATTGAAGCGAAACAGGGGAAGGGCCTCAAGCCATTTCAAAACAGGTTCCAGGATGGAGCTGACCCTCTCTGATCTTTGCTTTTCACGGAATCCACAGCCTGCCACAACTGAATACACTCTGCAGCAGTATCCTGGTTCCTTCCCTGTGGCATAGTGGGGCAGGAACTGGGCGGGGGGCGGGGAGCACAACGCCTGGACTTTCCAGATCAGGAGCAATTACATCACCTTCTGGGTAACTGATGGACCCTCCTTGTTCTTTCAAAGTGAAGGAAGTGATGATGAGACTTTCAGAGAATGAGGACAGTAATCAGCTAGATAGAGGCTGGATGTTTCTCTCCCTTGTGTCAGCAGCCTAAATGATAACAGTTGTGGTGCTCATTTACGGCTTGCAGGCTTCCTGCAGGTATAAAGCTGGCCACTGTGAGAACAAGGATGTTGGACTAGATGAGCCATTGGCCTGATCTACTAGGCTTGTCTTACGTTCTTACGTTCTAGTTCCTTGCATTTTTAGAAGCCGCGTTTCAGCTGGCTGAAGAACACTTGTTAAAATCTCTCTGTTTTGCCAGCTGAACCTAGAGTGTAGGGGAGGCCCACAGAGATCACTCCCCAGAAACTATGCAGAGGATTGTAGTCATGGCTGATGCATAGCTAGGCCTCCCCAGTCAAATTCCAGCTTGTTAACTATAATCACCGCACTTTGCCAGTTCATTCATCAATGACTTTCAGTTGATCCAATTAAATTTTTGCATGCATGCATCTATTACTCTATGAATCTTCTTTCAGGGGTGCTTGGGAGGGGGCTGTCATGAGGGGCTCCTGCACTTGAAACTTCACTACAACACTGCTGGCTTCCTTGCAAAAGTACTGTATTTTTCGCTCTATAAGACACACCAGACCACAAGACGCACCTAGTTTTTGGAGGAGGAAAACAAGGAAAAAAATATTCTGAATCTCAGAAGCCAGAACAACAAGAGGGATCGCTGCGCAGTGAAAGCAGCGATCCCTCTTGCTGTTCTGGCTTTTGGGATAGCTGTGCAGCCTGCATCCGCTCCATAAGACGCACACACATTTCCCCTTACTTTTTAGGAGGGAAAAAGTGAATCTTATAGAGCAAAAAATACGGTATTTTGGTAGACAAGCAGAAAAACTTGGGCCACCGGCATTTACAAACCCTTGACACCCAGGCTTCTTTAACCACTCAGATGATTTACAAATTTAATAATTTTGTCGGAGGAACAGCTCCCACCTATCTCTAAAATGTCTTCCCTGCTCTGTTTCCAACCACAGTTCAAAGTGTGAGACGTTTACCATGAGAACCCCAGTCGGTCAACAGTGCTGGGAGATGCAGTTCAGCTAGCATTTTCAAAACTGCTGTCTTGCTTTGTAATTTGTTGTTATTATCTTGTGAGATCTGTTGTATAGACAGCCCTGATATTTATACTGAAGGGCAGCACAGCAATTTTTTTTGAAGTGAAAAATAAGCAAGCACACTGGCTTGAAGTTCTTGGCTGGACAACTCCTGCCTCTGCTAAGGAGGGATTGGTATGACGGGGCTCACCATGGAGATTAGTAATCATAAGAGGGAAGGTGGGGGCAAAGGTAAGAGCAGTGAGAAAAGGGGTGGAGCTGCACAAAAGAGAGCATGTGAGCAACTGGCGACCACTGCAGTGCCAGTTTAGCAGCTTCCGTAAAACTGCTGATAGATTTTCATCTGTGACTTCACTCCAAGCACGTGAAAGAACCAAGCAACTGCCTGCAATGTGTGGACTGCGCTGTTGATGTTGAGCTGATGACCACCTTTGTGCAAAACTGAGAACAAATTGCTCCTTGAACCCCAAGGGCTGAGTGTGCTGGTACAAAGAGCATCCGGGCCTCCGAGATGTTTGGGGCTGCTTTAGAGATCCTAGGATGTGCCTGTCAGCTGGAGGACTTGAGTGCTCTTTGCACAGCAGCAGTGCCCAGTGGGGATATGGTGCTGTTCCTTGCAAATGGGCAGCAAGCACCAAAGAGCTGTAGAATGGCTAAGCTGCTAGCAAATAAACCTTTTACGCTGCCGGTTTGTATCTCATACTTCTTCCCCATTCCCACCCCCAATTTCTGATTTTTTCACAATATCTGAGTGATAGTGGGTTTGTCTGTCTCAGAACTGTACTCCAGGTATGCAGCACTGGAGTCTGCGAACTCAAAATCAAGGTGTGAAAGCCTGCTTCCTTTCACTACCTCCCCTTCACACTTTATGTATCTCCTGTTTTGGGGTATGCTTGGTGCTCCCTGCCTAGCAAACAACCTTTTTTTGCCTGCATGCCACTGTTTTAGTGCAGGCAAGTTTCCCTGCAGCACCCCTGTCATAATGAGATTTATGAGTCTTTGAGGCATCACAGCTAGGGTTGGATGGATCTGCCTATTTTCATTCCGAGTTAATTTCGCTGAGGCTCGTTCATAAGTCCCTGCTATTTTCTGCATTTAAAAGGAAGTGTGAAAATGTGTAGCTAAATGCATATTTTGTCACAATGTATTTCACCTCTGTGCATGCATTTCTAAACACTGCGTGCATTTTAATATGTCATTTGAACCGGGAAATGTGAAATGCAAAGGGATAAGTACGTGTTCTGGTATGCGCCTTGGTATTGGAGGTGGGAATTGAGTCATTTCACTTAAAATGCAGACTTAACAAAAATTCTCCCTTAATCCCCAATTCCACATCCAGCTTAGAGAGCTGCCTTCTGCACTGCCTTACCATTGTTTTTCTTGCGTCTTTCCTTTCTCTAGAGTGAGCCAGACTTGGAGAAGGGCTTGGAGATGAGGAAATGGGTCCTGTCTGGAATCCTGGCTAGTGAGGAAACCTACTTAGGCCACCTTGAAGCTCTGTTGCTGGTAAGAACACCCAGGAACATGTGGATGGGGAGGTGTGGGTTTTATTTCCAGAACTGGCCGAAGACACTGTGAACTTGCGGTGGAATAGCCAAAAGGGATTTCCCTTGTCCTAACTGACTGGGAAGCTCTCCAGTTCAGCCCCCCTTCATTAAAAGTAATGGGAGCTGCGCAAGAGCATTGTCAGGCTTTTGTAAGCTATTTCTATTCATTTCAATGGGACTTCAGCAGGAGAATCCCCCAGTAGACTGTGCTTGGTGGTTGTGAGCAGAGGGTTCCTGAATGGCCAGCATGTCTTACGCTTCATGGGAGAACGGAATAGGTAAAGGTAAAGGGACCCCTGACCATTAGGTCCAGTCGTGACCGACTCTGGGGTTGCAGCGCTCATCTCGCTTTATTGGCCAAGGGAGCCGGCGTACAGCTTCCGGGTCATGTGGCCAGCATGACTAAGCCACTTCTGGCAAACCAGAGCAGCGCACGGAAACGCTGTTTACCTTCCCACCGGAGTGGTACCTATTTATCTACTTGCACTGGTGTGCTTTCGAACTGCTAGGTTGGCAGGAGAACGGAATAGGATTGGACTTTTTCATAAAGATCTGGAACAGCCTTCCTCAACCTGGAGATGTTTTGGATTTTAACACCCCTCACTTCCAACCAGCATGGCTGTGTTGTAGTCCAAAATATTTGGAGACCAGGTTGAGCAAGGCTGATTTGGAGCATGTCCAAATGGGGACATTCCGGCGCAATCAGACAGGAAGCCCAGCCATTCCGGCTGGTGGATGCCTTTGTTTTTTCACCTGCATGAAGGGTGGTCTCTGTTTTCCAGCCCATGAAGCCTCTGAAAGCTGCTGCCACCACCTCACAGCCTGTGCTGACCAGTCAGCAGATCGAAACCATCTTCTTCAAAGTGCCTGAGCTCTACGAGATCCACAAGGACTTCTATGACGGGCTCTTCCCACGGGTGCAGCAGTGGAGCCACCAACAGAGGGTGGGGGACCTCTTCCAGAAGCTGGTGAGCCAAAGCCTGGGCTTCTTTCATAGCTGCTTTGCTGATGCTCTTGTGACCTGTGGAGCCCCTGCTCTCTCCCAGGTGTTGCCCCTCTGCTTTCCCCTCCAGCTGTGTTGTGGTTTGCGCACATTGGGGGAAGGTGGTGTCTAAGGTGGCAGATAGGAGCAACCATGAGTGAGAAGCAGCTGTGTGGGATGGAAGGCCTGCAGGCTGGCAAGTTAGGGGTTGCACAGCCCTCTGGCTGGACTTGGTTTTGCTTTGTCAGGACTCCAGCAACTCCTGGCAGATGCCTTTGTGACCTTCATCATGGCCTGGAGCATGTTTGTGTGCGTGTGTTTGCACACCTTGAGCTTTCTGGTTCATTTTTCAACCTAACAATTAAGTGTTTAGGCCAGAGATAAAAGCAGCTTTCCTTAGCCTGGTGTCCTTCAAGTAAACTGAACTCCAAAGGGACAGGACTGCAGCTCAGTGACAAGAGCATCTGCTTAGCACATAGAAGGTATCAGGTTCAATGTTGAATAGCATCTCCTGATGAAGCTGGGGAAAGGCTCACTGCCTGAAAGCATAGAGAGCTAGTCAGTGTGGACCACACCATACCAGGTGGATCAGTGGTCTCATTCTGTATGGCAACGTCCTGTTCTCATCAGCCCCAGCCAACACAGTTGTATGACACTGAGGCTCATGGGAATTAGGAGCCCATGTACTTCCCACTGTCAGTTTCCTGTGGAATATGATGTTGGGTCCCTTCTTGGGCTTTACAATAGCCCCTGAGAAACCCACAGGAATGCATTTTTCTTGCTGTATCTACATGGGACAAAGGTGAAATGGTTCCCCCATTGTCCTGTTGTAGCTCTGCCATTTTGTTGACTGGAACTGGGAGCAAATGCTGAGCGTTCAGATACCAGCATTGTGTCCGTCTTGCCGTCCCCACGTCCTTGTGCCTTGGGCGTAGTGAGCTGCCCTGCACCATCTCCCAGCAGCTGGGCTTTCTTTTCCATGTTGCCTGCATATAATTTGGGCTGTGGTCAATTGACGAAGGGAGAGGCACACAGCAGGGACCCTCCCCACTTCCCTCCCTCCCCAGGACCAGCTTTTGTTTTTGATCCTGTTGGACCCAAAGCCTTTGCAGCAGTCCTGCCTTGGGGAGTTGCCAAGCCCACTTTGAAGTGAGAGGAGAGGGAGAAACGAGGTTCATATGTTTGCAAAGGGAAGCAAGGGCACTGTCTGTCTCTCCTTTCCCTGGGAGCTGCCAGGTTCTTCCCCCACCCCTCCCCCTGCTTCCCTCCCCCTCCCCCAGCTCTCTTTCTCTCTCCATCTGCACTCCTCCTTCCGGCTTTGATCTAGCCTTGCTGTTCTGCCTTCTCAGCCGCAGACTGTGGGGTAGACATATTTTCCCCTTGGATATCCTGAGCGTTCCTGACCTTGGCCAAATACCTCTTGGGGGGCAGCACTGTGGAAGAGCTCTTTCCCCAGCCAGTAAGCCCCAGGGCTGCCTCCTTTGTTGCTGTCACACCTCTTCTCTGGCTGTGGAAGAGAGCACTTGGGCCCCCTCTTCCAGTTTGTTCTCTTTTAAAGAAAGGAAATGTCGCATTCTTGAGGTACATCTGGTTCTTCAGACCAGAGGAGAAATTCTGTCTTGCGTAGAAATGGTGAGCGCAACTCAGTAGGGTCATCCAAGTACTACCATGTGTCGGCACACCAGTTGTCTGCATGGGGAATGGGAGACTGGGCCTGGCTTGCACTGCCATCCACTCCAAGAAACAGGGACCAGGCAGGAGGAGCAAGGCTTTGTTGGCCACAACTAGTGTGCAAAACATAAGGATATCAGAAGAACCCTGCAGTTAGATAAGGCCAAAGACTCATCAATGTTCTGTTCTCACAGAGGCCAACCAGATGCCATAAAAGCAGGAGCTGAGTGCAGCAGCGACACTTGTGCTGCTCAGCAACTGGTTTTCAGAGGTGTACTGCCCCTGACACTGGAGGGTCGTCTACAGCCATCCTGATAAGTAGCAATTGTTAGTCTAATCCTTCGTGAATTCATCTAATCTCCCTTCAGAGCTGTCTACATTCATGAACATTACTACCCATAGGGCAGTGGAAGAGAAGATGAGCCATCATTGTCTTCTCGCTGTGTGTGTCTTTAACATGAATTACAATCCCCAAATACAATCAGGGAGCTGAACACCAAAAACCAAAGTGAACGTTCATTTTCTTCCTGGCCCAGAACAGAAGCTGAGGACTTGAATTTGTGGAGTGAGAGCTGCTCCAGGCTGGGTTTATTTTTCGCAACATGCCATTGACACAATAGCAGTGCATTGGTGAAGGATGTATACTGGGCTGTCCCCACATCATTCTGTTTTAGTAGTTCTGCAATGTTCCCCATGTGTTACTGAACTATTGTCGTCTGGAGGGGCGTACGATAGCGCAATAAAAGTGGAATGAAAAATAAACCAGAACATTTGTGGCATAAAAAGCTGCAGGATTTTGGATTGAAGTTGCTGAGCATGCACTGTTTGGAAATGAAGCAATATGTCTGCCTAGAACCATTGCAGAGGTGCAAGCAGTATTGAAAGCGGGATTGCTTATAACTACCCCAATACCTTCATGGGCACAAACAATCAGTGCTTGCTAGCTCAGTTGTTAGAGCACGAGACACTCGATCTCAGGGTAGTTGGTTGGAGCCCCACATTGGGCAAAAAGAGTCCTGTTTCACAAGTGGTTGGATTAGATGATCCTTGTGGTCCCTTCCAACTCTATGATTCTATGAATGCCCAGTGAAAAGGATGCTTGGAGGTACCCTGGATGAAAAGCTGGACGATGAGCTCCTTCTCCCCCAGTGGAGCACAAATGACATTAGTCACTTTGCTTTCCTGTGCCTTCTCCGTGGATGTTTGCTCTTTGCACTGTGAATTCTCCACACTGGGCAGCAAGCGCAGAGTTTACATTTACTTGAGAGTTCAGACATGCTTCGGATTCGCCCAGCCTTTTCCTGAGAAGGCATGAACTATGGCTGCTATTTACAAGTCAGCAAACGAGATCAGTGCTAAGTCCCAGTGATTAAGAGGGGCTTATTCCAAGGCTTCTGGGTCTGCTGCTATTGCAGCACCACCAAACTGATGGAGAAATTCTTCCCAGTCTCTCTCTCTCTCTCTCTCTCTCTCTCTCTCTCTCTCTCCCTCTCTCCCTCCCCCCCCCACCGCCATCTCTTTCTCCCATCTTTGTTTTGCCCTCCTCCTGCCTCAATTGTCAACCATAAAGTTTTCCCTGGGTGACTTGGGCGCCTGAGCTTCCTTGCAGGGCTGTTGAGATGGTAAAATGAAGAGGGTTGTGAATGGAGCGACCACATACAACATCCTCAGCTCCCTGGGCAGGATAAGAAGTAGAATATATTTTTTGAACTGAAAATGATTTTAACTTGTCACATCTATTTCTCCACTGAGCTTGAGATGAGAAGGAAACAAAAATAAGCCATTAAAACAAAAAGCAGCTCCCCACGAATTTTGCAGAGAAATGTCCAAGGCATTTTCTCTCACCAGCTGGGCTTCTCCAAATGCAGGAGAAACGGCAACTTAAACAGATCCAGGTTCTGTGTTCAGTGTTTTGCTCTTGCGTTCATCCCTCTTGCACTTTTCTCTATGCTAAAAAAGGGGCCTCTGCACACAGCTGGTTTTGGGGCAGTGTGAACATCTGCAGTAACTGTGCAGTGAGAGGCAGGGATATCTCTGCTATAGGTGTGTGTCTTGTTTGTACTGCCCTGCAGCTGAATCATCTCTGACTGGCAAAGGGGCTGACACAGCCCTACAGTGTTTAACCCACTGGCCAGAATGTAGCGGAGAAAGTGGCCACAGCAGGGTTGGGTCACTGGGTTAATCCAGATGTGGGTAGGCAGCTGACCACCCCCACCCCCCTGCACCCCCTCCCAGTCCTCTCTGGTAGCTGATGTGGGAGGGAGGCGCCTCTGTGCTTTGTGACAGCTCACCATCTTCTGTTCCTTTGGAATCCAGTGCAGCCAGCGGCTGTCTTCTCCCGCAGCCCCCCTTCCCCCCACCCCACCGGTGTTTGTTTCATTTTGCATTTGCTTTCTGCAGGCCAGCCAGCTGGGAGTGTACCGGGCCTTCGTGGATAACTATGAGGTTGCCATGGAGACGGCAGAGAAGTGTTGTCAGGCCAACGCTCAGTTCGCAGAAATCTCCGAGGTAACGTTATGATGTTCAGACACGTGCAGCGACTCGTTCTGACTAATGCGCTCAGATGGAGCCCTTGGGATGTCCCTGCAGCACTTGCCCTTCAAAGGTGGTGCGCTCTCTTCCTCTCTCTCTCAGCTTCTGATCATTTCAGTGGGCGGCTTGCACAGGAGAAGCTTCCAGTCTTGTCAGTTCTGCCCATCTCACGTGCTGCGGCCCTTAATGCGACCCAAGACCTCTCAAGGTTCTTGTCTTGAGGCCACCCCAATTGACCTTTGCAGTGATACAAAGTCTAATTAGGTGATCCACCTTGCACACTCTGCTGGAGTGGCTTTGAGCTGCTCAGGCACCACCTCCGTGCCCTGCAAGGGGCAGGATGGGAGGGTCTGAACTCCTGCAATGAAATTATCATTAGCAAAAGAGAGGTGAACAAGCCCACTTGAGTGGCGAGCATCACCCTCTGTCTGGGAAATGGCAGGCCTTCGTTAGCCTCAAGTGGAGTGACGTGGAGTGGCACTAGAAAGGTTGAGGGTTTCTCAAGTGGAATTGCAATGCTGCTGGGTGTCCTTTGGGAGAGAAGCCGTCTTGAGTAGGGTGCAATAGCTTCTTGAGGCTTCTTGCACGTTGGGTCACTCCTGCCTGGCAGTTGTGCCTAGCCTGGTACTGATGAAAGGAAATCACAGCTTAAGTGGGTGATATCCTTGTTTTCAAGATCATGTCCAAACTGTGCCAGGACACCCCAAACCAGGTACTGCAAATCAAGTGTGGCAGAAGGGCAGAAGAGGGGCGGGGCTTGCCATGTCTTCAGGGGAGCCATAAACACAGCTGCCGAAGGTAGCAAAAAGCACTGTGCAAGGATGGAGTTGACCACTGGACTAGAGTTGTCTTTGCATGGCAAATGCTTGGGTGCTTGCTTTGTGTCAACAGAGGGCTTGATTAAGCTAACTAGGGGACAGCTGGCAGTTCCCTGCTGCACTCTGAAGCAAACTTAACCCAGTGGATGTTTTCTTTCTCCCCTTTCATAGAATCTCAAGGCTAGAAGCACCAAGGATTCAAAAGAGCAGACGACGAAAAACTCCTTAGAAAGTGAGTAGTGCACTCACGGATTAGGTTGGCAGAATACTTTCCTTTCTCTTGAGCTGGGCTTTTATCCCTGCAGTTGTGTGGGTTATATGGGTCTACCAAGCAGTGCAGCTCATGTGGGACCTGTCGTCTTCCTTTCTCCACAGCTCTCCTTTACAAGCCAGTGGACCGAGTCACACGCAGCACCCTTGTGCTCCACGTAAGTTGCTTTGAACGGCGATGCTGCCGTTGCTATTGCAGTGAGCAAGCTGGGAATGAGCAGACGGGGAAGGCTTGAGGTTTATATATAATAGGACTCATAATAGTTGCAAAAATATGTAGCCAAACAGCCATACCACAGGCAAAGATGGTGTTGTGCTTTTTACCCCCTTTCCCAATGTGTTGAGTGACATTGTGGTTTTAAAAAAAAGATAAAGGTAAATCTTCCCTTTCGAATCCTCTTTGGGGGGTGTCTGTTTTCAGAGTGGTCTTTGTGTAGGGCTACTGCCTTTGCTCAGACCCTCCATGTAGTGCAGGAGGGCCATGATCCAGTCTCCCAGCATTTCCACAGGCAGTCATGGAGGAAGTGGTTTTTCTTTAACCCTTGTCTCCATTTCACAACACTGTTGCTGCTTGCGCAAAACTACATTTGATTGAAAGAAACAACATTGTGAGGTTTGATGCTGGGTCTCCTGTACCATGTTGCGATTTGTTCCCAAGACAAACTTCAGGAGAAGATGGTGCTTTGCTGGCCGTTAAATATTGGGAAACTTTTTAAAGATAAAGTCCCTTGGAAAAGAGTTGCTTGAAGTACCTTGGAAAATGCCTTTGCTGTGCCCCAGCTTCAGAACTGGGGTGGGGAACTTTCAGCTGCTCCTTCATATGTGGGTTTAGCATGTTATCAGCTTAGGTTTCCAGCTGTGCTCTTGCTTACAGCTTAGACCCCCTCCCCCCCAACCCCCTTTGTTTGCCGTTAAAAATACAAAGGGGGTATGGGTGTGTATTTAGGGTAGAAATTGGCTGTCCTAAGGACTTGGCTTGGTTTCTTGATTCAAACAAAGGTTCAGAGCAAATGTAACACAGTGCACTACTGGATTATAATACTCAAGCAGCTTAAAATTACCCCATGCCTACATAAACCTGGAAGCCAGAAAAAACTGGGACGTCTTTGTCGCTTTTTCTGAAAAGTCCCTGGATTTTGTCAGGTTCTGCTGGGAAGGCAGGCACTCAGCTCCCATGAAAGTCTCTCCTCTTCCACTTCTTCCACAAGCCACTTGCTCCTCACAGCCCTCTGTGACCTTCCTACCCACCTGCTGCCTCAATCTCTCCACTGCCCCATACACTCCCATGAGTTGTGTTCCTTCAGTTCCACCATCCCCAGCCTCCTGTCAAAGGTCTCTTGCTCCCCCAGATGCCCCTAACCTTTGCTGCTGCTTAGTCCTGAAACAGCCTACCCTTTTTCTTCCTTCCTTCCTGATAAATGTTGAGTTGTTGCCTCCTTGGAACGGGGCCCTGTCTTCTTTTGCTTATGTTGCTTGGTAAAGATCCATCTGCAGTAACAGGACTGTAACTAGTGGTGGTGATGAAAGATAAAGTGGTGGCTGGAAGATAAAACTGCTGCCGCTAAGGTGAGCCTGTGTGGCTCTCCTGCTGGGGCCTAGGAAGGCCTGTTGATATGAAGCTCCTTGTATTTCCAGCTGCCATTCTCTGAACTTTTTCTCTTCCTCTTGGCGGTGCAGGATCTACTGAAGCATACTCCATCAAGCCACCCTGACTACCCTCTTCTTCAGGATGCCCTCCGCATCTCCCAGAACTTCCTGTCTAGTATCAATGAGGAGATCACACCCAGGAGACAATCCATGACAGTCCAAAAGGGAGAGGTGAGTGCTCCAGTCCTGCTGGCACCTTTTGGGGTGCGGTGTTCTTATGTGGGGGGATGGCATCCATGCACATCCACACACAACTGTTTTCTTTCTTTATGTCCACTGTACTGGCTGCAAGAGAAGATGTGTCTGTGAGGGTGTGGGATTGGGGCTCAACCACCATTTGGGAAGAGAATTGCACTAATCCTGGTGATGGGAATGGAACCTTGAGGGCAGCCTTCCCTAACCTGGTGCCCTCCAGATGTTTTGGACTACATTTCCCACTGGCTGGGGCTGATGGGAGTCTCTCTAAGCCCTACCTGGAGATCCCAGGGATTGAACCTGAAACCTTCTGCATGCAAAGGATGTGCTCTGCCACTGAGCTATCGCTCTTCCCCATTGTCATCACATTGTCCCCTCTAAGAAGTAGTATGCTGAACTAAAATAATTCTCTTTTGTCTCACCTAGCAGGGTTCTTCTTAGGTTCTAATCTTAGGTGGCCTTTTTTGCTGCCTTCATCATCACCAGGACTAAAATAATGTCCAGTGAAAATTCTCCCAGGTGCTTTCAGAGAAACTCCCATTTTCAGAGTCATTTCTACACCCATCTTTTGGGTGATTTAGTTCTTGAGGGACCTCCGGGTGGGAGCGGAGGGATGTCTAAAGTGTTTCCGTATTGAATGGGCTCTTGCTCATGCAAAATAACTATTGGAACTTCATGTTTTGGATTGGATCTAGACTGGAGGGTACTTGGGTAGACAGAGGTTCAGCCTTCAGAGCCTCTGGGTAGTGTTTGTGCAGTTAAACCCCAGAGATCCGGGTTCCAGTCTTGGCTCAGTTAGAGAGGCTCTAGGCAAGTCGCTGTGTCTCCACTATCTGTGAAATCTTGTGTATTAATGACCCGACATCGTGCAAGCTGTATCCGTGTAAATAGTGATTAATAATGGAAAGCTAGAGGCCATTGAAGGTTGCATTAAATGGGATGCTAATTGAACTGCAGCTGAAAATGCTGGCTGGAAGGGCTCTCATGTGGGAGGAGAGGGAGCCTGTTTATCTGCTAGTGTCTCAGGGTAGCATACCAGCTTTGAAGGGAGCCCTGTAGCATCCTAATGAGGTGAGGGCCAAGGCTGACTGGGAGAGATGGGGAGGTGTTTGTATTCTCTGTGGTGAGCTGCTTCTTTGTCATTATTTACAACACTAGTAACGTCAGTGTGCCTTGAAGGGTGTGCTCTCGCTCTCTTGCTCTCTCACATATGGAGGGTGGGCACTGGTCCTCAAAATGAGATAATTTATTTCCATGTTGCTGCAAAGCCTTTCCCCCCAATTTTGCTTCCCCATCTGGCCCCCGGTGCTCCTCTCCCTTTTAATCTCTGCAACTGGAGCACATTGCTCTGCTCAGCCTTTCTGCGCTGCTGCGGAGCTACAATGGGGAGCAAGGCCCGCTTCCTTTCTCGCCAGCGCTGCTTTTGCTTTCCTCTCCTTGGTGCTTTTTGAGCTGAGGGAAGCAGCCCTTCTGGTGCTTAATCTCTCCAGTGATGGCCTGCTAATTGCGGCAAGGATGCGGGTGGGTGGCAGTGCAGGCCTACAGAGCTTGCTTAAGAGCCTCAGCCTGGCTTCTCTGCAACCATTGTGTCCACTCAGTGCCATCCAGTGGCGAGAGGCCTTTGTATGCAGAGGCCTTGTGGCTGAAACAGAAATAGAGAAGAAGCTCATTTACAGGTATAGAAAAATCTTCAGAAAAACCAAAGCAGCTGCCCAAGCAGAGGTGGCACCCATTGCATTAGGACAGAATTCTTCATCATGGAAAATGCTTAAGGCTTCTTAGTAAAACCTGCTGGGGAAGGCTTTCCTTTGTGGATCATAGAATTGTAGAGTTGGAAGGGACCCTGCGGATCATTTGGTCCAACCACCTGCAATGCAGGAATCTCAACAAAAGCATCCATGACAGGTGGCCATCCAACCTCTGCTTCAAAACCTCCAACGAAGGAGAGTCCACCATGTTCCCGTTCCACTGTCGAACAGCTCTTACCACCAGGAAGTTCTTCCTGATGTATTGTGGGAATCTCCTTTCTCATAACTTGAATCTGTTGGTTCAGGTCCCAACCTCTGGAGCAGGAGAAAACAAGCTTGACCCCCTCCATGCGACGGCCCTTTAGATCTTTGAAGATGGCTACCATATCTCCTCTCCGTTCCTCTTTTCCAAGCTAAACATACCTAACTCCCTCATTAGGTTTTCACCCCGATAAGGTTTACTTGGAAGGCATTAGAAACCAATACTTATTGGTTTGTTTTTCCGAAATATCCTAGCCATGTTGGTAACAATTCATTTTGTATATCGTGAGAAGTTGATAGTCCAAGCAATTAGGCACATTAGTAAACCAGCAAAACTGATCTGCGCACCACACACAGTGCAATTAACTGCACACAGAACACTTCTGTCAAACCTAATTTCAGCAGAAGGAGGGAGCCCTTTGGAGACCAGAGAAAGCCCTCTGTGCGCACATGTGCACCCAAATTGGCAACTGCTAGCTTACATCAGGATTCTACAGCTGCAGGTAGTTGTGAAAGCACCCAGGCTGACTTGCATGGACACCTTTCCACTGGGAGAATGTGCTTTGCAGATGGGTCACTTCCGTTGCTCCTAGCCATGATAGCTATGCTGTGTCTCCACAGTTGGAGGCAGCAATGCTTCTGAATCCCAGTTGCTGAAAACCACAGGAGAGGAGTGTGCTCTGGTACCCAGGTCCTGCTTGCAGGATTCCTCCTGGGGAATCTGGTTGGCCACTGTGAGAACAGGATGCTGAACAAAAATGTGTCCCAGATGTGTCCTCTTTGGCTCAATCCAGCAGGCTTATGTTCCCTTGCATGTTCCGGAACTTGTGCAGTTGTCTTTTTCAGTGAGGTGATGGAGTCCCACAGTGATCTGCCTGCTTTGCAGGTAGAGGCAAGGGGGCGGGTCTGATTGGGATGCTACAGCTGGGTTGGATATTGAACTGGCTTGTTCTTAGTGCTTCCTTTGGTCAGATTTACTTCGATACTTTTTTAGTTTGTACAACCTGATTGCAATATATAAATTTAAAAATTGAGGCAACTTACAAAAGAATATTGAATATCTACATGTAGAATAAAGCAGGGCTTTTCTGAACCTGCTGAGTTTTCTGTGCAAAAGCAAGTTGGGGGGGAGGCAGGGAGTGGCTGCACAGTCCATTTAAAAAATGCTAAGGAGCCCAAATATTTCCTTTTGAACTTTGAACTTCTCATTCTCTGCACTGCAAGCAGAATCAGGAAGGCATCTGCCCCCTCTCTCAGTGTGTTATCTGGAACAGTCAGACCTCTCCTTTCCCAGTGCTACAGCAGCTTCATTTCTGGATCCTTCACGTCAAAATCCATTGTGTTCTCTCTGTCTCTAACAGCTTTTTGGCCCTGTTTTGGGAGCCCAGTATGAAAGCTGCACTCTGCATAAGCTCATAAGTCTTCTTCATGATTTATGTTCAAAGTCTTGGCCTTGAAAAGAGGCTTCCAGGCCCTGAAGGTTGCTGCAAATCCCTGGAGGGGAGACTGCTCTTGTGCTTGAATCCTGCTTGCTGGTTTCGTGTAGGCATCTGGTTGGCTGCTGTGAGAACAAGAAGCTGGACTAGATGGGCCATTGGCCTGATCCAGCAAGCTTTTCTTACGTTCTTATGAAGCTGTCTTCTTTCAGTGAATGGCTGCTCTTTGAGAGGCAGGAAGGATGGGCTTATTCGTCTACGTTTTGGAGGATGTTTTCATGTCAGACAGGGGACTTCAAGACACCCCCACCCTCGCTGCAGGTTTATTTCCTTTCCCCAACCTTACTTTTTCTGGCTTCAAAGTCTCTCTTGGAAATGGGGCTTACCATTGTCCTTGTGCGAGTGGAAGGGCTAAGTGCAGAGCTGCTGAGAACTGTGTAAAGGAGCACCAGACTGACGATGACAGCCATGCCTATCAGTTTAAAATGGAGCACTTGAAAAAGGGCTGGTGTCTTGCCAGTACTTTCTAGATGGGGTGTGGCTTACAGTCAGCCTCCTGCAATCCTCGCTGCTGAGCAAGTGGAGGCTGCATCTTTGTGGGAGCTTGAATGGAACCTTCTTGTTTGCTGGCTGGCATTGTGGGCGCCCAGTAGGTCTCCTACGGATGTTCTGGGACTTACCAGGGAGTTTGCCTCTCCTCCCCCAGGGTCCCAGGAGCGAGTCAGCAAGGCCTTTCCCTTCCTCTCTGTGTGACGTGTTGAAACCCTCCCCTCCCTCCCTCCTGGCAAGATGAGTCATGGCAGTCAAGAAGGCATGACCCCAACACTGCCTCGCAGGCTGACCGTTTGCCAGGAGTGGGAAGTCTTGATTGTTCTGATACTGCTATCTCCTCCTCCTCCTCCCCCCCCCCCCCCAGTCACCAGAGCATGCTAATTTCCTCACCCCACTGCTCCAGGCCCTGCAAAGAAGCACAAATGGGAGGCTGGCCTGAGGACAGCCCTGAACCACAGAGGGGATATTCCCCTGGCTCATTCCCTTGCCATCAAATTGGCCACAATCCAACGCAAGAATTGCTGTTACCAGGCTGTCTTCTGCTTCCACCTTGGCCTGAAAGTGATAGTTTCTGATTTGTGATTCAAGGACCCGCCACCTGCTTGGGGATAAGAAAGACACATGGACACAGTATATTAGGTTAATGGGCTAATAAAGGCCACAACTTTATTGATTACAGCATGTGAGAGGTATTGGCTTAGGCATTGGATAAAACAACAGAACGTGACTCCACCCCCTCAGGGAGGGGTGAGTCTTAACAAGGGTTAACCACCAGTGGGAGGAGCCTGTTGATGCAAATACAACTGAAAGCTCCCCCGATTTCACCGGGGGTCGTGCCATGGCCCTAGCTAGCCACCAGCAAGGGCATCGGACAGGATCCACGACCGCCGGATTCCTTTACCGGAATACCCATAAAGTGGAGGGGTAGGCAATGGCCACACCCTGCCCTCCAATACACAAACATATTCCATTGCCTAACCACCAATACCTAAAATTTGTGACGATTTGCTACGAGGTAGGTGAAAAACCAAGTGGCCGGTGCCAATTTGCCAGTTGGATAAAAATTCCAACAGGCCCCTTGGACAACCAAGGCAACCAACCACAGGTCCATAGCAATGTCAAGAACCAAGCAGTGAACTAAAGGAAGGGTGGGTGGGTGATCCAAGTAAAACCAGCAGTGGAATGAAAGGGAAGTGCTGCCACGGCCACATGTGATTGGCAAAACCCCGCCCCCAAGCCTCCACCTGATTGGTTGGCTACCTGGGGGCGTGGTGCGCCATCCAGGCCAGCTGGGCAGGGACTGGAACTCCCCCTGCCAATGCAGGAAACAGCTTCTGCTCACAACTCCTCCCCTCTGTAAGGTGGAGAGGCTTTGCCTAATGAGGAAGCCATCCTGGGTTGTTCCCCCTCACCTCTTTCATGCTTACTCACAAACTTACTCAGCTTCCTGCATGTAGGAGCCAACCTGAGTCCAGGTGGCCAGTTGTGCCAGGTGGCTGCATAGGTCCAAATCATGGCTTGCCACATTCTGGAAAATATCAGCAAGGAGTGCTATGGAGAACAAGTGCCTGGATACCTATGGAAGCATCCATGCATCCAGTCCTGCATGCTGAAGTTTTCACCTTGCCCTAGATGTGTGAGTTGGCCCAGAGAATGACTGCGAATGCACAGCAGACCATTACTCTATTTGTCTTGTGTTGGTGATGGGCAGAAAGCACAGCTGACCTTGCTCTGTAGGCACCTGGCAACACACCAAACCATCCTCTCCAAGGACAACTCTCTTATTTCGAAGCAGCCACAATGGAAAGGGGCGGGAGCAGCTGGGGATTGTCAGCATTGCTGCAGCGAGTGCCGTCAAAGCACAAGAACGCATTTGCACCTCAAGATGAAAATCTGGTTGGCAGCGTGGGCTCATTTGCCATGCCCCAAAGGAGCGGAGCTTATTTGCTGTCTCCTCCATATTCGTCTGCTCCTTAAAAATATTAAATGAGGGCTTTGGACTGCCAAAGAGGGGCCTTGCTTTATGGCCCTCTGTGACTGAATCCTCCCCTTCCTCAGAAGTTGACTGCAAAGCTCACCCGTGTGTATTCGTCTGGCATCTTTAGTTCTACAGTCCTTGGGGGGAAATGAGCGCACATGGATGGCAAAGACATTAATGCAGGCTGGCATCTCTGAAGCATCTGAGTAGCAAGGGAAGCAAGGAGGCCCCTCCAAAATGGATTCTGCTTGTCCTTGACAGGGATGGAGACTGGAATGGTTTGCTAGCAAGCAGCTCCTAACCCTGACTGGACTCGGCCTTTTGCAAAAATACTTTAAGATGAGTCAGCCACAGGAGAGCCTAAGAAAGTTGTGGTAGCTTCAGTGCAAGCTGTTTTGTTGGAATAGACCCAGATCCAAAACATTTACTGTGGAAAGTCTAGAGAAGAAGCTCCTGCATTATATATTCTGACTTTAATACAGTGGTGCCTCGCAAGACGAAATTAATTCGTTCCGCGAGTTTTGTCGTCTTGCGATTTTTTTCGTCTTGCGAAGCACGGTGTCGGGAAAGTTTTGGGAAAGCTTCAAAAATCTCCAAAGTCTTTAAAAACCTCAAATCAGGCTACCACACCGCGTTCTATGAGTTGCTCCTCGAAGGCAAGTCGCAACTGTATTATCGGTGTTAAGAAAAGAAACAAACTTGCAAGACGTTTCCATCTTGCGAAGCAAGCCCAGAGGGAAAATCGTCTTGCAAAGCAGCTCAAAAAACAAAAAACCCTTTCGTCTAGCGAGTTTTTTGTCTTGCGAGGCATTCGTCTTGCAAGGTACCACTGTACCTTAAGTATCTTTGTTCTGTGAGAATAATTCCCACTGAACCAAAAATAGTGGGGAATCTGCAACTTTTCACAAATAGGAGAGAATCTTAGAGGAAATCTGAATTACTGGCTCGAGAAAATATGTACAGATGGTGCTGTTTATATATTTGCTAATAAGGAGTGCGCTGTGAGTTGAGTTTGCAAACGACATCTGTTCTAAATGGATCTGTACCCCTTAGCAGGGCTGTGTGCAATAAGAAAGCCATGGAGAACCTTTTAGTTAGCATATCCTTCCCTCCAATGACTAGTCAGCATTCTGTACCAGATACCAGTATTTACATTTGCTAATAAATTGCCATGTTTCTCTTTACCCAGCCTCTTCTGCTTTGCGCTGGTGGTAGATCTGGATACCTGCAATATTTATATTTGCCAATAAATGAGGGATCCCCTTCCTTATCTCTTCTTTGTCCTAATAGCACTTCATAGCATCCTAAAACCTGTATGTCCCTTAGAGAGGCTAACCCAGTGACACTTGCAGAGCTCCCCCTGAGGACAGACTTTTGGAGGGCAGGCTTTTGGAGGAAAAAATTTCATGCTTTTTTTTGGCCTCTCTTGACATCCAGCCTGGAGAAGAACTTTCTAGAGTAGTCTAATGCTTGCTTATAGCCTTGTAATGTTCTTGTGCATCTTAATAAAATGTATTGCCCTACACTGGCTTTGAGCTGCTAGTATAGGCAAAGCCATTTGGTTAAAAAGGGTAAGAGTTTTTGCCAGTTTGTGAAGTTGGAGAATAGTTTTATGCTGCCCTCTGCTGGCTCTTATAGTAAACTCATTGTAAAACAGCTGCAGATAATATTTGCTTTTATGACGAAACTAGGAGTAGGTGCCCAGTTGTACCTCCTTTCTGGAAGAAAACAGAAATAACTTGGTTTTGGACAAATCCTTGGAGATCGTAGATGCTAACATTATAATTAGCCACATACCTATCCAGTAAGTTTTTTCAGAAGGGCAGAAAATGTGGGCTTCACCAAACCACACTGGCAGCAAAATGAATAATCTCTGGACACTGGAATTCCCAAGCCACACTGGGTATTGCAGGCTGCGTATAGGAGGCCCTGCAGCTGGCAACACATGAGAAAGTAAGTCCTGTTCCAACAAGATACAAAAAGAAATAGGCTTTCAGGGAGTTTGGAGATCTTCCAGAAGGCCTGTCCACATATGTAGACACAAAATTTGCACAGAGACTATGACGGCTGCTGTTCATTGAGCATTCATTCTTAAAATGTTTGTACTGAGGTTATATGACATTATGTCAAGTGATTGTTGTACTGCTTGTTCCAGTGCATTTTCCAGTTACTCTCCTTCCTGCAAAAAGTCTGATTTAAAAAACAAAAAACAAAAACCCAACAGCAACAGTTTTGTTGCATAAGGGTGCTGAACACAGTTTAATTGTGCAGCCTAAATTTGCTTATATATATATATATATATATAGATTTGTCAAATAGTGACTGTCTCAGTTCTTGGGACCCTTTCCCAAATGACACCTTCAATGGAGTCTGGAAACACATTCTTAGAACCTTAGAACCATTCAAACCTGCCTTTTGCTTTCACTGTTAATGGCCCACCATATTCTCATGTCCCTTTGTGGAACTGTTGGGTTGGTATTGAAGGCCAGCCATTGTAAACTCTTTAAACTAGCTGAGAGCTTTGGTCTATTATGCTGGTGCTGTGGTGCCCCAAGGTTAATTTCTTTGCTGTTTTCTTTGTGGTTGTGTTTTATATTCTCTTCATCTTGTGCAACTTGAAAATCTCAACAAAACACTTGCACTTTTATTCATTTGCTCTTTTACCGTTACTTACCTACTTAAATCCTTATTGGACTAATTAATTACTATATATTTTATCATTCACATCTTGATAAATGGTCGAAAGGCAGATAGATATAAGGCTATCACTGTAAATGAGTTTAGTAGATCTGGGGAGGAACCATAGGGGGCAGTTAGGGAATTGTTTAAAGCTTGTGAAAGCCATTATTATTATTATTATTATTATTATTATTATCTAAAGAGAAGAAGAAGAAGAAGAGTTTGGATTTGATATCCCGCCTTTCACTCCCTTTAAGGAGTCTCAAAGCGGCTAACAATCTCCTTTTCCCTTCCTCCCCCACAACAAACACTCTGTGAGGTAAGTGGGGCTGAGAGACTTCAGAGAAGTGTGACTAGCCCAAGGTCACCCAGCAGCTGTATGTGGAGGAGCGGAGACGCGAACCCGGTTCCCCAGATTACGAGACTACCGCTCTTAACCACTACACCACACTGGCTAGCAAAGGACAAAGCTAGCAATGCAAGGAAGTTGCAAGCTACAAGGCAGATTCCCTCCTGAAGTTGCCTGTCCTTGAATGAATTCTGATACAAACGTTGTGGTTGCCACATGGAAATGCTTCAAAATAACAGTAACTGTACATGGGAACAGTATTCCTTGCCAGCTGCTTATCGTCATGTGGAGGGTCTGTGCAAGCCAGTATCTGCCAGCGAGGTGCCACCCTGGCATCAGAGGTTCTCACCATGTGACAGGGCTGGAAAACATAAGCCGCCTTGCGCTTTGTCAGACCCACTCAACTGCATGGACCAGTTCCTCAATTACATCCAGTTGCCCCCAACTTCTACCCTGTGCTGAATCCTTCCTTGGTCTGATCCTGTAGCTCCCTATCACATCTTTTCTCTTCCAGTTCCCCTGCACCTTTCTTTCATAGGAACACAGGAAGCTGCCTTATACATAGGCCATTGCTCCATTTAGCTTAGTGGCAGTGCCTCTCCTGGGTTTCAGACGGGGCAATTCCCAGCCCTATGGGGAAATGTTGGGGTTGAACCTGGGACCTTCTGCATGCAAGGCAGATGCTCTACCACTGAGCTATGGTCATCCCCATGCCCCATCACCCACACCAACTTTTGTCCATGGGCCTTCCTTATTACAGCAAGTCTAGGGAGCTTGTCAGTGGGCCCCTGCTGGGGTATTGTGGGGAGGGCCCTCAACTGATGCCCAGACAGGCCAGCTCTTGATGCCTTGACAGTGGCCAACATTTATCACTTATCCCAGTCTCCATTTCTGACCCTTGCCTCTCCCTTCCTTTTTTTTGGCAGCACCGTCAGCTCATGAAGGACAGTTTCATGGTGGAGCTGGTTGAAGGAGCCCGTAAGCTGCGCCATGTTTTCCTCTTCACTGATCTGTTCCTGTGTGCCAAGCTCAAGAAGCAGATTGGAGGGTGAGGCTCTCCTGGGTGGGCTCCGTGTGAAGGACCATGTGTATACATTGCATAAGGGGGTGGGGAGGAAAATATTTAAGAAGAGCTGGGCAACTGCCAGGTGCAGCAAAGACAAAGCACCAAACTGGAGCAGAAGTGATCCTCCCAATGGAGAGGCCAGCCCTTGTTCTTCTCCAGCTCAGATGCCTCTGAACATGTGCAGGGTGCCTTTCCATTACCTCTGAGAAACTGCAGACAACCAGATTAGGAGGGAGGACTTCCACTTAAGAGGGTGCAACTGCCAAGCATGTTTGAGCTCCTCTTTGGTTTGGAACCTCCCAGATTGATTGCTGTCTGTGCTGCTGCATAGGGGCCTGCCCTTGGAAGCCGGAGCTGGCACAGAATCCAGCTTCTAAGTATGGCAGTGCTGGTGGTAGTACACCATCTAGCAGAAAGAGCATACGGTCGTACCTTGATTTTCGAACAGCTTAGTTCTCGAACGTTTTGGCTCCCGAATGTCGCAAACCTGGAAGTGACTGTTCCTGTTTGCAAACTATTTTTGAAAGCCAAATGTCCGACTGGCCTTCCATGGCTTCTGATTGGCTGCAGGAGCTTCCTCCAGCCAATCTGAAGCCGTGCTTTGGTTTTCAAATGTTTTGGAAGTCAAACGGACTTCCGGAACGGATTCTGTTCGACTTCCAAGGTACGACTGTATATGTCAGTCAGAGAGCCATGCACCTCCTCACACTGGCCGCTTCCATGGAAACCCAAGTTTATTTCCTTGCATTTCAACACATTTTTCCTGACTCGGGTGTTAGCATTCATCTCAGGAAAATGAACATGTGAAAGGCTTCCAAAGGCCAGATGCATTTTACAGCATTCTGGAAGGTGTTTAGGCAAGTTGTCAAAAGGAAAGATTCCTTTTGTAGTATGGGCCTGTAACGTTGGAATGCCTAAGGAAGGGAGCGGTTTATTTATTTATTTATTTTAAATAATATTTATTATTTTTCCAAAAACACTGAAAGAAAAAAGAAAAAAAAGAGAGAGGAAAAAAAAACAATACAATACAACACATCAAATTAACAAAACAAGACTAAGACAATAAAATACAGTGGTGCCTCGCAAGACGAAATTAATCCGTTCCGCGAGAGTCTTCGTCTAGCGGTTTTTTCGTCTTGCGAAGCAAGCCCATTGACGGATTAGCGCTATTAGCGCTATTAGCGGTTTAGCGGCTATTAAAGGCTTAAAGGCTTAGGGGATTAGCTGCTAAAAGGCTATCAAAGGCTTAGCAGATTAGATAAAGGGGGGGAAAGTGAAAAAAAAATCTCTAGACTCGCAAGGTATTTTCGTCTTGCGAAGCAAGCCCATAGGGGAATTCGTCCTGCGAAGCAACTTCAAAACGGAAAACCCTTTCGTCTAGCGGTTTTTCCGTCTTGCGAGGCATTCGTCTTGCGGGGCACCACTGTACCAATTTCATTATCCCATCTTTCATTCACTTATTTCCACGACCTCCTCACACCTCCCTTTTTGTATTCCACTTCTGTTAATTATTTCAGCAATTTCTTTCCATCCTCCTCTGTTTTCTATCCTATAATTATCTTAACTCATTCTAACCTTATTTTTTTCCTTTGATACTCTATTAACCTATCTGTACTTAATTCCTTATAATATTTCTACTAAAGCCATATAACTTCATTTCAACATTTTTCTAACATTCATTAATTTTACAATATTTCTGTAGATAATCTTTAAACCTTTTCCAGTCTTCTTCCACTAACTCCTCTCCCTGGTCTCGGATTCTGCCAGTCATTTCTGCCAGTTCCATGTAGTCCATCAACTTCATCTGCCAGGCAGGGAGCGGTTTACCCTGGCTAAACTTTGGGGCTGCTTCAGGGAGGAGGACATCGTCCTGCAAGTCTGTGGGGGCTAAGCTGCTTAAGGGGAGCAGAGGGGCAAGCTGGCTAACACTCTGCTTTCCTACTTGCAGGAAAAGCCAGCAGTATGACTGCAAATGGTACATTCCACTCTCAGACCTCAGCTTTCAAATGGTGGACGATTCAGAGGCAGTGCCGAACATCTCCCTTGTGCCAGATGAGGAGCTGGATGCTATGAAGATCAAGATTTCTCAACTGAAGAGTGACATCCAACGGGAAAAAGTAAAAGCAGAGGGGAGGAGGAGAATAAGAAATACGAATAGTGTTTGGCAGTTATATCTGTGCTACTGGCTCACATTTACGCCTCCCCCACCCCTTTTCAGGGAGCAGCTGCCAGTACTGCTACCCCACCACTAATTGCTCAGCTAAGCATTCCTGCAACGAAACAGCCTTCCCAGTCATGCTTGGGTTGTGCTCAGCCCAGTCATATGGTATGAAGAGCCCCATGCACATTCCTGAACTGTACCAAAGGCAATATAGTGTGAGAGGCTTTCTGCTGTAGGAAAGATTGGCTACACTTTGAGCCAAACTCAGAATTAGGGATGGTCCACTTCGAGCATCCAGAAGAGTGAACACTGTTTAGCTGCTGCCTCGAGCTCACATCCTTCTCACCGAATGGCTGAGTGGTGGTGGTGCTAGTAGCAGTGGCAAGAGCAGGCAATGATGAGCGTGGAGCTCTCACTGGGGGTATCCTCCACTCCTTCCCTAGCACCCATGTGAGTGAGGGCTGCTACAGCTGCCAGGGGAGTCCCTTTCACATGTTTGTCATTCCAGAAGCCCTGAGATGGGCAGTTTCCAGGCTGGGTTGTAGGAGCAGAGTTCTGGGTTAAGGATGTAGGTGAGGGTCACATGGGCAGGAAGCATAATGCCAGATAGAGCATAGGCACCATTATTATTATTATTATTATTATTATTATTATTATTATGCTTGTTAATTGCTTTATACAATTAACTCAGAGCAACTTGCAAATAGCAAAAGGCGCAATAAAACATATGAAAAACAAAATAATTAAAAGGTAATCGAGCCATGAAAACAATCTCTCCATCCCCTAAGAGAAGTCACACCACCCTAAAGAGCCCCCAAAGGAATACCGCCAAGAGCTGCAAAGGAAAACGCACACTCAAATAGAAGAGAAACACCTTTGCATGGTGCCGAAAATATGTCTGTGCCAGTGCTAGGCAAGCCTCCCTGGGAAGAGAATCTGATAGTTAGGGGGCTACTACTGAAAAGGCTCATTGCTTTGTTGGCATGGGCAACTTTGCATGGGGAAAGATATTCCTTGGGGTCCTGAACCATGTAAGGCTTCATAGGTTAAAACCAGTACCCCCACTTCTGGTTTAAGGAACCTAAATATTGAGATTCTTGTGAACCTCATGTTCCTGCATCTGTTGAGTTGTAAAAGAACATGATCTCATTACCTCTTGGGTTTTTTCCTTCCTCAGAGGGCTAATAAGGGCAGCAAGAATATGGAGAGGTTGAAAAAGAAGCTTTCGGAGCAGGAATCCTTGCTTCTACTGATGTCTCCTAACATGGCATTCCGAGTGCATAACCGCAATGGCAAGGTGAGAGGCCTTGTGGGCATCTCAGCTCACTGGCAAAGAATGGGGTCTGAATGGGGCTGAAAAGAGGAACCATGAGAGGTGGAGTTTTGTTCATGGCGTCTTGCACATGCCGCATAAAAACTGAGTGAACAGAGTATGCCTGTTGCACACTTAGTGCTCACTACAGAAGCAGCAAAATGAATCAATGGCTGCTTTCATTTTTTATTGTTATTATTATTTATTAAATCTGTATACTGCCCTGCATCCGAAGATCACAGGGTGGTTCACAACAGAAAATTTACTCCCATAGTATAATGAATGCAAAAAAGACCATTATCTCTGAAGCTGAAGGCTGGCAAATTAGAACATTAAGCCCAGCTGCTGGTTAATGGCACAGGATCTTGTGATCTTTTGGGAGCTCTTTGTAATTGAATAGAATATGGGCAGAGCTGATGGCAGGCTGTGTAAACCCTTGCAAGGGAAACAGACTCTGGATTAAATGCTCTGTGCACTTTGTACCCTCAAAGACAGATGGCTTTGTTGACGTCATGCAAGTCTTAGCTGTTAATGTTGACACTGTTGAGACCTTCACCAAGATTTTCCAAACACAGGGAACTATTTTCTTCACATGTCATGAAATATATGCATTTATATAAAAAAAAATTTCAACACTACCTGAAATGAACAACCTGGCAAGAAGGCAAGCGTTCAAATGGCTGGTTTCTTTTGTTTGGGGAAAAAAGTTCATCAGCCTAAAAAAGGAAGAACAGAAAATTATAACCAGATTATTTCTTTTTTAAGAAAAGACAAAAGACTGTGTAGCACTGTGCATTTAACAGACCAACAGGTGAAAGGTTATTTTCACTGTACAGTGGTACCTCGGATTAAGAAGTAAATTCGTTCTGGAGGTCCGTTCTTAACCTGAAACTGTTCTTAACCTGAGGTACCACTTTAGCTAACGGGGCCTCCTGCTACTGCTGCGCTGCTGCTGCACGATTTCTGTTCTAATCCTGAGGCAAAGTTCTTAACCCAAGGTACTATTTCTGGGTTAGTGGAGTCTGTAACCTGAAGCGTCTGTAACCCGAGGTACCACTGTACTGTGAATGGTCACATATACCCCTAAGACACCAAACCTCAGGACATCATTCCTAGATGGTACAACTCAATGGCTGCTTGAGCCAAAACTTGTAGAGGATGACACATGAAGTTGATTTTTACTGTCCAGGAAAATGCCGTTAGTCTTGCAGAAAATTAAATAAAAATTGGGTGGCAGGGATATATGTTGGCTGTATTATGAACTTTGTATAATCTTATTTTAACACTTTAGATTGTTCTTTTTGTACATAATTTAACTGTTGGATAAGGCAATATAAAATAAATAATCCTTGGGCCTCTTTTTGTCTGTCACTCAGAGTTACACATTCCTCATCTCATCTGACTACGAACGGGCAGAGTGGCGAGAGATCATCCGGGAGCAGCAGAAGAAATGTACGTGCCTATGCTCTGACTTCCCTAGGTGTGACTAACAGGCATCCTGGGCTTGGAGAAATCAGAGGGGGGATCTTGGGGCTGACCCTTCTGCATGTCTAAGGCTGAACATGCCACTCTTCTGTGAGAGGGTAGCCGAATGTCCCATGTGTAGATGTGCGGACCTTTCTTGACTGTGGTCTGGGTCAGATACAGATGTGTTTCTGTGAATCAGCACCTTCCAGGTGCTTCCCCTCCACTCCAGTGAGACCCCAAGGATGGGGACTCCCAGCATGCTGTCCACATGTAGGAAGAAACTTCTACAGTTCTGTGCTCAGTATTGTTGCAGTGATGCTACCTAGTCCAGCCATCATTCCCAGTAAGGAGCAGGTAACTTGTTGAGGGAGATCTCCAGGTTTATTAGAAGAGGGCCTTTCCTCTGTGAGAAAAGGCTTCTGCATGATTCCCACATGTGGCAAATCGTTTGGTAGGAGTTGGCTATCTGCTTGACTTTTTCTAGGATAACCGGGAATCGTAGTATTCTATTCCCAGGATCATTCCTGAGGATCCCTTGTAGATGTCTTTGTGGCAATAATACTCAAAGCAAAGAGGTCAGCATTACCGGCCTACACCTTTCTTCCCAAGTTTGCAGGAAATTAAAAACCCATTCTCCTCTGAACTGTAGGTTTCAAAAGCTTCTCGCTGACTTCGGTGGAGCTCCAGATGCTGACAAATTCCTGTGTGAAACTTCAGACTGTGCATCACATCCCCCTCACGATAAACAAAGAAGGTGAGAACCCTGGAACCAATTGGCCTCATCTGCCATTGCTCTTGACTATCTTGCCTCCAACAGTGGGCAGCACTCAAAGGGACGATTTCCAAGTGGCTGCTAGTGTCTAATGTGTGTGTTGGATCTATACCATTGCATACCAATAAAAGTACACAGTCCCAGTTCACTTCCCAGGCATAGGCATGGAGCCAGCCACCAGCTTTAGTCGTCGTAATGGTGAAAAACAGTGTCTTAAAAAGGCAGTGGCTCACTCTCAGTCCAGAAGCCTTTTTCATGCTCCCTAGATTTTGGGATGTTGCGTAGTCTAATTTCTTATGCTCAGAGCTATAAACATTATGAAACTAAATTTCCATAGATTATGGAGCAGATCTTTTCCCCAAGCCACAATAACATACATAGAAGGTTGTTAAATCTGGGATAAATGCGCTTACAGTCTTTAAACATACACATTCACGCCACAGAAATTGAATTTAACAGATATAGGGGGATTTAATCTGTCTTTCCCACTGAACTCCCAGAGCCAGTTTAACTATCACATTTATATGTTTTTAACACAGATGATGAGTCCCCTGGTCTCTATGGGTTCCTGAACGTCATTGTCCACTCAGCCAGCGGCTTCAAGCAGAGCTCAAGTGAGTGGTAGTTGCATGGTAGCTGTGTGTGAATGCAAAGAGCTGGATTACCGTCATGCTCAGTATGATTTGGTGGTGCAGCTAGCAACCAAATGAAAGCACCACTCTGGATTCAAGCAGGCCTCTGGTTGCCCACAGGGAGACGCTGCTGCTGCTGCTGCTGCTGCTGCTGCTGCTATAACAATGGAACATAATGTTATAGAAGTGGATGGGAGACCCTGAAGAGTTGCAGCCAGTCAGTGTAAACAGTTCTGAGCTAGATAGACCAAATGCTCTGTCTTGGTTTAAGGCAGCTGCTTCCTATACTCCTTTGTTGTCTGGCTTCTTGCACAGCCCAATCAATGCACTTTCTCTCTGCAGCTATATAGCTGGCACACATATGAAGGTGGTTGTCGCAACACACCTAGTTGGCATTTTTGTGGCGGTCAGGAGAGTTGACCTTTGGAGGGCTCAAGGGATGGGTGGCCAGCTGGTCTCCCATCTGGCCAATTCAGCCTATGCCGCTGTCTGCTGTGGGTGTGTTTCTCTATGGGGAGTCTATCCTGGAAGCCTTTTAAAATGCACAGTGGTGACAGCTTGGTGACTGACGCCTGGCATGTTAGGAAGGTCTTCTACGACAGAATGAAATTTAATAAATTCTTCCATCGTTTGAGGTTGGGTTTTACAAATCAACCTTGTGGGATAATTGTCAGGCATGAGAATGAGCTTGCAATATAATCTTTACCTTGGAGTGGTTCTGGAAACTGAGACACTTGAGGAGAGAAGAGCAGTCTGCTGGACTATATGGAACTGGCGGAAATGACTGGCAGAATCCGAGACCAGGGAGAAGAGTCGGTGGAAGAAGACTGGAAAAAATTTAAAGACTATTTACAGAAATATTGTAAAATTAATGAATGTTAGAAAAATGTTGGAAGGAAGTTATTTAGTAGAAACGTTATAAGGAATTAAGTATAAATAGATTAATAGAGTATTAAAGGAAAAATAAGGTTAGAATGAGTTAAGATAATTATAGGATAGAAAACAGAGGAAGATGGAAAGGAATTGCTGAAATAATTAATAGAAGTGGAATACAAAAAGGGAGGTGTGAGGAGGTCGTGGAAATAAGTGAATGAAAGATGGGATAATGAAATTGTTTGATTTATTTTATTGTTTTTGTTTTGTAATGTTAGTTTAATGTATTGCATTGTATTGTCTTTTTAGTGTTTAAATTTTTGGAAAAGTAATAAATATTATTTTTTTAAAAAAAGAGAAGAGCAGTCCTCATCCTCAAAATATCAGGTGTCAGCAGAGACCACCATGGAACTGAAGGAAGCACCCTACGCTCCAAAGTGTAGATCACTGTTGCATGGACTAACCAGCAGTCAGATTGAGTGTGAGCACATGGTCTGACCCAGCTGACCAAGGAAACTGCAAGAGATGCTGGTGACCCTAACCGAGCCATTGCTTCTTTGTCTTCCTCCTCCTAGACCTCTACTGCACTTTAGAAGTGGATTCCTTTGGGTACTTCGTGAACAAGGCAAAAACGAGAGTTTACAGAGACACAGCAGAGCCCAACTGGAATGAGGTAGGCTGCAGTGGTGCTCTGGGCTTCCTCTGATCACCACCTCTCATAGAGTCTTTGACAAGAGGAGGCCAGTGGCTCTGTTTGTACAGATTTAAAATGCTTTCTCCTTATGTGGTGCTTCAGGGAGGTTCCTGTATGTTCCTGTAGGAGATTTTTTGTCATGGCCTGCTCCTAATAGGATGGGACCTTCATCTTACTGCCACTGTCTGCGTACAAATGGTTCCAAGACCCATTTGAAAAGTGGTCATAACGAAATTCAGCTGTCTAATTTGGTGGCCAAGTGTGGCAGTGCCCTTGTGGTCCCCTCCCATTTGTTTCAGTAAAGGGGGGGAGAGAGAATTATCCTTTTGGATTTCCCCCTCTATAGGCATCAAACTGTTTTGATCTAAATCCACCTCTTTAAAAATTCAGCAGGAGAGCATAGTGAGTCTTAGATGTGAATGCCACAGTTGCATCTTGTATGTGGACAGAGTCCCATCAGAGGAAAAAGCAGGGTATAAATAAATAATATAAAAACAACAACAACTGACCACCATCACAACTGACTTGCAGCATTAACTGAGTGGGGAAAGTTCAAGGCCAATGCTGGGGCTTGCTTAGAGTGGTTGATCTTGGGCTGTATCCCTGAGGGCTGCTTTTGAGTAACAGTGAATCAGGCAGCTCCGTTGAATTTGTTTTGAATGACTTATGAAAGTGAAGGGGAAAGTAGCCAGAAGCAGAACAGTCTCTCTTTTGAGAACTGGGCAGTGGCACAGCTTGCAAGAGCAGCTGCCTCTATTGCTGTTTTTTATTCTAGTACAGCCTTCCTCATCCTGGTTCCCTATAGATATTACGGACTACAATTCTCATCAGCCCCAGCCACTATGGATGTTCTGTCTGGGGATGTTGGGAATTGCACTCCAAAACATTTGAAGGATGCCAAGATGGAAAGGGCTGCACTAGAGGGTTTCAGTGTTCTTATTTAGAGACCTGTTACAATAGTTTAGCTCATCAAGATTTTTATTTTGTTTAACAAAGTGTACATGCCACTTATTCTGTGGAAAACCTCTAAGTAGTTTACAAAATATCTTTCCTCAGGAAATATGGAAGTTGCAGTATCTTTCCTGGCAAAGCCAAGAATTTGTCTCCCTCTGGAACAGACCCAAGGATGTGACAGTCATCCTTCACATATGTCTTATGGTCTAGTCCTCTCAAAGGTCTTTTATGTCCATGCTTTAATTGTATTTTACAATTAAATTTAATTGTATTTTACAATTGTAATTTACTTGTAATTAATTGTATTTTACAATTAATTGTATTTTTAAGTTTTTAATACCTTTCTTTGTTTCATATTGCATTTTTTATTGCTGCCTTTCTTATGTTAGGGGGAGGCTCCATAAGTTTAGTTAATAAAAAGCCCACCTCCCATTGCCAGCAAAGTGCACAACCCCCTCCTTGGGCAACTATCTTATAGATTATGCAGACAGAAAGCTGTTTTGATTGCGCAGAAGTTGTTAGTTCTAACTCCCAAGGTGGAAAACAGAATGACAAAATCTTCAGGGTGCCCTTTCATGATTTCCCAAGAAATCTCTGTGATGTTAGGACTTTGAGAGCCACAGCATGGGCAGTCAGTGTGGTGCCTGCCAGATGTTGTTGGACTACAGAATCATCTATCATCTTTGGCCATTGGCCATGCTGACTGGGGCTTATAGGAGTTGTCCAAAGCATCTAACTATCCTTGCTATGAAGAGTGAATCTCGACTAACTCAACTGCTGTTCTCCTGCTGCAGGAATTTGAGATAGAACTGGAGGGTTCACAGACACTGCGAATCTTGTGCTACGAGAAGTGTTACAACAAAACCAAGCTTACCAAAGAAGATGGAGAGACCACAGACCGAATCATGGGCAAAGGCCAAATCCAGGTGGGCTGTTGGAATATATACCTTTGTAAAGGCAAGATGGCCATGTTTCTTTAAAGCATAGGGTCAGGAACAGGAGGCCTTCCAGATGTTGGACTCCAACCCCCATTGACCCAACCCAGAATGGCCAATGGCCAGTGGTGATGGGAACAACATCTGGAGGGTTGCAACTTCCCCATCCCTAATTTAGAGCATCATATCTGTACAGGATATCTGGGCTCCATGTGCATTGATCCACAACCCGTAAAAGGCAAAATGGGAGCAGCCATGGCCACACAGAAAGGTGGTGAGAAGCCCAATGTAGTAATGCTGGCTGGGGCTGATGGGAGTTAGAGTCCAAAACTTGTGGAGGGCACCAGCTTGGGGAAGACTGCAGTAAGAAGTAAACGGAGAGGAGTGACTGAAAGCAGGCTACCACCCCTGTTTGGAGGACATGCTCATCTGAATAAACTACTTACCATATTTTTTGCTCCATAGGGCGCACCTAGTTTTTAGGGGGGGAAATAAAGGGGAAAAAATTATTCCCCCCCCCCAGCCCCAAAGAGCAAAGAAGCCAAGACAGCCAGCGGGACTCGCTGTCTTGGCTTTGTTTTTAGCCGCGGGGCTGGGGCGGGGGAAGCCCGAGCTGCCGCTCCCGGAACTTGCGGGGCTGGGGGGGCGCTACGAAGGTTTGCAGATAGCTGCCTGAAGCCCAGGGAGTGCAGCGGGAGTTGGCACTGCGCTCCCCGGGCTTCAGGCTGCTATCCGCAAGCCTTTGGAGCCCGGCGGGAACTCCCGCTGCGCTCCGAAGGCTTGTGGATAGCTTCCTGAAGCCTGGAGAGCGAGAGGGGTCGGTGCACACCGACCCCTCTCGCTCTCCGGGCTTCAGCGAAAGCCTGCATTCGCTCCATAGGACGCACACACATTTCCCCTTCATTTTTGGAGGGGGAAAAGTGCGTCCTATAGAGCGAAAAATATGGTAGGTGCTTGATTAGCCTTTGTCTTTTCAAAGCCTGCCCTTGAGAAAATCTAGTCTTCTTTCTTTGGAACTTGTAAGACCTCTAGATGATGTCAGACATGAAGTTTTCCATCCCTCTCTCTGCTAGAGCTGGGTATAAATTATTCTTGCTTAACTATCCAATTGTGTGTTGCTAATCCGCTATTATCTTGACTGGAAATCTCACCCTCTCACTTCTGGGATTTGTGAATCATGCAGCTCTTTGTATCGTGGTGAATGCAGTGACCCTTGGTGACTAGAGCTAGGACTGTTTATTAGCTTTACCTCTCTCTCTCTGTGTGTGTGTGTGTGTGTGAGAGAGAGAGAGAGAGAGAGAGAGAGAGAGAGAGAGAGAGAGGCTGATTGAATAGGAAGGAAAGCCATCAACTGACTCTGTGTTTGTTAAAGCACGGCTGTTTTTCACAGAAGCAACAGGCAGCAAATTAATGTTTCCTGTTCCATCATTTGGTCTCTCCGTCTCTGGAAAATGAGCAGCTCTTTTCTTTTGTTGGGGTTTACGGTTTCTTTCCTGGAGGTTTCCGTAGAATGTTTACATTGGAATTTGGAAAAGGTTTTGCTTGGAATGTAATTCTCTTAAAGACCTCCAGCTTTTCATTCATGCTACAAATTGAAGCTACTTGCTGTCACTCTGCATTTATTTTAGGTATGTCACTTCCTGTAGCATTTGATGTCACTGTTAAAGTGAAATCCAAGGTGTGTTCTATGTGTTCCTTCAGTTTTTAATCTCATTTTGCAGAATACAGTGGTACCTCTGGTTGTGAACGGGATCTGTTCTGGAGGCCCGTTTGCAACATGAAAAGCCCGCAACCTGAAGCACTGTATCTGCGCGGGTGTGCGGCGCGATTTGGCGCTTGTGCGCATGCGGCAAAACCCAGAAGTAACCCTTTCTGGTACTTCCGGGTCGCCGCGGGACACAACCTGAAAAAAACGTAACATGAAGCAAACGTAACATGAGGTATGACAGTACATAGCCCACCTACTGGACCTCTTAACTTCTTACCTGGCACATTTGCACATATACTCTCTGATGGAGTAGAACCCTGTGAAAGCTTCTGTCATATCTGTTATGGTAATAAGAACAGAAGACGATCCCTGATGCTGGGCAAAGTAGGCCCTGTCTAGTACAGAATCCCATTCTCACAGTGGTGAACCATATGCCCATGGGAAGCACCCACGCAGGACTTGGGTACAATAGCAATCTCCCAACTGTTTATTCCCAGCCACCATATATGGAGGCATACTGCTTCTGATACTAGAAACAGAACATAGCCATTGATAGCCTTTATGAGTCTTCCAGGTGCTACAAGATTCTCTGATATTTTTGCAGCAAAATTGAGGCCTTGCATATTTCTTGGTTTTCTGTCATTGTGTCACAGCAACAAATGCTGATTGCTTTACAAGAAATGAAAGCCAGTCCCTTCCCACTGATAGTGAAGTGCTTTGCTGTCATGTCGTTAGGGCACTTTGAATGGATAAGTCCCTTTACCTTCTGGAAGGGGACCAGCACTGATCAAAACAGCTCCCTTTTGTTTACTGCTCTATCATGGCATGGTTACCTTGGGGGTGCTCTTAGGAATGGGTTTGATGTGCAAACTGTTGCTCTGTTCCCTGCCTCTGTTTCCCTCTGGCCATGGCTTCTTTCTTTATCTAAGCACCCCAGACAAAATTTCCAGGGAAGGGGAAGCCAGGCAGGAACTCTAACATGGTACAGTTGTACCTTGGATCTTGAACACCTTTGCTTCCGAACAAATCAGCTCCCGAACGATTGAAACCCAGTTTTTGAATGTTCTTTTGGAAGCCGAACATCCAATGGGGTTTTTGTAGCTTCCGATTGGCTGCAGGAGCTTCCTGCAGCTAATCGGAAGCTGCGCTTTGCTTTCCTAACGTTTTGGAAGTTGAATGGACTTCCATAATGGATTCCGTTCGACTTCCAAGGTATGACTGTATTGTGATTATAGCAGAACACTGATGGGAGGAAGGGTAGTCATCCTGAGCATTTGCATGCTACCTGCATCCCTAACCTCTCTTTGTGGGAGGCCTACTCAGCTTATCAGTCAAGAGCTGCTTCTGCAGGAGAGGAGACAAGCCTGGGGATGCATACCTGACAGCAGCAAGATACCTGACACACAAAGGCAGCATGTAAATCTTGGAGAAGCCTCTCCAAAGACACTGCAGACATCATTGGGGACTTAATGGGTTGTGTAGACCACCAACGCGGTGTCTTTCCTTGGTTGGTTATAGTGCCTTGCAGATTTCCTGGTCAAATTAAGAACTCTTTCCCACTAAATCAAACTTTGCCGGCCTTCAGCTGCTTTGGCCTCCAACTCCCACGCAGCACGACTGTATGCTAGGGCTCATAGGAGCATTACTGTACTGCCTGAGGCTGATGGGAGTTCTAGTTCAAAACTGCTGGAGGGTACCAGATTGAAGAAGGCTGCATTAAATCAACAAGGGAGTAGCTTTGCAGAAAGTGTACATACTCCTCTTGCTGTTCAGCAGAACCCAGATGGTGCAACGTTGGTGATCTAGATGTGACACTAGCTCCTAGCTTCAAATTCATATTTTCAGCAGTCATATTTATTTGTACCTTGATAAAGTCTCTAACTGTAGGATTAGCAAGAGCTCTATTCAGTAGTTCTACTTCAGCAAATTTTCTACTTGTCTTTCCAGTTCACACTGTGGTCTTCAGCCCCTAAAATATCTGCATTTCGTTGCCAAGATTTCTTCTAGCAGTATCTTTCAAATCTCATTTTGCAGTTTAACATAAGCAAGTGAGCAGATTTTCTGGCATGTATAGATCTTTCTAGTATCTCTTTGGCGATTGTTGGTTTTTCAGAGTACATGCTGCAATAGAGTCTGAGAATGTCTGTGTGGGTAGAAACATAGCTATCTCAGCATTCCATAACTGGACTAATAGTATCTTTGACTTGTTACTACCGAGATTAAATGGACACATGCATTTTAATCCCAATTCTTCATGATTTTGGTAGCATACAGGGTCCTCCTTTTTGAGAAAGAGCCAAAGGTGCTTGGGGTTCCTTGGCTACAAGTTAACAATCTAGATACTTTTTATCTTCAATCCTGACAACGGCATTGTGGTCTGTGAGATGAAGAAGCCCTCTCACAAAGCCAGCTGGCATGCGGATTTCAATTTGGGGCAATTGCAAGACTTGCCATGTAGTAGCAGAAAAGTGAACATGTGAATTCACCCAAATGCATGCATGGTGTCAGTGGTGCACCATTGTGATTTTGCCACTGCTTTGTTGCAGGGAAATCATGGTGTCCATGCAGAACAGTTGTCCTCCACACGGGTGATTCAGTCACACTATAAACAGGATTAAAAGAGTGACATTTATGTCTGTTAAAACTGTTTGCTACCCACTTTTTTGTTTTTATTTCCAGACTGGCTGGCTAGTCTGCCTTTCCCCACTGCACCACCCTTGTTGATCATGTAAGCAGCTTGTCTGGCCAGCTTGGAATGGCAAAGCTGCTATTACGGAATGTAATTCATTTAAACATATCCTTCCTGTTGTATCTTCGTCATTCCTCCCAGTGGCCTTATCAGGGCTGATATTTCCTCCTCCAATGGGCCAGTTAAATATTTTTTTCCCCAAATATTTTTTTAGCTGCTTCTTGTTTAGGTTCTTTAATAGAAGCACAATACTAGACTGCTGGTAAATTACTCTACATTGGGTGATTATTTTTTAAAGGGGGAGGACCCGTCACTCAATGGCGTTAGAGCATATACAGTGGTAACTGGGATGTGAACAGGATCCATTCCGGAGCCCCATTCGCATCCTGAACAGAACGTAAGATGTGACTGCGCATGAGTGGGTCACGTTTTGCCACTTCTACGCATGTGTGTGACGTCATTTTGAGTGTGTGCGCATGTGCGAGCGACGAAACCCGGAAGTAACAGAGCATGTTACTTCCGGGTTGCCGCAGAGTGCAACCCGAAAGCGCTCAACCTGAAGCACATTCAACCCGAGCTATGACTGTACTTTTATTTAATTATTACATTTATATTCCACCTTTCCTCCATGGATCTGGCATGGATGCTTTAGTTGAAATTCCTGCATTGCAGGGGATTGGACTACATAACCCTTGGGAACATTCTAACTCTACAATTCTATGATTCCAAGGAGCCCAGGGTGGTGCGCATGCTTTTTCCTCTCCTTTCTGCAGCCTGGTGCCCTCCAGATGGCATTGGGGGGGGTTGATCCTTGGGTCCCTTTCAACTCTATGATTCTAAAGCACATTTAGATGGCATCTACGCATATACACGAGCATTTTGAACTGGGAAAGACTTCTTGAAAAAGAGATGGACTTTTTCTGAGTGCTTGCTGGGAGAGCTCATAAATACAAAACTGATTTCAGAATGAATTGAATGAAACTCTTCCGTCAGTAGTTTAAAAAACATTGAGTCTTGCATTCTTGCATTGAGTCTTGTATTCGTGCTCTGCTGCTGGATGCAAGAAGGTGGCACTTGTTGTGTAGAAGTACCATTTCCTTCCATAGGTGGCACTTCATGCCTAACTTTGGAATCTCTGCCCTCATCCCAGACAGCTTTTACCTGTTGAATCCCCAAAGAATACATCAGGCAGCATTTTCACTTATTTATGTAGAAGATTCACCACCACCCCAGGTTTTCGTTTTTCATAAAAACTCAAAGTGACTTACAGTAAAACATGCCTGTTTTAGACAAGAGTTGCATTTTAGGTTCTGCAACTTTATATGGCACAGAAGTACAGGACATGAGCAGCAGGTGAATTGCATCTTGAGTCTGGGTTGGCTGTTCCCACTGTGAGAATGGTGTTGTGAAGGGCTATCCATGTCAGCTCCAGAAAGCAGTCGCATGGGGGTGGAGGTGAGCTCAGTAGTTCCACAAAGGAAACCAGATACTTCAGAAGCCATTTCCTCTCAATTCTGGGAAAATACAAAGCTTGTTAAGGGAAAATTCTGCCTCCCTTCCCATAAACTCTTTTGGGAAGGAAAAACAAACACCTCATTGGAACCTTGGCTGCCCAAACTGAAGTGGGCAGGTCCTCCAGGAAGAATATTCTCATTATAAAGCCCCTGGCAGAGCAAGAGTAGACTTAGAGGGACAACACTGGGCTTCAGAGCACAATAAGAGCACACGGCACAGTAAGAGATGTGGGAACTGCTGATGACCCACTCCACCACTCAGGGAGTCTTCAAGCATTTCTGCTACTGCTGTAGCTGCAGGACTCTGCTGGATTTACCGAAGAAATGTACACATAACAGAAGCCACACTCTGTGGCCCCGAGTCTGTGGCAGAGTGCTACAAGGAAAGGTTGGCTTTACTCTTACATTCATTCATTCAGTCATTCATTCTCTCTCTCTTTCTCCCCACCCTCCGCCTTCCCATTGCTTTGTGCTGTATGTGTGGATAGAGAAACTGCTTCCACTTATTAGCAATAATAGTGGGGTCTCAACAGACAGGGGCAAAGGGCTAATTTTCACAAACAGCAAATGAAGTGGTGAACCTGTGCCTGGACTGTGCCACTTCAGGATTTAAGTGGGGCCTCAGATTGTTGAATGCTCCTCCCTTTACAAAAAAAAATAAATAAATTCCTTGCATGTTGAAAACTTTCTAGCTGTTTTCCTGACATGCTAGTTTTATGGGCCTATGGAATTTTTATGTGTGGAAGAGCATTATCATACAAACACACCCAACGAAGCTGCAGTCATCTGAGTGGCATAATTCAGAGACAGGTTTACAACTTCACCTAGGCCCGAGAGAGGAGTTGACCCTGAATCCCTAAAACTGATTTGGGGGCAGGCCAGAGGCAGGCTGATGAACAAGCCCAGCAAACCAGAATTGGTACCATGGACTCTGCTAGAAAACCTCCACCGGCTGGTCAGACAGACGTGTGTATTGTGTGCATTGAAATTTTTCTGATAAGGATAAAGGTATGTGTTGAATGTATTTGCTTAGCTTTGCAAAACTATGCTGCTTTCATGACTTTCGTTGTCAAACTTTCTGGAATCTTTTTTTCTCATGCAGAAGAGGGTGACGGATGACAAATGGTCTGAAAGGGCACTGAGGAATTTCTAAATCAGCCTTCCCCAACCTGGTGCCCTCCAGCAGTTTTGGACTACGGGGGCAGTTTGGAGCTATAGCACAAAACAGCTAGAGGGCATCAGACTGGGGAAGACTGTTCTAGGGTATTCATGTTGAGAACTGTTGCGGTCTATAATTTTGCTATTTGTTTTAAAGGACAAGCTAGCAGGATTCTCCTGATATCTCTGATCCTGCAAATATGTGACCTGCATACCGGTCTAATTAAATTTGGCTCCCAGTACGTTTCCGAGCACAATTCAAAGTGTTGGTGCTGACCTTCAAAGCCCTAAATGACATTGGCCCAGTATACCCAAAGGAGTGTCTTCACCCCCATTGTTCAGCCTGGACACTGAGGTCCAGCTCTGAGGATCTTCTGGTGGTTCCCTCACTGCGAGAAGTGAGGTTTACAGGGAACCAGGCGGAAGGCCTTCTTGGTAGTGGCACCCGACCTGTGGAACACCCTACCATCAGATGTCAAGGAAATAAAATAACTTATCTGACTTTTTGAAGACATCTGAAGGCAGCCCTCTTTAGGGAAGTTTTTAATGTTTTAAGTTTTATTCTGTTTTTAGTCCTCTGTTGGGAGCTGCCCAGAGTGGCTGGGGAAACCCAGCCAGATGGGCAGGGTATAAATAATAAAATTATTTGACTAATTTATTTAAGACAATACAGTCACTTTGGCCTCTGCACCTGATTGCTAACTCACTAATAACTCTCCATTTTTCAGCTGGATCCACAGACATTGCAAGATAAAGACTGGCAACGCACTGTCATATTAATGAATGGAGTAAGTACAGACAATTCTAAAATGCAAGCTGGCTGCTCCTGACTGTTCCGTTCTGGATTGGATTTTCAGGTCGTGTGCTCCTGGTGACTGAAGACCCATACTCAAATGTTGTTGTAACATCTGCACACACATGCAGATGATGATATAAAACACTGACAGCAAGCTGCTTGCCAGGCCTGTGCAGCTGTTTACATGCCTGCTGAGGAGCCAGCTTTATAGATTGTTCCTTGCGTGGGTGCAGTCTCCATTAGCACACAGATACAGAGCAGCTTTGAGGATTCAATTGTTGCATAGGAACAGCATGTATAAATTTTCTATGTTGGAAATTCTGCCTTTGTATCGCCCATACTGCCAAAACACATAAGCTCTCTGTTAACAATCTGCACTTCTCCTGGATGCGGAAGATAGGAGAGTTTTATTTCTAATGCAATAATGTTACAGAGGATCTGGACGTATGCAGAATATGCACATCCTGTTCCTGGTGCAGCAACAGACCACCCTAGCTGTCTTTGTAGTCATGCAGGCTGCTTCTTGCACAACAAGGCCTTTCTCTGAAGCCTCAAAGCACTCAGCCTTATTAAATTGGCACCTTGACTATTTGGTCCTATTGACGCCTGGTGTGGAAAATCAAAACAACACTCACAACTGTGTGCCCTTGCAGGCACTAATTTTTAACAAAGGGGACGACAATGCACTCTGGAATTCTCCTCTGCAATTTTCACTGAAATGAATGGGAATGGCAGTGGCTTGTATTGGAGGACTTCTCAGCAGATCAAATGCCCGCCAGCGCTCAGAGCTGCCTGTCTGTAATCACTGAAGTCCTGTTCTCCCTTTTAAAATATATGCAATGTTTGCATAGTTTTTTGACAAAGAATGGCACATAGTGGAATCTATTTAGAACGGGCATCTGTGTACACTGTCTCTTCAATGAGCTGTATTAATAAGCTCCAGTTAACCAGATAAAAGTGGTTTAGTTGGGGAAACTACTTCAGATGAAATAGTAATTATTTCAGACATAAGTAGTTTTGAAGAACATTAAAATCTTATGCATCATGTAAAATCTTCTTTGACCCTCAGTTACAAGTTGTTGCTCACTGTGGTGTTAATGCTACTGAATACAGAAGTCTCTCTGCTCATTGAATATCAAATGAGACTTGCTGTCTGAATATTGTCTCTTCCTAGTGAGCATGGATAAGCTGCACATTATGCATAGCTGCTATTATTTATATACTTTATATTCTGCTTTTCACGTTGCCATGTACTTGGAGAAGCTAACACGTTTTCTTTTAACAAACAGTAAACCACATGTAAAATAAAACAAAAACAAACTGAGAAATGAAAATTTAAAGTAGTAATAAAAGCAGCTGTAAGACCCCTTACCTTAAGAGATTTTACCGAAACAATTCTAACTGTAAACTCCAGAAACAAAATTTTGCAAGTGTAAGGCTAAAAACAGGGATGGCTAACCTGTGGATCTCAAGATATTGAGCCTCAGTGATTGTGGGAGTTGTAGTCCAGCAACATCTGAAGACCCACTTTTTAGGCTCTCCTGGCCTAAAATCTTAGAAAAGTCTGGTTGACTTTCAGTTTGTATTAGACTCCACATTTCTTTCCACATTAGCTTTGTTATTTCTACCCCCTTTGACATTTTAGTTTATTGTTTTGAAGTGTTAGAAGACTCTGTTTGTAATCACAAGAGACTAATGTGGTATGTAGTTGAGAAGGGGGTGCACTGTTCTGTGTAGTTTTCCCAAGGGAAAGCAGTTTACATGGAGTATGAAAGTAACTCAGTCTGACTGCGGAGCTCAGAACAGAGCAGGTCACCCAGCTGATGATCCAAACCCCTGTGCTATTCATTGTTACTCCTTGTGACTGTTTTTGAATGAGAGAAATCCAACAAGAATTTCTGTTGTTGGAAAGAGTAGCTATGAATCTCCTTTTTCTTCAAGGTTGAAGTGAAGCTGTCTGTGAAGTTCACCAGTAGAGAGTTCAGCTTAAAGAGGATGCCCTCCCGCAAACAAACAGGCGTATTTGGAGTAAAGATCGCAGTGGTCACCAAGTGAGTTATTTCATTATTTTTTCTTTTTAATCCAGGGTTTTTCCTTAAGGCCTTTCGCCTGACCTGACAGTGAACAAAAGTTAACACGTATAATTTGCCTGTTTTCTAACATAGTTTTGAGGGGAGGGGGAAGTATCTGTATTGCAAGCTGCATCATCTTCATTGAGAGCTGCATAAATCTGCTTGGAACCCAAGTTTGTTTACTTTGAACATCATGTGCTATGCCGTGCTCCGGAACCAACCCTTGGTCTCTTCCTATCCTGTGAGATGACTCACCCTGGGATTTTCCAAGCTACCGAGCAGCCATTATGCACCACACTCAAAAAAACATTCACACCATCTGGATGGTGCTATATTCGTTTTAACCCGTGAACTTTAGTCATGATTCATTTGCCAGCAGAATGTTTACTGGCACTGGAGAACTTGGGAGGGAATCATTATTTTGTAGGCAGAAACAGGACTACTAAAGCACACATATTAAAGTGACATCTTTAAAAAATAGAGAAGTGGAATGAGGATTTTTAGCTTCCTCTCAGGTATCAACCTTACTTTGAAAAGAAAAGAAAAACACATGATTCTCTGGAGTCAGGTGAATGGTTTGGCACCCATGGTATGAACTGATGACTAGAATTTTATGGTGTTGGAGTGGGAGAATGTAGCTGCCAGTGCTTTGACCTCTTACTTTTCTGCACATCAATAAACTTTGTACTTTTGAGCAGCATGGCATATCAGGGACTGGCAAGTGCTTCAATATGATACTCACAAACAAATAGCACATAACTTTGAAAACGATAAATAGCTGTACATCTTGAACAACAGTTTTATTGTTTTTATTTCTTGACATATTAATGCTGTAAATTTGTATTAGTATTACTTTTGAAAATAAATACAAAATGATACCGGGGGGGGGGGGCGGGGAATGTCTGCCTTCAAATGCAGGCACCCTCCTGTTTTTCCACAGAATCAAAGGCAGTTTTAAATTGCTTTCTTGCTTGTGGTGTGTGTACATTCACACATAATTGTTTCCTTTGCCTTTACTGAACTGGACCTCTTCTTGCAGGAGAGAGAGATCAAAGGTGCCTTACATTGTGCGCCAGTGTGTCGAGGAGATTGAGCGTCGTGGCATGGAGGAGGTGGGCATCTACCGAGTCTCTGGCGTTGCCACCGATATCCAAGCTCTGAAAGCTGCTTTTGACGTCAGTGAGTATCAGCTTCTAAGGTTTTCATTTCCACTAAAAATGAACAGAGTCAGTGCTCCACTCACTCTACAAACAGTTACTAGGGCCAGTCTCAATGGAAGTAGTTCAGAAAAGGAAGTGATCTGCAATGCAGTTGTTTCTAACGTACATGCTTTAGCTTAACTGCGAAATGAATGTTGTTTACATTTTCAAATCGAAAAGAAGCTGGTTCAATGCATCAAGCAGCAGTATTTCTCAAGAAACTGTGAGATAGGTATGCATTGTGGCTAACTGTCATGTGTGCACTGTTTCAAACACCAGTGGTGGCAGCACACTGGAGACAGGGTAAATGTTAATGAGTACACAGCCAGAGTGTGCAAGCCCATGGCATATTACTGATCCTCCAAAAGCTGTACCATCATTTTTGAATTGAGCAAACAATTTAAAAATGGAAGTTCAAAAGCAACGCCCAAGTAGCTAAAAATTCTGCTCCCCTCACATCTCCCCTCCCTCTATTTCAGATAACAAAGATGTCTCCGTCATGATGAGTGAGATGGATGTGAATGCCATTGCAGGGACCTTAAAGCTCTACTTCAGAGAACTGCCTGAGCCCCTCTTCACAGATGAACTCTATCCCAACTTTGCTGAAGGCATTGGTGAGAATTTGATGACTAACAAACATACTACTTCAGGATTGCTGAATCAATTGGGAGGAAATGTGACTGAAGATATTTGGCAGAAACTCCTTCAGGGTATCCTCTTACCCAAAATAATGCAAGAATACTTAAAGCATTAGAAATGTAACTGCTTTAGAATCGTTAACATTCCTAATGTTTTAAGTATTTTAAATTGCAACATTTTCTCGTAGGGGAGTGTTTCCAGGCTGCTGATAATATTGTTGCATCTTCCAGACTTTCAGATCTGCAATCCCCTTTTTTGAAAAGTGCCAGCCAGAACTGTACACTGTTTTCCATTTGTGCAGTAGACAACAATCCCTTTCCTGATAATACCTAGCATGCAATTGGGCCTCTTTTTTCATAGCTGAGGCTAATAACTGGGCCAGGTTTGGCTCTGCAGTCTGTGAGGCACAAGTTTGTAATGTATTACGTTTCAGCCCTTCTTTAGGAGGCAGCTTCTAAACCAAAATTAGGTCAGTTCCTGGACCTCTGTGTAGCTTGATACTGCAGAGGGAGGGAAGGATTCAGCTGCCCAAGAGAAGTTAGGGCAGCAGAGTTCGGGATGGATTGGGGGAGCAGTGAGGATGTGCCTGTATTGAGCTTGGTCTCTGGATTTTAATTTTTGTAACTTGAGTGAAACATATTATGTACTTTGGGCACTTTGAGACTTGCTATTTTTGTTTGGGGGATTCAGTCACATACTAGTAGATTCAGGTTACACAGTTATAGATTATTGAGAGGACTTGCACAACAAGCCTGTTTCCTCAAAACATTGAGGACTCAAAACATTGAGTGACATGAATACGCACTGGAAAGTGTGGGATAACACTCGCTTTGACACAAAGTTATCTAACTTCCCAGCAAACAAATCAGAATGATCAATAACAGACATAATCTAATCTCCCCACAGACAAATAAGAATAAATGCACAATAAACAAATTGTCTGGATGCAACCTTTATTATTGTTAACTGTTATTTATATAAGATTGCTCAATAGCATAAGGTTTTGCTCAGAGCAGACCCATGGAAATTAATGAACTTGATTTAATTTCTGTGATGCTACTCTGAGCAAATAACATAGGGAAAGACTGTTGACAGCAATAATCTTTTTTTTTTTGTTAGTTTAACACCACTCTTTGTTATTTCATTCAGAAATATGAAACGATAAAATACGATTAAAATCCAATAGAGTGGTACCTCGGGTTACATACACTTCAGGTTACATACGCTTCAGGTTACAGACTCCACTAACCCCGAAATAGTACCTTGGGTTAAGAACTTTGCTTCAGGATGAGAACAGAAATTGTGGTCCGGCGGCGCGGCGGCAGCAGGAGGCCCCATTAGCTAAAGTGGTGCTTCAGGTTAAGAACGGACCTCCGGAACGAATTAAGTACTTAACCCGAGGTACCACTGTATTATTTTTAAAAAAATCATAAAATGGCCTGTGGCCTAAAGGCCTTTCAGAATTTTAAAAAATCTTCACTATAACGATCATAAAAGAGTGGGAGGAGCCAGGCTAGCCTCCCTTCCATGCCTTGTGAAGCTGCATTGTGTGCTCCCATTCTGACGCTTTCCCCCCTCTCCTCCTCTAGCACTTTCAGATCCAGTTGCTAAGGAAAGCTGTATGCTGAACCTACTGCTGTCTCTTCCAGAACCCAACCTTGTCACATTCCTTTTTCTCCTGGACCATTTGAAAAGGTAATGCTAGATGTCCTTTTACAGCATTGACCATCTCTCAGTACTTACTGTGGAACTCCTGGAATGCATTCCTAGGCATTGTTGGGAGTAATAACTGAATGCATATGGTTAATAGACCTGGTCAAGACACCTTTTCAGCTTGGCTCTAAGAGAGACTACTGCTCTGAGATGGCTCGTCTGCAGTGGTAGCTCCTACGTAGAAGTGTTGGGGTGTCATTCCTTGTCCTCATTCCTCTTGAACAAACCCCATGGATTGCTTGCCACTCTAGTGTTCTTATAAAATAACAACGTTCATACAAGTATTGGAGAACTGACCTAAGGCCCATCTCTGCCCTAGTTTCAAAATTCATATCAACTAATATTTGAGGAACAATAACCTTTTTTTTTACTTCAAAGCTAACATTCATTGCAATGCAGATAACAGAATATAGTGAAAATCTGGCTTGCATAGAACTTTAGATGGACAGTCCTGTTCTTATCACCTTTGTATCTGCTGCTGCCACAACCTGCTATCACAAATAGCTTCTTACAGCGGAAAGACCTTGAATGGAGCACCTCTTGTCTTTGTTATAAAAACTAAACCATAATTTGCTAGGATTTGAAGTCTTTGCAAGGGTGGTATAAATGAGAACCATCTTCTGAGCTGCAGAAATGAAACTGTGTCTTTCTTTCTTTCTTTCCCTCCCTCCCTCCCTCCCTCTGCTGCCTCTACCCAATTGCTTCAGGGTTGCTGAGAAGGAGAACATCAACAAGATGTCACTTCACAATCTGGCAACTGTTTTTGGACCAACGCTGCTCAGGCCATCGGAAAAAGATAGTAAAATCCCTGCTAATCCAACTCAGCCAATAGCCATGACTGATAGCTGGTCACTAGAAGTCATGTCCCAGGTAAGGAAGTGGGATAGTCCAGGAAAATTTTTGCAACTTAATGAGTACACAGTGTCCCTAAGGCAAGGCAAAGCCCAGTGGCTCACCTTGTGGGATTAAGCTTGCTCTAGCTATCAGCCAGTCACTAATGTTGCTGAAAGTTTTGTCTGTGTTTTGTTACACAACATAATAAAAACAGTAAACTGTCGTAGGAAAGTTATTGAAGAGTGGAAATGCATTCTTTAAATAAGTAAATGAACAGATAGCCTAATTTTCCAATGGATTGTGCTCCAACCTGGATCTCCCACTGAGTATATAGCACCCAAAATATGCTACATAAAGCAGTTGCCCTCATAGTTAGGTCACTTCACTACACTGGCTTTCATTGACCTGTTTTCTCCTTTGCTTTCCAGGTCCAAGTTCTTCTCTACTTCTTGCAGCTAGAGACTATCCCTACCCCTGATAGCAAGAGACAGAGTATCCTGTTCTCCACAGAAGTGTAGGAGCCTTGATCAGTCCGTGTGGAATTTGCCATGGGTGTGAACTGCCCCACTCTGGGAATGAGAGAAACACATTACTCCTTCAGACATTCCTGGTCTGTCCTTGCCTACCAGGAGGAAATAAGGCCTTCAGTCCCTCTGCTATTTGTCAGGCAATGATAGGCTGAAGACTTTTTTTAAAAGAGAAAGAAAGATTCCTTCTTCTTTTGACCACTAGAACAAGAAAGAACTGGGCCAGGCTGTGCTGTGAGTTTTCAACCAGCAGAGGGTAGCCCTGAGCAGCAAAAACTGTTTCTTGTGGGGTATGTGAAAGAACAGATTCCTCTGTGGGGGTTTTTTTTTTTAATGGAATTAATTTTATTTTTGGGAAGCTTCAAGATTTCTACTTGGACCTCTTGTGAAGAGCAAAAGGATATATCAAAACTGTAGCTTTAATAGCTGCTGTTTTGGTTTTTAACGGAATACTGCAAAGTATATGCATTTATGATGCCCTCTACATGGAAATTTAAATCTTGATTTCAACTAGTCTCTTTTTAATAAATTAATTAATGAATTAGAGGCTTCATATACAATCAGACCTCTTGGTTGGTTGTTGTTTTTGTCACAGACTTGCCTCTTTTCTTGGAAATGGAGAGAAGAAACCACATTTTCTTGCCTTTTGTCCCTTTTTGGGTAGGGGTTGATAAAGGAGGCACTTCCTGTTGCATCATATTAAGGCCAGTGTGGTAAAGGAGACTGGGGGAGGGTGTGATGATGGCAAGTATTTAGATGACCTTACTTTCTGTATGAACCAAAAAAATAATGGGCAATGCTAATGTGAAAGATTTGCTAAATTCTTCAGGCATTCTAAACAGAATAGAAGATCACTTGCATAATGGGGAGCTTCATCCCATTTCCCCATATAAAAAAGAAAAAAAAACTTTTATCCAGTTCTCCACCCAGATGATGAAGGCTGTGCCTACACATAAACACCATAACATTTCTTCAGAGATCTGGGGACAAATGTCAATGGCTGTCTCCCAGCTGCTTGACCTAAACTTTCATCAGAATCGCTTTTTCGATACTTGAATTTTTATGTTCTTTCTTGAGACTTTGTATGTTGCTTATGGAAATTGTCTTTTCCACCTCAACCCCTTTTTTGCTGGTAAATATAAATGTTTTGATAAGATGTTTGATAACCTACACAATGATGGTTGATTGAGCAGGGAGCATTTTGTATTTTTCAGAAATCCTAGACATTCATGGACTTCAGAGCAGCCGTATCTAGGCACCAGTGAATTATAGCACTGGGAAAGGATCAGTGCTGGGAACTGGAAACATGAACTAATTGTAGAGTCCTCTAATGGACAGGGAGGTTTTTGCTTTTGCTCTGATTTTACATTATATTTGGGGAGATATTTTGCCTATCACTTCCCACTTGGTCATCCAGCATAATTTTTAGTTATACCCATACATGCCACCAATTTTACCAAGAAAATCAGAAACTGCTTGCAGGCAAGGGAGAAGAAGACGGAGCCCCTCCTTCCTTATTAAAAGTGTGATAAAGGGCTAAGATGTTAAACTAAATTGTTGGCTTGGTTCAGGAGAAGGACTGAAGTAGGGAATGAGACTCCCACAAAGGTTTGTCATGTTCCTAAGTTCTGATAAATAAATGTGATTCTCCTTGTTAAACAAAACTAAAAGGTAGTGGAGAAATGTATGCTTTGACAGCCTTACTGATGGGTTTTTTTTTTGGTACTGTTCCATAATGTCAGCTGCTTTGGGTATTATGAAATCACACATTCCGAAAGAGAGGAGAGGTTTTGTCATTTTCTATGTGTGTTCCTGCATCTTTCATGTTCCTTAAAATTATTCATATGGGAATCTGATATTGCTTAGCTCCTCTTCCTACCAAGGCTACGATACTGTCCCTGTTTAGACGTAACCTATTTCAGCTTATTATATTATTTTATTGTTCTCACTTTATTTTATACTGTTATTGTTTTTCTAATTGTCATTATTGTATTTTAACAATTTTTGTGTAAGCCACTCACAGAACTTTGGTTACAGAGTGGCATAGAAATACCGTTAATTAATAAATTAAATTATTAAGCCAAGATATGCACGAGCCTTGCATTCGTGTGCTTCATTCTGTCCTTCCTCCCTTCTCTTCTCTTAAACAACAGAAATTGCTGCCAAAAAATGGTGTGATAGCCAGTAACATAAATGGCTTTCAAAAAGCAGATTAGGCAAATCTTAGAGGATAAGCCCTTCAGTGGCTATTAGTTGTGTTGCCTACATGGTACCTGCAGTGTCAGAGGCACCAGGAAGACGGTTATGTGGTGCTTTGTGAGCTTCCCAGAGGAAGCATGCTGGACTATGTCTTTGACCTGATCCAGCTGCAGGACTCCTGGTAAATAGTGTGCAGCAAGTGAAGTTGATCATTTACAGCTTTCACAGTTTCAGGCCCTGATTAGAACATGGTAGCCATAGTCTCTTGGTTTGGATGTAACAGGAAACTATGGTAAAGTAACCCAGTACTGTATGTCTTCAGTCATGGGACACAGAGAAGAGAGAAAGGGACAGCATTTGCATGCACAAAGTTCATTCGTATTTTGGCTTAGTAAGCCAAGATATGTTCTATCCAAATGGGGCTGCAGCATGTTACAAATGTTCTTCTCTAGACTAATTTCACTATAATCTAAATTCTACTTCTCCCATTTCCCTTGCTGTTCAATCAAGCCTTTAAAAAGAAGTGAGGATTGCAAAGTATTTGTGGAGGTGCTAAAAAAAAAGTGAAGGTATCTAACATGCTATTAAATTTAGTATTATTATTATTATTAGAGGTAAAAAATAATGGGGTAAGATGTTAACAGGAAGATATACTGTCTGAATTGCAGTTTTCTACTCTGCTTTGTCTCATCCCATACAACCATTTCTCTTTCTGTCCTTCTAAGCCAGCTTTCCTCAATTGCTGTGCTAGCTGGGGTTGATGAGTGTTACAGTCCAAAACATCTGGAGAGCACTAGGATGAGGGAGGATGTTCTAGGCAATGGTTTTCCCCTATGGCTTTATAGGGGATGGACACATGAGATATGGGGCTGGGAAATGATTGACCAAGCTACTGTATTTACGCAAATCTAATGTGCCATCGAATCAAATACGCACCTCAATTGTCAAAACCTTGAAACCAAAAAAGTATTTGCTACGTCAGCAGTGTTTTTCAAGCTTGCAATCAAATCTAATGCACCATCAAATCTAATGCTCACCCTAATTTTCGTGATGTAATTTGGCCAAAAAAGGTGCACATTACATTTGAGTAAATATGGTATCTCAGATTCCTTCCCACTGAGTAGAATGGCAGAATTGATTAATCCCCTCCATATTGATGATCAATGTACTGGACAAAACTCTATTGTTGAGGGATTTGGGGGTGGCCATGCAAGGCCAGGGGTGAAGGGAGACTTCAGATGTTGGGATCATTCCATGGATTCAGGATACAAATAGATTCTAGGCTGAACTGAGCTTGCCTCCTTTGTCTCTCTTCAAAGATGGAAAAGCGGGAGGAGCATGGGTCATCCTGTCCAAATATCCCAAAGTATCTTGTTAGCAAAGGATCCCCCCATGATGCAGTATCATAGCATCCCTGTTTGGTCAATTTTTGGTACGGCACTAAAAGTTTATATGCACACTTTCTTTGGATTTACACAAGCCTGTTCCTGGGAAGTTTGGGGCCACCCCAAGTATAAGAGATAGTCCTTCCTTAACATTCCAGTCATACTTGTATTGCAAGTTCAACTGGTCTCACAATCACAGTCTTTCATGTAGTTGTACTGGACTTGTATTACCTGAAGAACCAGCACAAGGGAGCTGCAGAGATTGGTGGTGCTTAAAGAGCTAATCAGATCCTCTACAATGACATGGAAGCCTTAGAGAGGCCTTAAATGTTTTTCTTGAGATGCGGGGGGGCTGGGGGAAGGGTTGCTTTGACCCTGTTCTGAGAACTGTAATTTCTTAAGGGCTTCGCCTTTTTTTGTCTTATTATTTTGAATTTGCACCACTTCTCATTCAAAAGGGGCTGCTATTTTCCTTTGTGCATCATTGGTTGTTACTTATCTATAGCTGCGGCTTACAACTGGAAAAGCAATACTACAAAGACTACAAATGTGCCAATTCACCTTGCCTGACTTACTGATTTTTAAAAATTTACATAAAACTGTAATTTTAATATTGAATTGATGCTTTATACTGCATAGTTGTAAGGAGGATGCCTTTGCTTTGGAAACCTTGAGATCTGCTTTTATGAGCAGGTGAATTCTTACATGGAGGCACGTAGATGTGGGAGAGATTGGACAATTAATTTAGGCAATTAATTGATTTTATTATTAGTATTAATAATTATGAATTAGTATTATAAACCTATGCTTTCCTGAATAATTGCAATTCTGAGCTGGGAAACTAGGGCACTCAATTTAAATTGATCTGAAAATTGAGAAAGGGTTGGTTTTTTGTTTTAGTTTTAAATGATCTGTTAAGCAGGCAACACACTGTAAAAATGATCCAGATTTTCAAGTGAAGGGGTTCTTATTTGCCCTGCTTGGAGTTTTCTTAAAACCACCAGGACTGCCTTTCAGTATACTGGTCTCCACATCAGCATGGCCTTGCACCTGAGGATGAAACATAACTGGGGTGATGTGGGCAGGTGATAAGCAAGTCACTACTTCATAGGAAAGCCCCTCAAGACAAGGATTCCCTCCTTCTAGAGGGTGCCTCTGTCCCACTGCCTGCCTAAGCTGCTACTATAAGCAAGGGCTTCTACTCAGAGCTTAGGGTTACCCTGCTCCCAAGCTCACAATTTCCAAACTGAAGTCCCTATCTGGGTATCAAGACTAGTGCTTCCTCCACCTCACTTGGGCAGAGGGGACTTAGCCTTCCCCTGGCACTAATGCAGCACTCTGGCATCACATACTAGGTTGGGGAAGTGGCTTGCTCCTCTGTCAACACTGGCAAATGCATGTGTGATCTTAACGTCCCCTCCATGCGCCTCTCACAGACAAGCTACAGATTACCAGATTGGTTAGTCTTGGAGGTGGTTATTCCTTCAATCTTTTCAGAGATTTAAAGAATGGGAGTGGCAAGAGGGGAACAGTACCACTTGAGTGACTAAACCAAACCAAAGAAGTATGCAGCATCCTTCTAAAGCTCCCCACCCCAAAAGGGGGAAAGTCCTCTCTTTTGCTGTAGCCTAATAACTTTGCATCAGATTTGACCAAGAATTGGTTGAGTGAATAAAGGGTTGTATCCAACATTAGTTATATTCAAAGAAAAACCATCAAAATTAATAAACATTACTAATTTATGTCCATTAATTTCAGTGGGTCTGCTCGGAGCAGCACTCAATTAGATACAACCCAAGGTGTTTTGACCATACTAGGTTGTTTGTGAATGCAAAAAACTGATAACCTATAGTTTCAGGTTAGGCTTTCCCTCTACCTGCCTTTAAAATACATATTCTGAAAGGATTTTCTCTTACTCTGCTCCACTGTGAATTCTGGAAGCTTGGGCAACTGATTTTTTTCACATTCAGGTGCCAACTATAGCAGGAAGCCCGGCCCTCCAATGGTGATCCCATTCTTCCGGGATGCTTTTGGTGTATAGCTCGGAAATTTCAAATTAGTTATAAGTGGGTGGGCATAATTACAGGTTTTGCATATCACTGATAAGCCAAGATGATAATCTTGGCAGATAATCTTATGGAATCTTTTGAAGATTAATTTCTATGCCTTAATGTTATAAAATGCAACTTTAGAAGGCCTCTTCCTAATCGCTTCCAAGAAACCCAGGGGTTTTTTATTCCTCTTCTGTGATTCCAAGTTCCTTATGTAGCTTTCTCAATGCTCTGGTTTTAAAACCTCAAGTTACCTACAGAATATTCCATTTTACAGAAAGTTATCCATAGCATAGATCCTTAATATTATTGGGTGTGAATGACTGAGTGAATGAATACGATATTGTGCCCTTCCAATATAACTTCCCTGTGTTTTGCTGTTATTGTTTAAGAACAACCAAGAGAGCCCTGTTGCCTATCAATTCACAGCAAGGGTTGAACCACAATGATAGAATTCCCATCCTGTGGTCACTCAAGGAAGATAGTTCTAACAGCTTTAGGTTTGCTTTTGGAGCTTTGAGTTAGGGTGGTAACACTGGGATCAGCTGTTTTATTTGTGCTGTAACTGAATTATCATGGGATAGATTTGCTTTTTAATCTACCTTCAGCCCTTGTGGAGGTCAGGCTGTGGAAATGGTGAGTGAGGGGACTGGCTGCCTATTCTGCACATGTGCCCTGCTGAATGTGCTACAAAGTTTAATATCTCACACATCATAATAAGGGCCACACAGAGCTTGTGTCTGTTTTTTCAGCTCCTATCCCAAGAGCTTGTCAAGGGGCACAAAGACTAATGGAAGATTACTTGTCTAATCAGACCACTTTCACTTTCTTAGATATACAGTAGTGAACATTCCAAAGCCTGTTATAGGCAGGGGGCGGGTTCCTGTTTTCTTCTAATAAACCTTCACAGACCAAACAATTCTGCATTTGTAAGTAGAGAAGAGGGAAACTCCTGGCCTCAGCAAAGCTCTGCATGTGCACTGTCATGGCTGGATTAACATTTAAGTATACTGCAGTCTAGTGACATGGCTTCTCAGTACGCTTCTTAGCATGTGCCTGTTAACTCTACAAGAGTAAGCAAATGTAGAGGTTCTTCATTTCCTTGGCTCTGACCACAAGAGTCTCCACAGGAAGGATGCCTTTAGTGTGCTTCGGGTTATAAAACAATTGCTAGTGTCATTTCAGTAGGAATGTTATTGCTCTTGTTTTTCCATACTTCATCACTCCTTTTGTATTATAAGCATCACTCTCCAGGTTAGTGTCAAGGAAGGTATTCCTCCAGAAAGTTTCTTAAAACTGATTCATAAGAGAGAAAAAGAATCATCAGAATAAAGTGTACATATCCTCTGTCATCTCTTCGTCACCATTATGTTCTGGTCCTCTTTTCACTGACAACCCTTCTGGCTGTCTGTGCAAATATTTACCAATACTTAAACGTTAGCTTCTGGGTTTCACTGCTTTGTGGCCTTTAGCATGATCAGGAAAGAATGCAGGGCTTATGAAGGGGCAGAACCATAATTCAGGTAGAAGCTTGCTTAGTTATCAGTGGTTCCTGCTGTGTTCCGAAAAGCTAAGTAAATCAGCCAGATTACTTGCAGGAAGCAAAACCTGCCACATCCAGAAAAACTCAGGTCACCAGGTGCAGGCTTACTTTCACTGGTGTCCCTTCAGTTAACACCAATTTGCGTTCTTGATATAACAGTGTGATTGCCATTCAGTCCTACATGTAAAAAGACAAGGTACTTGGGAATGGCAAAAACATGCCTTCAGCATCACATCCCTTCTCACCAGTCTTAGGACTAAGGCTGATGCAGCACTAGCAATGTAATGTAATCCCGACTGTAACAGAGGGTCTTAGACAAACTTTTGACTGGATTTGTTTATGTGAATTCAATTCCTGAGGCAGGATGACTTACAGGAGAATTTCTTCAAGTAATTTCCAGTCAATATCCAAGGTTAGCCATCACGTAGTGTTCAGCCAATTCTTTGAGAAAGATCACTTGAGTAGGATTCCTGATTCTGAATGAGAGTTGAATCTGGAAATGGCCCTCTGGGTGAAGATTATTCACCCAGATTAATCTGGATCTCCATGGAGCAGGAATGGTCACATAATCTTTCCTGCAGGGAGTGCTAATGCAGATGGTCAGCCTTACATTGATAAACAATGAAAAAATATTTTAAGAGGGTAAACTTGCTGACAGTTACTCCCCTTTGATCATGTCCTATACAAGTCAGCATTTTTTATCATTGGTCAGGAAGAAACTACTCACAGTTTATAAATGTGTACAAAAGTGAATGCATATGTTCTGGTAATGTGATGGCATGTTTTGACCAAGAAGAGAGGTGACAGGCCTCCTGTGAGTAATTGCTTTCTATGATAAAAGGTAAGGATTCATGAAGGGATATCATGCAGTAACTGCATTTATCACATGAATACCGTAGGAAGTCTTGCCCTCACTGTGTTACAGTCAAAATAAGCTATAATGAATTTAGATGAAATTATTAGTGATGGTTGTAAGTTACTGTGTGGAAAGGACAGCAAATAGGCTATTTTATTATAAACGGGTTTCTGTCTTAATCTTTCCTTCTGTTAAACTAACATTTTCACAACTTGAAAAGATATTTTGGCATTAGCTTATTTGAGCAAGTTGGAAAAAATGAAGTTGATTTTGCACTGACATCCTGCTTTACAGGCCTTGTATCATTTTAACCCACATGTATGAAATGCTGGCAGTAGATATGACTCAGTCCACGTTTGCTATTCTAGATCTCATTAATTTCAATGGAAGAGTTAAGCATGTACTGTATTGAATTTTCTACTGAAATGAGGGGAACCAAGAAGTTGCTAATTTTGGCTGGTGGTTTTCCCATGACACATGCCCTGCAATTAAAAAACAACAACAATCAGATAATACCCAAGGATTGCCCAAGGGTAAATTAGTATGTAAATATTAGGTTTGTTTCAATTTTGGAGTATTCTTGGATGAATGATCACAAAACCGAAGCCCACAAAAATGTATTAACAGCTGGAAATGCATCATTCAGCATCTTCAATGTAGAAGTGATTCTGTTTACTGCTTCTATGTCCAAATTAAATTTATACAAAGCAGTAGAAATACAGAATAAAAATACTGAGTTATACAGCTAAAGTAATCAAGCTGAAATAAGGTAAAAATTTATGAGTTCGACAATATGAAATATGCATCCTTTTTCTGTGGTTTTACTTGGACTTGCCTATGTAACTTCTGTAACTTCCTTCTGTTAATGATCCATGTTGAATTCAGAGGAAAGCAGATGAATAAACTATTTATTTAAGTATAAATGCTATTAAATTATGTAAATGCTTGCATTTTCAGCTCATAGAGAAGGGGTTTTTTTTGTTCACTGCTAGGTCACAATTCAGCCATGAAGCTAATATTTGTTGTCATTGTTTTTAAGACCGCCTTCGTGTTTTAAAAGCATTTTTGCATTGGCATTTTATACTGCTTCAATATTCCTTGCTTCAATATTCCAAAGAGTCCAATTCAGAAAAGTAAAACAGTAAAGAGATGCTGAGCACTTGGAACTGCTGTGGAATATAATTGTTTTTCTAGCGCTTTTGTCTGTCTGGAACAGGTCCAAAAAAAACAGCAAAAAGTTAGTAAATTTAAAAGGTGTCATAAAAAAGAAGGAAATGAAAAGGGACTGAAAAACCTGTATTTGGGAAACAAGGAGATCCAAGGCATTTGTAGTCTTTGTTTGTACACAATGTTAAATAAATTTATTCTGTATCTGTTTAATGGACTCAGCTGGTCTTATTTCTCAGCAGGCTGTATCTGGAACAGAATGAATATGTGAAGCATTCCTTGAAGACAGGACTAACTGAATATCCTAGCACCATGGGGACAGAACTTAATTTGAACCAGGGCTCAGCTCCAGAGCCGCTGTCTAAATGCCCGGAAACAGCTATAGTATAGGAAATGTTTCAGAGCATCTACAGAATGTATTTGCCTTACCTCAGGAGACTGTTCCCCATGGGGTTGTAACTGATAATCAACAGTTACATACAAAAGCACAATAAACTCCACAAAACAGTATTGTTGTTTACTACAAAAAAACAACAACTGAAATAGAAGCCACCCCACAGCTTCTTTCCAAACTTTTCAAGTTGGTGACACACTTTTTGGACATGCATCATTTCACAAAACAGTAATTCAGTTTTGCATCATTTCATGACACAGTAATTCAATTTTACAGTACCAGCAAACCAGAGGTTAAACTAAACCTTTCAAGCCCCAGGAGGAGCGTGGGGTTCGTTCATGTGACACACCTACACAATGCAGCTGACACACTAACGTGCCGTGACACACAGTTGGGAAAGCTCTGCTATAATTAACTTATATGCCAAAATGACTCCCCCAACTCCCAGACAGTAACCTCTTCCAATTACATCCTTAGCAGTCCTCCACATTCAAGCCTCATTCATAAATTCCCACCAACCATCCAGATATCTAATCCCCAGCCAACCAGTTATTAAAGGGCAAGTGCAGGTGCTGGTATGTTGTCAGTATGTCATGCTTTTGCTGCAGGTTTACTAATATACCTGCAATGATCATGCCTGCTACATAAAAGTATGGGGCTGTCAGACGTGAGTGTCCACCCTTTAAAATGGTAGACTAATTCATATTTAAATTTGAACAGATATTAAATAAACTAAGATTATATCATACTGAAAATGTGTATGTCAGAAATGATGCAACTGGATTCCAGAAAGCTCTTGTAGTACTATTTTCTGTGCCTTTTTTGTTCTTAAACAGAGCCACTGGGCATTTACCTGGCCAGACACTGCAGGTATATTATTATTATTAAGAGTATTGATCATGCATATTGCAGCTATTTGTACAAAAGAAGACTGCAGTTCAGCAAAATAAGATGTATGTGAGCTCCTGTGAAAAGCCCCTGAGGCAGCAATAAAAGAATGGGATAGAGGACCTGGTTGATGTTTCATCAATTAAGGGACTGCTCCACTGAAATGCAATCTTTGAAAGCCATGTATATAAGCTGTAATATAAAATGAATCACAGGCCTAAGCAATTGGAAAATCTCATTGAAAAGCCAGCAGCTCAAGCACACAAGTTCAGTGGGTTGGTCTACTAACCCTTTTCCATTTCAAGCTATGGAATATATGGATAGTGAAAACATCTTGGAAACATGACTGTACATTAAAAATAGCATATGGTCCATATAATAATATCTAATAAGTACAGCTGAAGGACATTATTTTAAAAATTATTTCTACCCCACCTTTTGAGATGCCCCCCACCAGATTTCTTACGCATCTTCAATTAAAAACAGCCAGAACAATAAGATGAACAAAGAGCAAAAATACAGACACTGCTAAAATGCAACAGCAGGAGCAAAAAAATTAAGTCCAAACCCAGCCTACAAGGTTGCTGCCAGCAAAGAAATATTGATCAGATATGGGCAACCCTATAAGCAGGGGGCTAACCAGACTTCCCCAAATATAGTTCCACAATCCAGGCACCACAACAAAAAAGTCCTCGTCACTCAACATGTTCCATATAGGTGGGCATGGTGGCAGCAGGATGCAGAGAGAGTAAGGCCTGTGAAGAACAGAATACAGTAGTGGGTAGGTGAGCTCATGGAGTCGTTCAAATATCCTAGTCTAAAATAGTTAAGGGCTTTATGGGCACTTTGAATTGTCCCTAGAAATGAGCTAGTGGTGACTGCACATAAAAATCAATACAGTGGTACCTCGGGTTAAGTACATAATTCGTTCCAGAGGTCTGTTCTTAACCTGAAACTGTTCTTAACCTGAAGCACCACTTTAGCTAATGGGGCCTCCTGCTGCTGCTGCGTTTTCTGTTCTCATCCTGAATGAAAGTTCTTAACCCGAGGTATTATTTCTGGATTAGCGGAGTCTGTAACCTGAAGCGTATGTAACCCGAGGTACCACTGTATTGTGGTTGCATGTTCCCCAGCAAAATGTTGGTCAGTCACATCTTATAACAGGTGAAGCTTCCAAATTGCAGTAATCCAACCAGGATGTAACCAAGGCATTTGTGACTATAATCAGGTTTGCTTGAGTAAGAAAAGGAAACAACTGGCATTCCAGCCAAAGTTGTACAAAAGCTGGCCCCTGGTAACCCTGGGGCACCCCACCCCAAACAATGAAACTGATATGAGTGCAGCTCTATTCAAAACAAGATGTACACCTCCAACCTGGCTCAGCAGCATCTTTACCCTGTTTGCTAGCCTGCCTCCAATCCATCATTATAGGCACCAATTAAAGACCTCCAAAGCTACTGTGGATGCTCATGAAATGGAGAGAGTGAGCTGTGTGTCACCAGCATATTGACAACACCCCAGTCCAAATCCCTGGATAAACTCTCCGTCTGGTTTCATATAGATGTTAAATATTTGCTTGCCAGTTTGCAATACTTATCAGCTGCACTTTAGCTGAACCTCTCACAGTAGCTTCAAAAGATAATAAAAACATGGATAGGAACAGCATAAAACAAAACCACAGCAAGACAGTGTAAAACAAAATTATAGATTAAAAACATTGGAAAATAAGGTTTTTACCTGGTGCTGGGAAGAGTAAGATGCTGGGAGCAGATGAAGCTCCTTTGGGATGGAACTTCAAAGTCAGAGGCAACAATGGAAAATCCTCTGTCGCTGCCAGCATTTCACTTCAAAAGTCAGGAGAATCAAGAGCAGGACTGGAGAGGATGATTTTTAGCACCTGAGCAGCCTTATGTGGAAATGGTTAGAGAAGGACCACAGCTGAGTGGAGGAGCATCTGCTTTGCATGGAGAAGGTCCCTGGTTCAATCCCTGGTCTCTTTGGGTAGGGCCAGGAGAAACCCCTGCTTGAAACCCTGGAGAGCCACTACCAGTCAGTGCATGCAATACTGAGCTAGATGGGATGGAGGTCTGACTCCATAATAAGGCAGCCCCCAAGTTGTTTAGGGCTTTATACAGTATATCAAAACCAGCATTCTCAATTCTGATGTTGGTGGACAGGCTCTATGTCCAGGAGAGGGTGCAGCTATGCTACAGAGAGGTACTCTGAACCAGATGAGGCAATTGGGCCTTCTAACAAAAAGGTCCATGTCTAGCAGCCCACCCAAATGTGAAGCGTGATCCCTCAGTCCAAAAAAAGAACAACCCAGCAGCGTGCAGCACCTCTGTTTGGTGTTGATTAAGCTAAATACAGTAGCAGAAGGGGGCAGCACCTTCATCTTGCTGCCCTGGGCTCCTTTGGAAGAGCAGGATATAATTGTGGTGTAGTGGTTATGGGCCTGGAAGACTAGGGTTCAAATCCCAACTCAGCCATGAAGCCCGCTGGGTAGGCTTGAGCCAGTTACTGCCCCTCAGCCTAACCTACCTCACAGGGTTGTGAGGATAAAATGGGAAACTACGTATTTCACGTTGAACTCTTTGGATTAGAGTAATTTATGACATCTTTCCCATCCCTTTTCATAATCTGAACCTGGAAGGAAACTTTGTTAAGGTAATCAGCACCGTATATGGTCAGATTTGACCATATCTATTTGTACCTCAAAATAGGCGTGCGCAAAAATTGGCCAGTGGCCCTCAAAAATAGAGCTCAACAGCTAAACAAAAGAAGGCAAAGCGGAGCTCAGGAATTTTTTTGGGGGGGGGGAGTTCAATAACGTGAATACTGTATAAGGTTAAGAATTCCCTCTCATTAGTGAAAATATGGCAGGTATACATGACTGGGACCATGTTATAAAGACGCCTTTGCTTTATCGCGCATTTTCATCTCTGAGGACCAGTTTGTTTTTCTCTTTTTGGTCGTTTTCCACCTCCCTCAGTGTCCCCTCGGGGGGTTTCCCGCCTTTTTCAAACGCCCCCTTCCCCGCCGTTCAGGAGCCCCCTCGCTCCCTCGCAGCGCGCGGAGGAGTGGGGCGGGGCTGGCGGGGGAATAAGCAGAGAGAGAAGAAGGCAACCGAAGCGGAGCCGCGCATGCCCCGCGTGACTCTTGGCTCGCTCGTCAGCCGCCGTGCCCGATGTGCCTCACGGCGTTCCCGAAACTTTCACGCCTGCGCGGTGCTGTCTCCAGCTCGGCGCCTGCGCTGTACGGCGCTCTAGCACTCTGAGGGAAGAGGGGTAATTGCAGCCCCGGCGGTTGTTGTCGTCGCTGACGCCGACGCCGCTTGGAGAAGCGCGTCCTCTTCCCTCCTTACCGGGCCTGGCCTCCCCCCAACCCCCAGTGAGAAAGGAGGAGGAGTAAGCGGCGCTGTCCGGTAAGGACCGAGCGGGGTTCAGAGTTGGGGGGCGGCGAAGGGAAAGGGAACGGAAACGCCCCCCTCACCCCCCAAGAACGACCTCCCTCCTCTGAGGCGGGGCGGAGGGTCGCCGCCGTTGTCTTGGCCGCCCAGGCCTGGCGCGGGGTCCGCCGTCCGCTCCCTCCAGGGTCTTGTTTGTGCTCTTCCCCACCCCCGTGTTCCGCCTCTGGTCTTTCCTCACACGATGTCTCTTTCCCCCCCCTCCAGTTACTCCTATTTACATGTCATTTCTCCGTCCTTCGTAAGCCGCCTCGACCCTCTGTAGAAAGGCGGGGTATGGTGACTGTGATTATTATTGTTGTTGTTTGTTACATGTCTTTCCCACTTTTCTGCCAAGGAGTTCACGGTACTGTATATGGGATTAGCATCAGCTCCCATCCCCAGTCCCTGGCTACGGGTACGAACATTTCCCTCTTCTGCTCCTGCCCGAAGCACCTACAGTGCTTTTTTCCACATGCTTTCAGTAACGTTTGGAAAGCTGAGTAGGCTTTTATTATTTATTTGCTACATTTACACCCCACCTTCTCCCCCACCCCAGGAGCTCAAGGTGGTGTACATGGTTCACCCCCCCCCCCCAATTTTAACCTCACAACAACCCTGTGAGGTCGGTTAGGTTGAGAGTGAATGGCTGGTCCAAGGTGAGCTTAGTGGTCAAGTGGGGATTTGAAGCCAGGTCTTCTAGATCTTAGTCTGACACTAACACTGGATCTCTTCTTATCCTCATCATAATTTACTCCCCCTTCACCCTAAGGCCTCGGGTTGGTTTACAGCAATTTTAAAATGTATGAAAGATAGTTTAAAACAACTTTTAAAGATTACAGAACTAAGGTGACTTCTAAAAATATCTCTCTCAAGTGTTAAAGGCCAAAGTAAAGAGGTGTGTCTTCAGTACCTATATAGAGCACTTGATATTGTTGTCAACAGAGCAGGCAGCTGCCTTCAGCCTCCTGGTGCTTTTTTCCATCTGTTGTAGGGCTGCCAGCAGCAACCTGTATGGTCAGTGGTGATGGGAATTGGAAGCCCCAGGTTGGGGGAGGCTGAGCTAAGACCATATATAGCACAGGGGTTCCCTAGCTGTGATCTTTCAGCTATGTCTGGTTCTGTGGCAGATGGCTAGAGACTGCACAGGACATCCATTACATTAAATAGTCATATTGATTTTATATATTGTAGGTTTTTTTATATTACAGTGTGAACTCTATGGAATTCAAGTTGTGATACAATAAATAAGAAACAAAAGAAGCAATTAAAATACACTATAAAATCTATTTTATTTTTGAAATTTATGAGCTGCTTTTACAGATTTGTGTGGAAAAGCTGAGTATAAATTATATAAATACAACTGACACTCCAAACCGTAAGAGGTTTGAGATATTGGATCCAGTTTGAGCAAGCACTAGAACTAAGAAGATCAAATAAATAATATTTAACCATCACCTGCTCCTCCTTTACTGCTATTCTGTTTGGGGCAGTTTATTATGGTTTTAGAAAGATTAAACATAGTATTGAGCGCCATTTGGCTGAGAAGGTACTTAGGAAATATTAACTATAATTAATGAATAATATACATTATGGTACTTCTGGCTGTTCACTTCAAAGTGGTTTGTTTGTTTGTTTGTTTGTTTGTTTTGTTATAAATTTAAGCCTGTTATGCCACCTTTTATATGGTGTCACAAGGAGATGTACACACTAATACAAGAACTGTAAACAAATTAAAATATTGATTAACATCTACAACAATAAAAGTCATAATGCAGCAGTGATCCCAGTAATATGAACTCATAACCCTGATTTTCATAACTGAGCAGCAGTGCTTTTTGTATCCTGTTTCAGTAATCTCTGCCTTGCAATGTTGACAAATATTCCTGCATTGCAAAGGTGGAGATGAGACTAAGAATGCCTTTCTTAAGGTTACTCAGTGAGTTCATGTCTGAGTTTATATTATGAACAACATCTCTTAGGCAAAACAAAAGGTCTCTCTGGCTCAGCATTGCACTTGTCCCCAGTGTCTGATATTTAGACACTGCACACAAGGCTTCCCAAGCACCTGCAGTCAGCTGGTTGTTGGCACTTGGGAAGTGCTACAGAGGGTGTTTTACAGGCACTGCCATTCAGCTACAAAGCTTCTTTGTCCAATCCCCTACTTTGCCTTCCCCACACTTGACATCACCATGAGGTGTATGGCAGGTGGGCATGGCTTGCAAGAAACAGCTTTACGGGCCAAATGAGGAGGTTTGATTGTCCTAATCAGGGCTGTGGCCTGGAGGCTCTGCCCCCTTGGTTTAATGTTGCATGTGAACCAGGTTATAGATTCAGTAGAAACCAAATTGGGTAGTTTTATGTAGTCATATTTCCACCCAGATAAAGTCTCACTGTTGAATGGGTACATTAGTGTTTGCCATAAAATACAACCTCCCCTATTTGTTTGCCATTGGTGGTGTAAAATAAAAATTTGAAAGCAACTTTTATTAAAGATCCATGCTTAATAATCTTACACAGGTTGGCAGACAAGTGGCTGTATATAAGTGAGCATAGTGCAACAAAACCAGTGCTAGGTATTGGGAACCCGTCTTAATACCAGCCCGCATCACAACATTCAGATTCTTTCCCCATCCCCTACTTGAGCAGTGGCTGCAGTTTTTTCTTCTCATGATAGAATAGATAGAGACTGGCTAATGAAAATGGCTTCCCTAAGTGCACCACAGATGTAAAGTGCTTGCAAATTAAATAAACATATCAGCTGTTGCTAACCATTGGTTTCTGTTTTTTGCATTTTAAAAATGGACTGTTTTATGCCTGTCTTATATACTCTTTCCCCTAACACTTTAGTTAAGATGGAATCCTTTGGGTGATTTCATTGGAGGATTCCTGAAGTTTGTGAGGAATACTCTGCTGAATGTTACACTTGTAACAATTACACATGGTCAACAAAGAGGCTAAACAGAAGGTTAACTAAATGTCCACAAACTCCTTCTGAGTAACATTTTTCTTCTTTTCTGTACTTCAGTTCAGATAAGATTTAAAATAAATGAAAGGGAAAAAGGGAAATATATTTCTTCTGCACTTTGCAGAAAGCAGCTTGTGCGGATATTATAGATTCAAGGATACCTGTTGTGAATCCTTGTCTGAGGCATGAGTAGGGTGCTTTGGCTATGGGTTCTGAAACATGTGGTGTGCCCTGAATAGCAGCTTAGAGGCATATGACTCGGTGCTCTTCCAATATAAGGTAATTTTTTTGTACGGCTGGAACGCAGATTGCAATGCAGCATCCATAAAATGTATTTAATTGGTGAACTGATCAAGTATCAGGTTAATGGTAAAGCCATTGATATCCTGATGAGATTTAAGTGTCCCATTTTGTAAATTATAATGATGAAGATGTAATTGATGTATTTCAGGCATTAAAAAGGTAAAAGGCAAAGGACCCCTGACAGTTAAGTCCAGTCGCGAATGACTCTGGGGTTGCAGTGCTCATCTCACTCTATAGGCCGAGGGAGCTGGCGTTTGTCCGTAGACAGTTTTTCTGGGTCATGTGGCCAGCATGATTAAGCCGCTTCTGGCGAAACCAGAGCAGCGCATGGAAACGCCGTTTACCTTCCTGCCGGAGCGGTACCTATTTATCTAGAGGTACCTCTGGATGCGAACGGGATCTGTTCCAGAGCCCCATTCGCATCCTGAAGCAAATGCAACCCGCGTCCACGTGTCTGCGCATGCATGGGTCGCAAGTCACTGCTTCCGCGCATGTGCGTGACGTCATTTTGAGCGCCTGTGCATGCGTGAGTGGTGAAACCCAGAAGTAACACGCTCCGTTACTTCTGGGTCACCGCGGAGCGCAACCTGAAAATATTCATCCCAAAGCATATTTAACCCGAGGTATGACTGTACTTGCACTTTGGTGTGCTTTCGAACTGCTAGGTTGGCAGGAGCTGGGACTGAGCAATGGGAGCTCACCCATTCGAACCACCGACCAAGGTTTAATAGTTGCTGAGGAATAACTGTTCCAAGTCAACTGTGACTATGTGGGTACATTGTAGAGCTTTTTGAGCATCTATTGCGCTTCTGTTGACCTGAAGATATGGATAGGTTGTGTTGCTTTTGACAATCATATTTGTAACTGATTGAATGCAATCCGTGTGTTGGGCCTGATGCATTCATGTTTGAAGACAATATTAACACAGAGACTCTTAATATTCTACCAATGCAATGTGAATTATGATCCTTTGTGGAATTACGGAAATGAAGTGGAATGATGGTCAAGTAGTACAGAGTACAAGGTTTATGCATTTGAGAACATGTATGCATTTTGCTTACTGATTCTGAGCTTGTTGCCTCAGATGATGAAGGAAATACTTTGGTGCTTGGGAAGCATAATTAAAAACAAACACCCTGACCTGATTTATTTGTAACTGCAGAATCATGCTTTGTTTCTTTACGTAAAGGAAATTAAAAAACTAAGAGTAATTGGTGCTTGGGGACCCGGGTGGCGCTGTGGGTAAAAGCCTCAGCGCCTAGGACTTGCCGATCGAAAGGTCGGCGGTTTGAATCCCCGCAGCGGGGTGCGCTCCCGTCGCTCGGTCCCAGCGCCTGCCAACCTAGCAGTTCGAAAGCACCCCCGGGTGCAAGTAGATAAATAGGGACCGCTTACTAGCGGGAAGGTAAACGGCGTTCCGTGTGCTGCGCTGGCTCGCCAGATGCAGCTTGTCACGCTGGCCACGTGACTCAGAAGTGTCTGTGGACAGCGCTGGCTCCCGGCCTCTAGAGTGAGATGAGCGCACAACCCAAGAGTCTGTCAAGACTGGCCCGTACGGGCAGGGGTACCTTTACCTTTACCTTAATTGGTGCTTGAGTGAGGATAAAAGGAAATGTGCTTCCAGAATTTGTTAGTTACATTTATTACCTAATGCAAAACATTTATCATTCTCTTCTTCTGGTATCATTAGTTCTGCTCTGTGCCATATTATTACATAAGAAACTAGTAATAAAAAAATTAACAGCTATCCTTTACTTATTCACTCATTTACATGTCCCAGATACATTGATTCCATTATTTCCCTGTGAAAAGCATGTTAATCACTTTAAGAGTAGCACTTAATTATCAAAATCATTAGATGTCTATATATCTTTGTCTAGAACAAGAATTCTGAAGCTTTGTAAGAGTAGCCTTCTCAACTCCAGTATGTGAGCTTTCTGAAATGTGACTAAAGCCATAGCAACATGGATTGACCAAGGCCCATGAAATGTCTTGAAGCTAAGTGATTGACCTCAGAATGGAAAGAGAAAAACCTGAAAAACAGCAGTCACGCCACAGACCCACATTGGCATTTAGGCTCATCTTTTTCTTTTTTCCTTATTAAAAATAAGTTTGTCTCACATTACTAAGGGCTAGAACAACTTTCAGAAATTTTCAAGTGGATTATGCATGTGACTTTCAAGAAAGCCCAGTAGCTGAAATAGTTTTGCATTTAATAATTAAATGTTAAAAAAGAGAAATGTGAAAAGAATACACATCTGCTTAACTAAAACACTGGTAATTTCATCTTTCTTTGTAAGGTCTTAAATTCTTCCTTGTAAAAGTCTGTCTTGAAGTTGCCTAGTTCAACACAATTCCCTACAAGACCCTCGATGAGATCCTATGAACTAATGTCGGTATGGTGTACTGGAATGCACCCGGTGGAGGTATAGGTATAGGTACACTTTCCCTTATTCTCAGTAATACAAAACCAAAGAGCATTCTTGGGCATGTGAACTAGATGTTTATTTCTTTTGATTCTGGTCATTTTGCTCCTTTGACCTAAAAGCATCATGCAAACATTGTGGGAATATGAGTATTGTGTTTGATTATTCATTATGATCATAAGCTCCCCGTGATTTCATTGATAAAACTCTTGATGTTGTAAAGCTGAATTGCGGCTATGTTTATTAGAATCTCAGTATTTATGTTACAACTTTAAGTTCAAGAATACAGTTATTTGCATTTTCTAGTTGAAGAGTATTCAATTCTTAGGCTGCAATGCTATACACTATTACCTGGGAGTATACTTTGCTGAGCTCAGTAAGTCTTGTTTCTGAGTAGACATGTATCAGATCGCACTATTAGCCACTGGAAAGCTATCTTACACAATGTTTTAGGCCTAGGAATTAGCATTCTTCAGATATCTTGGCTTGTATTTAAATACTAATGAAAAGCAGACTTATAGCACATCCTTTAAATAATGTGTGGGTTAAGCAATATCTACTTGCAGATATTCAGTGACTATCCTACTAAAATTGTAACGCGTGATAGAATTAACATAAAGATAGTCTTTCACCTTTTAAAAGGTGTGCTGCTTTTAAACTCGGGACGCGGGTGGCGCTGTGGTCTAAACCACAGGGTTGCTGATCAGAAGGTTGGCGGTTCGAATCTTCGCAATGGGTTGAGCTCCCGTTGTTCAGTCCCAGCTCCTGCCCACCTAGCAGTTCGAAAGCACATCAAGTGCAAGTAGATAAATAGGTACCACTCCGGCGGGAAGATAAACGGCGTTTCCATGTGCTGCTCTGGTTTGCCAGAAGCGGCTTAGTCATGCTGGCCATGTGACCTGGAAGCTGTCTGCAGACAAATACTGGCTTCCTTGGCCTATAGAGCGAGATGAGCACACAACCCCAGAGTCGTCCGTGACTGGACTTAATGGTCAGGGGTTGTTGTTGTTTAGTCGTTTAGTCGTGTCCGACTCTTCGTGACCCCATGGACCAGAGCACGCCAGGCACTCCTGTCTTCGACAGGTCAGGGGTACCTTTACCTTTACTTTTAAACTCAGATATTGAAATCCTACATAGGAAGCTTATCGTACCTTACTTTTGTAGAAGAAACTATTCTTTTTTTAGATACTTATATATGTTATTGAGATGTTTATTTTATTTATTATTTTTTCCATAAAATTTATGCATTGCTTGATTGTTTTAAAAAACCTTCAAAACAGTTTACAAAATTGATAAAACAATAAGATTATCAATAAGAAAAATTAACACAATAATTTGAAACTTTTGAAAAGCTAAAATAACAACAGACTAAAATTAAATTAAAACTCGTATCAACTTTCTAAACATCTGGGTAGGCTTGTCTAAACAAAAATGTTTTTAGTTAATCATGTTTAATTCAATGACATTTAATTCCAAGTACACATGCATATTTTTAGTTTGCTACCTGGTCATGAAATATTTGTGTCCTATTACACCATTTGCTTTAAATAACATGGGAAGACTTTAGATTTCAGACAGTGAGACCCAGTAATTTCAAGTTATGCACAAAGAGGCGGAAGTGATATTTGATATTTAATTTGGAGTTGCAGTTGCTAAGAAGTCATTGTTGTGGAGTTGGAAGGTGCAAGTTTCTCTCTCCAAATATTGTAGAAATACTTCTGTTATGTGCCTTGGCTTTGTGGCTGTCATTTTTGGCATATAAAAAGTAACCATTTCATTGAAAGTTACTGTTTTTAATGTTTTTTCAGATACTTTCCAAGTAAGAAAGGGCTGGGGTGCAGGGGAGCTTCAGACTACTGGTTATCATTCCTTAACACTAATAAGACTGTTGGTATTTCTGACCGTTGCTTTCCATCTCTGTTTGTTTGTTTTAAGAGATTTCTAGACTGCCTTTTAGGGCCATACTGTCACAAGGTGACTTCCAATACAAAAAAACACACATTGGATATATGGAGAAGATTGAGTGTTCCCATAGTGGAACTTTCCAGGCTCCTTCCCCCGCATGATACCCGCTTCTGCTGCTGCCCCCCCCCATGTTCCTAACTGTTGAAGGATCCTCTGAAACTGTAGAATGGAGCAGGGAGGGCTTCAGAAACCAGGGGAATTTGGTGCTGCAGAAGCAGGAGTAATTTCTCTGCCTGCACAAAAACTGGTAATGCCCAAGCAGGAGTGATTTTTCTGCTTGCACAAGACATCTTTGGATCCACACACAAACACACACACTCCATAAGTGAGTAGACCATGACAGCAATAACTTGATTAGTAACCGCCCAACATAGGAACCACACAAACAGCTAAAACTATTATATGTCACTTCATACTGGTTCAGTTAAACAGAATTCACTGTAGTGACAACCACTATCTTAGATGTCTTTAAAAGGAGATTTGCAGATTGAGAAAGCTGTTGAGTTTTAGTGTTGTCTCTGTACAAAGAACAGTTGACAGGCCCCAGTGGGTTTATTATCTAAAACATAGACAGTAGATGTTATAAAGGCAGCCAGTGAAATCTGGGCAAACATGGGCATGGCCTGTGGGAAGTGCTGGTCTTTCTACATGGCCTGGTGCAAATGACCTCAGGCAGCACAGCTGAGGAGCAGGGAGAGGAAGGCAAGCAGCACAGAGGAGCTGTGGGGGCAAACCGCAGGGGAACACATACCCAATCCAGGCGAGAAGCTGCCAGGTTGGAGGCTACAAGCAAGAGAGTGTTAGGCTTAGGTAAACAAGCTTGGGGAGCCGAACCTCTATCCCAGGGAGGGTGGTTGGGTGACCCCAGGATCTAGTAGTTACTCTAGTCAAGAGAGAGGAACATGTGACCAGCCAGCATTTCCCCTAGCTGCAACAGCCCTGTCACTGGACCAAACCCTTTTGTCTGGAGACCTAGTAACCTTAAGGGGGGTTTGTCACTTTGCTCCATCCCTGTGGCACTTGGGGGAAGAGACAGACCTTCAAAGAAAAGCATGAGCAAGAAAGAGCCAGTAGAGAAAGAGCTCAACCTTTAATCCTGAGGAAGACAATAAACTATAAGCCTTTGGCTAGACAGACCTGGAAGCAGGAGATTCTTTACCTAGAGAGGCCTCCAGCATTGTAAACTTAACCACTAAGGGCTTCTTCTTGGGACAGAAATGGAGGTGAGGAGGTTGGCATGCTTTTGCCTGGGCAAATTCCATAATTGTTTCTCTCCTGTGTAAGTGGAAAACTGAAGTTGTCTGCAGCATCCTTCCATTGTGGGACACTGGTGACAATGACCCTTGGATCATGCTGCCTGGAATTGAAAGGGGCAGAACTTCTGACAGCCCCTTTGGGGCTGGTTGGTTTAAGGCCATGTTAATGTTTCCATGCCAGGAAATTCTATATTATCTTTGCATGACTTCTTTTGGATAAAAATATTAGTGCATGTAAGATTCCTATAAATAGTATAGAAGAAAGATATAACAGCTGAAGTCCTTATAACATTTTGCTGTTTTGTCCATGTGTACTCACCCATTGCGTTATTGATGGGCAATATTCAAGTAATTTAAATTCCCTTTTGCTTTATTATATTTTATTCATGAACTTTTTTCAAGATTTCCATCAAGCATAAAATGTATCTTATGCATCAAATTATGTTATGACCGCTTAATTGAAGAACTGCCTACCATTTAAGTACCATTTTATTATTAATCCTTGTTTTTCATTCTATTCTCACTACTGTAAATGAAATATCTTCAGAGTTGTCCTGTCTATGCTTAATTCCCAATGAATAAACTACTGTTTCTAGTTGAAAAAGTACAAAATAGTTGCTCATTTTGAGCTAATTGCACCCTTCAAGTTATTACAAGTGTTATTGGGAAATTATGCAAAGATAGTTGTGCTGACGACCTCAGTTCATAAACTGTTAATGAAGCAAAAGTTTTATCTTGACAGTGGGCATTGGCAAGGTCCTTCTCTTGTAATGTTGCGGCTGTTAAACCTCCTCACTGCGGCTGGCAGGGGCTGATGGGAATTGTAGTCCAAAACATCTGGAGGGCATCAGGTTGGCAAAGGCAACTTTGAAAGAGTATGAAACATGCTGTTAGAGATGGTATTTGTCTTTAATGTTATTACAATTCTTTTCTGTTTCTAGATTCGTTTGTAAATGCATATCAAACAGGTAGCCAAGAATGAAGAAAGCTAACCGGAGTGTTGGTTCAATGCCCAAGGTGCCTGGGATAAATAAAATACAAACGGTGGAAAAAGTCAAACCAGAAAACAGTTCCACAGTATCTGCAGTGACAAAACTTTCAAAAACTGGGACAGCATCATCATTATTGAAGGTATTTTCTCGTTAGTTTTCTTTATTTAGACTTAAGTAATTGAGCTGCTAGCTAATGTAGAGCAAAACAGTGGGGTGGGGGTAGGGAGACTGGAGGCATGGGATCCAAATGTTGCAATGTGTGCTTGTGTTCAAGACTGACCCAGCACAGTTCTAGAGCCAAGTCAAAATGCAGTTGCAGTACTCTGAAATCTTTTTGACAATTCAAGGCTCAGATACTACTTTATATAACATTATAATTAACTTAACAAGCATAATCAGGATGTTGTTGAGTTCTGTACAAGTCTCTTCTTTGCATATCATACCATTCTCTGTTGTCCCGAGTTAAGGAATGTGAAGGTGTGGGACCAAAACTAGAACCTAGACTATTTCCCAAGACTTGTGAACAGAAACAGACAGATCAGGATATTATTGCTGTCAGCTGATGATACCTGAATACCCATGTTATGCTCATGTTGTTATGTTAGTGTTGCCTCAATTTGAGTGAGAAGCCGAAATATGCCTACTGCTAGAATAAAAGAGTGAAAAGACTTTGTCCAATTGTGTTAAGTTTTAGGATGGTGGCAATATGTTTTCTTGCATATGTTGTCACACAAATAAGTAAGACTGCTTATCTGTTTCTCACTCCTTCCACTCTGACAAGGAGCATGTTGCACATAGGTGCAAAGCTAATGGCATCCCAGCCTTTGAATGCCCTCCTCAGGGCTAGCTGCCAGACACCTACTTTTAGCAGTTTCAGGTGCCAGGTGAAAAGTAGTTTTCTTTTCCCAGGCCTTACTTTTAACCTCCCTGATGCTTTTTGAATACTGCACAGCATTTCATTGTTTTAACATAGGTTTGTTGTTTAGCTGTAACCATGTATGATAAGGCAGGTTATAAATATATTAAATACATTGCCTAGTGCAAAAGCACAGGGGTGAACATGAACTGATGTTGTATCATTAGTGTCCCTCTGCTCAGGACCTGACTTGAATCTTTGCAATGTTGATATAACACTTTCCATCTGCCTCACATAAGGATAATGATGCATTACTGAGAAAGTAATAAACCTTTTTTTTTAGATCAGCCAGTTATGGACATCAGAATATTTTCCTCTTAAGAGTCAGTTTAAATAGTTTCTAAGATCATAATTTGGTTTCACGTTACATCAACAGGTGATTCATCTCTGCTCTTTGTCATTATGATAGCTGAAGGTTGACAATCCAATTAGGTGTTCCCACTGTAGGAGGATTTATACATTCAGATACTACAGCATAATAGTGGGGAGGGGGCGGAGAGAAGGGGACACCAGTATTTGGTGTCCACTTCAAGCCATCATTTCTGATTTTGGTTTGCTGGATTTATCACAAATCCAGTTGTGATAATTGGAAGACTTACAATTCAGGCATTATACCACCATAGTTAAGGTGTGATGTTTGACTCTTTAAAAGAAGAATAATTATTCAGTAGGCAGAATACTTTCCACTGTCAAAGTAATCATTCCACATTTCCTCATTTGAGCTTGTGTTTTCTTGACAGATGAGAATCTGTGGCTCTTAAGGAAGTCCTAATTACCAGATTGAGAAAGATTTCATCATCTCATAGAAAATTATGAACCAGTGGTGCAAAAATTATTTTAATAAGTCCCACCGCAGTGTGAAAAAACCTCTTTTGCTTACTGATTCTACTTACATTACATTTCAGCCAGTTCTGCCTTTCCTGTGTGTTGAAAAAGCCCTGTGATGTTTCTTACGCTTAGTAGAATAGTAGTGTTTGCTCTTGACTGAAGGAACCTGTTCTGCTGGCTGTGGAGGTGGTAATCTAGACTAGACTAGAGGCAGTCTGTGGGCAAGTAGGGAAAAATACTGTGTTTATGTACGGCAGAAGGAAAATACTGCAAACCCCAAACAAGAGAGGCCTTAGTGTCCCAACCTGCCTGATTTCCCAGCTGTTGTCTTCTACCATACCCTTCAAGTATTTAGATCAGAAAAATATCTCTGTACACTAGTCTGCTTATGGGGAGGAGTACATCTCAGGAGGGAGGGAGAGACTGTAGTACAAAGCACTGGGAGAAAGATTCTTCAGTCCATTCAGTAGTTTCTGCATTTAGAAACCCGAAGCATGACTAATGTTGAATTTTTTTCAGTGTAGATTTTTCCAGGCTGAATCATACTAGAGTTTTTACAACTTGACCTATTTGGCTCAGTAATACACAGTTGTTACCTACATAGCATGTCTATAATTAATCTACTTAACATACCTTTTTACTAGGTGTGGTAGAAATGCAAACTGGCAGGAAGTTTCAACCTGTATGGTCTTGCTGGCACAAGCTCTTGGTTATGCCAGATAAACCACAATAAGAAATTATCAAAGGATGTGCAATTTGCTCTATTGTATCTTTGTGAACCATTAATTTCTTGAGTACTTAAACATCATGAGGCCTTTCTGAATAGATTAGATGTGAGTGTTCTCAGCTGCTGGTAATGCAAAACCAAAGATTTTCTTAAACCTCTTCTTGCCGATAAAGGGTTGCAATAATAAAGATTGCAGTGCCTGAAGAAACATAATTACACATGTAAGAATGAAAAATTGTGCTTATAGTGGAATTGGTTTAAAAGTCTCCAATGAAAAACATTTTTAGTGACAAAAAGTCTTCTTCCAGATTCAGGAACATGGCATTTAAAAATAAAACCTGACACAAACGTTGCAAACCAACTGTGGCATTAAAATAAGCATGAACCACAACCAAAACATTGCAGAACAACACCTCACATGTAATATTGACCAAATTAAATACTGAATTTGATACTTATTCCATGAATTCAGAATATTTATATATATACGTAAAGTTTTAATTATATCAACGTTTAATAGTTTTTAATTATTTTTCCATGTTTTTAGCTGTTATTATTTTTATCTGTAAGTTTAATAGTAGTAGTAGTAGTAGTAATAATAATAATAATAATACAGTGGTACCTCTGGTTACATACTTAATTGGTTCCGGAGGTCCGTTCTTAACCTGAAACTGTTCTTAACCTGAAGCACCACTTTAGCTAATGGGGCCTCCTGCTGCCGCTGCACCGCTGGAGCATGATTTCTGTTCTCATCCTGAAGCAAAGTTCTTAACCCGTGTTACTATTTCTGGGTTAGCGGAGTCTGTAACCTGAAGCGTATGTAACCCGAGGTACTACTGTAATATAATACTGTAATATAATTGAAGGGTTGGGCTAAAGCAGATCTCAATGATTAGTTGGTTCCATGATGTTGGAGCTACTGCAGAGAAGTCTCAACCAGTCACACCTCTATTAATGACTGGACTCTGAACAAGGCTTGGTGTCCAGGTGCCAGAGGTGGGTGGTCCATGAAGAATAGGCAATACCTTGTCAAAATAGACTGGATAAAATTGATTCCTTGATACAGCAGTTAGCGTAGGAATCCCGTAGTAATGCCGCATCAAGGAGTAACCCAAGGCAGTGTACTTGATCCTTCAGAGTTGGTAAGACACCTTTGGTTCACAGGCATTCCTACTTCTTTTAGACATTGGAAAGGAATTTGTTCCTGGTTTGTCTTACACACAGTCATTCCAGGCTGCCCTAAGGCTCATGCTCAGATAACAGAAGCTGCTTTGGGAATCTGTTGTGCGTGGATACATTCAGCAGCAATTCCCATTCTCACAGTAGCTGGAAAAAGTGGTACCAGGGTGTCAAAAATTGATGCTGCTTTTCATGAATTTCTCATTTGCACTCAAGCTTTGCCATGCAATCATGGGGGCAGGTGTTGCCAAGGATGAGTCAGAATTGTTGCTGTATAGGAGTAATCCATATTCTGCTTTCTTCAAAATGAAAGTTCTGGAGTATATTTAACAATTAAATTTTATATTGTGCCTATGCAAAAAATAAAACTATTTTCTCCCCTTTTAAATACATGGATTCATCATGTATTAAATGTGAATTAATCCTTGGCTTTTTATTACTAGCTTCATATATGAAACTAGTCTGGTTTTTTTAACAGTGATTTAATTTTGAGTTGCTTCTGACCTTTGTGCCTTCTTTCAAACCACCCTTGAAATTTTATCCAGACAAAGAGCAATGATGATCTTTTAGCTGGGATGGCTGGAGGGGTTACTATGAGCAACGGTGTCAAGGGAAAAAAGAGCACTTGCACTTCGACAGCGCCTTCCACTGCAGGGACCACCATGAACAACCTGGAGAATAAATCCAAGTCTGTTACAGGTAAAGAAGCATTTGGCCTTGAAGATGTTCTCTCTGCCCTTTAGACGACAACCCCATTTGTCAAACCATGGTTTGTTTAACCATGAATTGTCCCACAGACAATCCCACAAACCACGGCTTGTTTCCCCAAAGTTGGTTTTGTTTGCAGTTGCTTGTGCCTTTACAGGTTGATGAGTGCCTGGAGTAGGGTGGTCAAACAAACCATGGTTAAGGGAGGCCAAACCTTAGTTAAAACTAGCCAAGTTTGTAATCTATCAAGTGAAATTAAATTACCTTAGAAGTACATTTTTGGATCCCTGTTTCACTGCCTCTGTTATGGAACGTATATACATGTCTGTTACTAATTGATTTCCAAGTATGTAGATGAGACTTCATTGTTGTGTGATCCTGGATACCTCTTGACTTGTATAAAATCACATCCTTCCTTGCCAGCTTAATATTTTTTCTAACCTTTTAAAACAATACAGGTACAACTTCTGCAGCAAAGCGTAGCACTTCGGCTGGGAATAAGGAATCCAACTCTTCTCGAGAAAGAATTCGTGACCGTTCGCGGCTGACCCAAAGCAAAAAATTGCCACTAGCTGGGCAGACAAGCAATGATACAGTCCTTGCAAAACGCTCCCGTAGCCGTGCTAACCCGGACTCTGATATTCGCATGAGCAAGTCTAAATCAGACAATCAGATCAGTGACAAATCTGTTCTGGAAGCAAAAGTAAAAGATCTTTTGACTTTGGCCAAAACAAAAGATGTAGAGATCTTACACCTGAGGAATGAGCTCAGAGAAATGCGTGCTCAGCTTGGCCTAAATGAAGATCAGTTTGAGGGAGTTGAGAAATCTGAGGAGAAAGAAACCATTGTTGTCCACCAGCCAACCGATGTTGAGTCCACATTATTGCAATTGCAAGAACAGAACACTGCCATCCGGGAGGAGCTCAACCAGTTGAAAAATGAGAATCGGATGTTGAAGGACAGGCTAAACGCATTGGGGTTTTCTCTGGAGCAAAGGCTGGACAACTCTGAAAAGCTGTTTGGCTACCAGTCTTTGAGCCCAGAAATGACAGCTGGAAGCCATAGTGATGGTGGGGGTACCCTCACTTCTTCAGTAGAAGGTTCTGCCCCTGGTTCAATGGAAGATCTTCTGAGTCATGACGAGAACACCTTGATGGACAATCAGCACAGTAACTCCATGGATAACTTGGACAGTGAGTGCAGTGAAGTTTATCAGCCGCTCACTTCAAGTGATGATGCCTTGGACGCTCCATCTTCTTCAGAGTCTGAGGGTGTGCCAAGCATAGAAAGGTCAAGGAAAGGGAGCAGTGGCAATGCCAGTGAAGTATCTGTGGCTTGCTTGACGGAGCGGATACACCAGATGGAAGAGAACCATCATAGCACAGCTGAGGAACTTCAAGCCACTCTACAGGAACTTGCAGACTTGCAACAGATTACACAAGAGTTGAACAGTGAGAACGAAAGGCTTGGTGAAGAAAAGGTTATTCTTATGGAGTCTTTGTGCCAGCAGAGTGATAAGTTGGAACATTTTAGCCGGCAGATTGAGTACTTTCGCTCCCTTTTAGACGAGCATCATATATCTTACGTTATTGATGAAGACATGAAAAGTGGGCGCTACATGGAGTTGGAGCAACGCTACATGGACCTTGCAGAGAATGCACGTTTTGAAAGAGAACAACTCCTTGGCGTCCAGCAGCATCTGAGCAACACTTTGAAGATGGCAGAACAAGATAACAAGGAAGCTCAGGAGATGATCGGGGCACTAAAGGAACGGAATCACCATATGGAACGAATTATTGAGTCAGAACAGAAAAGCAAGACCGCTCTAGCAGCCACTTTGGATGAGTACAAAGCCACAGTCGCCAGTGACCAGATCGAGATGAACCGGCTGAAAGCCCAGCTAGAGCATGAGAAGCAGAAAGTTGCTGAGCTGTATTCCATACACAATTCTGGTGACAAATCGGACATACAAGACTTGCTAGAAAGTGTCAGGCTTGACAAGGAGAAAGCAGAGACGTTAGCCAGCAGCCTGCAAGAGGAGCTCGCTCATACGCGTAACGATGCCAACCGCCTGCAAGACGCCATTGCAAAGGTAATGTTTAAAAAATGTAATTAAAGAAGAGAACATTCCAAATCTCCTTGTGTTCTCTGCAGCCTTTGGGGGAGTATGTGAAGGCATGTGGGAGGGTGGGGGTGGGGGGACAATTCAAGCAGCTGATTTAGACATTAGCCAGATCATGTTGACTGCATGGTTACTTTCATGAGTCTTTTAGTTTTATTCCTGTTAATAAACTTAAGTCCTGTGCTTAGAATTGAATTCATGGCTCCTGGGCTGTGTTTTCTGTAGCATGAAACTGTTGCGTGCTGGATGTTTAGTTTGCCCTTATATCTGCAGTGAGGGTGGGGTTGATTGTTGGTATGAGCAGACTGGTTGATACACAGCATTGAGGGTAGTTTTATGCTGATTTGTCACTTCATTTCTCATAATTCACAAGACAATCGACTGTTCATAGATTCAGATACAGCTCAGGTTTCACAGCTGTGAGGTTTGCCTAAGCTAGTATGAAGCCTTAACTCTATGCACTAAAGCATCCTTACTGATTAACATTATAATAGATTACTTGGCACTGCCAAATGTCAGAGTTGGTTTATTTAAACCTTTCCTGATTGAGTTTCTTTGCTACTTGTCCATCTTGTGGTATCATAAGGACTTTAGCAAAGCCTTGCAGCTGGATTGAACCAAAGGAGGCTGTTCTAGTTAAGCATCCTGTTTCCCATAGCCAACCAGATGCCTCCTCTGGGAAGCCTAATAGCAGAGCATGAGGACAATAGCTCTCTTCCAGAGTTGTTCTCCAGCAACTGGTATCCGGAGGCATGTACTCTTGCTGATCCTGGATATCCATTTTATTACTTATATTATATTACTTTTCTTTTTTTCTTCTTTTTCATTCCAAAAAGACCCTGGAGGTGCATAGCAGTCAATAGATTGTCAAATCATACTTGTAATGGATGGAAGTTCCACAGCCAGGGTACCACAAGGCAGAAGTCACTATTGCAGGTCACTGCATAGTGTGCCCCAATCATAGATGCTATCTCGAATAGGGCTACCCTGCCAATCTTAATGCCTGGTTATCAAATATTGGGAGAGACATTCCTTCAAGTTCTTAGGTCTACAACAGTGTAGGGCTTTAAATATCAGAACCTTAAATTGGACTCAGTCGAAATAAAACAGCTGGTTCAGTTCTTTAAGATCAGCGTAATAGGTTTCTCAGAGGCCTGGCAGCTGTGTCCTGCACCACCTGCAGCTCCTGAACAATCTTCAAGGGCAGCCCCAGATACAGCATATTGCTGTAGTTTAGTCAGGAAGCTACCAGAGCATGCTTCAAATTCCTTGACGACTTTTCCCAATTGTCTTCATATAGATGCTAAAGAGCTGGAAGGTGAGGTGGAACACTGCAGGTCTCCACAACACAAGTGCCAAGGGGGACCATGCTGTTCTCTGGTAGTGGTCCTGCAGACAGAAGCAGAGCCACCATAACACAGTGCTCCAGAAGAGTAGCATGGTCATTGGGAGTAAAAGCTGCTGAGAGGTCCAGAAGAACTAAGTCACATTCCTCCTCCTCCCAATCAGGGTTATCACTCAGGGCAACTGAGACTGTTGAAGTATGTAGATTGAAATGAAATCTAGATAAACAGCGTTCACTGTAGCCAACATGACAACAATGGCATTGTGATAGCATTATCATCCATACATTTGTCAAATTCCCCTTTGTAGCATTCCAGGATGAGGGCCATCATCACACCTTAGGGCAGCAGATTCTGCAGATTAATTGTGCACTGTGAATAAGTACTTCCTTTTGTCTGCCTTGAATCTTCTGCCGTTCATTTTAACAAGATGACCCATTGGGTCCTAATATTATGAGACAGGGAGGGAGAAAAAGGGCCCAGCATGAGGAAGCAGGACTCTGAGCTGGACTTAAGCCCCTGGCCCGAAACACAGACCAGTCCTGCTCAAAGTTACTTGAGTGGGTTTCTATGAATTGTGTTATTTGGGAAAGGCATTCACAGAAGTAAAATGAGAGTTTGTGTGCATGATGTGGTTTTTTTTTAACCAGATAGAAGATGAATATAGAGCTTTCCAAGAAGAAGCAAAAAAGCAAATTGAGGACCTGAATATTACCTTGGAAAAACTTCGGACCGATCTGGATGAAAAAGAAACAGAAAGGAGTGATATGAAGGAAACCATATTTGAATTGGAAGATGAAGTAGAGCAGCATCGAGCGGTAAAACTCCACGACAATCTCATTATATCTGACCTGGAGAGTAAGTAGTTTTTGTTTCAGTTACACTTTTTGGTTGTAGTTTCTACCTATGTTTTTTTTTAAAAAAAAATGCATCAAAATAGCTTACAGCTGAGTAAAAAACATCAATCACGAAGCGAGGGGGAAATTAAGCATAATTTGTGTCATGCACTGCAGTTCCCAAAGGATGGTGCTGTGTGCTGAGGTCCGAAGGAGCAAATTGGTGGCTTTGGCCTCTTTCCCTTCATCTCGACTTTTGTCATCTGGATTTCAAAGACAGCCAGAGATGTGACAGCTGAAAGCTCCTAACCACACAGGCAATAGGCTTCCCACATTCCACTTTTTCCAGAAGGATGGTGGAGCCATCACACAGAGAGCTGCCCCTTCCATATGCTGTTTTCTTAAACTTGGAAAAGCATTCATCATCATCATCATCATCATCATCATCATCATCATCATTTTATTTGTATGCCGCCTTTCCACAGTTAAAAACAATGCTCAAGGCGGCTTACAACATGACAAGATTTACATAATTACAAAAGTCATAAACAATAAATAAACCACATTAAAAAAAATTACACAACAAATGGAAAACAATTTCCACATAAATCAAAATCTAAAACTAAGAATACAGCATTAATATCACAGTTTAAAATGACATAGATATGTTTTGTATGTTCCAGTCAGGTGCTGCTGATGAAATTTTCCCTGTTGGAAGAACTTTAATATCAAACAAATAAAAGGATTCTTTAGTTGTGATTTCTGCATTGCAGGGGGATGGACGGGATGTTCCTTGGGGTCCCTTCCAACTCTATAGTTCTATGACTCTATGAACACAGTTTTATATACACGTTTATATCAAAATACATAGTCCTCCTTTCTTTTCAGATGCAATGCTCAGGGAGTAACTAGCCTTTATCCAGAAGACTTTGCTTTTATCATTAATCTGCTTGGCATCTGTGCCATCATTCAGTCTCACAAGAGTCCACCTTGTCCACTGTGCTGTTCAACATTTCTATGAGACCCAAGTGTTCAATGTTGCCTGGAGATGTGGAGTAGCATGTCAATGGAATGCTGATGTTACTCAGCTCAGACCCCACTGGGTTGAACAGCCCTCCCCTGGCATCACTTTCTGGAAACAACCATCCAAGTGGGATCGGAACCACTGTGAAGCAGTTCCACCCACTCAGATAGCCTCTCCAGAAGGATATTGTGGACAATGGTATTGAAAGCTGCTGAGAGATAAAGGAGAATGAATTGGGACACATTTCCCCTGTCTGTCTCCCAACAGAAGTCATCATATAGGGCAACCAAAGCAGTTTCTGTGTCAAAGCCAGGCTTATATCCTGATTGAAATGGATCTAGAAAATCGGTTTCTTCTCAAAATGCCTGGATCTGGTTCACAACTCCTACTGAATAACTTGTGAGATTGGCAGCTCACCAGTAATTACTTAGATTTTACAAATCCAGGGAGGGTTTCTTAAGGAGTGGTTTTACCACTGCCTCCTTCAAGCAGGCAGAGACCACCCCTTCTTGCAAAGAGGCATTTATCACCTCCCTGGCCCAACCAGCTGTTCCCTCCCTACTACTACTACTACCAAGAAGGGCAAGGATTCAGAGCACAAGTGGTCGCCCTGACTGATCCAAGCACTTTGTCCACATCCTCAAGCCTTACATCTCTTTTGCCAGCCACAATTTCTGAAGAGGAATAATCTGGCCATTGTAATCTATGATAGTCCCCTGATTGAATTCCAGAAAATGATTTGAAAACTAGGATAAGTGCAGGATACAAACAGGGTTTTAACAGAGGCAGCTGTTTTAGATCATACCTCATCATATTTGATTGCCTGTTTGCTTCCAAACCTTATTTCCAGGGCCAGTACTTGCTTCAATAAAACCACTAATGACTTGAGGCCCCAAAACAGCTGCTCCCTTATCAACCGGCTTGTACCATCTAAGGCCCTTCTCTCAGTACCACCCTTACTGGATATGAAGTGAGTGTCAACAAGGGAGACAGGTTTTTTAAGGGGGGGTGTCCTGTGATGCCCCTCCCCAAGGAAGCTCCCCTGGCCACACTGCTTGCTGTTAGATAACAGATTAAAGAAACCAGCAATAATTGTTCACACAGACCTTTTAACTTGTTGAACTGTTTTACTGATTGTTTAAGCATTTTATTGTTTTTACATATTGGCATGAAAAGCAACAACTGTAAACTGCACTGGAATCTTTTTACAGAACATAAAAATATTTCCAATAAATAAGATGAAACGGTGGATTGGCTCATTTTCTTTCCCCTTCTCAAAGCTCTGCTTTCAGGAGTGCTGCTTACAGCAAGGCCATATAAGGGCAATTACACAACAGGGTTTCAACTTCAGTGCTTTCATGAAATAAGCATGGGACCTGCTCTTACACTTTGACCCGTCTTATTTCTTTGGGAAAACAAATGTAATTGGTGCGGCATTTGGAGGTGAGGTGCCTTATTCCCTGTAGATTTGGCACAAGCAGTGATATCAAGAGCCCCACTCACTATTCTGCTCATGCAACAGGACTTTGTATCCTCACCCCCCAACAATTGATTTTCAAAGGAGCACAGCTTGACCTATGAAGTTGCAATTTCTGCTTAACTCTGATTCTCCTGCGTTTTCAGTGGGAAGACTGCAGAACAGCTGCTAATTTGGTTGATCCTTTGCTGGTTCTCTGTAAACACTTAATGTAGACAAGCACTTCATTTGAAATGAAGTCAGTAATCCAGGAAGAAACTGAAAGCTGTATCAAGTGGCTGCTTGTATCCTGTAGTTATGGAAAAGGCAGAAGGATGACACCTTGTGGGACTACTAGCACAGTTTGTGCCCTGGAAAACATTGGAGCACAGAAAATAGGAAATGCAAACTATGGTCATTTTGTTAGTGAGTCTGGAGATTATTAAACTTCCATGCAGGAAATATTGGGGGAGAGGGCACATTTGCTCTCACCCTTCCTTGGTGTCTTGTTTCTCTCTCTGCCCCCTGCTTGGAAGGGAGATAGAGATGCACATTCTCATCCTCCCCCCCCCCCCAAAAAAAGGTGGCAAAAGGGTATGACATACAATAAAGAAACTACTAACTTCTGTAAGGGCAGAATAAATTTGGTGGTGGTGATTTGCCATGCACTGGAGTTGTGTGGTTGCTTTTTAACTTCAGGCTTTGGTGCCCTAAGATTTTTTATCAGTGGAAGCTCAGTGGTGTAGATTAGATACTTCCCCGTCTCTCTTCCACAAGTAGTAGGGATAAGCGAGTGCACCCCTGACAAAGGATATTAGCTGGGAATTTATTTTAATAGTGTGTACATGAGTAGCTCAGACTGCACAGTGGTTCCCATGTTTGTTCTGGCCTAAGCACATAGTGCCATATTCAACCTTTGGCACATTGAAACATTTCTGCTTGGATGTCTGATGGAACAAGAATGTGTGAGCTCGTATCTTCATGGACAGCAATGGAGCAGAAGAGACTATTATCCAAACTGGGCCTTCGCTTTTTCATTCAACAGTACACTAGATGGCGTACTTGGGTTTTCAAAGCTGACACATGTGTTCTTGGAATTCTGAACTTTTAACAAACCATGGCAAGTTTTAAACAATTCTCCACTATTTGTAAAGCAAATCTTAAATGAGTATATTTTCTCTTTGTGATTGGCTGTGTTCTTTAACCTTCAATATCAGCATTATATTTGTATATTACCTAATTACCAGGGCTGCAACGTATGCAATATATTATTAATCATGCACTTTACGTGCTTTTAATATGTATAATGGTGCAGCACACATTAATAACACAATGTGAAATGCAACCATAAGCATTATCCCTTTCAGATTTAATGTGCTCATAGCATAACTGAAGTTGAACCTGGTGTGTGTTACAAGTAAGTTGCTTGTTGTAAGGATTGCTGTGTTGGATCAGGCCAGTGGTCCATGTAGTCCAACATCCTTCTTTCACCTGTTGCCTCGATGGGAAGCTCACAGACAAGACCTGAGCGCAAGAGCATTCTCCTCCTCCTGTGGCTTCCAGCAACCAGTATTCAGAAGCATTACTGCCTCTGGCACACAATTTAAGAAAATATTGCTTGGAATCAGATACCAATTTAAGATTCATCAAGGGCTTGTGGGGGTTCACTAGGATAGCTTGAGACTTGTGTTGATGATTTGAGAAAAACACTTCCAGCATAATGATCTACAAAGAGCCTGAACTGAACTGCATAATTTATTATGGTTTCTGTTTCTACTACCTTGCATTTTTGCAACTTGCCTGTTCCAGTGCTGTGGAAGGAATGTTTTCCCAAGCATCAGCAATATACCTTTCAGAAATTCTGTGTGCTCATAGCAGATTCCTTCTTGAAAGTGCATCCGGTATTAAGAGGCTTGTGTTAACATCAGAGTTAGTGTAAGTTCGAAAACCTTTTAAGAACAATCCTGAGGGGTGTGTGGGAAATACCCCGAATGGCCCAATGAGGACTGAGCATGCTTAGCGGCCAGGGATGTTGAGTGAAGTGGTGAGGTGCACAGAAAATCTCTCTGTGTGCGTAGAATGAAGTGCAGTATCATTTTCAGTAAAGAGGATGTAGCTGAGAAGAGCACTCCACACGAGGACATGGAGCATTGCAAGGTGGTCCTACTTGTATCACCTGTATTCAGCTTCATCAGTATTTCTACTATAATCACACAGTTCTTAAATCTTCAGATATCTCAAATCTTCAAATATCCAAAGGGCTGTCACATGGAGCAATTTTGTTTTCTTCTGCTCCTGCATTGCAAACCAGTGGCTTCAAGTTACAAGACAAAAGATTGCAACTGAACATCAGGAAGAGCTTTCTGACAGCAAGAGCTGTTCAACAATGGAACAGACTCGTATCGGGAGGTTGTGGACTCTCTTTCATTGGGAATCTTTAAGCAGAGATTGGATGGCTATCTGTCATGGATTCTTTAATTGAGATTCCTGCATTGCATGGGATTGGACTAATTGACCCTCAGGGTCCCTTCCAACTTTACAATTCTATGATTCTGTGATTCAAGCAATGAAGATATAAATGAAAACTAATCCTGGTACACAGCCAGTCAAATACTAAATCGGATGTTGGTCATGGTCAAATTGCATACTTTTTGTGTAGCTAATACAAGGCTACAGGGGCATTTTTAATGTGACAGGTTTCACTGTATTTGAAAAAGGCAACCTGATGCAGCTGCAAGGCAGCACTGACTCTGCAGTGCATCTCCCTTAAATAATTTGCTTGGGACTAGTAATTGTTTCTAGTGATTGATAACATTAAAAAAAGAAAGCACTGTGGTGGGGAAGATGGAGATACTTTTTTTCTATTGAAAGCACAAGCAAAGGAAATTCACCTGGGAGTAAGAACCATTGGACTCAGTGGGATTTACTTTTGAGTAACCATTAATAAGATTCTGTTGGTAGTGTTTTTTTATGGACAGCACAGATAATTTTAAGAAAGTGTTAGTGGCATTATCATTTTTTTCACAGGAAAACCATCTCTTGTCGTTGGCATTTATCCTATGCATACATACTTCATATTATGTGGTCCATGCTTGTTTTTTGTTTTTGTTTTTATAATTAATAGCTGTGAAATGTAGGAGAGAAACCTAGAGTTCTAGAACCAATTCGTTGAACTTCCCTTTGAATACATTAAAGGCAGTAAAAAATTCCTTTGGGCTTTGGTGAAGTGTTTGCCGGTAAATAACTTTTTTAAAATTTCCACCTGATATATTTGGTTTTGTTTTGCCAGATACTGTTAAAAAGCTTCAAGACCAAAAGCATGATATGGAAAGAGAGATCAAGACTCTTCACAGACGGCTCAGGGTATATAAGCCAGTTCAATATATCATGGTTTGGGGTGGAGGTGCATCGGGTGTGTTATAGCAGTGCCTTTGGACTCCATTGCTGCTAATTATATTTTATTTAAACTGTTTATATCCCACATATCATGGCCTTCCAAAGCTGTAAATTTCTTTTTCTGCTCCATTTTCAGGAGGAGTCTGCGGAATGGCGGCAGTTCCAAGCTGATTTGCAGACGGCTGTGGTCATAGCAAACGATATAAAATCTGAGGCTCAAGAAGAGATTGGAGACCTAAAGCGCAGGCTGCATGAAGCTCAGGAGAAGAACGAAAAACTCACAAAAGAGTTGGAGGAAATAAAATCACGCAAGTGTGTGAATGACATTTTGGGTTCATTCATTATATTTTCCTAAAATTACTTTATTTAATCTCTGAAAGTTATTCAGCAAGAAACTGTATAGTAAAATGTTCCTGTCAACAAAAATATTTGTTTATAAGTGTGTAAAACACACAAGCCACTCTACACGTAGGAAAAAGGACAACAGATATTTGCCCTTAAAGGTAAAGGGTAAGGGGACCCCTGACCATTAGGTCCAGTCGTGACCGACTCTGGGGTTGTGGTGCTCATCTCACTTTGTTGGCCAAGGGAGCCTTCCGGGTCATGTGGCCAGCATGACTAAGCCACTTCTGGCAAACCAGAGCAGCGCACGGAAACGTCGTTTACCTTCCCGCCAGAGCGGTACTTATTTATCTACTTGCACTTTGACATGCTTTTGAACTGCTAGGTTGGCAGGAGCAGGGACCGAGCAACAGGAGCCCACCCCGTTGCGGGGATTCGAACTGCCGACCTTTTGATCGGCAAGTCCTAGGCTCTGTGGTTTAACCCACCGCGCCACCCGCGTCCCTATATTTGCCCTTAGACTGCACTTTTAAAATCTTTAAAACTTCTGCACATGCCTCTTGGAGATTTAGAAAAATGGCAACTCCATTCTCCCCACTGCTAAAGGAAAAACTCTCAGAGAAGACTGGCAGGTTCCAATAGGGTTACAGGGGCAAGCTCTGTGCCACAGCTCTTCTAAATAGTGGGACATGGTGCCTTTTATGAGTGCCCGCCTTACCTCTAGTGAAACACTTCAGTATGGAGCAAAGTGGCAGGCAGCTTAATAAATTCCAGTGAGCAGCGTCTCTACCTCAGGTAAAGGTTCCATGTTGCTTTAGTATGTACCCTAATGTCTCACATGGCAGAGTGAGGTACAGAAACACACATTATAGGGTCTTAGTTTCAAGGGTCTTCTGTTTAGTTAGCATGAGTACATTCAATTTCCTAAGTGCCGTCCCTCTAGTCCAAATGAATTTGTGGCAAGGCAGGGGGGAAAGAGGAAAGCAGCTGCATCTTCACTGGCTGATGGATGGGGCCATGTTAGTCTCCCCCTTATGCACTGCCTGGGAGTCCGTTATGCACTGCCTGGGAGGCCAGGGTAGCAGCTTCTCAGTGGCTGTGGTTTCCTGGCCAATGGCCAAGATTAGAGAGTGCCTCCCTTCAGCTCTGCTGCCCCAGGTAATTTCAACCCAAGGCATAAAAATCCTTACTATATAAATACAATTGATGCCCTTCCCCATCTCCCCTTTCTCCAAAAAGTAATACAGTGGTACCTCGGGTTAAAGTACTTAATTCGTTCTGGAGGTCCGTTCTTAACCTGAAACTGTTCTTAACCTGAAGCACCACTTTAGCTAATGGGGCCTCCTGCTGCTGCCACACCACCGGAGCACGATTTCTGTTCTCATCCTGTAGCAAAGTTCTTAACCCGAGGTACTATTTCTGGGTTAGCTGAGTCTGTAACCTGAAGCATATGTAACCCGAGGTACCAGTGTAATGAAACTCTTTCTCAAATGACTTTCAGTTTCAGACTTGCTCTCTGGCTTCGTAGCCTGTTGGAAGATTTGACCCACTCCAAGTAGGCTTCCCAGTGTAGCAGACGCCCTTCAGACATGTCCTCATGAATGAGTCCGTTGCTTAAGCACAGTATAGAGGGAGGAATTCAAGTTCCTTAGCAGTGTGCTTGCACTAGAGGATTGGCTTGTGCAAGAGAAGGCACAGGAAGCTGGCATGGTTCTTGTGACTGGTTGTGTAGCACATTGCAAATACAAGCTTCTGCTAGAGCAACTTTTGTACTGGATTTCATATTGCACAACCGTTATTCTCACCCTTGTGTTAGCACAGCAGCCCTTGTGCTGGCGGTCAGAGCACTGAACCCATGCCAGATCATTTCATAGTATCTTGACAACTGCCTTCCCCTGATATTCAGGCAAGAAGAGGAACGTGGCCGCGTTTACAATTACATGAATGCTGTTGAAAGAGACTTAGCAGCTCTGAGGCAAGGAATGGGTTTGAGTCGCAGGTCATCCACTTCTTCAGAGCCAACGCCCACTGTAAAAACTCTCATCAAATCCTTTGACAGTGCCTCACAAGGTAATTTGTTTTTTTGTACCTGCATAAACTTAGTGCAATTTTGTTTGGAAGCACCACCATTGGTTCTGTTAGCTCAAAATTTTGAACAGAACAAGCACTCCATGCATACATCAGTAGAATGTAGCACATTTTTTTTCGAGGGAGCTCCAGCCGGGTGACGATACATGTGGAAATGTATTGGATAATATGTGCTTCAGTTTTGCAAGCCCAAAACCATGCACCCGAGTTTTAAAAGTTTCTTGTTGTTCTGGGGCTTTGAATATATGGCAATCCTTATTTATCTAAGTTTTCAACCTTCTTTTAAGTTGCTTCATCTTAGTCCACAATGGTCTGTCTTCAGAAACTAACTGTTGTTATTATAGTTGAATCTATGTATTTCATTATTATGCTTCTGTGGCACTTAATAATGTTCAGATATAAAAATTCATCTGGGCTTATAAGTCATCAAGAATCTGTTTACAAAAAAAGGGCACATTTTAGCTTTAGATAAGGAAACTGCTTTTTGGGCAAGCTGCATAGGTTACTTCTCTTATATCTTTGCGCTCTTTGCATGTTATGAAAACAGAACTTGGCCAGATTGTGCAGGCCTCGCTACAGGAGGACATGGCCAAAATCTAGAATATGTGAAATTGGTAAATAGCTGCCAGTCACACTTGGGTCACTCACTTCAGATGAGAAGATGTCTTACTCTGCAATCTTGTGCCATAAGTGAAAAAGATGCAAAACTGTTGCTCTTAATTGATTTTTCTTTCCTTTTTCTATTGGGATATTTAAACTAGATGTTTTAGTGTTAATTGAATTTTTCCTGTTTTTTAAAGGAACTTGCTTGCTATTAATGTAAGCTGCCTTGGAATAGCACTGCTCTTGAAAGTCTGCTTAGAAATACTTGAAACCAACCATACTTACCCCCTGTTTATTTTGTTGTTTTTGGTAGTTCCTAGTCCAGCTGCAGCTACAATGCCTCGTACCCCCCTGAGCCCAAGTCCTCTTAAAACCCCTCCTGCAGCAGCAGTATCTCCAATGCAGGTAAATGTGTGTTTACTAACTGGAAGAGACTGTGAAGACTGATGTCTTGGTTTTCAAACAGCTTAGTTCTTAAATGTTTTGGCTCCCAAACGCCGCATACCCGGAAATGACTGTTCCAGTTTGGGAACTATTTTTGGAAGCTGAATGTCCAGCGGGGCTTCCACGGCTTCTGATAGGCTATAGGAGCTTCCTGCAGCCAATCAGAAGCTGCACTTTGGTTTCCAAGCATTTTGGAAGTCAAACTGACTTCTGGAACGGATTCTGTTTGATGTCCAAGGTACAACTGTATTGGAATTTGTAATGGTGCTAGCATGATGCAAAATCAAGAGAAGGTTTTGCAGTAAAAATCGTGCATTAAATTTGTCATTCATAATTGCATCCTGACCTTCACAAAATTCAGAGTGACATACATGGATTTTCTCCTCTTTTTGATCCTCAACAACCATTAAAGGCAGGTTACACTGAGAAAGTGACTAGCACAGTTGACCTAGTGGCCAGATTCAGATGTAAGGTTTCCAAATCTCTGACATATGGTTTGGAGTGGCAATGAATTTGAATAGTCTTCCACCCATTCCCCTGTCCTCTCTTTAAGCCACTTAGTTTGTTTAGTCACAGATATCTGAACCTGCAAACTGAGACTTAAGCACTTCCTACAAATTGGTTTGATCGTGGTGGACAGTCTTTGTTTGTAGAGAGTGCCTAAACAGTTTAAAGTAGCACAAGGAAGCAGGTTTAACAAACCAGGAAGTCACTGCTGCAACTGAGTGTGAGAAGAGAATGGAAGAGGAAAGAACATTCATGCTCTTGCTTGTTCCCAATCCACAAAACCATGGTTTGTAAGACCTGGGAATGTTGCATTTGAATCTGGCCAGTGAGCTCCAGCGTGTCCCTAGTTCAAGTTCTTGTTCCCTACAACTGTTATGTCATTTAGCCTTCAAGCCAGTTGAGAGTACTTAGACCAGCAGTTCAGACATGAGGACTATGATTATAGTTAATAGTTTATTATTATTCTGTAACTAAAATTCATTAAAATGCCCACCTGCTCTCTCACCAGACCTGCGAAGTAGGCCACCAAGTCACATTTTATAAGCAGGGAACTGCAGACTCTAGTACTGTTGTCTATACTGATTTTTTTTAATATAAATTCTGATTCATGTTTTAAAGATTAAACACTGTTGGTTGTACTTAGTTTTACTCAGGGTGTAAACCTGATGAAAAAAATAGTCCACATTGCTGGCTGTGCTGAATTGAACCTACGTCCAGGGACCACAATAGTGCTTCTGTGTGGGTTTTGCTTGTCTTAATATCTCACCAATAATAGTTCTTGTTTTCCTTCAGAGGCATTCCATAAGTGGACCAATATCTGCTTCCAAGCCCCTCACAACTCTGTCAGACAAAAGGCCAAGTTATGCAGAAATCCCAGTGCAAGGTAGGTGTTTTTTCTCTGTTAACATTATTTCACTAAAGCTCCCCCAGAGTTCTCCTGAGGTTAAAAAGAAAAGAAAAGCACACTGAATAAGAGAGCGTAGAAGAGGCTCTTTTGACACATGAGCTCCTTTTCTTTTGAGTACAGCAAAGTATTGTTCATATAGAGGGCTTAATGTCCTTCATTACCTTACCCCCGCGCCTGCAAAAGGAAGATGCAAAGCATAAAAGCTCAATAACATACTGTTAATTAGTGCTATGTATTATTTCAATTTCCTTCTTTCCATGCTCACCTGATCTGTTTCCTTTTACTTTATGCTAGTTTGCACTGAGCTACACTGGGCAGAGGTGAGACAGGGAGGGCTAGACTGACTTTAAAAAAGGAGACCCACAAGAAATTATACTACCATATGGTCACAGTGGAATAATTGTTTGGGTAACAGGTGCATAGAAGTCATAAAGGCCGCAGTCTTTGCAGATAAGGGTATAGCGCTTGAATATGCTAAAATCAATACTTAATCAGCGCTTGTATAATTAAAAAAGCAAAGAAATGTTTTATTGTTATGAAAGCCACCTTAGGAGCAGGAGGAATTATTTCCAAAGCAAAACAGTAAGTAAAGCTAAAAACAGGCCCATCCCATGTATTTGTAATCAAGTAGATTTTAGGAGCATTCACTAGCTGCCTTCCGAACATCTGGTTGTCAGTATGGTGTGTGGGGAAAAAAGAGGGAGGAAGAGGATGAGAGAGAGCCTAAAATAGTACATTCCAGGTACTGTTCTATTATTTTTCTGTTTCTGAGAGTTTGGCCTCCAATGTAGGACAAAACAAAAAACCCCATAAAACTGCTGTTCTCCACTTCTTGATTGTGGCAGAGTCAGCTGGCCAATTATGCATTGCTAAGATCTGTCTGGGCATCCTAACTAACTTCAGGAGGAAGTGAATGATGGACTGGTGCCTGCATTTGTTGAGATGTCCCTTGCACGCTAGTGGAACTGCACTTGATAACTGCAGGAAAGTGTAGGAGCCTGTGCGGATTTGTCAAGACTCAAGAACAAAGCTTGCTGGGAGAGGACAGCAATTTGTTCTCTGCTGCCACAGATATCAAAGCTAGAGCTAAAGACCTAAGTTATGGGAAGGTAGATTTTGGTTGTTTGTTTAGATTATTTTTATACACCTGTGCTCAAGCCACAGGACAGTTTACAACAGTATCAGATAGGATAAGATCAAGTAGAATCCATAAAAACACACAGTCCATCAAGTACATAATACAGTAAAGGTAAAAGGTAAAGGACCCCTGGGCGATTAAAAGTCTAGTCAGAGGTGACTATGGGCTTGCGGTGCTCTTCTCGCTTTCAGGCCGAGGGAGCTGGGCTTTGTCCACAGACAGCTTTCTGGGTCATGTGGCCAGCATGACTAAACCGCTTGTGGCGTAACAGGACACCATGACAGAAACCAGAGCACACAGAAACGCTGTTTACCTTCCCACTGTAACGGTACCTATTTATCTACTTGCGTTGGTGTGCTTTCGAACTGCTAGGTTGGCAGGAGCTGGGACAGAGCAAGGGGAGCTCACTCTGCCATGGGGATTTGAACCACCGACCTTCGGATCGGCAAGCCCAAGAGGCTCAGTGGTTTAAACCACAGCGCCACCCGCATAAAGTAACTCACTGCAACTCACTAAATAGCAATTTACCAATAGCAGAATCAACTAATCCATTTATCTTAACAATTCTGTGGCTGAAGAATGGTTCAAGAATGGCACCAATGCCTATGAGTGGGTGGTGATGTTATCAGAGGCCTTCAGGCAGAGGAAGGGATATACTCCCTCTGGAATTCCTTTGTCGTACAGGGGTTGGGATAGCTGGCCTATAACTACTTGTGTAGCTCTTCCATTTACTTTCAGTGCTGTCAGGGCAGTATTTTAATAATGTCCATAACAAAAGGTAAGGCAGTGTTGAAAAAGCCCTTTCTGTGTTGAAGAAACAAGGATTATATGTTCACTGTTTACTTCTCCATTTCCTGGTGCTGGTCAACTTGTTCTGCCTATAAACTTTTCCTTTCAAAGTGCCCTTCCTGTAAGAATGAATAGCTCTCGTGTAATGGGTGTAGTTCTTTGATTTATGTCTGGGGGCTTTTAAAATAGACATTTCTCAAGAATAGCTTTCTTAGGGCCAAGCAGTAGGCTTCCTTTTCTGCCTTGACAAATGTCAGCTAAACACCTACAATGTAAAGATTTTTCCAGGGATGAAATAGTATTTTGTGCTAAGTTTTTATTCAGTTATGCTTTGAATAGCATTGGGGTGATATTATATTCAAAGTAAATTTTAAACACACTTGACGTTTAACAGAAACTAATAAGGCACTCCCTACACAGTGGGTGGCCAACCTGTGGCATAGCTGACACAGACTTGTAGCCGTTTGTGTCCATTTTGGACTAGGCTGAAAAGTGCTGTGGACTGGGCCATCGCGTAGCATCAGACTTGAACTTCAGTTATTAAAATAACTTATAGCCTACCCTTCCACTGCAGCTCAGGGCAGATTGCAACAGTTAAAATTAAATAAATATAAGCAATTAAACAGCTGCAATATAGTAAAACAAAAGGAGAGACAGCAGATAAAACAGCTTTTTTTTAAAAAAAACCTGGAATCAGTTTAAAAACCTTGTCCTAGCAGGTCAGATCCCTGCTGGAACAAAAATGTATTTGTTGGACCCAGAGGGTCATGACAGACGGAGCCAGCTGAATCTCCCATGACTAGAAGTTCAGCAGCCAAGGAGGGGGCCACTTGAAAGGCTCTATCCCACAGCAAGCCAAATGCCACCAGTACACAAAGAACAGCCTTCTTTCCTCCACCCCCCAAAAAACCTATAAATGGATGGCCAGGCTTATACACAAGGAAGCAGCTCCTAAAATACTCTGCGCCCCAGGCTTTAAAGGGAATCGCTAGCACCTTAAATTGTGCCTGGAAACAAACTGCTAACCAGTACAACTGATGTAGTGTGCCAGTGCCAATCAACATCCTTGCTGCTGCATTCTGGGCCAATTACCTGATTTCCAGCCAATCAAAGGCATGAATGTTGTTGCATAGGTACTGTATTGGGCAGTGGACTGGGACACTTGTGATCTTTGGAATCTATTTGTGTTAATGATGTGGCCGCCACAGATCTACACAAACAGAGTAGCTTTTCACTATCAGCTCTGTAAACCCAAGCTGCCCTGGCCCCCTAAAGGCAATATGTATACAGATTTTCCTCTCCTTTGGCCATGCCATTGTATAAAAGTGTTGGATGACTTCTCCGGATTGGGTCAAGATGTAAAAAGACATTTCAGAATGGAGTGGCATGGGGGCGGGATTCAAGGGACAGAGCTGGGGGATGGGGGGCAGAGTCCTATCAGCATTTGCAAAAGCCCATCTGACTGGTGACCAATTAGTAAGGGAGTTGATCCATTGTGAGATTATTCTTAAGTCTTTGTTGCTTCTAAGCAATTGCACCTGTTGCTGAGCCTGGCCTACACTTGCAGCAGCAGAATATGAGTTGGCTAAAATGAACTTTACTATAGGAAGAAGATACTATTTTTGAATGCATTGCCTATGTAAGAAAAAAACACCTCCCTTCAAGTCAAGAAGCAGGCTAGCCTAGAGCCTGTCACCCTGATATGCTAGCCTATTACTTGAAAACAGTTTTTCTTTTTCTTTTTTAAAAATAATAGAGCATACAAAATGGCATTGCTCTCCTGCTGTGGTGAAGTCCATTCTATCTTCTCATTTTATAAGACCAGGCCTGAAGCTTGTGGTAATGAAATGCCTTTTCTTTATTCTCTCTCTGCACAGATCATTTGCTGAGAACTTCCTCAACCAGCAGACCAGCTTCCCTGCCAAGAGTTCCTGCTATGGAAAGTGCCAAATCTATTTCTGGTAATAATTATGCCATGCTAATAAGGTGGTGCTTCAGTCACAGAGTCTTGGTGTGCAATGCCACCAGCTTCTTTTGAAACAGTTTTGTTGGTCTTTTCTGACATAACAGCAGTAAGTAAAGTGGGTAGAGTTCCATATTGACACTGTAGGTGAATCTCGCCCACATTGCAGGGGGAAAGCCGCCTTAGTGACTGAGGGAGGGTTTCCTCTCTCAATTTAAAGGTAAACGCCCTTGCTATTCTTTATGTGCATTTGATGGAAATTAAGAGAATTAAAACTGGCAGTCTAGATTTGTTCCTCACTGCAGCAGAGAGAAAGAGTGCTGTGTGCCTTCATGTTTGTCCTCTGTTACACAGTATGTGATTTTGAATAGAACATAGAATATTTTTGTGACTACCCGTGTTCTACAAAAACTAAATCCTTGCAATCAGTCCTCTGTAGAGAAAAATAGTTAGAAGGCTTCAAAATCTGCCTCTTCCAGAGAAGGAGTCCTGACACGTTAGGCCCTTAGAAGATATTCCAAAACTTTGGAACGCTTATATTTAAAAGCAAAAACTCAAGTCATGCTTCTTCAGGAAAAATTAATGCCATCTTTATATTTGATAGATGAGATTGCTATTGGCGTGATAGAGAACTTAAAAGTTTTGTACAATTCAGTAGAAAATTAGTTACTCATCATCTAGATTTTTGCAAAGGCTCTTAGTTTTCTTTTATGAGAAAGAGAAAGAAATGGTTTCTAAGGTGTTTTTCCATTTCAGTGTCTCGGCGAAGCAGTGAAGAAATCAAGCGGGACATCAGTGCCCCTGATGGAGCATCTCCAGCCTCTCTCATAGCAATGGGGACCACCTCACCACAGCTGTCTCTCTCGTCTTCACCTACAGCGTCCGTCACCCCTACGACACGCAATCGAATAAGGTACACCTCATTGCTACACAGCCTGTCCTATTTTTCATACAGGGGTATTCTTGCAGCCTTGCCCTTTGGAAGACATCGGTCGCTTTTGCTAGATAATCAGTAAGCTTCCTCTGTAATGGAGAAGCAGCAAACTTCAATGGGTTTGCTCCTCATTTTGGGTAGGTGCATCAGCTGCCCAGCATACCTTTTGTACAAGGAAACAGCCAAGTCAGTCCAAGTCAAGTGGGCCCTTCTGGAAGGCAGGAACTCTCTGGCAGCTGAACAAACAAGTTGATGCCCAAAGCTCACCAGGAAGTATTCCTTCCTTACATCCTTTCCTGCCTCTTTCTCCTCTCCAATTTATGGTGGTCTTGAGTTTGGGGCTGGTACATGGCAGATCCTTGCACTTGCCAGCAAGGCTGCTGATCAAAACCTTCCTTGCTGGAACTGCCTTTGACCTCTTCCCTGGACATCACAGGAAAGTAGAGTTGGAAGGGACCCCGAGGGTAATCTAATCCAAATCCCTGCAATGCAGGGATCTGCAATGAGAGGAGCATGTTTGGACTGCAGTGAGAGCTGCTGCTTCTGTCTTCCTCCGTCTCCCTTTTGCCTGAGCTGGGCTGCAGATCAGCCTCCATGGACCCCTTTGCACAGCATCACCTGAGCACTGGAGGCAGCTGGATGTGTTGGCGGAGCTGCCTAAGGAGCCCTTGTCTCCTCTTCCCTCCACCTTTTGGAACCCCTGCCTGCATTCGTTGGGGGTGGCCAGACCTACTGCTTCAAACGGAAATACCAGTGAACACATCTGGTTTTGAGCAAGGTGTGCATGGAGAATAGAGGTTGCTGTAAAGAGCAACTCTGAATAAGAGCTGCATTGAAGGAGGAAAAGTTGCTTTGTTTATTTCCTCATACTTAAATCCCACCTTTCCCCCCAGTTGGAGAACAGTGTGGCTAACAGTCTGGCGGAACCATAAATAATAGCATGAGTAGCTGGGTTAGGAAGAGGGTGGATTACATTCCAAAGGGTTTCACCTTGCTAAGTGAGGGACATGGGAGAGGCAGAGAAGAGAGAATGAACACCGCTCATTGGCTCTACTGTGAGCTGATTGGTGACTGTGACAAATATGATTTGTGCGGGGGGGTGGTGGTGATTCAGTACTTCTCCCGCTTAACTCTGTGGTGTGTGTAGGAACTAGCAGTCAAATGACTGAGCTACTTTATTGGGGGGGCATGAAGAGGTGGGGAAGAGGTGTGTGCAAGCAGTTTAGGGAAATTTTTTGTTGGGCAGCTTCAGGTTAAGTTGGAGGCAATTTCTCTCCTCCCCTTCTCCTTTCACTGTTGCCTCTTATTCCCCTGCCAGATCTCCCCCCCCCCCTTCTGCACTTGGCTTCTTGGCATTTTCATAAATCTTTTAGATCTTTAATTGACCCTTTAATTGGTTGTCTGTCACTGCAGTTCCATAGGTCAGCTGAATAAAACTATTGTTTCAAATTATGTTATCAGACAGTTGCTAGTGGCTTTTTGTGGGGACATGTGCTGACTGTAAAATCTTAGTTGGGTGTCATTTAGGTGTAGAAAGAACAGTATAAATGCAAAAGGAAACCTGTTTGATTTGTAATATTTGTTGGGCTTTAAACATTGAAACAAGAATATCCTGTGGATTAGAAGTGTAAATCTAAACAAGGCAGGGAAGGCTTCTAATGCCAATCTGTGAAACTTAATCAGGCATTGGGTTTGGAATTTAGTTGACCTAGCAGACGCATTTAAAAGATTAATATTTGTTGTAAACTCCTTCTCATTGTGTCCACACCGTTCATTTTATTTGTTTCCTGAAACGCTATTTTCAAAACAAAGAACTTGACATAAACTGTGTTCCTTACTGGAATTTAGAAACAAGCCGTACTGTCCTCTCACAGTGTTATGCATGTTTAGGTTTTTGTTTCTTTTTTTAAAAGAAAATTCTGACTCGAGGTTCTTTTTTTGTTCTTACTTACAAAGAAGTCTAGAAGTCATATTTCTGTTGGTTCTGCTCTCTAGTCTGCTCTGGCTTAAAAGTGTTAGCATCTGGCTTATATAATATATAGTGTGAAGATAATCTGAAAGATTTCAGTTTTATGTTTCATTCAAGTCTGTATGGTTCCCAGTCCAGATTAGACTTTTTCCTTCTCACTTCACAGTTCATCCCACTTATACAATCTGCAAAATCCAAACCTTGCAATCATGGTCATTTTACCCTACTTCAGTGACCAGCCATCTATATAGATAAAGAATAGCAGAAATCATACAATTCTATAGCCATACAATTTGGTCTGCTAACTAAATATAAAAGATCAGGTTCAAAACCCCTCCTCAAATTAATTGTACAAAGGAGGAAAAAAACTTTTAGAAATCAATAATGCACTAGTGTTGTCCTGTTATACATGAAACAATGTTTTTATGAGTATGGAGGTAAAAACTCTTAGACTTTTGGCAAACAGGTGTAAAAAAAACCTAAGTCAAAGGCACACAGTATTCAAAAAAGTGAAGGCACCAAACATTCTCTACTAAAGACATCTGCTCAGAATTTTCCTCTTTTTATTCTAAAATGTTTAAATTGCAATCATTAAATAAAAAAGATACCCACAGTTTCTTAGAAATCTAGCCTAGGCCGTCACTAACTCATTATGAGAAAACCTTTTTAGATAGTCTCATCTCCCTAGAATGTTTCCCCTTACTTTTCATTTAAACCAATTCGTGAACATTGACCACTAATAATGAACCATATGTTGTAGATATTACTGCAAGTTTATTATGCTTTTTTAATATATATAATTATCATGAGAAGACTGGGTCTATTTATTTGTATCATTTATTATTCCTATGATCCTTGTTTATAAAACCCAGTAAAAAGTTATTTATAAAAAAAATTAAAAAAATAGGAGTAGCATCTGCTTCAGACAAATCAGGCAACAGAATGATCAAATCGGAATCTGAGGTATGGCTGTGAAGGAAACTTTTAAGGCTCTCGTACTGAAAGAAATACATAATTAGGAAAGTTGATGCATCCTTTAAAAAAAATCACTTTAATGCCCAGAGAAAGGCTTTATTTGAAAACGTAGCAGTGCAGAGTTAACATTGTGAAGATCCCCACCCCATGCAGTATGGAACCCCACCTGCAATCTGAAATGGCAGGTTTCACTTCATTGTCTGCCGTGTTTGGCTTAGTTCTCAATGTGAAAGAGTCTTTCCTGCAACGAATGGGAGTTTTGAGAAAGCAGGACCATACTTATGCACAGACCCTGTTCATTTTTCTGTGGAATTATGTCCAGTAAACTAACTGAGGAAGTGTCAGGCTGCTTGAATGCATTGTTTAAACTTCGCTTAAATTGTGCTTCTGAAACCAGTTGTGATTCGTAGAAGCTTTAGGTTTATTTATTTATATTTACATGGTAAGGGCTTCCTCTTCTGGAAATGTGATGTTACAGGAAGCCCTTACCATGTAAGTTCAGTCATTGATAATTCTGCTTCTTTGCTGTATGCAGTCCTGGATCTAAAACAGCCTTTCCCAACCTAGTGCCCTCCAGGTGTTTAAGACTATAGTTTTCATCAGCCCCTGCCAGCAGAGCTGATGCTGCAGTAGAAAATAAGTCTTTTGTGCTGGTTGTAGTAAATGGGAGTTCAGGTAAACATTTGGAGGGCACAAGGTTGGGGGAGGCTGGTCCCAGAGGGTTAGGGCAGATACACAGCTGCACCCAGAAACAGCAGCTCCTTCTGAGTCCCTCCCCCCAGATGGAAAGCATGTACCGTATTTTTCGCTCTATAGGACACACCGGACCACAAGACGCACCTAGTTTTTAGAGGGGGAAATAAAAATATATATATATTGTTTCCCCCCCCCCAGCCCCAAAGAGCAGCGGACAGGCTGGAGAGGCTGCGCAAGGCTAAAGAGGAAGTCAAGGCAGCAAGCGGGATGGATCGCGCTCGCTGCCTTGGCTTCTTTAGCCTTGCACAGCCTCTCCCGGCTGGAGAGGCTGCGCGCGGCTATGGCAATTCCCCCACCTCCCGCAAAAGCCCATAGGAGCTGCGCACCCTTTAAGGAGCGCGCGGCTCCTGCGGGCTTTTCTATGAGGAGGGAGAAGGGACTGACTGGCTGCGTCAGTCCCTTCTCCCTCCTGGGGAAAAGCTCGCAAGAGCTGCGCGAAGCTTGGTGGCTTTTCCTGTCTGCCTCCCCCCTGCATTCGCTCCATAGGACGCACAGACTTTCCCCCTTAGTTTTTAAGAGGGAAAAAGTGTGTCCTATGGCGCGAAAAATACGGTAATGGAAAGCATTATTCAGCATCATCACATGTCAAATGTCCCTGCCTTCACTTCTGTTCGTGGAGTGGAGTGGAGGAGCAGAGCCCTACATGCGGTGATGTCACATCATGCTTTCCTTTACTACCCAGTATTTTTTGGGGGGTGTTGAACTAGGGCTGCTGCTTTCAATGGCAGCCGCATGTCTGCACTAGTTCTGCACTCCTAAATCTTGAAGAAGGTAGTCGGTTGACAGTTAACACTCTGGCTTTGCTTTCCCTTCAAGGTGACATTCCTAGTCGGTTATGAGTTGCAGGGAGATACCATCAGTTTATTTTCTAAATTCATACTAAAGTTCAGTGTGGCTTAATGTTCACATCGTTTGTTCTCGAAGCACCTCTAATTGTGGCTCTGAGGTATTAGAAAAAGGATTTATTTCCCAGCTGTCCTCCTCATGAAGTCTCAATCAAATTAATCTTTTCCCACTGCACAGAGAAGTGTCCGTGGGCTGCTATCCTTGCTTTGGTTATCTACCTGGGAGTTCAGGGCAAGGGAGCAAGCTGACAGGCAGGGGGTTGCTGGGAAATTGATCACTTGTCTCTGTGGGGGTGGCTGAAGTGCTGCTGCCTGGGAGTTGCCTAGTCTCAGCCTAGCAATGGGAAGACAGAGGGAAGGCCAGAATGAATATAGAACATGGCGCTGCCCGCAGAGCACAATGCAGTTTTGATAAGAGCAGAATGATATGGAAGGAACTTTCGCTGTTTTAAAAAAATGTTCTGAACATTCATTTGTATGAACGATGTGAATTTTCTCCTTCACTTCTAGAGAAGAGAGGAAGGACCCTTTGTCAGCTCTGGCCAGAGAATATGGAGGCTCCAAGAGAAATGCTTTGCTGAAGTGGTGTCAGAAGAAAACAGAAGGGTATCAGGTAATGGTTGCTTGTCCTTTCTATAGTGCAAACATGAGAGCATCTGCCAGGAGCACAAGCTGGGCTGCTCCACAATTCACGGCATCGATCGTGAAGGAACTGGTATGTACTGTCCTGGCAGGAACACAATGCTGCAGGAGCCAGCTCAGCTGTTATTTATAGTCACTCAGTCACTTTGCACAATACAAACGTGTGTGTTCTTCACAGAACAGCTAATCCGTCCATTAAAGCGGGTTAACGGTGCTATCCTGCACATGTCTACTCAGACAGAAGTCCACACTGAGTTCAGTGGGATTCGCTCCCAAGTTAAATATGTATAGCAGGGACGTCCAACTCCCAAGAGATTGTGATCTACTCCCAGAATAAAAAACTGGCAGTTATCTACCCGTTTTTTTTTGGGGGGGGGGGACACCCAAAATTGTTGACAGGGGGGCAGGTCGAAGTTGTTGAGCTTTTTCTTAGGAGGGCAGGCAAAAGTCGCTCACCAAATGATCGCTATCACCAATAACTCCATCTGCTGTTTTTGCAGTCGTGCACAAATGAAGGACAGGGCAAGGGGGCAGGGCCAGATGCTCTTTTTCCCCCGTGAAGGAAATTGAGACAGTGTTTGACTGCTACCTCCCGGGGATCGACTGGTCAACCAGTTGGAAATCCCTGATGTATAGGATTGCAGTCTAAAATGACTAGCTTCCATCTTGCACATTGATAATTCCAAATTAAGAGGAGGGTGGAGAGCGAAATCTTATTCTAGAGTTAAACCTCTTAAAATGGCAATAATATAGTACATAGAAAGAGGACATTTTATTTTAAAGTGCTTTCATATTGCTTTTCATTTAAAAATCACAGGTCTGTGCAGCATAATGTAAAAATTACAATACAGTGGTACCTCCGGTGGCGGACAGGATCCGTTCTGGAGCTCTGGTCAGATCCTGAGGTTTCTACAACCGGAGGGACTGTTTCTGTGCATGTGCGCAGCACAGTAGAGCACTTCTGTGTATGCGCGTGCGGTGAAACACTTCTGGGTTTGCAGCTTTCACAACCCGAAGTTTACGTTACCCGAGGGTAATGTAAGCCGAGGTGCTACTGTAAAATCAACACCCATACAATAACTGAAAGGCCAAAGGAAACACATCAGCATTAATTGTCAGCAAAGGGGACTAGGTAGAGCATGATTCCTGCTTCTGTCCCCTGGTATTATATTGCTGGTGTTCTTACTCTGTGTGAGCTCATTCTCCTGCTTGCTGGTGATGATGCAAAAGCAGAGTTTGGCAAACCAATATGGCTGTCCCCTGGGGAAGGACCATAGTTTGGGGGCCCTTGCATGCAGAAGGTCCTAATGCCTGGGGGAAGCTCCTGCTTGAAACCTTGGAGAGCCACTGCCTGTTGGAAGAGACAGCCCTGAGCTCGATGGACCTAGTGGTCTGACTCTATGCAAGGCAGCTTTCTCTGGTCCTATCACATTTGGATGGGTGGCCCACTGCCGTGTCCCCTCATTTATCTGGGCTCCAGGCAGACCAGCCTCCTAAGGAGCCACATGCAATACAAGCATGGCCTCCTTTTAGGGGAAGGGGTGTCAGGCATGTGCTTTGCATGCAGAAGGTCACAGGTTCAATCCACTAAGGCATCTCCTGGTAGAGCTGGGAACGTCACCTTGCTGCCAGTCAGTGCAGGCAATACCGAGCTTCTTGGACCAATGGTCTGACTCTGTGTAAGGCTTCCAATGTACTTACTTAGCTTAATTGTATAGGAAATCTTTGGAATGCAAAGGGCAACCTCTCGGTTCTTAAGTGTTACTTTGCTTTGTCAGGCTTGAGACTCACAATACATAAGGAAGTTGGAAGGCTACGTAACAGGATGGTGGGGGGACATTAATAGAAAGGCTGTACAATGAGAGAAGCTTGTTTTTATGTAGGCAGAGGGGGCCCCTCCCCTCTCTTGCTTCCTTGGCATCTCTGCACTGACCGAATGGTGCTATTTCTGAATGTAGACCCTCCACGTCCCCCCTTTCCTTCAAAGGCAGGATGTGGGATGCAGCTGAATGAATCGTAAAACTCTTCAAATGGGAAAGCATCTGAGACAGGGCAAGAAGCATGTGACAGTTTCCTTAATTTGTCACGAGAAAGCGCTCCATCCTTTCTATCTCAAGCAGCCTGTGCCAGAAAGATAGTCCTCTTGCTCACATTCCCGGATTCCCTGCATCGACTAAGTCTGGAGGAGAGAGACCTTTGGTCCGCTTGCAAGGAGGGGCAGCTGATACGTGACTTTCAGCATGTGCCGCTCCCCATGCAGGACCACCAGTTTTGGGAGGGGGCCAGAGTTCTAGTCTTAGGACCAGTCTGCCCTTTCTGTGAACAGTCAAATGAGAAAGCTTTTCCTGCGCTCTGCTATTTCATGCCGCAGGTGATGGGGGTTGGCATTTTTGAATGTTCGCTCACAAAGAAACAGAAAGCTAGCATGTTGAGCAGGAGGGTTTAGCCCTAGCTTTACCCCTGATGTGTCACATTTCTGAATACAGGGAGCTAGTCATGTGAGAGTGCTTTCAAACAGCAGTTTCCCACAGGCAGCCTGAAGTGATACAGCCCTGGAAAAGCTTTCCTACTTGATTCTGCTGACTGTACAAAATGGTCCTTAGGCTCCCATTTTGTTGATGTTTGCACTCATCCATGTAACTTGTTTATGTGAGTAATTTTTTTTTTAAAAAAAACTCCTATAATTCTATTAAAATCAAGTAAAATAAAAAGAATGTTTGCAACTAGTCCAGGGGTGGCCTTCTTTTGAAAACATTTTACAGCTGCTTAGAGCTGGTAGTGACATCACTGTCCATGCAGTAAACACATTTTTTTAATGCTCCCAGTAATGACTATACACCATAACATGCAGTCCCTTATTGGGGAGTTATTGTACCTGGGATGGTAGCCATCTTTTTATTTTTTAAAAAAATATTTTTATACCACTATGTCGTAAAAATGTATATCAAAGTGGTTTGCAACAGTAAAACAATGTCCTTGCATGGCTACCAGGGATATTAATGGTATAAGGGGAAAGGTCCCCATTGTGAAGCAGACCACAATAATCCTCAGACTTCCCTGCTAGTTGACAACACAATCCATTTTTAAGAAACTGCCCATGTGCATGGTAGTTGTTGCTTGCTTGCAGGTCTGTTTGCTCCCCACTTTAGCATAAGAACATAAAAACATCCGAAGAGCCTGTTGGATCGGGCCAGTAGCCCATTTAGTCCAGCACCCTGTTCTCTCAGTGGCTGAACAGTTGCCTTTAGGAAACCAGCAATCAGGATTCGAACACAAGAGCACTATCCCCTCCTGTAGTTTCCAGCAACTGGTATTCAGAAGCATTGCTACCTCCAGCTGTGGAGGCAGAGCACAGCCATTGTGGCTAGTTGCCACAGATAGTCCTCTCCTCCATGAATTTGTCCTGTCCTCTTTTAAAGCCATCCAAGTCGGTGGCCATCACTGCCTCATGTGGCAGCGAATTCCACAGTTGCTATGTGAAGAAGTACTTTCTTTTACCTGCCCTGAATCTTCCGACATTCAGCTTCATTGGGCGTCCATGAGATCTAGTGTTACAAGAGAGGGAGAAAAAGTTTTCTCTATACACTTTCTCCATGCCACGCGCAATTTTATAAACTCCTGTCCTGTCACCTCCTAACTCATCACAACTGTGTCCTTTGTGAGTCCTAGAATCTTGGCCATCCCACATGTAATGTGTGAACTCTGCTGTCCTGAGCATGCCTGACTGTATCCGAACCAGGTCAAAAGGGCATGTGCTCCAGCTGATCTGTTACTCCCACGGCTAGTAGGATTTATAGCAGCGTGTGGAAGCCTGTTACAATAGAAGGACCAGCAAGAGGACGTTTCCTGTCTGAAACAATTCCTCTCTGCAGCACTAAACATAGTAACTAGTTACACTTTCCCAGAATTTTCATTTGCAACATTTTAAGCAAAACTGGGAAGCAGATGTCATAGATAGATAGATATTTTATTTACGGCTATTAGCCCATAAAGTATGTACAAACATAAAAGCACAGAGGCATAAAGACTAATATATTCGGCACCAGAAGGTGAACACCATGATGCAGGGGTGGGTCATTGAGCAGAGCCAGAAGCAGATGTCATAACTTTGTCTGTCACTCTTTTGCCATCTATTGAGAGGTGTACGTGCCTAGGGGAGGGTGCTCTTCCTCTGGATTTCCTGCACTGGGGGGTGGGAGTGGGGGGTGCTGACTAGTTGTCCTGCTTGTAACCCCCCCTTCCAACTCTAGGATTCGCTGCACATCGTTCTGTTTGTGATGGGAGCTAATCAATTTATTTTTACCACTGATTTTTAGTGTGTCCAGTCATCTTAAAAAATTGTGCCCAGCAAAGATGATGCCCATCAGCATGCACAATGCTTCTTTTCCAATACAGTGGTGCCTCGCAAGACGAAATTAATCCGTTCCGCGAGTGTCTTCGTCTAGCGGTTTTTTCGTCTTGCGAAGCAACCCTATTAGCGGCTTAGCGGTTTAGCGGCTATTAAAGGCTTAGCGGCTTAGCGGCTTAGCTGCTAAAAGGCTATTAGCGGCTTAGCGGCTTAGAAAAAGGGGGGGAGCGAAAAAAAATCTCAAGACTCGCAAGACATTTTCGTCTTGCGAAGCAAGCCCATAGGGAAATTCGTCCTGCGAAGCAACTCAAAAACGGAAAACCCTTTCGTCTAGCGGGTTTTCCGTCTTGCGAGGCATTCGTCTTGCGGGGCACCACTGTACTCAAGGTTTATTTGGGGTTTTTTGTGGGGAAACCCTTGAAGATCTCTGGCAAATCGGAAAGGAGTAATAGTGATGGCAGAAGGATATTTCACATAAAAAGTTCTCTTCTGCTTCCCTTAAAATCAGATTGTTTACAGCATAATGAAATTTCAGCCACATTCATAAAATACTACTTAATTAAACATCTTTAAAGTTGAAACCCAAGTTTATCATTTTTGCTGTACAAAGACTAGGATTGCCTCTATCCTTTGCAGTTGGCCGTTCACACTCAACCATGGTTTGACTTAGCATTATGTGGAAACAAAGGCAGCGTAGCATGAACTATACCACATAGTAAGATTTAGCATCTTAACTTTGTCCAGAAGTGGTTTGGTGCCATGAATTTATCCTAAGGGTGTCAAAGCTCATGGCGGACAGATTTTGAAAAATAGCAATCATTTATATCCTACTACACTTGTGGAAATGCCTGAGTCCTTCTAGAACAGGCATGTCCAAAGTCCATTTTGGGGGCCTAATCCAGCCTGCCGTTCAGTTTAATCTAGCCCCCGTGACAGTTTATTTCCTGGGGTAAAATACTAAAAAACGCTCAACAACTTCAATCTTAAAACTGGCTATCATGCATGTTCACTTCATTAGATCTGGCCCGCTTTGAAAAAGGTTTGGACACCCCTGTTCTAGAATGATCCAACAGCTACTAGATCAATTTTTCTGAAGCATTCATCTGTTTTTTACATTGCATTGAAATTACATTTTCCCAGCACGCGGATCCCAGTTTGTCATTGCTGGTAAAATGCTGTTACTTCCCCATCACAATAGCCCACAAAGTATTAATTTCTCAATCAAAATGGATGTATTTTATATACTTTGCTGACATAAGTGCTCAATTGAGAATGAAAACAACTTAGCAGCCTATTTAGTTGATCTCTTGAGAGGCCTCTCGGCAAAAAGTTAGATACCTCATGCCCTTGTGTTTGAGCATCGTTCAGAGGAAGATAAGACCTGAGCACTTAGTCATAGGTGACTTAGCAAATTGAGAAAACATTGCCGTGGACTGTGGCAAGTTTGTAGCTAGTCAGCATTCCTGCCATAAGCTTCTATTGATGTTGCAACCATCTCTTCAGGACTCCTACCTAAATATTAGTCATCTTTACTTACTTGCACTGTGCTTAGTGTCAGGTTTAATATTTACAGCTGATACCAAATGACAGAGATTTTTTTACTCGGGGAACTAAAAACCATGTGAAATAGCACCCTTCCCAACTACGTATTTCACAGATAGATCCATGAATAGTAAATAACTGCTGAGAGTGTAATGTTATTGATTATTACATGGGCACAGAGTGTCCCAAAATTTTGCATCTGATGACAGTATTAAGGGACTGTACAATGCTGAGCATTTTCAGTAACATCTATGAGAAAAATATATTCACAGAAGTGTTTACACTTCGTGTTCTTTCTTTCTCTCTGCACCCTTCAGCTATTGATCATTTAGCTGTTTTTACTTAGAAGTAAAACCTCTGTGGTAATTTTAAAATGCTTGTCATGCAACAGCGTTAATTTCTGAGTGCTCGTAAAACTAGGTATAGCACCCTCCCATAACTAGAGGTGGAAAGGAATCATTTCTGCTGACATGCCAGGAAGAGGTTTAACTTGGAAGCATGTGCAGTCAGAGCAGCATTACCGAGGGAAAATGTCTTGGGTAGGGAAGTAGCAAGTTGTTTTTGAGTTTCCTCCTGGGGGAAACAAAATAAGCTTTTATCTTAGGTTGCTAATGGATCTGCTGTCTTAATTCTTGCAGAATTCTGCTCATTCAAACCAATGCTTCTTAAAAAAATAATCAGGACTCAAAAATCTTCAATTTAACCTGCTTCTCCTCTTGCAAGGAGGGAAGTTGCTATCTCTTTTCTCCTTCTACAAATGTCACTGAGTAATAGAATAAGTAAGCCTCACAGTAGGTTTCTCTCTTACATGTGTGCATATTTCCCTCCCCTCTTAGAATATTGATATCACAAACTTCAGCAGCAGCTGGAATGACGGGTTGGCTTTCTGTGCTGTTCTTCACACTTACCTCCCAGCTCATATTCCCTATCAAGAGCTGAACAGTCAAGACAAGGTGAGTATTATACTGAGCTTTGTTGAATGTAGTTAAAACCATGCTGGAGACCAGAGCCCCTTCTCAGATCCTCTCATGGACCAGACTTGCACTTCTGCCACTATTCTGGTCACCAGCACTCACTGGCAATTGCAATTCCCCATTTGCAGTCCTAGTCACAAGCACACCTTCCTCGCACTTAGTCCATTGTATATTTGTTTAAAAACTTTGTGTGATGTTTTGTTTTTTGCATTCATTCATTGTCTTTGTCCACACATTACTTTAAATGAGTTAAAAACAAACCCAGTAGAGGGGTGCTTAAAAGAGTTTTGCAAGCCTGTGATCAACTCGCTGGACAAGTCCCTAAGGCAACATTGTCTTTTTAATTAAAAAAAAGTTGTTTAGTAGATTTATTTTTGACTCAATGTATTTTTCAGAAAAGAAATTTCACTCTGGCTTTCCAGGCAGCTGAAAGTGTTGGCATCAAATCCACTCTGGTAAGTGTGTGCAAAGTTTAGGGCGATCTGACTAACTTTTACCTGGAAGACTAATTGCTAAATAGGCACATGCAAGGATTGTGCTGTAGCTGTGTGTTTGAAATTACTGTACAAATAAATTCTGGGATAGAAATATCATAACTGAAAACTAGAAGGCTCCTTTAAAGAGAGGGTGTGTGTTTGTGTTTGTGAAAATAAGGCTGGTGCGATTAAATTGCAAAACAAGACTATAAATTAGTGCCCTGCAAGTGCTCTCACTCTCTTGGCCAGACGAGACTCAACACTATATGCATTATTAGACAGCACACCCAGTTTTGTTTTCCTATTTGGGGAGAGATCATCATGCAGACCACAGTGCACAGGGACATGAGTGTTAGGTTAACCCTTCCCAGCTGTGATCTTTTCACTTTGGCATCCAGTGGGGCAATCCCACAAGAAGGGATTTTGTCATGATTGCAGCTGGGTAAGGGAGCGTTAAACCTGCCCACATACTGCAGTCCCAATGAAAATTGTGGGACCCTGTGCCAGGGCCGGATTTAGGTTTGATGAGGCCCTTAGCTACTGAAGGTCACGGGGCCCTTTATATGTCCAGCTGTCCTTTGTCAACAACAAATTGTCACTGTTTTTTGTGTTGAATATATGCTATATGGTAATTTATGGACCTAATAGGTATCTAAAGCCATAATGGGATCAAAATAAATCAATTATGTATTGCATGAAATCAAATCAGTAGGCATAAGACTCATATCCTTAGTCTATGCTGCCTGATCATCAGTCTACAAGCACTCTTTAATATTAGATAACAGATACAACGACATTCAACTGTGCTGCACTGCAGTCTGCAGCTGCATGCTACATGCAGCCATGCAACCAGTCCATGCAGAATGTAGGCACCCTGTATATAGAAATGAGCAAACCAGTGATATTTTAGGGAGCAGGCTAGCAGGCGGGGCCCATTACTTAACATCATAGGAGCCTACACAACACAAAACACTGTTGCTATATGTAGGGGTTTTTTTTTTTTTTTAAATCATCTTATATTTGGGAAATGGACATCTAGGGGTTTTTTTCTTTAATTTTTTTGGAGGCCCCAAGAGAGTGGGGCCCTAAGCTATAGCTTGTTTAGCTTATACGTAAATCCGGCACTGCCCTGTGTCTCTTCTTAACAAATCAGCTCATGACTGTTGGAAATCGGTTAAAACCGGTGCCATTTTGTACTTGTCATGGAGGTCAAACCTTTATTCTGCTTGGTGGTTCAGAGGAGGCAAACCTATAAAGCAAATCTAAAAATAGCTCTCCTTGCTCACGGTCAAGTCTCTGCCAGCCATTGTCTGTGAGTTCACAATGGGGAATGCTACTGTGGTTAATACTTATAAACTATGCAGTAGCCAGTGAAGGTGGAACTGGCTTGGACCCAAGAGGGCCATGGATGGCAGCATTAGGGGTACTGTTGCTTCCCTTCTGCAGGTAAGGGCTGAAGGGCAGAGGCTCACCTAACAAGTCCATGGGACCCACCGACAGACATGGACAGCCAGAGCTAAAAGCAGGGTGGGGTGCAGAATGGACAGCCTCCAATCCTGATCTCGTTTTCTTTTTAGACACCCTGATTCCCCCTCCTCGCAAAAAGCCAGCTATATGACTTTCCTCTTGCCTTTTCACACTCCCATTTATCATCTCTGTTGACCAGAGAACACAATGCAAGCAGGAGAGCAGCAGATATGCAGCAAATTAGCATCCAGTAATGCAATTAATACGTAGGTATTCCGAAAGCAAGACAGGACTTGTACTTTAAGCTACACACAAACTGTTCACATGTGGAACTACAATTCCCAGGTATGCCTTGCTCCCCACCCACCCCCAGGATAAGCTGAGCACTACAGAATTAGAAGCAGAGCCTGCAAGCTTTTCCTTATTAAATGTCTATCTTACAGATGACCAGTTATAGATGTGATTATGATTAACAGAGTACAAGAGTTATTGGAAGGTGGATATCTGTTTATATATTTTTCTCTCTCTCTCTTCCTTCCCTCTGGTAGGACATTAATGAGATGGTACGAACGGAACGCCCAGACTGGCAGAATGTCATGTTGTACGTTACAGCGATTTACAAATACTTTGAAACCTGAGAGCTGGAACATCAATAGAAAATGTTGGGGAAGCACAATCCCAGCACCACACACTAAGCTCAACCAACACCTCTTGACTTTGGATGAAACTCTAAAACAGCATTCTGAGTGGCTTTGGTGAGCAAGGTTTCGTTAACCCAGCACTTGGGCAAACCCAAATAGCTAAATGAGCTGGATTAAATTATTAGCCTGTGAAGCCTGAACTTTACAAATGACCCTGTAAGGCCAAGTGTCAAAAAGCTTCCAAACTTCCGTTGGTGAAGAGTGAACTGAATGAGATGCCACTGAATCGACAAGGCTGAAACGTAAGGGAAGGAAGTCTCTAGGACTGTATTGCAAGACTTTTCTTCATGGAAAACACCTCTGGCGGTTGGGTGGGTGTTCTGCTTGTTGCTCCTCACCTAAGTACAGGAAAAACTTTTAATCATCACCTAGTTATTGCCTTATTCTATCTCCAGCTCCTCAAAGTGCACAATTCTTATAGGAAGTACAAGGGTGTCTTCTCCCACTGAGTTCACCTGACTGAAGAATGGTGTCAAATCTTGGCCTACTCTCAGTGCACAAAATGAAGAGTCTGTGTTTAAGCCTACCTCTCTTCTCCATGGCTTCCAACTTTATTACTGGATGGATTCCAGCCTTGCACATTTGATTCCCAACTTTGAGGATATTACCATGTGCAGGTGATCGGACACACTGCAATTTGTTGTGCTTCCAAGAGAATTTAGTTTATATGGAATTTACTTTTATTTGGCAAAGTGTAACCTTTCCTTTGCAGGAGCTCAGATGATGCATCACCTGAGATTAAACTAGTTGAAATGATTGTTTTGATCGTTGGATAGGTTAAGCTCCTATTCAGAAAAGAACTTTCTGCAACTAGCAATAACTGCTTCTTGCCCCTACGGCCTGCAGGTAGCTTTGCGGTGTGTTCTGATCTGATTGTCTGCCAAAAGCAGCAGCAGTAGCTGCTGCCTGTTCCCAGGGTTTATCTAAAAGGGCCTTCCATGGGCCTCCCTTTCAGGAATGACTTAAATGAATGGAGCATACATAGGATCAGCAGCCATGATTCATAGATTGTGCCTGTGAGCTGAAAATTGACCTCCTATAAGCCTAGTTTAAAATATGGGATCAATGCTGGCGAGAGAAGGAAATGCAGAGTTCAGGACGTTTGTACTGTGGTGTTGAGTCCACTTGGCACAACTCTCTGGGAGAAAAGCATTAAAGCAAGTGCCTTACTTGGCTCTGAGGTAAGAGGAGCTCTAATTGCAAGGCAGTGCACAAAAGACTTCAGACATTTGGTGGTAGCAGCAGCAGTGAGGCTTCTATGGTTCTGTCCTTCTCTAAGAAGGCCTCAGCGCCTACCATCTTTTTCCTAGATGCAGAGCAACTGTTAGTCCCCGCCAAGTGGAGACCCAGTTACTGCTGAGGAATAGGGATCTTTTGAGTACCCCATTTTGATGAGCCCCATATCCCTGTTACTTATAGATGTATTTAGCTTTCATTTTTCCCTAACAGCCCAACTAGAAATAATCCTCTTTCTTTTTTTCAATCCTTTCTGTGTGCCTGGAACTCTTAAAGGACGCTTCTTGAATGTCATAGGTATATGAATGGTCACGAATGTAGCCCCGGTCCAAGGTCTGCTGTGGAAGAGTCACTATGACAGGAGCAGGTGCCAAACTGAATTTTGGGACAAGTCGGAATAAACTTTGAACCTTTCATTGTGCCTCCAGTACCCCCTGCCTTGTACATGGTTTCATAGCTCAAGGAATACAAGCAAAACTTACATGTGGCTATAAAATGGCTGGTGAGCTCCCATTGCAAGTGTTTAAATTCAACTCCTACTTTCCAGTGGTTTTTTCTCCTTCCTCTCAAATTGTGAGGCTAATATCAAAAGTTCCTGCAAATACCTAAATGACTTTGGCTTTTGAGTGAACAGAGTTAGCATTTCCCAGTTAGGGACAAAGAGTTGCAGATTTTTTAGATGGAACTCACCCTTCAAAAAAAACCCCAAAAGTCCCCCCCCCAACTTTTTGCTAGCCCTAAAATGAGGTACTAAAGATAATCCTCGCTGTGTTATGCTTTACTGTTGTGGTACAAAGGAATTTGCTTCAGGTCCCTTGCTTGTGAACTTAAGATGTATTGCTCTACAGGTGCACCTCTCTTTATTTATTGCATTGCAATTGAAGAAGCATTTTTTTTCTAGTGAGCTGTCTTCCTCCTACACTCGACAGCATCTTATTTTATGGACTTTGCTTGAGTCCAGGAGTGACGAGACTCATCTTGAGCAGAATCCTGCTTCTAAACTCTTCCTCTACAGCCACAGGGGAGAGTTGATCAGGAGGGCATTGATGAAAAGAGGACTGAGTTGTGCAAGGAAGTGAAGGGCAAAGGCAAAAGAACCGAAGAGTGGGAAACGTTCTGCAGATGGAGCACAAGGAAAAGAAAAAATGTGTTTCCTTGCATTGATTATCCAAAACCTTTTATGGTAAAGACTGAACTACCAAGGGAGATGATTTCATCAAGACAAGAAGCACTCAGAGGGATGAAGGAAATTAAGTTTTAAAAAACACACATCCCATTTTGCAAAAGAAGAAAATCTTTGCTCTTGGTTAGATAACAAGCTACATAAGTATTCTTCCATTCTTTATTCGCTTTTTAAAGACTGATTAACATGTTACTGTAAAGTACATTTCTTGCTGGTTTTGTTTTTGTTCTATTAAATATTTTTAATATACCGTAAAAACAGCCAACAGTGTGCCTGGGTTTTTTAATCGCATTTCTTTAGAATCCTGCAAATGTCCCCGCATTTTAATGTGTCTGCTTTATAAAAAGAAATTAAAAGGAGCTCATGGTGTTAGAACACAAGCAAGTGAAAACAATACCTGGCGGTTTGGGGGATTCTCTTGCAGACACTTTAGTGAGGTCTTACCTGGAGTTTTGTCTTGGTCTTTGTGTTAGATGAGCAAAGGTGCTTTGAAGGCATAGCTATCTGTAACCTCCGTCTCATAAACTACACAGGAGGCAGCAGGGTGATGTGCTTTTGTTCAGGGTTCCAACCACACTCATCCCCAGCAGTCAGCATACTCAGTACTCATTTGGGCAAGAGGAGGGGAGTGGGCACACAGTCCCTGCTGACCACATTTTTTACTTCTCTGGACAGCTCTCACTTCCATCCCTGGGATCATTTTTTTAATTGCTTCTCTGTGCGAACCAGGAAATTGCCTATCCAGACCCTAAGTTGGTTCTTGATTCCTTTCTTCTTTCAGTTTCTCTTCCTCTGGTCTCCTGTTCCAACCCCTCCATTCTTCACACCCAGTTTCCAGATTTTTTCCTCTCAACCATCATTCAGCATTCTGTCGGCATTGAGCATGCTCACATCGTGGGATGATGTTGAGGGTACTCAAGGTTGTTCTATTCCTGCAAGGCAGCGATGCTTCCAAATACCAATTTCTGGAAACCAGGGGAGGGAAAAGTGTTCTTGGGCTCATGTTCTGCTCCCTGGTTTCCCACAGGCTTATGGGGTGGCCACTGTGAGAACAGGTTGCTGTACTAGGGCCATTGGCCTGATCCAGCAGGCTGCCTACTGGTGCCTCCCTCTTGTGAGTGCTATTTTGGCTCCGTGGCAAAAGGATTTAATTGGCATTCGACTCAAGGGTTGCTTATCACTCAAGGAAATATTCGCACACCCCACCAAGGGAATAGCCACTTCTGCAGTCCTTAGTATCAAGGCCTCACTGTTTATTTTTTATTCCATATATATATATATATATATATATATATATATATATATATATATAAAAAGATCTATATCCTGCCCTCCTAGTGCTTACACAACACTCGTGGCAGCTAGAAACAATTAAGACCAGCTGTAACAATAATATTACTCAAATATAGCAAAATGGAGACAGGTGCAGCAGATAATAGCACCAGGTTTTTGAATATCTAGAAAAGCCTACCTAAGCAGGAAGGGGGTTTGCCATACAGTGGGCAAAGAGTCCTACTGGTTGAGTTTGTGCACAGAACAGGCTCCTTTCATCCCCATCAGCTGAGCCTCCACCAAAGATCTTAGGGCATGGGCAGGAAATGGGTCTGTAAGCCATCCTGCACCTAAGCCAATTAGTTCATAGAATCATAGAATCATAGAGTTGGAAGAGACCACAAGGGCCATCGAGTCCAACCCCCTGCCAAGCAGGAAACACCATCAGAGCACTCCTGACATATGGTTGTCAAGCCTCTGCTTAAAGACCTCCAAAGAAGGAGACTCCACCACACTCCTTGGCAGCAAATTCCACTGTCGAACAGCTCTTACTGTCAGGAAGTTCTTCCTAATGTTTAGGTGGAATCTTCTTTCTTGTAGTTTGGATCCATGGCTCCGTGTCCGCTTCTCTGGAGCAGCAGAAAACAACCTTTCTCCCTCCTCTATGTGACATCCTTTTATATATTTGAACATGGCTATCATATCACCCCTTAACCTCCTCTTCTCCAGGCTAAACATGCCCAGCTCCCTTAGCCGTTCCTCATAAGGCATCGTTTCCAGGCCTTTGACCATTTTGGTTGCCCTCCTCTGGACACGTTCCAGTTTGTCAGTGTCCTTCTTAAACTGTGGTGCCCAGAACTGGACACAGTACTCCAGGTGAGGTCTGACCAGTTCCTTAGAGGTCATCACCAACTCATGATATGTGCCTGGAAAGGAATTTATAACCAGTGCAGCCCTTGCAGGAAAACTAGTGTGATCCCACCTGGTGGACTACGAGGCACTAGGTGTACTTCACATCCTTATTGGGCACTGATAAACCTATCTGTGCCTAGCAGACTCTGAACGCAGAAGCCATTAACTTATTTTTAGATAGGAGATCCTAAATGTTCTAAAGGGAATCCACCCATAACCCATTCTCTTGTTGAGAACGTTCAGGACTGAACCAGAGTGGCTCAAGTTGTCCCTCCCTTCATAACCAGAAAAGGCCTTCATGCAGAAGTCTAGTATTTTCCCAACTTCCCAATTTTCATCCTCCATGCTTGCCAGCCAGCTGCCCATCAGCTATTTTGAACTACAAATCCCATCAGTCCCTGCCAGCGCCACCATGCTCCTATCAGCCCTAGCACACTGGGAGTTGTAGCCCCAAATAGTTGGAAGGTACCAAGTCGGCAAAGGCCATTTTAACAATATTCACATCACCACTCAAGTGCATGTGTGACCTGGTTCACCACTCAAGTGCATGTGTGACCTGGTTCCTCGCTGGGCCATGCTGTGTGACTTGAATAATTATTCTTCCAGTTCTTTGCTTAGGAAAGGTATCTGTGGTTAAATAACATCTCTTCCCACAGAGATCAAACACTGCGGCTTATTGGGGAGGAAATAGGACTTCCTGCTAGGAGTTTACTAGCCAGACTCCATTATACCTGTGTGTAATAAATATTGAAAGTGCATTGAAGTTATTCTCTGGGAAACATCAGTGAGGCTGGAAGCCAAGCAGGCCTTGATGGTGGGACAAGTTGGATTCCCATCCAGACCGCAAAACAGCAACACTCACACCTTGGCAAGTCCCCTTTCTTGCTTAATGTGAAGTGGTAAAGTTTTAAATTGCTCCTTACCTACAGCTACCTCCCCATTTGTGAAAATGAGCATTTTGCTGGGGTTTCATTTCCTTTCTGTTCAGCACATCTTCCCTTTTCCATATATTCATTTATTGTTTTAAAGTAAGATACAATTCAAAAATTACCAAAATAATACCAAATCAGCAGGTAAGTTTTACAATGGAAAAATAAGACCAAACACAAAAGTAATGCCAGGACATCATAGTTAAAAGGCAAAGGAAAATATCAGAGTGACGTCAATTAAGACTAATTTGAAAATAAAACTGGATAGGTGACAAAATAAAAGGAGACAACCACCAGCAGCTATTTACATATATGTATTAGGGGAAAAGTTTATTTTTTTGCATTATATACAAACAATACAGACTCAATGAAACATAAAAGATGATAAAGTTACGGTAAGTCTTCTGAATTTTTGTAAAGTGAATAAGAATGCTCATTCATGCACGTCCATTATTCTAAGGTCTAGATGTTTTCTTTATGAAATGAGCGAGTTAGCCAGGACTCTCAAATGTGTAATTGCAATTAGATTTGAGTGGGTTTGGAATTGCTAGGCACCAGACAGGCATGGCCCATCCTTGCCGACAATGGCTTTATACTGTCTCCATGCAAGTGGCGTTCCAGGCACTCTGCCTTTGCCCCAGACTGGTCCGGAATACATAAACTGGAAAATGGGAGCAAACCACATCCGCATCAGTGAGAAGACCAGCATGTGAGGCTGTTGGTATGATGTGGCCTAGTGCCAGCTCTATTACTGGAAAGCAATGTTCAAAAAACCTGAAACTGCTGCTTTTCATGAAGCCAAGGGTGGCTAACTAGTGGTTCTCCAGATGTTGTCACACGACTGGTCTTCATCAGCCTCAGCAAATGGAGCTAGCAGTCAAAGATCAAGGGAGTTGGTAGTTCACAAGAAAAAAAAAGAACTGATTCTTCATCTGTCATTTATATATAGACAATTATTCAAAACATCCACTCCAAGATAACACCCAGCAATTCCACTTTCTATAAACCAATATTTTCTTCCAACCTCAGACCCAGATACCATCAGTTCATTTTCTTTCTCATGCAAAAAGTCCATTAGGGGCTTCCAATCTTTAGTAAATATCGAAGACGATTTTTCTCTGATTAAACACATCAACATTTGTCAAGCTCAATCCTGTTAATGTTTGCTCAAATCAAAGTCCCCCTGTATTAAACGGAGCTTACTCCCAAATTTAAGTGTGTTTGTTACAATTATTTATATCCCGCCTTTCAGGATACAAATGTAGTTTACAAGAAACTTCATTTAAGCACAGCAACAGCATCAAACAATGGCCTGTTTTGCACATAACAGTAAGCCATGTTTAAGCTTCACTATAGTTAACGCTGAGATGCCTGGCAGATGGTCAATTAAACCTTGGTTTATTATTTTCCCCACCCGTCTCTCATTAAAAGAGACATTAACCAGGAAGAATTACTCTTCTATTGCAGCCCTGTAGCTTTGTGGCTCCTTAAATGACATTGAGGAAGAGATGCACGCTGGCACATAACACTAAGGTATGGTTGACGTTAACCAAGGTTTGTAAAGCAGTCACAAACCTTGGTTAACAACCTTTAAGAATAGCTAATAAACCATAGTTAAACTGCTGGGCTGGGTTCACACATAAAGCTAAGTCAGAGTTTAATAAACCATTGTTTGGTGTTATGTGCGACCCAGGTCAATATCGGCATATAAAAAGCCATCAGGATCCTTCCCAAGGAACCGTTGCTGGTATAAAGGTCCCTGTCGTTGGAAAAGGATAGTCCAGTTTAGAGCAGACCCTGAGGCTGTCTTCGCTCGTCTGTCCTCTTCCCCAATCTCATAATCCTCCCCAAAAGTCAGCTGTTGATGACAGATGGTCATGTGGGGAGGGATAGGAAGGTTCAGTTGGAGCTGGCTCCTATTGCGTCTTTTGCTGCAGCCTTCTTTTTAGGATTGCAGCGTAAAAAGATATTTGCTCCATGGCAAGTAGGCCCTGCTAAGTCCAATGTATTGAACTATATCCCACAGTTCTGAAATGCCAAGAGTGAAATTAGGTGAAAGGCAACAGTCACAGCATTTGCCTGTGTTAAAAATAATTTTATAGCCCACATTTTTTGTTTCTGAGTTCCTGTCATGATGCAACTCTTTTCCAGGTTAACAAAGGATGCCCTCTTGGTGCTTCCTTAGATAACAAATAGAAATATTGTCTTAGAAAAGTCAGATGATCCTGACTGCTGATGTCCTTCTTGTGGCTTTCAACAGTTCTGTCATTGTGTAAAGGTAAACTCTTAGGCATTGTTGAATGTGTGTGTATATATATGCATATATCACATGAATATATGATAAAGCGGCCTATAAATCTTGTAAATAATAAAAAGAACCGTGGCGGAGGTGAGCTTCAAACGGAGGATCCAACTTCGCTTCTCTGCTGAGCCAGCTGCAAAGGAGGCTTGAGTTGCGCGAGGCTCCCCTCTGCTGCTGAGGAAATCCCTGCAAGTAGAAAGCCAGCCCTACAGGCCACGTCCCTCCTCCTCTTCCCCTCGCGCCCTTTTTGCTTGCGCGGGATGGGGTGCTAGACTGCTAGAGACGCTCTTCTGGGTCCCGGCCCGGTCGTGGCTGCTCCGCTAGCCACCCCCCCCCCCCCGCCCCACAGAGAGCCAGGAGCGCAGTGGGGCGATGGCCCCTTTTGCCAGGCGAGGTCCCAAAGGGCGTCCCGGCAGAGTCCCCACCACCGAAGCGCCGGTCTGCCTGCAGGGGGCGCCCTTGGTGGGAGGAGGCGCGCCCCTCCGCGGCGGACCAGGGGCCGCGTGGTGCGGCGGCGGGCCGGCAGGGGGCGCGGCGGCTGCGCCTCGGCGGAGCGAGTGGCGGGCTGGTCCCGGGCGGCGGCGAGGCGAGGCGAGGCGGGCGGAGTCGGCGCGGAGCAGCGAGCCGGGAGGAAGCGGCAGGTGAGCGGGCGTCGGGGCTTCGCGGGACTTTTAATGCCGGGGAGGGGGCGCCGTCTCCTGCCTTCCCAGGCGACGGCAGGACCATGCTCTCCATAGGGGGGGAGTTTGTGGGACCCCGGAGGCAAAGTTCCGCGGGCAGCGGAGCTGCTTCTGCCTCTGCCTCAGTTTCCCCTTTGGCGAGGCCAGCCCCAAGGCCGGCTCTCGCTGGGGAGAGGCTTCGCTGGTTGGGGGGGGGGGCGCCTGGATCTTCCCGCACAACAGCCCTGAGAGGGAGGCTAGGTTCAAGAGGGGGAGTATCCCAAGGCGAGCTTGCCCCCCCTTCCCTGTCGATGGGGTGGGGCAAGAAAGCTCAGGGCCCCCTGTTTGCCGACTGTTTCTGGAGGAGCCTCAGTCCGGAGATCCGAGTAGGGCATTGGGGGGGGGGGCGGATCGGTCCTCAGCACCAAGGGGCCCTATCCTGTGAGGGTCCAGAGATCTAATTCGAGAGGCGATGATGAGTAGGAAGCAGAGAGCATGTGAAGAGAAGTCTTCTTGGGGGGGGGGGTCGTCTAAGGATGCTCCAGGGCCGGGACCCCCGCATGGTCCGGGAAAGGGCTGCTGCTGCTGTTGCTGCTGCTTGGTTTTGGCGCAGGGCAAGTTCCTGAGACCACCCAAGTTCTGGGTCTAGAAGGGGACCTACAGGGCAGACCCTGAGGGCGTCCCTCCTTGAGGAGACCGTGGGGTGGGGTGGGATAGAGGAGTACCCCAGCAGGAAAGCCCCCGCTTGGCATGCAGAAGGGTGCAGGGTCTTCCCAGCTCAGAGGACAGCAGAGCCACAAGCGACAAGTGGAGCTGTTCTGGGGCCAGGATCTTGCAAAGCCACTCGCTAGGCCTGGATAGGCTTCCTCAACCTGGGACCATCTAGATCATAGAATTGTAGAGTTGGAAGCAACCCTGAGAATTATCTAAGTCCGACCCCCTTGCAATGGAAGAATATGCAGCTGTCCCATATGGGAATCGAACCTGTAACCTTGGCATTGTCAGCACCACTCTCTAACCAACTGAGCTGTCCGGGCTGATCTGTTTTACTAGCCTTCACAACATATGGAGGCACCATTTTGATGTGTAGCCAGTACTGATTTATATGGGCATCATGGGCTTGGCCAGGGGAAAGGCAGGGAGGGGCAGCTGACACCCCCCCCCCATAATCAATAAAAATGCATAGCAAACTGAGCTTCTGCCCCACCTAACAAAAGGTCTGCCCCCCCTAAATCCTGGCTACACCCATGGCAGCTTCTTCTGCTTCCAGCACCAAGAAGCAGCAGCTGCACAAAGGTCCCCATTTCAGGGTCTGATCCTGGGTTGCTCAAAGTTTAGGAGCCTTCCTAGCTCAGTGACCGAGCATACAGAGGGTCTCAGGGTTCAGTCACCTGCGGCATCTCCACGTAGGGCTGGGATAGGCTCCCTGCCGGAGAGCTGCTGCCAGTCAGTGTAGGTAACAGTGAGATACGCAGAGCAAAGGTAGGAGGTGCCTTCCTGCGTTCCATTGTCCAGCACATTGCTGCTTGAGTGTGGCAAGCCTCAATGCCATTGCTCTCCATCTGTGAAATGGGCCCATTTGGGGACAAACCTGGCAGGGGGGTTGTGAGGGTGAAGCTTTGCAGAGGTTGCTGAAGTCCCATGCATCATGCTCATCATGGAGACATCCATGGATCCTTTAAGGGAGGAGGGAGTCCAGGTGGTACATTGCACTGAATTCATTACTCAGATTGAAGCATAAAGTGCCTGGGGTTCTAGTCTAGGGGATTCTAGGCAGTTACCTTCCAGTAGACACCCCCCTTTCTTCATGGGTCTTCCTCATCATCCTTCCAATTTCCTTGCAGAAAACGGATCCTCCCTCTGCACAGTGCTTAGCAAGCTAAAGGAGACCTGATACTCATCCAGCAGCCCACTCTCCTGTTTTAGTTTTTGCTATACAGTGGTACCTCAGGTTACAGACGCTTCAGGTTACAGACTCCACTAACCCAGAAATAGTGCTTCAGGTTAAGAACTTTGCTTCAGGATGAGAACAGAAATCGTGCTCCCGCAGCGGCAGTGGCAGGCCCCATTAGCTAAAGTGGTGCTTCAGGTTAAGAACAGTTTCAGGTTAAGAACAGACCTCCGGAACAAATGAAGTACTTAACCCGAGGTACCACTGTATTGTTGTAAAGTAAATTTCTTGGTAAAGTTGGCTTTTGCTTGTCTCCGTCCTCAGTAGCCTGAAAGTTTCCTAAAACACTGGTGCGCAATGATGCCTTTTGCTGTTTGGTGAAGCTCTTGGCTTAAGGGAGGAAGAGGATTGATCCTGCAGAGAGGCGATCTGGTGGCTCAGGCCAGGGCCATTGGTTAAGTCAGGTGGATAGGAAGCCAGGGCTCTCATCACCCTTCCTGGTTTGTGTGTGCGTTTGTGTGTTTGTAGGAAGACCAGGAACCAGGGGGAGATGCGGACAGTAAGTAGAATGTATCTGGAGCACAAGGAGTTCTGTGCTTGTCCTGGGGAAGCTGGAGATAGGCAGAATGGATAAAGCAAAATCTTTTACTGGACCAGAACCAAAGAGTCTAGTGGCCCCTTGAAAGATTAATGTGTTTATTGTTCTCTGAACTTTTTCTCAGCAAAATCCTTCTGCCTAGAGGAGTTGGGGCTGTGGCAGAGGTGCGGGAGAGAGAAGATGCATTGTATAATAAATCAATTAAATGGGTTTTTTTTGGGGGGGTTGCAAATAGTCTGGTTGTTTTCATGAAAGAAGCCCCCTGCCCCCCACCAGCACCATGCTTGCCACCTCTTTCGGATCGTGTTCTGCAAATGGATTATGCCAGGCAGCTGCAGACAGCAGGAAATGGGGACGAGGCTGCAAAATTGGATTAGGGTGGTGGAAGAGCCTCTTGGATTGAATCTCCATTAAAAGATCAATGCGCTTAACTATCATTTTAATATAATTTGTTTAAGATTAAGAAACCCATTTTAATGTGGCAAATAGATTAGGCTGCAAGATGCCAAGCAGGCTGGCCCTGGGCTGGGGGGAAAGCTTCTGGGCTGGGGGTGCTGCATAGGGGAGGAGAAGGCTGTTTCCCTGCCCCATGGTTCAGACAAGGTGCGGATGTTCATTTATGGCAGGGGTGGAGAGGCTCAGGCCTGATGGGGAGAAGCAGTGTTGGCCCCCAGGCATCACTATCCTTCCCAAAGCACTCTCCCAAGAACACACGCCCTCTTTGCCAGGCTACGCCCTTCCCTGGCGGTGTTTTGCACCCTCCTTGGGTGCTTGTGGCTGACTGTGCTAAGGCCCCTTCCTTGCCGAGATGGAGAGAGGGTAGAATCATCTGATTCACACATGGGTGGAATGTTGTTGTTGTTGTTAATTACCCATCCATCACCCTAAGGTCCCAAGGTGAGGTGCATAAGTTAAAATACAGCAATAATTAAAAAAACAAATTTTCAAAACTTACAGTTACTAGAAAAAGCCATCACAAAACATAGGGGCAGGTCCTGAAAATACGCATCTTGGGTGTCAGAAGTGCACTGACTATACATCAGGATAGACCTTTCTGACAGTAAGAGCTGTTTGACAGTGGAACGGACAACCACAGTAGGTGGTGGAGTCTCCTTCCTTGAAGGTTTTTAAACAGAGCTTGGATGGCCATCTGTCAGGGATCCTTCTTTCGCTGTGATTCTTGCATGTCAAGGGGTTGGACTTGATGACCCTTGGGGTGCTTTCCAACTCTACAATTCTCTGCTGCTGTGATTCTCCTCCGCCCCAGTGACTGATTTAGGGGAGTACGACTGGTTTGGTTTCACTGGGCACTGAGCCTTGGGGGTGCTGCCGGGAGGGCCACAACTATGATGTAGAATGGAAAGTGAGTGGTGTTGATGGGGGGGGCACCGGATTTTGGCACCACACAGGGTGCTTCTGAAATAATAATAATATTAATAATAATTTATTATACCCCGTCCATCTGGCTGGGTTTCCCCAGCCACTCTGGGCTGCTTCCAATAGAATATTAAAATACAATAGTCTGTTAAACGTGAAAAGCTTCCCTAAACAGGGCTGCCTTCAGATGTCTTCTAAAATTCTGGTAGTTGTTTTTCTCTTTGACATCTGGTGGGAGGGCGTTCCACAGGGCGGGTGCCACTACTGATAAGGCCTTCTGCCTGGTTCCATGTAACTTGGCTTCTCGCAATGAGGGAACCGTCAGAAGGCCCTCGGCACTGGACCTCAGTGTCCGGGTAGAACGATGGGGGTGGAGACGCTTCTTCAGGTACATTTGAGACCCCAGGTGGCTTCATATGCAGAGTCATGAACATTGGCCCTCCTTCTCTGCCTCCACCTGTGGGCCGAAAGGCTTTTTTTTGACCCAAAGAGGGGCTGCTTGCCAGCAGTGAAAGTGGGCACGCCACACTCACCTTGAAAGCAGCAGATTAGCTGCTGGCTGTGTTTGTTTGTTTGTGTGGTGGCCTTCTTCCTGCTCATCAAATGATCCACCTGATGATTGGGGAGTGGGCAGTTGTTGTTGTGAATTGCATTTATATCTCACCTTTTCCTGCAAGGAGCTCAAGGTGACATACATGGTTCTCTCCCTCCCCACAAAAAGCCCTGGGAAGAAGGTTAGGCTGAGAGGCAGTGACTGTCCATGGGCACCACCCAGCGAGCTTCAAATGGCTGAGTGTCAGGATTTGAACCCTGCTCTCTCCCATATCCTGGGCTGACACTCTAACCGCTACACCAGTTTGCATCTCTATCTGGGTGTTGAGCTAGGTGGAGAAGGTCTACTTCATTTCCCCTCCCCCCCCCACTCCTGCCCAAAGTTGTGGGGTCTTCCAGGGTGGAGGTAGAAGCATTTACTTGGGACCCCTGCACCAGGAGTTAGGCACCCCCATGTCCTAAAGCCCTGTGGATGTTCCTTTCATTGGAAACAATAAAAGCGGATTAAACTTTAAGCCCACAGGGTGGGGGCAGGAATTGACGAAGTTCTAATGTTCCTGAAGTCGTTCCAGTAGTTCTTTGGAAGGCTAAACTCAGGTGGAAAAAAAACAATTAAAAAGGACAGTAAAAGTGTAAAGAATATTTAGGCAGCCTCAGGTAGCTAAGTGCCCACGTTGCAGCTGAGAAGCTGATGGTGCAAGGGTGAGGCTTGTGCAGCCTGTTTACTCGGGTGTAAGCCCCTCTTCTTTTCTCGGAATTTACTCCTTGGCCCATTGCAGGGAAAATGCCTAGTGTGTTTCCTGCGGTCTCTGAAGAACCATCAGAGAGGATCAAAATTGTGGCTCTGCAGGGGGCCCTTTGGGAGAACATTCCTTCCCAGTGTCCAGTGATGAAGTTGCCAGTTAGTCCCAGTATTGGCAGGTGGTGGTGAGAACTTGAAGCCAGGGAGGCCACATCTGCAGCTTGCCCTCCTGAGGAACGCTTGGCTGCTTGTGTTTTTTTACCCCCCAAACATATCCTCTCTCGTAATCCCATCTAATGGCTTCTCTGAAAAGCTCAGGCCTGAACCACAGTGAAGGCTGGTGGGAAAGCAGGACAAAGCTGCCCTCCTGGTGGGGTGCTCAGCCCCTGGGGAAGGAGCAGGAACCCCCCTGCTGCAATGGCAAAGCGGTATGGGGGCTTGCTCAAGGCTGGGTGATGTATCTCAGCTGCTTCTTCCTCCCTTAAGATGGGGAGGAAGCAGCAGCAGCCGAGATACATTCCAGACATCGTGATATACAGTGGTACCTTGATTCTCGAACGTCTTGGCTCCCGAACAAATCGTTTCCTGAACGCCGCAAACCCGGAAGCAAGTGTTCTGGTTTGCGAACATTTTTTGGAAGCTGAACATCCGTTTCAGCTGTCAGCATTGTTTCCGGGGCCAATCAGCCAGTCAGAAGCAGCGCCTTGGTTTGCGAATGTTTTGGAAGTCGAGTGGACTTCCAGGACGGATTGAGTTTGAGAACCAAGGTACCACCCTATCAGCATATTGTGGTATTTAGCTGCTGATATATCACGATGTTAGGGACATGGGTGGTGCTGTGGATTAAACCACAGAGCCTAGGACTTGCCGATCAGAAGGTTGGCAGTTCGAATCCCTGCAATGGGGTGAGCTCCCGTTGCTTGGTCCCTGCTCCTGCCAACCTAGCAGTTCGAAAGCATGTCAAAGTGCAAGTAGATAAATAGGTACCACTTTGGCAGGAAGGTAAACGGCCTTTCCGTGCACTGCTCTGGTTCGCCAGAAGCGGCTTAGTCATGCTGGCCACATGACCCGGAAGCTGTACACCGGCTCCCTCGGCCAGTAAAGCGAGATGAGCGCCGCAACCCCAGAGTCGGTCACGACTGGACCTAATGGTCAGGGTTCCTTTTACCTTTACCTGTATCACGATGTTGAAAACCAGGTATCACCCAGCCCTACTTGAATCCTGCTTGTGGGTTTCCCAGTGGGGCATCTTGTTGGCCATTGTAAGAAGAGGATTCTGGACTAGATGGGCCATTGGCCTAATCCTGTCGGCTGTTCTGATGAGATGGGAGCTACTTCTGCTGGGATCCTGCCAACCTCAGAAAGCCAGTGGGGTTGGCACTCTCCTTCAGCTCCTCCCTTTCCTTGCACTGAAAGACTATTCTGAATATTCAGAATAAAGAATATTCTGAACAGAATATTCATCATTTGGGGCCGCGCTTCAAAGTGTACATTCTGCTTCCCATCCATTATGGCTCCTGCATCCTGTTTCTGAAGGGTCAGCTCCTCTTGCTGTTATTCTAGATTTGTTGCAGCCACAGCCTTCACAAACCTGATACCGTCAGGATGTTTTGGACCACAAAGTCTGGAGGGCATCTGGTTGACAAAAGCCGAGCTAGAATGTAGGAGGCTGCCTTATACCTTAAACCTGTGCATGTAAAAAGGGGGTTTCCCTAAAAATAAGATGTTTCTAGCCCTCAAGGTTATGAATAAAGGAAGCTGCTTTATACTGAGGTCCATTTAACACAAGTGTTGTCTATAATGACTGGCAGCAGTGCCTCTCTAGGGCTTCAGCCAAAACCCTCATCCAGCCCTACCTGGGAGATGTCATTGGGGATTGAACCTGGGACCTTCTGTATGCAAAGCCGCTGCTCTGCCACTGAGCCACAGCATTCTTGTGCCTTGCTCTGCCCTGAGCTGTGGAGAGCTCCCCTTGCATTGCAGAACCCCCCAGGAAATGGGCACCACAGCAGAGTTTCGTCCGAGGACACAGGAAAGCACCAAGTCAACGAAATTGTGGGAATCTGGACAGCTAAAACAAATCCTCTCATTTGCGCCTCCTCGTTTGCGTCTGCTTCCTGAAGTGTCGCCTCCGTGAGGGTTAATTCCAGCACATGGCTGCTCTCTGTGTTAATTTGAGGGAGGATCCTTGCCAAAATAATCAGGCTGTACAAATCCCTGCCGCGACGTAGCATTTATAAGTGCTAAAGGGAAGTAGCGAAGGAGCACAAATTGCAACAGAGCTTCAGGCGGCATCAAAATCGTCTGCAGGCTTCAGAAGCTGCGTTTCTGAAATGTGGTGTTTTAAAAGTCTCTGTCCCGGCTGAAGTTGGCAGTCAGCTGCAGGAGATTGCTGGGGCCATCAAGCCTGGCTCTGTCCATACAGGCAGTGTGGGGAAGAGAGGGAGCAGGACATCCGGGGCCTGAATGCGGCCCTCGAGAGCTGGGGTGTATCTAGGGGTTGGCCAGGCTGGCTCCTGCCAAGGGCACAAGCCCCAGGTGTGTGTGTACAAAATCATGTCTCCCCACTCTGGCTTGGAGTGGCCAAGAGCCTGTCCACATGCTCCCAGGTTGCTCCTTCCCTGCTCTGGGAGTTGCCTAGGGTTGCCACCTGTCCTGTATAATACAGGATTGTGCCTTATTTCAATGTAAAATGCTACTGTTTTGTCCCATGGTCTTCTCTCTCTCTCTCTCTCTCTCTCTCTCTCAATCTCTGCAAAGTTAGGGATCCTCTCCAAATGCATGTGTTTGAAAAGGTATGCGAAAAGTCATGCATTTAAGCTCTGGGTAGCCAAGTGCAGACAGATTTACAAATTCACGTGTATGTATGTGACAAATTCCAAACGGGGCATCCTGTTAGGCTGTAATCACAGAATCGTAGAATCTGTAGAGCTGGAAAGGACCACGAGATGCCATCGAGTCCAACCCCCTACAATGCGTAAATATTTTGCCCAACATAGGGCTTGAACCCACAACCCTGAGATTAAGAGTCTCACACTCTACCGACTGAGCTAGAGAGAGTACTTTGCAATGGGTTGCTCTGAAGTCGCTTCTGCACCATATAAAAATCACCCACCAACTGCCCTGCCTCGCCTTGTCCTGTATTTTGCCAGAACAAAAGTGGCAACCCTAGAGCTGCCAGGCTTCAAGGGATGGGGAGGGAGGCACCCATACAGTTCCTTGCCAAGCATGTAAGGGAGCCTAGGTACACCTCTGATGAGCATCTCTTGCCAGCCCTGCCCTCCTCAAGGGCTGGAATGTGTCCTTGAACTATGATGGTGCCCCTGGCTTGCATCGACAGAGGATGCGGAAAACGTGTGTGCAGAAACATCTTGCTTTTGTGTGTCCTATTGCTCCACCCACTTTCCCCCTGGCCTCGCCCACCACCTGCCCACGGCCCCTGAAAGGTTCCATGCGAGGGACTGTGGCCCTCAGGCTGACGAAGATTTGTTTAGTAAGTTCACTTCAAGGTCAGCGTTGCTCCACTTGCTTCCTGGGTCTTTTACCTGCCGGCAGCAAGCGCCTTCCTGTAGGAACCTTGCTTTTGGGGAAGAAACACCTGCAAGGGAAATGGCCTGTGATTAATACTTCATTTCCTCTGATTACTGGTAATAGGCAGGTCTCCAAGACGCCTCAGAAGTGCACCCAGTGGGAGAGGCAGCCATAGGGTTTATGCTGTGCCTCAGTGACTGTGGTGATTAACAGCCACAGTTTCCAAAGCTATCAATCAAGGCATGCTTGAAGTTTTGAAAGGGGGCTGCTAGGTCTGCACCCTCCCAGCCACTCTGTGCTTCTCCCGACATCAGCCCTGCCCTTGCAACTTGTGTGAGAGGAAGCAGGTTGGTGCTTTGGAATGCTCTCTCTAAAAGCACATGGGGTCAAACGACAGAGGAACAGTTCGGCACCTGATCTGAGCTCCTTTAGGAGACAGCTCTCTGTGGCACTTGGGACTTTGAAAAGTCCCGAATGTGTTTCATTTGCTTGATAGCCAACAACAACAAAACAACAACAATAATTTATTATTGATACCCTGCCCATCTGGCTGAGTTTCCCCAGCCACTCTGGGCGGCTCCCAATCAAGTGTTAAAAACAATACAGTGGTACCTCGGGTTACAGATGCTTCAGGTTACAGACTCTGCTAACCCAGAAATAGTACCTCGGGTTAAGAACTTTGCTTCAGGATGAGAACAGAAAATGGGCGGCAGTGGAGCAGCGGCAGCAGGAGGCCCCATTAGCTAAAGTCGTACCTCAGGTTAAGAACAGTTTCAGGTTAAGGACAGACCTCTAGAACAAATTAAGTTCTTAACCACCACTGTACAGCATTAAACATTAAAAACTTCCCTAAACAGGGCTGCCTTCAGATGTCTTTTAAAGATAAGATAGCTGCTTATTTCTTTCACATGGGCATTCCACAGGGAGGGCGCCACTACCGAGAAGGCCCTCTGTCTGGTTCCCTGTAACCTCTTCCTAGCGGCAAGTGCACTCAGAGCAGAGTAGGGATAAAAGCAGCCAGATTTGAACACCTGACCCCATCCATTTGCCTTCAGGGTCTTGGGAGCACCCGTCTCTCATAGAGAGCATTCCTTAAGTTTGCGGCCAAGCCTCCTAAAGCACTCTGACTGTGACACCTCAAAAGAGCTCTTGCTGTGTTCCAGGGAACCTTTTGAGGGTTTTTTTCATAGAATCATAGAGTTGGAAGGGACCCAAGGGTCATCTAGTCCAACCCCCTGCAATGCAGGAATCTCAGCTAAAGTATACATGGCAGACAGCCATCCAACCTCTGCTTAAAAACCTCTAAGGAAGGAGAGCCCACAACCTCCCGAGGGAGACTGTTCTACTGTCAAACAGCTCTTACTGTCAGAAAGTTTTTCCGTATGTCTAGTCGGAATCTCATTTCCTGCAACTTGAAGCCCTTGGTTCCAGTCCTACTTTCCAGAGCAGGAGAAAACAAGCCTACTCCATCCTCCACGTGACAGCCCTTGAGATATTTGAAGATGGCTATCATATCTCCTCTCAGTCTCCGCTTTCCCAGGCTAAACATACCCAGCTCCTTCAACCGTTCCTCATCCGGCTTGGCTTCCAGAGCCTTGATCAACTTGGTCGCCCTCCTTTCCACATGTTCCAGCTTGTCAACATCCTTCTTAAATTGGGGTGCCCAGAACTGGACACGGTATTCCAGGTGTGGTCACCTGTTTTTTTGCAGAGTTGTTGCAAAGTTGGGGGAGAGCAAGATGGTTACTTGTAGGTTCCCCCCGCCTCTGCTCTTTTAAGTGTCCCAAATGCCCGGATGGATATCTTTGTGTTCGGTGACTTGTTTCTTGTGAATGGTTCCCTTCCCCACAATGGCAATGCAGAATAAATTACCGCCCATCTTCTGCTGCAAAACATGCGCCACTTTAGCATACATTTCAACCTGACAGTCCTTGCTTTGCATCTCGAGCCCATTGAGTTGCTCCTCCCCCCTTACACTTTACATACCTGCCTACCAAGATTGCCCTTGTGGATCTGATGAAGTAAAAGCCTGAGGGATGGCTGGCTCAGTCAGCAGAGCATGAGACTCTTAATCTCAGGGTCGTGGGTTCAAACCCCACATTAGATGAAAGATCCTTGCATTGCAGGGGGTCAGACTGGATTCCACCCCCCTTTAAAAATATATATAAAAAAATTATTAAAACAATTTCAGTTATAAAAAATAGAGTGATGAAAGAGAAGGGGAAAGGTGCACAAAGTACATTAAGAAAGGAAGATATACTATAGTACACTAAATATACTACACTATATTTCTTTGGTACACTAAATATACTACACTACATTTATAGTATGCTATACTAAATAGGTAGTATATTACACTATTATAGTATATCACACTAGAGTTGGAAGGGACCCCAAGGGTCATCTAGTCCAACCCCCGATGTGCATTTTAGGCACATCCAGACTCCCTTTTTGTGCTGTGTTTCTAGGCATATGTCCACATTTTAAAGTGTTGTTATCGGTTTCGCCCCTGGCACTTTCCCTATGAAAACTGCTCTTTACTGCTGGATCGGAGCAAACAGAAATCCGCAGAAAACCCGAATTGTCATTTCCCCCTGATTCAGCAATAAAGAGAGAGTTTTTGCAGAGAAAACACTGCAGCGGGGGGGGGGGGGGGCCGGGGAGAGAAGCACTTGGATACAGCACTTTAAATTGTGAACCTGTGCCTAGAAAGGATGGGGAGGGCGGGCAGTAAGTTGATGACCCCTGAGCATTTTTGTTTTTGTGTTACAAAGGGACCCTGCTAGGCTGCAGACACAGCGTGCATCTAAAGCCCATAAAAAGATAAAGGGACCCCTGACCATTAGGTCCAGTCGTGGCCGACTCGGGTTGCGGCACTCATCTCGCTTTATTGGCCGAGGGAGCCAGCGTACAGCTTCCGGGTCATGTGGCCAGCATGACTAAGCTGCTTCTGGCGAACCAGAGCAGCGCACGGAAACGCCGTTTACCTTCCCGCCAGAGTGGTACCTATTTATCTACTTGCACTTTAACATGCTTTCGAACTGCTAGGTTGGCAGGAGCAGGGACCGTGCAACAGGAGCTCACCCAGTCGTGGGGATTCAAACCGCCGACCTTCTGATCGGCAAGTCCCAGCCTCTGTTGTTTAACCCACAGCGCCACCCGCGTCCCTTTTTCTAAAGCCCATAGCTTCCCCCAAAGGCAACTGGGAACTATAGTTTGTTAGGTTGCTGGAAATTGCAGCTCTGCAGCGGGGCGGGGATGGGATACAGATCCCAGGATACTTTGGGGGAAGAAGCTGTCTTCTTTAATGGCAATGTGTGTATGCAGAACCTCAGTAGGGCCATGCAAGGAGCTGGATTAGGCCAGAGGGCTATCTTAGAATCATAGGTGCCAACTTACTGGGGCCCTGGCTGCCCAAGCACTCACAAAATCCCCCATAAAGGGGCTGGGCATGCACAAATGTTTGTGCCAGGGCATGGCCCCAGGCACGCACGGTCGCGGGGCCAAGTTGGCACTCCTAATTTCAGAGTTGGAAGAGACCCCAAGGGCCATCTAGTCTAACTTGCCCAGCATCCTGTTCTTGCAGTGGCCCCTAGGGATCCTACCAGCAGGGCCCAGATGCAACAGCAACAGTCTCCCCCACTTGCAATTTCCCAAATACAGTGGTACCTCAGGTTACAAACGCTTCAGGTTACAAACGCTTCAGGTTACAAACGCTTCAGGTTACAGACTCCATGAACCCAGATGTAGTACCTCAGGTTAAGAACTTTACTTCAGGATGAAGTGGCGCGGCGGCAGTGGGAGGCCCCATTAGCTAAAGTGGTACCTCAGGTTAAGAACAGTTTCAGGTTAAGAACGGCCCTCCAGAACGAATTAAGGTCTTAACCCGAGGTAAGATGCCATGATTCAGATGCCGACTGACCACGGAGGCTGGAGCAGAGACATTGCATCTGGTAGCCCCTGGTCGCCTGATTCCCCACACACCTTGGCTGGGCTCCTTCGCCTCCTGTCCTCTGTCTCCAGAGGAGCTGCCTGCTGCCAGTTGCATTACCCAGTGGAGAGGAGACAGTTTTGTTCTCCAGGGCCCAGAGCAGCCATAGAACAGCCTGTTCTAACTGATGAAAAATGGGCAGGGCGGGGGCAGTGGCAACAGGTTTGCGAGGAGCACAGGAAATGGATTTTAATAATGAGAAGTAGGCAAGAACATTGCCCAGGGTAACAAGGAAGCCTTAACCGCATTAAGAAGGCTGGAAGAGGAACGCTCTTGCCAGCTGCTTTCTGGCCTAGGATGATAACAGGGTCATTCCCTCCCTTCACCTCCCTGTGTGAGAAATGTTGGACCCTGTTGGAGCAGGCGTCAGTTGTCAAGTTGTTCTGAACTGAGCCACCGCACCATTTCGATGATGGCCACATGCCACAAACCTCTCTTGCGTCTCTCTTCCCACCCTATGCCATGCTTGGAGCAGCGTTAGAACTCAGGTATATAAACTAATCGCCAAATGGCACCTTAAACCAGGGTTACGATTGCTGCTATGGAATTGTCTAGGCGCCATTTCCCTCTTATGAAATTGTTTATTACAGTGGTACCTTGGGTTAAGAACTTAATTCTTTCTGGAGGTCCGTTCTGAACCTGAAACTGTTCTTAACCTGAGGTACCACTTTAGCTAATGGGGCCTCCTGCTGCCGCCGTGTGATTTCTGTTCTCATCCTGAGGTAAAGTTCTTAACCCGAGGTACTATTTCTGGGTTAGCAAAGTCTGTAACCTGAAGCGTATGTAACCTGAAGAGTATGTAACCCGAGGTACCACATTATTATTATTATTATTATTATTATTATTATTATTGTTTCTGTACTGCTTTATATTTTAAAGGGAAAAAGATTCAGAGTGGTTTACAACAAATTCGAACATCAAATCAATAAAACAAATTCAAGCTTCGAGGGTAATGTTTCAGATCCTTCTCGAAGTGCCATTTTGCTCTCCCCATATTTATTGACCTACTTAAGTCATATAGCTGCCCCATGGCAGAAGTACTGTAGGAAGGCAGTATGATGTAGTGGTTAGAGTGTTGGACTAGGACCTGGGAGGGGCCAGCCAGGTGGAGATGTCAGTTGCCAGCCTGGCATCCAGGGATCTCCACGTGGTGGCAATTGGACCCGCACCAGTCACAAAATGTGCCAGGCCCCTGAACACTAGCTTGAAGGTGCTGGGTTTTTATTTTTAACTCAGACTTCTAAATATGGAGAATTGGTAGGTACCCTTAGGGTCATCCAGTCCAGCCCCCTGCAATGCAGGAATCACAGCTCATGGATGTTAAGTTGTGGGTGAACATATCAGACGACACAGCGATTCTTCAAACAGCTCTTGTTTATTCACAGGCCAGAACAGAACTGAACTGAAGGGTTCAGTCAGCCTGCTTATATAGAGCTCCAGTACAATGTAACTGTAACAATTTTCTAAAACTATCCAATCACTGAACATCACTTTCGATCCCTTATTTGCATAACTATCTACAGTATCCCCCTGCTGGTCCAGGATGAGAACTTCAGTACATAAACTGAAGCGTATGTAACCTGAAGCGTATGTAATCTGAGGTACTACTGTAAACAGAATAAGGAAGTAGTGCAGCTTCAGGTGGCCATTCTCTGCTGTTGCCAAAGAGCACAACGATCAGGAGATCTTCCGTCTCCAAGAGGGATTAAACTTTAGGCCTAAACTCCAAGGACAGCCTCCCAATGAGATGAGCTCCCAAAGATCATGACCAGGTCGTGGTGATTTCTCTGTTTTCAGACAGCCCAGACGAGTCTGCCATTGGCAAAGCCAGGATAAGCCTTAACTTGGCGAGACGATGATGATGGCATCATCATCACGATTTAAATATATTTGTCGCTTTTTACCCTCCAAAAAGCAACTTACAAAAATACCATAAAATATGCAAAAGCACTACAATACAGTGGTACCTTGGGTTAAGTACTTAATTCGTTCTGGAGGTCCATTTGTAACCTTAAGCTGTTGTTAACCTGAAGCACCACTTTAGCTAATGGGGCCTCCTGCTGCTGCCGCGCCACTGGAGCACGATTTCTGTTCTCATCCTGAAGCAAAGTTCCTAACCCAAGGTACTATTTCTGGGTTAGCGGAGTCTGTAACCTGAAGCATATGTAATCTGAAGCGTATGTAACCCGAGGTACCACTGTATTGGATGCTTCCGGACTGTCACTGTGTTAGGGTAGTATTCAGTGACTTATCAGAAAATTCAAGTTGCACAATTAATATTTGAGCTGGAGCTCTTGCGCAGCAAAGCCACTCTTCCTGCCCCACCCACCCCAAAGATCAGACTTTTATGATATGTAAAGTGAAGGGGGAACTGCCCTAGAAAGTTGGGATAGGGCTTGCTTGACACAGTGTTGTCTAACCTCCCTGCAAACAAATCAGGTATAAATCCTCAATAAGCTGGTTGTTTGTTGGTGAGCAGTGTTGATGGCAAAGAGCAAAGGATTCAGGGTGAAGGGATCTCCCCAGATTCCTGGATCCATCCTTGAGCAATGCCCTAGAAGTGCAAGGAAAGGCTCCTGAATAACCCAGATCACAGGGACCAAAGAGAGACAGGAAGGGGTGTGTGTGTGTGTGAATGTGCCCCTGTGTCAAAACTCACTCCACCACCACCATACACCACTGCAGGTGGTTGTGCTGGTGGGGTGAACTGTGTTAGACATACCGTATTTTTCGCTCTATAAGATGCACCAGACCACAAGACACACCTAGTTTTTGGAGGAGGAAAACAAGAAAAAAAATATTCTGAATCTCAGAAGCCAGAACAGCAAGAGGGATCACTGCGCAGTGAAAGCAGCAATCCCTCTTGCTGTTCTGGCTTATGGGATAGCTGCGCAGCCTGCATCCGCTCCATAAGACGCACACACATTTCCCCTTACTTTTTAGGAGGGAAAAAGCGAGTCTTATAGAGCAAAAAATACGGTATTTGTGATCCCATTTTACCTGTTTTAAAAACTTTGCTTTTTTTATTTAAAGCAGCCAACATTCTTATAACCAACCACGGCAGCTCAGAAACTGTAGAAGTTTAAATACACCAACACTGTTGCCATATCGATAACAAGATTAACAAATAAGCGCTGATAAAAGCAGTAATTGGCAAACAAGATTAAGGGAACAATATTAATACAAGAGCAACGGAGGTAAAATGCTGGCAAGAACAGGAAAAGGTTGTCTGGAAGGATGTGGGGTCGGGTTGTATGGCCCTGGGGTGAGAGGAGGGCAAGCCTAGTTTGAGCTCAGGTCTTGGCAGGGTAAATCAGATGCACCAAGTTTTCTTCTTAAAGGGGATTCTGGAGGGGCTGCGGAAACCTGGACTATCCTGCCATCTCTTTTGGGAGTCACTCTGCAATAAATTCCAAAGTGATGAGACCTAAACAAAGGTGCTTGACTCATTGATAGGTACAGCTGAACGACAGCAGAGTGTTGTGGCATTTGGCACAATTCTGTGCAAACCCACAGAGTCTTGTTCTGGGCGAAAATTCCATGCGCCTGAGAAGCTCCGCTTGGCTTTTCACAAAAGCAAGTTTCCAGCCCTCTTGGTGCACAAGGCCTTGGCTCGTGGCTGAGTGGTTTCCCCGCTGCCTTGCTCTTTTCCCAGGGGAAACCTGCTCTTTCTCTCTAAATCAGAGCAAACAGCAATCTGCGGGGAACCCAATTGCCGTTTGCTCCAGTTGAGCACTAAAGAGCCTTTCCCCCCGGGGAAAGCAGCGGGACAAGAAGACGTGTGGATAAACCCTCAGAATAGATGAAGTATTTCTTCACGTAGTGCGTAGTTTGTTCATTTATTTTTATTTAATAGATTTATATGCCAGCCTTCGTCATAAGATCTGAGAATAAAATACAGGATCAAAACGAGTAAACAAGGGAAACAAACCAGCAAAACAACCTTCCCACAGACACATTTAAAAAGCTGTAGAATATTAATCTTACGGAACTATGGAACTCCCTCCTACAGGAGCAGAGATGACTTTAAAAGAGGATTGGACAAATTTATGGAGGAGGAGGAGGAGGGCTGTTGATGGCTATTCCCCATGATGCCTATGCTTCGTCCTTCCAGTGTTGAAGGTGGTAATAATAATAATAATAATAATAATAATAATAATAATAATTATACCCTGCCCTCCCCAGCCAAGACAGGGCTCAGGGCGGCTAACACCAGGTATAAAAACAATTGATTAAAATACAACTTAAAAACGAGATTAAAGTACAACATTAAAATGCAGCCTCGTTTCAGTAGAAACTCAAATCAAAAAACTTGGAAATGTCAAATCTTCACCAAGGCCAACTATCCAGACTGGTCCTACATGAGCCAGAAAAAAGCCAGGGAAGTCCCCAAATAGGCGTTCCATCACAGAAGGAGAAAGGAAAAAGGAAAGAGGGGGAGGGGATCAAGTTGATTCCAAGCCAAAGGTCAGGTGGAACAACTCTGTCTTACAGGCCCTGCGGAAAGAAATCAGATCCTGCAGGGCCCTGGTCTCATGAGACAGAGCGTTCCACCAGTGTTGAAAAGGCCCTGGCTCTGGTTGAGGCCAGAACTCCAGCTGCTGGGAATTGCAGGGGGGGCGAGCGCTGCTGTTGTGCCCACACCCTGCTTGTGAGCTTCCTCCCAATTGGGGGCATCTGGTTGGCCGCTGTGAGAACAGGAGTCCCCTTTGGCCTGATCCAGACTCTTCTCAAGTTCTGTTTTACTTTCTGTATTATTTGTGTCTCCACTAGAGAGAATATGACCTCAATGCATTACTCCCTTTTCCAGCAGTCTCTCTCCTTTCCAATGCAGCTGTGGGAGGAGACACACCTCACCAGCTACCTAGAATAAGAGATAGCTGCCCCCTCCGGAGGTAGGAAATGACTGTGAGAGCCACAGCCTTTCGACAGGAAACTTAATTTTCACACAGATGTTCCGTTGTTGAGCTGCCCCCCACAAAGAGAAAAGGCGTCCATCCCATTGATTCTCTTGGAGACTTTTGCCCATGTCTTTTGGGGCCTGGGCCAACTTCCCCGCCATGGGGATCTGAGCCAGCCCCAGCAAAGCCGAGAGCCAAGACCCTCTTCCTGGCACCTGGGCGACTTGAGATCTGTGCCTGCTCGCTGTGATCCTGCAGATATGGACACTGGATTCCCCGGCACCCTCTTGCCCGGCTCTCACCATGCTAATTCGTGGGCATAAAGACTTCCTGGCAGATGTGGTCTACATTGTCTTGGAGCTACTCATCGCGGTACTGGCCATCTTGGGCAACGTCCTGGTCTGCTGGGCCGTCTGCCTGAACAGCAACCTCCAGAACGTCACCAACTACTTTGTGGTGTCTCTGGCGGTGGCCGACATCGCGGTGGGCGTCCTCGCCATCCCCTTTGCCATCACCATCAGCACCGGCTTCTGCGCCTACTTCTATGGCTGCCTCTTCATCGCCTGCTTCGTCCTGGTCCTGACCCAGAGCTCCATCTTCAGCCTCCTGGCCATCGCGATCGACCGGATTATCGCCATCCGGATGCCTCTCAGGTAAATGTGCAGTTGATGACAATGACAACAAGCTGTGCTTTATTTTCTAGGGGTAAAAGGTAAAGGATCCCTGGACAATTCAGTCCAGTCAAAGGCAACTGTGGGGTTGTGGGGCTCATCCCGCTTTCAGGCCGAGGGAGCCGGTGTTTGTCCACAGACAGCTTTCCGGGTCATGTGGCCAGCAGGACTAAACCGCTTCTGGTGCAACGGGACACCGTGACGGAAACCTGAACGCACGGAAATGCTGTTTACCTTCCCGCCGCAGTGGTACCTGTTTATCTACTTGCACTGGCATGCTTTCAAACTGCTAGGTTGGCAGGAGCTGGGACAGAGAAATGGGAGCTCACTCCATCACTCGGATTCAAACCGCCGACCTTCTGATCGGCAAGCCCAAGAGGCTCAGTGGTTTAGACCACAGCGCCACCCGCATCCCTTGTGATTCTAGGGGTACTCAATGGTACACAGTACTGGCACCTTTCCCCACCCCCAAATGTTAAAAGTGTGGTACTTGCTGTAACAACTTCATCATGAATACTAGGAGTGCCAACTTCAATAAAATATGGGGGGGACAGGTAAGTCCCACCCTGCATATTGGATCACATGATGTGGCACATGCACACCATTTGAAAGGCAATGCCCATCAATTGGGGTGAGAAAGAACACTTGGCCCCTAGGAATTGGCTCCTAGGGTGAGTACCAGTACCATGTTTTTTCTTTGAAAAAAAGCACCGGTGACGACAGACAGGGCTCAAGGAGCACAGCTTCAGTGCAGAGCTTATTTCCCTTCTCCAGAACTAGCAGAAGCAGAATAAATTTGCTGCTGGAGAAGTCTGAAGTCTGTCACCAACTTTTCATCCGTTTTAAAAAGCCAGCGGGTGATGCTGGGATCTGCACGACCAAAATCCCAGCTGGAGTTTTTGCTCCCCGCCACCCTGTCTGTTTGAGAGAAAAGTCCGTGTTTCATAATTTCGGCTTTTCCCAACCCTCTTCACTTGCTCTGAGCACGAGTCCCCTGAGAGCAGCGGCAGTCAGTCAGGGGGGCTGTTTGTAATGGCACGAAGCAGCCCCCTCCAGCGTGGGATAACAGCTGGGCAGCCTCAGAAGTCCACTTCACAGAGACTTAGCCCGCTCTGGGTCTTCTATCCAAGTCTCTGAGTGCCTCGGGCTCAATCTCTTCCTCTCCCCCATTGTGATTTTTTTAATTTGCAGTGAAAAGCTCAAGTGGAGTTTCCTGCCCTCTGAGTTTGAAGAGCAGCAGCAGTGGCTGGAAATGGATATACAGTTCCTAAGGGCCAGGGAGGGGAAAGGGAAGGTGCAGCCCTTTGCTGTCTGTCTGTCTCTCAGCTGGGTTGACTCTCACTTCTCATCCAAACCACCTGGGCGGGAGAAACTTCTTCAGCTGCAGGTTCAGGAAATCGGCTGCCAAAGGCTCCATCCTCTCAATGGGTGTAGCCAGGATCTATGCTATGGGGGGGGAGGTGCAGGTGCGGTGATACTCACCTGTCACCATATTCTGTCCGGCTCTGTCTAGCAGATTTGGAATGAAATGTCTCGACAACAGTTGTTTGAAATGACTTTCTTTAGACCCCAAGTGCTCAGAAAAATCTGTCAAAATCTTCAGCCGTTTGAAAACTAGGAAGTTTTTTTTATAAAAAAAACAACAACGCCAGGGAGACCTTTTGTGCGATTAACGAGTATGCTTTGCAAAATTACAAAGAGCACACATTTTTCCATATTATTTTTTTAAAAAAATCTAAACTCAAAACAAGTTTTCCTGGATTTGCTGGAAACCTTTTCAGCACTTCCTTCTCCTCAAGTTCCTCCTTTTCTTTACCCCAAGGCAGCCCTGTTTAGGGAAGCTTTTAATGTTTGATGCACTACTGTATTTCAATATTTTGTTGGAAGCCGCCCAGAGTGGCTGGGGAAACCCAGCCAGAGGGGCGGGGTATAAATAATATATTATTATTATTATTATTATTATTATTATTATTATTATTATTATTCTGTTGAGACGCTGCCCTCTCATTGTCGACTTTAGCCAAGTCTTCATTCTCCGCAAGATATGATCTACAGTAGACGTAGCGCAAGGCTGAGCAAGAGAGATGACCAGTTAGACCCACTGCTGTAGTATCCTAAATTCTGATGTTCTGCAAAGAATGTCTCACACATTTCCACGAAAGATAAAATGATATGCTACATTGTGTAGGTACAACAAATGCAAGCACTGACCTTTTCTAGGGAAATGCTCACTTGGTAGGGAGATTGTGGTATCTCAGCAAACATTTCAATTTCAAATATTATTTCTACTTTTAGTTAAGTATCTTTATTTATTTCCTTGATTTAGTGGGGGCAGCTGCCCCCCCTTGGCTGTGCCCATGATCCTCTCTGCAACTGACTAGGCAGAGGAAAAACTGATCTGCTATGTTTCAACCTGCAGTTTTGTTTATAGCTCCTACACAGAGTCTAGGACTTGCCGATCAGAAGGTTGACGGTTCGAATCCCCGCGACGGGGTGAGCTCTCGTTGCTCGGTCCCTGCTCCTGCCCACCTAGCAGTTCAAAAGCACATCAAAGTGCAAGTAGATAAATAGGTACCACTCCTGCGGGAAGGTAAACGGCATTTCCGTGCACTGCTCTGGTTTGCCAGAGGCGGCTTAGTCATGTTGGCCACATGACCCGGAAGCTGTACGCCGGCTCCCTCGGCCAATAAAGCGAGATGAGTGCCACAACCCCAGAGTTGGACACGACTGGACCTAATGGACAGGAGTCCCTTTATCTTTACATTAAAACCCCAACAAATGTAACAGGGGTAAGAGAGGAATTGGGGGTGAGGATGGGGGCTCTGTGCTCAGAAAGTGGATGTTCCCATTGCACACATATGTGTGCATTGATTCTTTCACCTTGTTCACGGGCCCCTGCCTTGCCTTTGCAGGTGGGAAAAAAGCAGTCCTCTTTGCAGGGTCGTTGTGTAGGGAGGTGAAATCTCCACCCCCTAAAATGTATACACCATTTGATTGCGGGGAAACCTCAAAGCGGTTTACGAAAGATAGAAGAATGACATCAAGACGGAATCACGACCCCGCTTTAAAACGCACAAAAGTGGAAATGCTAAAACAGATGAAAATGGCCTCAGCCTTATGAGCATCTGCTTAGGTTTGTCTGAACAGGGATGTTTTTAGCAGGAGCCAGCAAGAGTACAGTGAAGGCACCTTAAAGGTAAAGGTACCCCTGACCGTTAGGTCCAGTTGTGGACGACTTTGGGGTTGTGGCGCTCATCTCTCTCTCTCTCTCTCTCTCTCTATATATATTAAATTATTAGATTTTCCACAATTATAACAAAAACCACAAAGCAGAATGACACACAAAAACAGAGAAAGAAAGAAAAAGAAAAATACATCAATAAACGAAAGAAGAAAAAAGGAACAATAAACAGATAAACAATAACAAACTTAATTCTTTACAAATCCAACCTTTTAAACATCTTGGTTGACTTCCTCTAGTCCCTCCCTTCTGAGTTTCCTTGTAGTTAAAAGTAACAGCTTTCCAATATCATTATTAAACTAAAACAATTTCCAATTATAGTCCATCTTATTCACTCATCTCGCTCTATAGGCCGAGGGAGCCAGTGTTTGTCCGCAGACAGCTTCTGGGTCATGTGGCCAGCATACTAAGCCGCTTCTGGCGAAACCAGAGCAGCGCACGGAAGCGGAAAGGCCCCTTACTGATCTCAATAGGCAGGGTGTTCCAAAGTGCAGGTGGTGCCACACTAGGTATTATGTGCCAATTCACAACCACAGCCTGTTATTTTGAGCCTTCAGAATGCTAATAATAATAGCTTCCCTCCCCTGCTGGGGCTTTAACTTGCCCTGGGAGAGAAGTCATCAGTGCAGAGAGAAAGAAGGAAATCAAGGAAGAGGGATGAGGATGATGACCAATGTTTTATTGGCTGTTTGTGAAAGGAATTTGGCCTGCAGAAGGGGCAGGGAAGGAGATGCAGGCCAGGCCTGTAACATCACGGAGACATCCTCTGTCTCCTCCCTTCCGTAGGCAAAGGATGGAGTGCATCTTGGTTGAAGCCCTGGTGGCTGCTGGAGAGCCTCCTTGGGAAATATAGCCAAATTGCCCTTTGCAAGCCCGTGCTTTGGGGCCGAAACAGTGACTCATACATTTATAAATAACAACTACAGCAATGGCGGTCCCAGGGCAGGGAAGTCTCTGCAGTGCCCCTCAAACGTGACCTGTTGGTTTTTGGCACACCACAGATTTTGCTTCAGAGCCTCCCCACTGTGGCTTCTGCACTGGCTTGTGTGGCTCTAGGCAAATCAATTCAAAAGGCTCCCGCCCCCTCTCTCACACAAGCATCCTTCCTTGGGGTCATAGGCTGGGCTGCGGCGATGTCACGGAATGTTCATAAGTAGTCCAACTGCTGAGTTGAAGGGAGCTGTCTGTAGCAGGCGGGACTAACACCCTGTTCAGGGGCCTGGTCTGATTCCTTGCCCCACAGCCAAGAAGTCCCTCCCACTCCGCACAGCCCCATTGATTTTGGGGGTGCAGCAAAACCAAAACAAATTAAACACAGTTGTGGGATGGACTGAGCCTAGCACTCTATTGGTGGATGCAAATTGCCCATACCTAGTCACCAGGTGGTCAATTGATAAGCAGAGCTGGGACAGCAAACTCCTTGCTCTGGAGGAATCAGCCAAGGAGGGGGTGCTGTCTGCCTCTGGGTGGGTGCATATCAGAGTGGGCCAAAACAAAGAGCTCAGGCACCCCATGAAGCCTAGCTGTATGATGCAGGGGCTGATGGGATTTGTAGTCCAAAATAGCCAGGCAAGCCCAAAGCATCTGGAGGAAAGTAGGTGGAGGAATTTAGACTTTCCTTACAAGATATTTTCCTTCCTTTAGGGATGTTTCAGATGAGGAGGAGGAGGAAGAGGAGGGTTGGGTTGAGTGGACTTTGGATGCCCTCAGTAAACTGAGGGGCTCTGAAGCCGTCACCTGTGTTTAAACTAAGAGGCAGGTCGATCCTGATAAATATTGGCAAATATTAGCTTGGATTGTGTCCCTCCTCTCCGGGTGCTCTCTTTCTCTTCCTCTTACCAAGTTATATAACTAATGCTATTAATTAAATAAACATTGTTCCTTAATGGATGGATTAAGTGCTGGCAGCTCTTGGCTGGATCTGAATCGGAAGTTGCAGAGGACAAAGTCAAATGATTGGTTTTCAGCTCTACATTCCCCACCACCACCACAAAAGGCATAAAGTGCTAATGGGATGTGGTCCCTTTACCCCACTTGTGCTCACCTGATGTCAAAGAGTTAAAAAAAACTATGTGGCTTTTTGTCAACGTCTGAAGGCAGCCCGGTTTTGGGAAGCTTTTAATGTTTGATATTATTATTATTATTTCTTATACCCCAATCATCTGACCGGGTTGCCCCAGTAACTCTTGGCAGCTTCCAACAAAAATACACACACAGAGAAAAAAGCACATCAAACATTAAAAGCTTCCCAAAACTGGGCTGCCTTCAGATGTTTACAAAAAGTCACATAGTTTTTTAACTCTTTGACATTTGACAGGAGGAGGTTCCACAGGGTGGATGCAACTACCCAGAAGGTTTCCTGCCTGGTTCCCTATAACATACCCTCCAAATTTCTCTGATGGAAATAGGGCCGTCCCATTCCATAACGAGAATTTTACTGTTTATACCCCACACATCTTACTGGGTTGCCACTCTGGGCTGCTTCCAACATTTATAAAAACATAATCATTCAACATTAAAAAAAACCCCACTTCTTTATACAGGATTGCCTTCAGATGGCTCGGGGGTCGGATAACTCCATACCCTCCAACATTTCTCCAATGAAAATAAGGAAAAGTGGGACATTCCAGGATCAAATCAGAAACCGGGGCGGCTTCTCTAAATCAGAGATGTCCCTGGAAAATAGAGAAACTTGGAGGATCTGCTGTAACCTCACTTCTCACAGTGAGGGAACCACCAGAAAGCCCTCAGAGATAGACCTCCGTGTCTGGGCTGAATAATGGGGGTGGAGATGCTCCTTCAGGTAAACAGGACTGAGGCTGTTTAGGGCTTTAAAGGTCAACACCGAGCATTTGAGTTGTCCTTGGAAATGTACTGAGAACCAATGTCGATCTTTTCGGACCAGTGTTACATGGGTCATAGCCTATTTTGCAACTCGCAACATCACCAGATCCTACCGTTGACTTTCCTTGGCTCTTCTCCTTCCAGGTACAACGCTTTGGTGACGGGCTCACGGGCGAAAAGCATCATTGGCATCTGCTGGGTCTTGTCCTTCATCATTGGCCTGACTCCCATGCTGGGATGGCACAAGCCTGCCTTGGGCAACCAGGGTTCCTCTTCCTCTTCCTCCTCCTCCTCCTCCTCCTCCTCCTCTGCTGGGGTGTGCACCAACGAGTCCTCTTCCTCCTTCTCGTCCTCCCCCTCCACTACGACCCCTTCCGGCAACTGCAGCAGCGACATGTTGGCCTGCCTCTTTGAGTCTGTGGTCACCATGGAATACATGGTCTACTACAACTTTTTCGCCTGCGTCCTCACCCCGCTGCTCCTGATGTTCGGCATCTACCTGAAGATCTTCATGGCCGCCCGGCGGCAGCTCAAGCAGATGGAGAACAAGGCGACGCCCGGGGAACGTTCCCGCTCCATCTTGCAGAAGGAAGTCCACGCGGCCAAGTCGCTGGCCATCATCGTCGGGCTGTTTGCCTTCTGCTGGCTGCCCATGCACACCGTCAACTGCTACATCCTCTTCCGACGGGGCTGCGGACGCCCTCCGCTCTGGCTGATGTACCTCGCCATCATCCTCTCCCACGCCAACTCCGTGGTGAACCCTCTGATCTATGCCTACAGGATCCGGGAGTTCAGGCTGACTTTCCGCAAGATCATCGGGCAGCACATCCTGGGCAGAAAGCAACGCTTCAAGGGGACCACGGCCAGCCGGAGGTCCTCTGCTCACGCGGAGGAAGACGGCGAGAGTGCCGGCATGCAGATCACCAAGTACGCTCTGAACTTCTATGCCGGAGGGGACTTGGATGGCATCCACAGGGACGGGGATTGGGGGAAGACCAAAGTGGGCTTGGAACTGCACCAGAGCAAGAAGGCTTTGGTTGGGGAGGCAAATGGCCACACGGCCCATCCCTGCAAAAATGGGGATCTCTCCAAAGCCTGCAGAGACATGGACCTGCTGAGCCAAGAGCTGCTGGCGATTCGGGACTCCTACGCCGCTGACCTGGAGACTTCGGCCGTAGAAGCCTCTGATGGGTCCTGAGGCCCCATCAGGATGCAACGCGGCTGGAATGAAATCCTCCCTCCCCCCAGTGGTCTGCTTTCCTCGCAGCAAGAAGGGAGGGAAAGAAGGAGAGAAGGGGAGGGCAAAGGTTTGGGTCCTTGCGATGGAAGGGGAGGGGTCCCTGACACAACTGACAGAAAGACCTGAAGCGGCCTGGGGAGAAGGCAGGAAATGGCCAGGGGGCTTTTTCCCAGCCAAAGGTCAAAGGTGAAGATGGGCGGGACACAGAGACACACTTCTTGTTGCCTTTAGAAGACTCTGCTGGGGGAGGGCCCGCGGCAACATCCGATGTTGCTTGGGACATCTGTGGCTGCCTGTGGCCACAGCCCAGTTGTACCAGGAGAAAATAAAAGGGTCAATGGAAAGGTGCTTCATAGTGCCAAGGAGCTGTGATTCCTGCATTGCAGGGGGTTGGACTAGATGACCCCGGGGTGCCTTCCAACACTACAATTCTATGATTCTGTGAGGAGCAGAATGGGAAGTTTTTTGCTGGACACCCAGCTAGGGTGATACCAGGCTGGAGCTGGCGAGAGAGAGAGAGAGAGTGTGCAAGAGCGCATGGTTTGGAGGCATTAGAGACACGTCCATTTGTGTAAAATCTTGAATAGGAAGCTTTATGATGCGATTTTGATTTTCCTCTGGCTGCCATAAGTCTCCTTGGGGACAGGGCAGGGCAGTTGCCTACTTAGCCTCTTCCACCAAGCCGTCTCCTAGGTAGGGTCTGGCATGATGGAAATCAGTAGGTGACTGTGCTCCAGTTTGCTCCCAGGGCACGGGTGCCTTTGAGATGATTAGGGGGGTGAACTTGCTCAGCAAAGAGGTAGCTTCCCAAGGGACCACCTGCCTACAGCTGGCAAGGAGTGCCTGCACGGGTCACCCACAAAGCTGGCCCAGCACAGATCTACACACTGAGAGAGTCCCTGGGACTCAGCCCTAGAACCATCTGGATTTGAACTCAGTGCCTATATGAGAAACAACCTAGAGGGCTACTGCTTTTAAGGCCCAATGCCAATTTCTCCCCAGAGTTGTGTCTGCTAGCCTGAAACATCTTGGCAACCTTTCCAAACAGCTCCCAGATGCAAAACTCGTCTCTCTCCGTGCCCCCTCCCCCCCACTTGTGGTCTGGCACCTAGCTGAAATCTGCCAGGCAAACCTGTTTTACAAGCGACTGCGACAGCACCACAGACTGTTGAGCATCAGACGAGCAGTTGTTGTTATGGCGGCCAAGCTCTGACATGACAAAATGGCAGCTTTGCATCGAGGAGGGCCGGCTGGGCTTGTCTTGGGGTTTTGTACACAGCGTCAGAACGGGCCTCTCATTTCAACCAAAATGGTCACCCATTGAAGAAATGTGAAGGAGGACCTTCGGCAGGTAGGAGGAGGAGAAGGCAGAGATGGGAGAGGGCACTTGAGGGGGCAGGGTAGAGGCTTCTCCCTGTGACCACACAAGGAGGGCTATTCAGTCTGGTGCATCACCCATCCTTCTGAAACCGTCCATCTTCTAGTGTACACTGAATGTTTGCCCTTTGTTATTGTCATAGATCATGCTCTGTGCCCCCCCCCCATTTTAATAAGCTTTTGTTTCTGTTTTCAAGCGGCGTAAAACTGATTTTTTAAAAAATAAAACTAAAACAAATGGTGACGTCTAAGTTTTGCAATTTCCATTAAAACCATCTCCCCTTGAATGCATTCTCTTGTTCTGGTTTCTCATGGCTGTGCCTGGGAACAACTGAGGCCTGTGGATAGAGGGTGGTATACAAATTTAATTGACAACAACAACAACAGATTCATAGCCTCTGCCATGGGACTTTACAAACTTCCTCAGTGTGGCTTGCCAGGCTGCCTTTGAGATCTTAACCACTTCCTCCGGTGGGCTGGAGAAGGAGCTGGTGTCTTGCTTGCAGATCGGGCCCTAGCCCAGCATCCTTTGCGAGAATCCCGGCAGATAAATGGTGGGCCATTGAAACTTGGGCAGTGCCCTGCCTCCCATCTCTCTCCCCCCCCCCCCCGTCTCACCATGCTGGAGAGCTCACATGGTCACAGCAGCTGACCAGGCCCAAATCTGTCGCTTGTGATGTAAATAAACACACATCCAGCTAAAAATACCCCAGGGCTGATCTTAGGCAACTGAAAGCCAGTTTTCTGAAAGAGAGTTGGTTTGTTTTTGTGTGCCCATGTGTTTGTTGTACAGGAGGTGGTTGTTTGGGGCTAGGTGGTGCCCATTCAGTATCTGTGATGATGGTGATGCCATCAGCTACACCACGAAGTGACCAGGTGAGGAATCGCACTGTCAGGGATAGACTCAGGCATAGGTCAGCAACAAAACAACAAATCAACCAAGGCGACTGAAGTTAAGGAAACAAAGCACAGCTCAGACCTAGTAGTCTCAGCAACACATTCTATGTCTTGCTCCAATGAAGCAGTTGCGAGGACTGAAGCTCCCCACCTTCCCAATATCCACTAGGACTCCTCTCCAGGGTCTCTCCCATTCAGTCTCAGGCTGTGCCTGCACACAAGCACCCTCTGTTCTTCCCTTTTTATTTATGCATGTGTTTTCGGAGACCAGTGGTGAGGGGAGATGGTTGCAGCAGGAGGGGGAGACTTCCTGGATTCTTCAGCGGCCTGCCTCATGTTCCCTCTCCTCTTCAGCCTCTGCTTCTGATTCCATTTCTGGAGTCCTCTCTGCCACAGCCTCTTCCTGCTCACTAAACCCTGTTGCCTTTTCAGCTTCCCACACCACCTTCTCCCAGTCTGCTCCTTCACTTTTTCCAGCCAGCTAGTACAAGATTTGCAGTAAACATCCTGGCCAGACAAGGAGCTGCCATCAGTCCCAAAAGAAGGAGATTGGCTTGGGCACAAGGGATGAGATGGTTGCCTTGCCGTATGGCTTGCTAGGTTGAGCTGCCTCTGGCAACTCCCTTCCCCTCAGAGGAGGGGATTATCCTCGGAGGCATTATCCTCAGAGGCACCCTCAGCTCCCACCAGGCCTCAGCTGCCTGGGCCTCTCTGGCACTCTCTTCGTGAGGCTGTTTCTAATGCTTTTTTGTATGTTGCGTGGGGAAAGACGCCTTCACCACTTGGTTTTCTGCAGAGCAGGCCTGCCCAGCTGAAGAACACACCCAGAGCTGTGAGGCTTCTCCACTCACTCCAGAGTGCAGAAATCTCTGGGTCAGTCACCCATAGGACCACACGCAGCAGGAAGTGTGGGAAAATACCAGCAAAAGAACCTCGTCTGCTGACAGAAGACTCCCTCAAATAAGAGTCTCATGGTGAGCTGCTGGAGGGCTCTGCCAAATACTGTCCCAAAATCAGGCTACAGGAGACCTTCAGTTCCTCAGCTGTCCATCATCCCCATCACTTGTGTTGCCCACCTGCCACGACCCTCACTGAGGGAGGGGAGGGGGAAATACCAGGGTGGTATTTTTGCAGTAACAGGCAGAAATCTTTGCTGTTTCCAGCCAATTTGTCCCATTCATCAGATTCTGGCCTCCTCCAACCAGCCAGCTGACACAGAGCATCCCTCCTAATTGGTTTGCACAAAGTTCACTGGGAAGTTAGAGCATGTTACTCAGTTGCTGAGTAAGGAGTCTCCTCATGAGTAAGCAATCCCTGAAACACACCCATCACCAGCTCAGGGTGTGGTCTCTGCCTCCTTGCCCTTGGTTTGTGTTCCCCTGCCTTGCTGTGTTATATTTTGCCTGAACTCCCTGCGTTGACCGTGGACTTCTCACCTAACCTGGACCCATCCTAGACGGAGTCTCTGTGGTAAACAAAATCTGCCCTTTCCCCCATATGGGATATCCAAGAGCCCGTATAGAGTCCTTACGTGGGTTCCCTATCAGTAGGAGAAAATAACAGAGGCCAACCAGAGATTATTGAGAAGCAAAGCAGCTAGTAAGCCTGATCTTTATTAAAGCTGTTGCAACAGGGTGCTCCCCCATACGCAGGAGGACGGAGGAGGACCCACAACAAAGGTGTTCCTGCCCTTATACAGACATTTTAAATTCCCTGCCTTGGAGCTCAAGACCACCCCTCCATACATCATACATACAGTACATCACAGAAGGGGTGTAACCCAAGACCACCCCCCACAAACACCATACCTACATCACAGAAAAGGTGGTCTACAACAGAAATTTGAATGTTGTTGTTTTTCCTGTCTGCCAGGTTATCTGATAATGCCTTATCTGATTGCCTTTCCTGGTAGTCCGCCCATTCCTTTGAAATGGTGATTACTAAATTCCTGTAACAAGGAAGGTTTTTTTCACCTCCTCCCTCCTTGCAGAGAAACATTTGGTCAGCTTGGGAGTCAAAATGGTTTCTGGATGGTCTTCCTGTGCTGATCTATGTACGTGCTTGGTTGGTACATTTATGAACATTTATTATATATATATATATATGACCTTAAATTTTATTATTACATCTCCCTGTTGGACCTTGGATTTATTTGGGCTGCGCTCCACTAGAAACCCTCTTGCTAAGGGTTTGTCTTGCCAAAGGGCAAGTGTCTTGCTAAGGAACTCCTGTCTCCTGAAATTGGGACCCTCGTTCCTGAGGTCACCCACCTTAGCAGGACAGGTATCCTGAAATGGAAGTATGGAGGTTGTTACCCTTTACATTATTAGAAGGAAGAGGCACCTGGCCACACAACTGCAAGGCCCAAGGCTCCTGAACCTGCACTTCTTTGGCCTGAATTGGGAGAAGACACATCATTTAAAGCCAGAATCTCAGACCCTCCAAGTGTCCCTGTTTTCCAGGGACATCCCCGATTTAGATAAACTGTCCTGGTTTCTGATTTGATCCCAGAAAGTCCCACTTTTCCTTAGCATGTCCCTATTTTCATTGGAGAAATGTTGGAGCTGTCTGAAGACAATCCTGCATAAGGAAGGTTTTTTTTAATGTTTAATGATTTGTTATGTTTTTATATATGTTGGAAGCTGCTCAGAGTGACTGGGGCAACCCAGTAAGATGTGTGGGGTACAGTGGTACCTTGTGTTACAGATGCTTCAGGTTACAGACTCCGCTAACCCAGAAATAGTACCTCAGGTTAAGAACTTTGCTTCAGGATGAGAACAGAAATCGTGTGGCAGTGGCAGGAAGCCCCATTAGCTAAAGTGGTACCTCAGGTTAAGAACAGTTTCAGGTTAAGAACGGACCTCCGGAACGAATTAAGTTCTTAACCAGAGGTAAAGGTAAAGGGACCCCTGACTATTAGGTCCAGTTGTGACAGACTGGGGTTGTGGCACTCATCTCGCTTTATTGGCCGAAGGAGCTGGCGTACAGCTTCTGGGTCATGTGGCTAGCATGACTAAGCCGCTTGTGGAGAACCACAGCAGCACACGGAAACGCCATTTACCTTCCTTCTGGAGCGGTACCTATTTATCTACTTGTACTTTGATGTGCTTTCGAACTGATAGGTTAGCAGGAGCAGGGACCAAACAATGGGAGTTCACCCCGTCGCGGGGATTTGAACCGCCAACCTTCTGATCGGCAAGTCCTAGGCTCTGTGGTTTAACCCACAGCGCCACCCGCGTCCCAAAGGTACCACTGTATAAATAGTAAAATTATCATGGAATGGAACGTCCTGTTTTCACCAGAGAAATGTTGTAGGGTATGGAATCTCTAGGCTGAATCTGGGATCCTTCGTCATCCCTCCATTGTCCAGCCGAGTGTGAAGCTAGGAAACCTTCTGCGATACTGGATGTTTTTGTTCTGAAACATCAAAGAGGAGTCAGCACTGGGGAAACAATGGACTACCTGAAGCCCAAGGGCTGCCCCCACCCATTCCCTCCTCAGGGAAACAATGCCTGGCAAGAAGAAAGGCCACTCAGCACTTCCACTGCAAGGACACTAGCCCTCACCTGCCTGGGAAATCCAAGCAGAGTCAGTCCGGCAGGTCATTTGGAGGAAGTGAGAGAAGCAATTCTGGCAGGAGAGAGAGAGCAAGGCTGACCATTTTTCTTCTTCGCCGGCTTCTTCCTTGGAAAGGAAGCTTCTTTTGGAGGATGCTATGCAGGGGGATCCTCTCTAAAATAAGCTAGTGGAAAGCCAAGAGGGCAGCGAGGTCATTAAGCTATTCGGGGGAATTATATATATATATAACAAACTGTGATGTGGGTGGCAGCTGTTAAGTGTCCACTGCAGGAATGGTGCCTCTGGAACCCACATCCTGTTATTGAAGGAGAAGAGGAAGCCCCAGCCAATGGCACTGAAGGGGGCAGGAGGATGCTGCAAGCCGTTCCAGGCTCAAAGGGCTTCCATGTTGCATCCCCTTGAGCAATGCCATGCTGGAATAATAATAATAATAATAATAATTTATTTGTACCCCGCCCATCTGGCTGGGTCTCCCCAGCCACTCTGGGCGGCTTCCAACAAAGATTAAAAATACATTAAAATGTCACACATTAAAAACTTCCCTAAAGAGGACTGCCTTCAGATGTCTTCTAAATGTCAGGTACAGTGGTACCTCTGGTTAAGAACTTAATTCGTTCCAGAGGTCCGTTCTTAACCTGAAACTGTTCTTAACCTGAAGCACCACTTTAGCTAATGGGGCCTCCTGCTGCCGCCGCGCCGCCGGAGCATGATTTCTGTTCTCGTCCTGAAGCAAAGTTCTATTTCTGAGGTACTATTTCTGGGTTAGCGGAGTCTGTAACCTGATGCATATGTAACCTGAAG